ACGTCGGGCTCCAAGGAACAGCAGCAGGAGGAGGAGGAACAGCTCAGCGTAGCATCTTGCTCCAGCGACCATGATACTCCGACAGCTTGCTCTCGCCCGAGGACGTGCGTATGCGCGTCTGTACTGTAATACGCTTGTCCCTCTCCTTCTCGTCTGAGCGAACTCAACTGACCTGAACCTGACCTGACCTGGCTGGATGGAGAATTGGGTCCGGCGAGTCGAGTTCTTGCGAATACCTAGCAATGATACAACGCCTAACTAAGAGGTAAAATTGCCGCAGACCGACCTTCCTACTTACTACTTCCGTCTTGATCGCTCGGTCGTGCTCGGCCAACGGTTGCGAAAAAGTGATGCAATAACTGCAGAGCTAGATCGCTGCGCACGAGGAGTGGCCGGCGTTGCAGCGTCTTACATGAACTGTACGCACGCCATGCATCTTAGATAGGTTTCCTTTTTTTTTTTTGTTTATAGTTCCCTCTCTACATACCAGACAGGTACCTGTTTATCCCGTTCGAAGCGGAGAGTAAGGGGAGCGCCCGCCTCCGTCGGAGATTAAAAGCTCGCCTCTTGTGTTTATTAGGATTATTACTCGTACATATCTTACTACTCCTACCTACCTAGAGGTAGGTAGTTTATTTTATTTTTTTCTTTAACGCCGTTGGCGTCGTCCCAGTAAGTAACGTACGTAGCGTACCGTAATCTGCCTGTGCGGGACGGATCTAAACAAACGCTCTAAGTAATCGGGCGGCGGCAAAGCACATGCGTAACGCGTTACTGTGCTAGGCTTCCCATTCCCGCCCTTGATGCAAGTCCACGTAGACGCAGGTCCGTAATTTGGAACTATCCTAACAAGTAAGTAAATCGTAAGAAGTACCTATAGGTAATCTTACCCCTCTCTTCCCTCCACACATGAACACTGCCCCCCCTTTACCAAAGACATTGCTTAATGCGACGATACTACTACTACTACTATACTGCTTTGGCTTCTCGGTGTTCCCACACGGAGCCTCCTGTCAAGGTAGCTATGCGCAACACGGCAGCGACGTGCCGTGACCCGATGATCGATGGACAAAGCCACCCGCAGAGAAAGAGGGACACAGAGAGAGGGCTCGTATCGAGTCGCGCGCGGAGATAGCATGTTTAATTCCGAAGTAGGGCTTTGCGCGAGATGCTGTCACTCAGGAGTTAGCAGTTCGTATAGCGAGACTTCGTACACTACCTTGGTAAGGTTCAGATGGTTCGATGGCTCAGTCGAAGCCACACGTACTGCACTAAGTTCAATAATAGCCATGTAAGATAGAATGATAGCATCGTAATAGGTACCTTTCAGCTGTCCTTTCGAGCATGAATACCTGGTCATATCGGTAGATGTCTGCAAGCCCCTTTCCGCGCATAGGGGTTGTTGACGGCATTGTTGGAAAAAGGGGGGGATCATTGTGGTGAAATATTACGGAGTAAACAACGGGTTGGCCACTACTTTGCGACGGGTCAACTAAAGCAGGCCAGTTTAGGCTGCTTAATGTATTCCATAGATCTAGAAGATGTCATAATCAATTACTATTTTCAATGCTTTTGATTACCGTGAAAGCGCTAGCTATAGTATACCTGAACCTGAGGTATGCAAGACTCCTTTACTGTTCATCAAGTTAGTTTTCACTACCGGCTTGCCGCCAAGAACATAGCCGTAAACCCGACAGCGAAATAAGTACGATATGGAGATAAACTAACTTACCATTACAGGTACTATAGCTTCCATGAGTCCGTCGACTTGGCCTCTCCGAGCAAAGGGGTCAAGGAAAGCAACTTGTTATCTTCGTGCTTCCTCGGCTTGGATCTAGGCACTCCAAGTCGAAGTACTGTTTGCTTCTTCCGTTTCTGATCCTTGCCACGGAAGAAAACTATATCCTAGAGAAATCTTGTCAACCAGGCCAAGGGTGCCTCAACCTCCGTTTACTCCACGATAATTACAGGTGCGATACAAGACGAGACTGTGCAAGCAATGGTCTTCAAGAGCTGCTGGATTTGTATTAATACTTGATCCCTCTTAGGAATCTTCGTCCCTGTTGCTTGACTAGAAGCCTGCGGTTTACGCAACGATGTACGATAACCGACAATTTTTTTTTCTCGGGTTTTGCGAATATCCATAAATGGAATCGCTGGCCCAGAAGACCACACGACGAATAACGACGGCCAGTATCATATCTAGTGAGGCTTGCCAAAGGAGTTACAAACTGAGGATTTTAATCAGGTTCTTTCGTAAAGATTATTTACTGCTTGCACTGAATATACTAGATAGGTAGAAGCGGTCTAGTGAGTTCGTCGAGATTTCTCGAGCATACGCAAGCTTAACGGTAGAGCACCTTAGGTAATTATTTATATCACTATTATGTATGACTGTATTTATATATTAATGTTATCCGTAGCAGAGAATAAAGTATTCATCAAAGCTGATCATAGTTTTATCAACCGAAACCATCCTTCTTTCTTAAGTTTCCACCACACGAAGTAGACTTGCCAACAGTTCTCTCACGTTCGGGAGAGTGCTCAAGTGACGGCGATTGCTAAGCAAAACCAGATACAGGTAGGCGTACGCCAAAATCAGATAAGATAACTCACGCATGTGTTCGTCTAGATAGGTAGGTGTTCGAGGACCAGTGATTTAGGGTCACTACAACCCAGGGCAGTTGAAGGACGCCCACAGGCTCAAGTGTAGTGCCCCTCTTAATAGCGAGAAAGAATACATACGGCGGTGTGAACTTGAGAGAGGGATGGCTTGGTGAATCCTGGATTACTAAATTATAAACTGGGCGATCTGTTGCACTTCCAGAGTAGGCGACGGCTGTCGACGGAGGCAGTGTATTGATTACACTGTTAACTTAGTATGAGACCTCTTGGGGTAGGCAAGTGGCATATTGTCATAGGAACTGCCTATATGCAGAACTCCTTTAGCTTGGAGGGACGACATTGCATATTTACTTCTAAGATTAACGTAGGTTTCGAACCAGAACATCCGTCGCGGCTGTCACCATGGTTAATTGCGATATATCTCCTCAAGCTAGTTCTAGCAGAACTTGAAGATACTAGCCCTATAGATACCTTCTTAAATATGCCCAGATTTACACTTACATCTATCTCATGAATAGGCGAGGCGCGGTTGGTGGTTGTCATATAGGTACAGAGTGAGTGTCAGGGTCGCACATGTAGTATATTGGGTTGAACTCGTAACGCCTGGCATTTTAACCTCCTTCGAGGGAGCTGGCTACCCTTTACATAGACGGCCCAGTCTATCCCTGGCAAGGATGCTAATTTCCTTTATGTCTACCCCGAGTGATTATTATCGATTTCTACTACTACTGCCATCTGGAAAGATGGTACAACTACCTTAAAAGCCTACAGAGTCTATATGCATTGCCTATGCTGGTTTTGGGTGTAACCAAGAGAACCTTAACTCCTACAGATACTATCTTTTCCATCTCCATGTCAGGTACGTAACCTACAGAGAGAGAAGTAGATCAATGACAGACTTCTCTTCTTAAACTCGTCTACGTTCCACAATTCTACCAATTCCCGCATTTCTTAACATTGCCTAACTAGGTCCAGGTAAATTTTAAGCGATGACCGTTCATACCCTCACTTATACTGGAAGATTGGTTAAAGATCGTCATCAAGTATCTCTCTAGCGCATCTCTCAGGCTGTAAGAACTAGGGACCGTGTTTGCGCAAAGTGAGAGGAAAGGGCCGAGTTCGCAGTATATTGGTAACTTACCAAGTTATGCCCTCTCTACCAATATTGGAGGATCATTTTGCACATAGAGCTGATACTTTATGGCTACTCCAAGGGACATGCTTCTTTTTAGAAGACGATAATGCCATTAATTAGTTGGCTAGCGTATTCTAACGCTCTCCTGCTAAATAAGTTTACTTGTAGAACCATTCTACATGGTTCGAAGACGGTCCTCAGAACTAGTAGGCTTACAACATAGCAAAATGGACACAGTGGCCAATATACATTGTCTCGTATGTCTGTTGTATAGTTCATTGCCACAAAAATGTCCACGATTCATTCTAGTTAATTTGACGTTACCTACCTAGGTAGGTACTCTGTAAAATATACACCATCCCGGAGGAGACAGGAGGATATATATTGCATCTCATAAAACCTGCCCAGAGGCAGTGGCTACCGGAAGTGTGAAAATTTCTGTCGAATTCGATTCCTCTAGTGTGATAGGAGGTCGACTTTGAGCTTAGCTTGGACACCTTAGGTATCTAACCAACGAAAGGGTAGTGATATAGCATGTGGAAATCTAGTGTTTTCCCCTTTACTCGCTAATGAAGAGAGATATATACCTTCTGCATAGTTGGATGTTTTCTTCTCTTATCAAGCTGTTTATGGAAACTGGTTGCGGTAGAGGGGCTTTAATGCTTTTTTCATCTTTGTATCTTGGCAAAATAATTGATTAAGAGTTAGCATGCTCCTATGTTAGGTCCTGAGGTAATACATTGAGTTTGGTGTTGGGCCTTTATTAAACTTAATAATGTGTCGTTTTTAGAAGTATGTTGTCTCAGACATCAGATGGGTGTCTTTCTTTGACAGGGGGATGAAGATACCTAAATCAGCCACGCAGCCACACGACGGTGTTGATCTCTTCAACTGATGTCCCCTTGCATGTGGAAGCTAAGCCACAGCCGTCACAGCATGTGCGTCTAGATCGAGCAATGAATCGGAGCTACACTGTTGAGTTTCTCACCGATTGATTAATAATTTGGGTAATTATAACCCGGAGACTTTCTCAGTAATTGTAGATTCTCGTAATACTAATTGCACCGTCAGACCGAGAGGGGCAGCGCATTTATATACCTTAGTACTTGGTAGGTAGATACCCAAGTACCTAAGTAGCTCGGGGTACCGAATGATCCGCTTGGCCAATCAGAATTAGAAAAGTAACCCCAGTCGCGTCATCTCTAGTTACTTCTATGAGGTACATGGTAGGTATGGGCAGTTACGAGTGGCTTTGGAACTTCGATAGGTGGCATTAACCGTTTGTTGAGTACATTTCACTCGACATTTCTCTTGACACTTCTATCTCGACATTTTTCCTAAGAAGCAAATCCTCAAATTGCGAGACTTATAACTACCACACATTGAAATGATGGGCACTTGAAATCAATCCTCAATCCTCTCCCATCCCCAATCATATTTTGCATTTCCTTAATTAATCCCTTCCCAGCAATTGCAATTGTCATCATGCGCGTTCTTTGGTACGCAGGGGTAAGCTTAAATACAAAATACCTTATACAACCTCTGTGAATCCCTTTATATCGTCCTCTTGTGCCGCCGGGGAGCTTCAAGCTAACACAATGCTTTGCGCAGACATCGACCGCCCTTGCGGCTGGCGTTGTCGCCTACGCATTCAACCAACGGGCTAACTTCTACTCTGCTATGGTTTATCTGTCGCAAAATAATTTGAGTCTTATGGTATGTTTTATGGTACACCTCACCATCCTAGATAACTTTCGCCACCCCACCGAATTACCTCTGACCCTCTGTTGTTCCATCATAGATACTTATAAACCTTGTTCTCCTGGTATATGGTTCCTTCGTCTGGGGCCTTCAGCGACTATGCTTCGGTCCTCTTCGACCGGTCGAGATCGAGCAGCTTTACGAGAAAGCCTGGTTCGCCGTAACCGAGACCTGCCTCGCTATGACTATCTTTCGGGAAGAAGTTGGTGCTTGGTTCCTCGTTATGTTCACCGCTCTGGTTACTGGAAAAGTTTGGGAATGGATAGGCGAAGGCCGTGTCGAAGTCTTGGAACAGCAACCTCCGGTAAACCCGCGCCTCTTCCACACGAGACTCAGCGTATCTCTCCTGTTTAGCGTCGTATATGATATCTGGCTATTCACTTACACCATAAATGCCGTTATTCAACAAGCCCGACCGAATATGATGGTCATGTTCCTATTCGAATTCGCCATATTAACTGCCTGTTCGTTCCGCACTGCCCTCCGATATGTCCTGTCGCTGGTCGAGGCCGATATAGTGAGGAAACAGACCAAGCAGAGGTTAGAAGAACGGCGCCGACAAGTCCGAGAGCAGCGCGCTGATATCATGAGACGTCGCGAATCCGGTGATCCCGCGGAGGTGGAAGCTGCAGAGCAGGAAGAATTACCTAGCGAGGAGGACATCGACGAGACGGATATTGATGTACCAGGATGGGAGTCTAAGGGGCAGTGGATTTTGAGTCTGGATCTGTTTACCGGTAAGCAACCAAACCTAATTCATATATTATCATTATTATCTAACTAGTCAAATAGATTTCGTCAAGCTCGGGATTTATTCCGCTTTCTTTGCCATCCTGATGATGTTTTATGGGCTGCCTATTCACATTTTGAGGGACTTATTCATGACAGCCCGCTCATTTGTGAGCCAGCTCAGACTCTTGATTAAGTACCGAAAAGCTGTCAAGAATATGACCAAGTACCCTGATGCCACTGAAGAAGAGCTGGCGCGCGAGAATACCTGCATTATCTGCAGAGAAGACATGAGACCGTGGGATCCGTCTGCCATTGGTGCAGTGGAGCGGTTTCGCCCAAAAAGGCTTCCATGCGGCCACATCTTGCACTTTGGGTGCCTTAAGAGCTGGATGGAAAGACAACAAGTATGCCCAACATGTCGACGCCCAGTTACTATTGAGGATACTTCACCTAATGACGGCGCTGCTCCCGGTGGCCAGGCTAATGCTCCAGGTCAGCCGGCACCAGGGAACAGAGCCGCAAATGCCGGTCAGCCGGCGCAAGCTCGTCCTGGAGGTAATATGAGGGTATTCCAGTTCGGTCCTATTCGATTGGGTTTCGCTCAGGGCAACGCCCAGAATATCCATGAAATGGCTCAACGCCTTCGTATGCCCCTGAATGGTGCCAACATTCCTCGAGTACCTACACCAACCGCCCCAGTACCTTCTAGCGCAGCCCATACAAGCAACGCCAATAGCATTGCAGAAATACAGGCACAGCTACATGATGTTTGGAATCGAATACAAATAGAGATGCAAGCCTTACAGGCGAGCCAAGCTGAATTACACACCCTGTATGCTCTAACAGCAGAGCTAACCCGTCTTCGTCTGGCGCAACAAGAGCCTCAGCCTGCACCGACAACTCAACCCGGACACCCCGGCATCAGCGTTCAATTTGCCTCTGACCACGCGGCTGCACCACAAACCCCTTTTGCACCTTTTCAAGTCATGCCACAGTTTCCCTCGTTTCCGGGCCTTTCGCCTCGAGTGGCGACTCCGACGATAACCAGACATGGAGGCGTATCTTATTCAACTGCCATCCCTGCTGGGAGCTCAGAACTACCTGAAGGAGTTACCATACCCCCGGGATGGTCACTACTGCCTCTTCAGCGCCTTGACGGCCAACTACCTAACCACCAAGCTGATGCCGCCGGTCAGCAGTCACCAACACCTGACACAGCGAATCTTAATACCACTGCTACTGCTATTACTGGCGACTCTCTTGCGCGAAATCTTGAGACACATAATAGGCCTACGGGAGAACAGCCATCTGGGGCTACTTCACAGCCACAGAGAGAGCCTACCATAGTAGCTGCGCCTACCCCGGTAGTGCCTAACTGGGGTGGTGCCGCACAACTGTATGGAAACGGCGGGGTTGGTGGTCCAGTCTCTACAAATGAGCCTCAAACTAGAATAGGGGAAGCTTCAACGTCAGAGAGCGAACGTCGTAATTCAGGTGATGAACAAGAAAAGTCAAACAGCAGTGAAACCAAAGGAAAGGCAAGAGCGGTTACGGTTGAGGACGCTGACGATACGGAGGGTGCGGATGATGAGTAAAGCGAAATGCTTTTTCTTCAGTCTGCATTCTCGACTTTGTATTCACACGAAAATTGCATCAGGGCAAGGCGTTGGTGGCGTTGGAATTTCGTGTCCCTATTTCAACACGCCTGATCGATTGAGGATCCGGCACGATAGAACTTATACCATGAGTTAGTGGAGCGGTATTCTATCCATGTTAGAAATATTTGTATGTTTCAGCGTCTCTGGTTTGGAGAACGAGAGATAAATAAACTCCGCTGTACTTGAGATGATAGGAAATCGAAGGGCTTACCGCCTTGAAAGAAAATAATAAAAATAAAAATGCCCAGGTTTACCACCTATGAAAATTTGGCAATACTTAATGCGCTTCGTTGTCTGAGGCTTGGTCATTGCTTGTTTGTAGCTACCTCTCGGCTCTGTACACCCATAGGTAATTGAGAGTGTTGATCCCTGCGAAAGACGAGTCGACGTGGTCGTTTATATCGTCTTGGAGTTGGCAAGATGCTTTATCTCTTATGCAACATTATATTATGAGTGGTCACTATAACCAGTAAGGCCTGTTCACGGTTCAGGTGTGCGTTCCATCATAAGCAGACGCGTGTGTAAGAGTTGTATTAGACTTCTTACCTCTTACATCTAAAAATCAAATACCCCAAGTTAGATTAGTCCCAGTACATCCCAATCTTGCCCTATCGCGATACTGTTGGAATCAAAAATCTTCTTCTAACCACATCTCACTTTTTCTATTCTCCTAGCTAGACCCAGCTGCGTATTCAGTTCTTACCGACGCCATGTTCGCCTACGCGTACTTCCTGACGAAAGGCAGCGGGGAGAACGTCGCCTCGTACGGTTAGGAGAATCCAAAACCTAATTGATATGAGGGTGGCAACAGCTAGTAGCGCGGCTTACTTAGTCCGTTGCTTTCGGATGATATTACTCCTCCTTATTCTTATGAGGTACCCAAGGTTGGGAAAGACTCACTCTCACAGCTGCCCGCATCCAATGAGAGGCGAATAGCGTGGCGTAACTTGTCTGAACTTACTATGCCTCAGAATTTAATTGACTCAAGGACCACTAGGCCAGTCACGAGAGAATCCGTCTGAAGATATATCAAAGAACGCAGGGAATAGAGCTTGGGGGGGAAGTTACTGATAGGACCAGTCTAATCGTTCGAGCGACAAATTAAAGACTGCGGCTCAGACACACACGGATATGTTGAATTATCGGAACCGGCATAAGACTGAACTGGCAAAATCATCGACTAGCTTGATTTGGGGATTTTGCGGCGCAGAGATATGTGGAAATTATCGCTGAGTCTAATAAACCATTGCCATATACCCCCTATCGTATCTTAACACCAAGCTCATAACGGTTGTCTAATCGTGGTCAGGAAAAGCTTACATAGAAGTCTTGGCTAATCCCGGTAGAGATTCATAACTCCATAATGAGTGATAAATTGAATGTTTTGAAAGCGAATCTCCATAATATTCGACCAAGTGTTAATTGCGAACGAGCATCTTTCCTGTCCCGGGAGTTAAAGCAGAATAGGGGTAACCTTGGAGGCATAGTTTACGAATCAACAACCGCTAATAAGTATGCGTGAACCTTAGTATGCAGTCTATTTACTTCCTACCTGGCGAGCACGTGGGAATAAGAAACAGTCATCGCCTCGGGATTGCGGCGAAATCTCGCAAATCAAAATACTAAGTCGGTGGGTTAGATATTAGTAGGTAGTCATCTCATCTTACCCAACCCATTATCGAACCAGGTTTTCGAATCAACAGGAACTTAGGTGCAATACTAATCTAGAGTCTAGACAGACTGTTTCTTATGCCAGAGTAAGCCGTACATTAAGTAATATCAACTCTTATGCTCTCAAATCTTATCATGGGTAGCAAAGCAAATCTTTTTCATCCCACGCACGTCTTATATAAAGAAAGTAGCGTAGGTAAGGAGGGGCTCTGCTAGCTGCTAGTGCTCACGTTAACCATCGACCCAGCAGCCCGGTACGCCCGAAGGAGAAAAGAAAAAGGCAGCTTATCCAACCCACGTGTGTTCGTTCCGCTTAGCATGTAGGATGACGGTAATAAAGCGGTCAACGGTCAAGGGATCCATCCGATAACCCAAACTGAAAGAACTCGCCTCGTCTATCTAGGTGTCTTGGGGGCGCATCCCGCTGCGAGAGCACTGGTTGGCGGGTCGTCTGGTCGACTGGTCGACTACCTATCTGCTTTAGGAACGCAGCCTTACTAACCTTACCTTACCAAGCATGCCATGCTGACGCCGAGCCCAACCCTGCTGTGGCCCTGCTGTTCTCCTAGTTCTAGACTAGATAGTTATAGGCTACTCAGTAAATACGTTTATCGCCTACGTACCTAAGGTGGATTACTCGAGTACACACCAAAGCACAGTCGTGTGACAACCAAGCAATCCCCTTCCATGCATACATGCGTCGGAGAAATAATACATCGTCCACATAAACTCGCAGGCTCGTAGGGCTGCATGGGGCACAGTACAGCCTACCTGGTACCGAGTAAGGGAACGCGAGGTAAAGTTGACGCTAGCCTAGCCCCGTCTACCTACCTCATATCTGTTCCTCTGCTACTATGTATGTTAGGGTATGAGGTAAGGTAGGTATGTAAGTAACACCCACCACCCTTCCTCCCACCTGAGCACTACCTTAGGTAAACATGTCATCCTCGGAAGCGTTTCGGTCCGGGCAGAGGGCAGACAACGCGCCGCGCCGCGTCTCGTGTAATCCGAGTCGGCCCGGGCAGCCACTCTCTCGGCTGTATCAGCTGGTCTACCTGTAACAGGTACCTAGGTACCTGCATAGAACAACGCGAGTTGATGCTTAAGTCTGTCTAGACGAGCGTGTGAGATGACAGGTAAGGTACCTACCTAGATAGCCCTTACGGCAACGTTGGTAAGTAAATAGGTAGATACCTATGTATCAAGTTACCAACCCAACCAAGCACATCCCCCTTGCCTGATTCGCTATGCCGTAATACGGCGGCGAGGTGTGCCAGTGGCGAGATATTGACTGGGCTACCAAACTACAGCCATATTACTCGTTCGTAGTGGGTGTGGCCGATAACCCATAGGATTGGCGCTGATTTGCGTTGCAGCGTGCGTAAGCGAGAGGGAGCAGATCCCTGGTTTCGCCTCATATCTGTCTACATACGGTTATGACTCCGCAAGTCGTGGGAGGCATCTCTGCTTTCAACCCCATACTTCGAGTAGTTATCAGAGTGTCGCTCGGTATGCTACAGATTTCATAGCATTGCTTAAGGTATATACAAGTTAAGGGAAAAGAAGAGACGATAGTTGCGATAATGTGAAGATTAAATTTACTATCCGGTTGAACACCCCCATAGGATTTTGTTGCCCCAAGTATCCTCCAAATCCAACAAAGAAACCCGCGGTGCCTAAGTATGCTAGAGATGCTCAATCCGACCCATATGCAGATTGAATATAATGACAAGAATAAGGAAAACCCAAAAAGTATAAGGGGGGAAGGCCACCAAACGCCGCCCATATGCAATGTATGCTGATATCCAAGTGTAAACACTATATGCAATTAATCCTTGACCGGCAGCACGAACCGGACCTTCTTCTGTGGCTTTGCAGCCGGTATATCTATTGGACGCGCCTTCTCGTCGTCCGTGAGGTCTTCGACGCTAAAGCCCATCTCGCTCATTGTTTCCTTCTCTGGTTCCTCTTCTATAGAATAAACATCGGGGCTTGGTTCGCGCCATGAATGTCGTCTTTGAAGCGTTTGACAAGGCGATCTTCCCCGCAGAGAACGACGCGGGGGTGCGAAGCGTTTTACAGGACGTTTAGGTGAACCAACATGAAATGAAACGGGTGATAATAAAGACTCTGTGGTCTGAGATGTTACGGTGGAAGGAGGCCTTGTCCGATCGAAGAACTTTTCGAAGTTAAATGGTAGAGACGTATGACCGTGAGGATGAAAACGGATATAATCTTCGTCATCATCATCGTCATCGTCCAAAACTGCACAGTCTGCCATCTTGTCCTTGGGCTTGTACTTCCTTAGTCCATCAAGGGTAGAAGGGGAAACAGTGCGGATGATCTCCCGAGGCTTATTTGCATCCTCAATCCCCGCGTCAAACTCGAAATCAAATTCGAGGTCTTCTTCTTTCGGAGTCGGTGGTGTAAGGAAATACAACATGGGATTCTCATTAGACCACTGAGCATCAAGCTCGTCATCGTCTGTTGAGTTGTTATCGTCTTCCAACGACGGGGGGAAACGGCTGGGACTCGACGGCCAAGACGGCTCCGCCTGCCCACGCATAGACGTGCTAGTAGGTAAAAAAGGCATGGTAGTTAATTCGTTGGAGACGAGACTCGGGATAAGGGGATTAGGAAAAAGACACCGGATTCCGCAGTGTGACCATTACCAGAAATTTAGATCGATAACTTGAGAGAAATGGAATAAAAAGCCTTATTGTAACCTTAACGAAGGTCGCCGGACTCAAGCCGGCTCAGCTAGATTTATCTCGGAGGTGAGAATTGAAACCAGCCAACCACCCCAAGAGAAAAGCTGACGAGTCGTTAAATATAAGTAGAACGAAAAGCCAAGTGTAGAAAACCGAGAAAGCCGCGTAATATATAGTACCACTAGGCAGAAGGTGTCAAGGAATATGTTAGTCACCGGTCAATTTGAAGAGGTTGCCTTGTGAGTGGGTGGACTGGAGAAGGTGGTGGTCATGCCTGAGGTTCCCGACTGGGAAAGGTAACCCTTTGGGAACCTGGCAGAGCTCGTGAGCGGACGCGCTATCCTGCAATGAATCACTTAGACTAAGTGCTTAGCCGTGGGAGGCTCAGACAAAAGCGAAGTTCAAGCTGATTTCCGCATAGAGCATCACGCGTCTGAGATGGTGTGTGGATTTGATTTCAAGACTGAGTCGGTGGGTGGGGGTCACCAACAATGATAGAGCATAAGCCGGCTTTCTAAGACATCGAGGCCACCAACTCGAGTTCGGCCAGATGGGCATCTGACAATGCGATATATGAAAATTAGCCGAAACAACCGCAATTCAATTGCGTCCGTATGCTGTAATTGCAACGCTTTGAGGTTTGTGCCCTTGTGATTTGATAATGCCAGAATTTGATCGAATTGACTTGCGTTCGAATCGGTAAATACGTATGCATCGTACCTTGCATGAAGCTCGAATGCGGCACAAGCTCTTGAAGAGCACGAGTTTTCTTGATGTCATAAATGTTACCTTGGTGATTGCTGACCTGAGTTGCTATTCGAGTTGCTATTCGAGTTGCTATTTCAAAGAGAAATCGGGTTACGCGATGTCGTACCGGAGATTTGCAGCATGACCATTGTAACCATTACCTGTAACTTACAATAACAACTCCGGAGAGACGAAGCTGAAGATAGCGCTTACAAGGGATAACTTGCCGTCCATCTATGCGCTCGGCTGCTAAATGTGTGCGAAATGTGATGAGCCCTAATTATTGAACGTCCAAGATGCTGTGTGATACGCTATTCGCCCGGCGCCCGGCGACCTAAGTGCGTACACCACCACCACCACCTTTGACTCCAAGGGATATTCGTAGGAGGGGTGACTACTTCTTGGTTTGGAGTAGCGCTAATACCCCAACACGAAAGTGGCGCTGATATTCCTACCTAGGTACTCTAGAAACGGTATCAGATGACGAGATTTATCAACCAGAAGAGGGGAAATTGTCTTGATTACGGTAGCAGCGTGGTCGCAAAATACACAACCTTGATAGCGTTAGATACAACCCCGGGCGATACCGGGAAAAAGCCACTGGTAGTCACCTTCCTCTTGGTCGTGCCTTGATAAGGATTCACGGAAATACTCTTCCTTCACCTATTTCAAGATGGGTTGATGTTGACGATTGACGATAAGGATAGTTGAGATTAGCGTATGAGAGAGTCCAACTTTTTGATAGCTTCAACTAGGATATTTAGTTTGTAAGCTAACACAACTAATTTAGCCTTGGTGCGATTTGAATCTGTCTTTGCTAGTGCAGGATCGCCCCGAAAGTTCCATGAGAACCTGTGTTTTATGACCTTTGGGTCTTTTTAACACTTGCCCATGTGGTCTCAAGTACGAGCCAATATATGTACCTAACCTAGGTAGGTAGAAAAACTTGACTCCACCGTGGGTCGTGACGTCACCGAAGATCCTATCGAGAGGTAAGTAGAAAAACTAAGAAGGAAGAAAAGAGAGAGAGAAGCTGAGAACTTCTAATTGAGTTGAAGCGAGTAGCAACATCAAGACAAAACTTGTGGAACAATGCGTATAGAATTGTTAGCTGCAAGTCCCTGCAGATCATCTCTTGACATGCATATCGTAGATGGTCGGTGGCACATCAAGGAGGGATGCAAATTCAGATTACCCTAAAGCTTCGGCATGACTAGCGATAAGTTCTTTAGATTTCGATTGTTGGTAGGGCTGAAAAGTTGGAATTGCGAGATTGAGCTGACAGGCGGGTCAACGGCAAATGGGGAACAAATGAGAAAGAAAATGGGGCTCAGGCAGTCAGGGTCCGTGTGGCTTGAACTCTGTGATCTGTGCCCAGTGGCTTCAATTAATTATTTATTCTATACATATGTATCACGTGTACCCCCTAGCTAAGTCTTCAAGTTATTTTTATGTATTAATAACCTTTTTGAGGCTCACGACTATATTTAGACACTTCTTATTCAGCTTCTACTTCGTAGTACACTAGATCATAAGCTTTGCGATGTTCTATTCTGACGCAGACATTAAATTCTCCGTCTTATCATTAAGTACGTTTAGAGATCTCTAAGCTTGCCAGCAACTTCTCAGCATCAAGCAAAAGTCGTGCTGATACAGCACCCTACCAAAATGTATTTAAATTAAATACAATAAATTTCCCTGAGGTACCGCCTGTATGAACATAAGCGCATTCGCCACTTCGTATGTGGCCATCTACTGCAGATACCTAACCCACCATAGTTATATGATCATATTTCTAGACTCATCACATTCTTCACTGACGTCTGACGTACCTTGTTAGATCTCACCATATGTGAGGATGGACGACCACAAGAATACCGTATGCTCATCGAAAAAGGCTGCCGTCTTACATCTCGTGCTCGACTGTGGATTTAACTCGCAGGGTGTGTTTAAGGAAGACAGCAGCCCAAAATTTTCGTCTTGATATTGACGCTACGATGAACCAACCATGGTAATGGCACTGCAACAAGGCTGATGACCGTTATCGGGCATCCTATGCAAGGTCATGTATGGCCAATGCGGATATGTGTCGATGCCCATCGGTGAATTGGAGCCTTATTATGCTGCTCGGAGAGTTTTATCTTAATGACGTCCTCAGTTTCATTGACTGTAGACCCAAGTTCAGGCTCCCGATTATTGGGGCGCTGCCTGGGGTGATCCTGGTACGCAACTGGGAGACAGTATACGTGTCCCAAATCTATTCCTCGCAGAGGAAACGAAGACCCGTCCTTTTACCCTCAATTCTTACCGACGAAGGCTTATGGGATATAGAGGGATTGTTAGAGATGCAGTTGTAGGTCATCAGCTGATTACCTTGCCGAAGTACCCGATTGCGACGTTTGCATCTTCTAATTTTTTTTTTCGCTTTGGCCAGGTAGTTCCTATGAGAGGCCCTAACGTAGGGGTCGTGCCATAAGGCGTGCAGTCAAAGTTTCGAATCTGTTGCCTAGAATTGGACCGTGGTAGACCTAGGATATCTCGTTATTCTTGTATTGATCATGACGTACATAATTCGAACATTCGATGTCAGGAACGTCGCTTCTCGCCCCGGTGCAGGTACTGGTTAGCTGATGTCCCTACTTCTGACGTGGGAGCCGTAGGCACTGCTGTCTAGAGCCAATTACTCCGATTCGATAGTCTCCTTCGCCAGCTTTGTCCGAATTACCCAAGGCAATTGGCATCTACGACCTGTCTCGTCCTGACTGTCAGCATCGGGATTTCGGGTTTGGCAACCAGATGCCGAATCATCTCTGCCCTGAAGTGCGAAGTGTTGCTAGTTGCGAATCGTCGTTGAAAACCTGGGCGTGCCCTTACTTTATGCCGCCGAATTCAACCACCCTTTGCTGACGATCTGTGGTTACCAACTGCGTTGCCATTCAGATAGTTGGGCAAGGCTGCTTTTGAAATATCCGATCTAATATATACGAAGCCGACAGTTCAAATGGTATCCAGGTTGTCCAACGCATATTCTCCGAAGAAGCTGAGAAGCCGATCCAAAGATCGTGGCAGTAAACCTACGAGTTGTACCCGTAGTTTCATTTAGTATTAGCAACACCGGCTTTTAGACGCTATGTTTGATGCGGTCTGTCCGGCGTCAGGTTCGAAGTTGTTTATTATTTTAGTGCTGAGGCGTGGCAGTGAGCTTGTACAACGTTTGGTTGACATGTGTTCGTTCTTTTGCGGCTTTCTTTGAGCCTTGGTCATGAAATACGATAACTCCCATCGGCTCACATTGAGCAACACACCTGCGTCGTATCGGGATATTTAAGATTAGTCTGAAATGGGTATCTCTGTGGCGTTTCCCGCCCTGATATTCTTGAGCTGTGACGCGAGAAAGCTTACCAGTAATAAGGGCGGTGAGAATCCCAGTGACTCCCGATTGGGGAAGAATTTCCATCAGCCCAATCATACTCATTCGGTTGCCAAAGACCCTTACTGGGCAGGCTGGCAGGCTGGGCAGGCGACCTGAACGTTGTCGTGGATATCTTGCTGGTACATATTACCAATCATGTGCGAGAGGGTCGACGAATACAATTCCAGATTCTCACCGAAAAAAAATAAAGTCGTATTCCTGGTTGGATCATACAGTTCTCAGTTGTGTAAACACGTTCCTACCAGTTCCTAAACTAGGTACGCACCGTATTATAGAACATCGCGCGTGAGCCTCGTACTATTAACTATATCACATTTTTAACTCTCCGCATCTCATTTGCTAAACTGTACTAGGCAGCAAAGAATATTTGATGATCTAACTTTTGTTGGCATTTAGCCTAAGCCTAGACAACTCTAGTCGATGAGAGGATCCTACACCTACCCGTATACATCGACAGTAGAGGCTGTGATGCTGCATCTAGAACCTTGCACTTGCGTCATGCTTTGTTGTATCGGTTATGCATCTACAGGTACTTTCGTGGCTAGTGGTGGCAGCATCTTGTATCGAGCCAAGAGGGCCATGGCCGCTACAATACATGCATCAGGAGCATAGAATATGGAGAGGAAAGTGACTCATAGCGTGTATGCTACGTGATGCCTTCGTGATATCGTGATATCGTGATAGCACGACCTACGTCTGTTAGATATGGTGGAGGGCCTGGAGGGCCCATTGTTTTTGATAGCTGTTATCTGTTCTGGGGTAAAAATGAGGGGTTTCCCATGGAAAAACTGCTCACGAGATCGTGACCAAGCCCTCCTACGGCGTAGAACTTTCGTTTAAAGCGTACCACAGTGAATGAATACGGTATTTGACTTTATATAAGTGGCTGAACTCCACAGTACAAGTATCTAATGCTGATAGAACTTGGTCTAGGTAGGTGGATGACATGTGTCGTTGGCACCGTCTCAGACGGAGGGATGTTCACGAAGACAGAGGTCCAGAATGTATTGAGAATCTATCTGGAACCAATCAATTTGCATGTACCGGATGGACTTGAATTTTTTTGCCCCTTCTTCGCCTTGATATGAGAAGATCGACGTTTACACTAGAAGATATCATCTACCAGGGGCAGGACATGGCTCCGGGACTGCCCGTTTTCGATAGCTGTGAATGGCAGTTGATAATGACAGGCCTATCGATCATATATCCGTATCAACATAAGTCCTAGAGATGGTTTCTTATAGGCCTCTTATAGGAATACTTAATTCTGTATTGACCATTCTCGCCACACAGAACTATATGAGTCTACTTGTCCGATTAAATGTACCAATCGTCAACATACCGGCTAGGTACCTGCTCTTAGGCACATATGCCACTAAGAATTGTTATAAAAATGTGTGGTGCAGCAAACCAAGTAGTAACTCGGCGATAAGATCTCTCAGTTCCTGGGTAAGGGCCATTGATGCTGGGGACATTAGGTCGGGATCTATCATCTAGCCTTAAGAGCCCAGCAGGTTTGAATTTTATGCTCGATGGCGTAATGCTATCTTGATTTGGAAATGTCGCATTAATAGTATACGTCCGAAGTCAAGAGACTACTATGTACTTACATGCGCTTACCTTACCTTCGGGCTACTACAATGAGGTTTGAATGTACCAAACAGCAGAGAGACATGGGAGAGGACAAGAATGTACACGATGACCCAGATACCGTGACCTGAAAAATAGATACATTGTAATGGTTCGACCTACACATGAAGGTTAGTCCTGTAGGAAATTGATACTGGCTTCTTAACTTATGCAATGCATCCTGCATCCCGCATACTGTGATCGGGTCAGTCCAATGGCATGTTTAATTTTTCGGCCCTTCAGAGTCGGAATGGCAGCGATGGTACGTTGTCGCGTTGGCATCCCCCGTCTCTGCCTGCACCTTTCTACTACCTCTCTGTTTCTTTGCTGTCTGCCTGCTAGCAAATAGCATTGCACGAAATGCACGAAACAGGTGCTCGTCGTAATCGCCATCGTTTTCACTGTTCGTTGTCTCAGAAAGGCCGGTCCTTCCCGCCTGTTGCTTATTTCCAGACTAGCGTTGAAAGAACGATATACGAATAGGTAGTAGTAGTAAAGCAAACTGGGAATAGTTCAATACGGAGACAATTCAAAGGCTAAGTTGGAGAAGAGGAAAAAAAAAGGCCTACCCACCAATCTGCCTACCTTTTTTTTCTCGCATTTTCCGGCGGCCCTATTGGTACCCAAAAGCGCGAGTTATGCAATCGGGCATTAAACTCGACACCCGATTAGACGGAGTAACACTACCACGTCCTACCTTTGCCAGTGGAACTCCTTGCTCTCGCTGCCGTTTTCACCTTCAAGTCGGACGTCGTTTTCTATTTTGATTCCCTTCGCACGGGCTTTTAATTCCAATTACCGCCCACTAACACCCCTAACGTCGCCACTGGTCCAGTTGCAACGTCGATCTGGGGATAGTTACAACCAACGAAAAAAGCCATTGGGAAATAATTTGATCTACACTCCTAGGATTCATTGGGTAGATTGGCGACATTGATTACTAGTACCAATCGAACCCTACAAGTCCCCCTACAAGGGAACTTTACAGGTCGGCAACGACATTCGGCGCGAATTATAAGCGTTTGCAAGAAAACAAGACGGCCGGGGAAATTGACCCAGATTAACAGACAGGGTGGCGCATCTTGCCTCCTCAAGACTTATTATAAAAAGTCTTGTATAAGAGAAGGAACGGTGTTCATTGGCTCGACAAGGCGGCACATCAATGGACCACTATCGTTCAGGAACATCTTGATCGAGAGATATTTTTGTGGGATATCTGCCGCCTTGCGGGACTTTGACCCACCGTTGGGTACCGCTGCCGTCTTATTTTTTTTTTGGCTGGGAATGTTGAAAAACTCCAAGGATTCCAAACTCCATAGTTGGCTAGAGGCCTTCCTTCAGACGAAAATCCCCAAGGGTGTGGCTTTGCGTTGCGCAACAAGCTGCCAAGCTTAATCTGACTTTCCATTTTCTGCAAGCAATTAACAAGAGAAAAAAAAAGTGTCGAGACTTTGTGGAAAATAAACGAGGGGGAAAAAAGAAAGAAAAGGAAAAGTTGACCATCCCCCCCTCTCCCCCTGTCTTTTGGCTATCGATATTACCGTATCGATAAAAAAAAGTCGCAACGGCGTGCCCCTCGTTACTTGTTTCTCAAAGAGACAACGGCCTTCCCTGTTGGATCCCACGGTGTTCGGTACCACCTTAAACTACGAGCCTGACCAAAAAAGACTTACCAAGACTTACACATACTGGACATACGACATATTACCAGTGCACCAATACTTTCCTTTTTTCATCTCCCGTTCCTTTGTCGTCGTCATCTTTTTTTCTCATCTCTCTAGATTTTCTCAGCTACTTGTGGAATAGTGGAGAGATAGAGAAGAAGAAAAAGAGGAAGAGAGAAAAAAAAAAAAAAGGGAAACACCTATCTGTAAATTGGTCGGTACAGGTGGTGTGGCTTTGCTCTCTCTTCTATTTTACCTACTCCGTGTTTCTCCACATTACATACCTACATTAGGTACACACATATATCTGTAGACTGCAGATATCCACCTGCCGACTTTCAGCGTACATACCTGTACTACATACAGTATAATACGTGTACGTGTTGTATTGTCTGTATAAGACAGTACCTACCCACGCAACTCAAACTCACAGCCAATAGCTTAAGCAAGCCTAAGTTGCGTGCAAAAAGAAAGACAGGGCAGTCGCTGCTCAGGTGGTTACATGTACCTACTTGCATAACGAAGTACTCGCCCAAAAAGACGACGGCCCCCCTTAAGTACTTACGAGTTTCTCCTCATCAACCCGGCAACACCCTTCCACTTTTCCGTTTTGCTCATGCAGCATCCCCGATTCTTCTTCACCTTCCAATAAAAATAATAAGGGAAGAAAAAAATAAAAATAAACAGTCGATACGGCCCTCCTTACCTACTGCGGGATATTGTGGTTCTTTAAACTGCAGCGCTCAGTCCAAGAACCTAGACCACATTTTCTTTTTCTCAAATTGATTAACTTTACTTGACCTCCTTCAATCACATCAACCTGATCGACTCCATCCCGACTTTCTGACGCTACAAGTCTCGCCCGCAACAAGTCTGTTCGCAGGGCCCCCACTTGAACCTGGCTCCATCCACCTAGCCTGTCTTCCATATTCTTACATACATACATACCCTACCTTACATTACCACTTTTCCTTTCTATTTCTCCCAAGGCACTCGTCCACCCAATATCAGCACTGTACGGCTAGTACATAGGACAACTGCCACGCATTCGGAAACCCACTTTGTTGGGTAGCAGGACAGCTCCGCCATTCCTGATTCAGTGACTGGATTCACTTATCAGGCACACAAGCCCTCGGCATGGCGAAGAAGTCAACTCCTTCTGTTGCATACTTCGAGGAAGTGGACGACGACGGACACCTCATCCCCGGCGCTGAACCTAAATACGCACGCTCCACTGCTCCGAGCAGTCCTTCTAAAGAAAAACCCAACACTGGTAGATCACGAAAAGATTCGTCGAGAAGAGAAAGATCACCCTCCCCTTCCTTTTCAGAATCTGACAGCACCGAACCTCCCCACGTCCCCAAGAGAGATTCCAGAACCAACAAGATGAAGGGAAGCAAGAAGCGAGATCCTCTCGTCAAGCAGCAGCGTCCCCCCGCTCGCTCGCACAAGACCGCTCCCTCTGCCCCATCACGAATTTCTGACGAGTCATCTTATTACGGAATTCACCCTCATCAAAACATGGCTGCGTCCAGACCACGAGCTCGCACTAGGCCTGAATCTTACTATGGCCAGCGTCCGCCTTTGTCGACGTCAGCATATGCCCATCAACCACCGCTGCCACCGGCCTCTGCGAGTGTCATTGCACCATCATTTGTGCCTCCTCCATGGATGGGCGGGCCGCCGCCGCCGCCAATGGCAATGGCACATGCACTGGTCCACCAACCCATTCCTTCTCCTACCTATTCAGAAATGAACCCTCCCAGCAGAGATTTGGCGTCGCGGTTTCGTCGTCCACAATCAGCTATGGGATTTCAGCCGCCGCTCCCCCCACCTGACTACGAGCCGGTCAAAGAGAAGGCTCTCACAAGAAGAACATCGGTGTCAAGAAAAGCCAGCAAGAACCACGACGAGAGAGACCGGATACCACCTCCTGCACGGCCAGCTTCCACGCAACCGCCCCGAGAACGATTGGTGTTCCGCCCGACGCCCACGCACACAGTTACAAGGAGGAAGTCTGTCGGATTTGAAGACGACGACCTCACAGATGCTGATCCAGCTATGTATAAGGCCGTAGCACGACGTGAAGTGGAATACGGCTCTGGTGCTCTCCCTTCCCTCCCTCGCCACCGACGCCAGAGCTTCGATGCAGAGTCGGTCTTTGACGTTGATACTGCCTACGATCTTGAAACAGTATCACGTGGCCGACGGAACTCGTTCTATAACTTCGAGGACAAGATTCGTGACGCTTCTCGATATCAAGAAGATGTTAGCGGAGGAGGTGGACCGCCATTGACGGCCGAGGCTCTGCGTCGTGTGAAGAACGACGGCAGTAGTCGTTCAACTCGTAGCAGTGCAAGCCGTGACGAGAGTGACTATAAGCAATCAGCGACAACACGGACGACGAGATCGAACAACGGAGATGACGATATCACAATCAAACTTCCCATTGGTGCGGTCATCGAAGTCGGAAATACCAAGATTCATTGCAAGGACGGCGGCGATATTAACATAGGCCGCGGTAATGGAACCTCACGTGCGGGAGGTAGCGACCCTCCGGCTTCTACCTACGGCGATGACCGCAAGAGCCGGGCGGATCGATCAGTGGCACGTACCCGGGCTAGCTCCCAGGCCGGATCATACTCCCGTACACGCCACGCCCCGCCTCTTTACGCCCCTCCGTCATCGTATCACTACGATGACTACTATGGTCCTCAATACTCAGCTCCTTACCTTGGTTACCACCACGATGACGATGATGATGATAGCGAGTATTCTTCTTAATACCAAATCACTCAATTAAACCTATGATATTTACTACTTGTTTTTTGCTTTTGCTGGATAGCGATTTATCTACCTTTTTTGGTCATTTACGCATGGGCATTTGAATACACTATGCAATCTTTTGAAGTTTTATCCCGATATATCCTATCATATACCTTTTTTTTGGTGGTCTGGATACTTGTTGCCTAAAAAAAAGAGGTTTCAGAAAATCACGGATACCCGAAAATGGATCGTAAAAGGCCCGCGGAATGGAAGCACAAGCATATGCTCCCTTGCTAGTTTTTCAGCGGTCGGTGGATCTTCAACAGCGTACACGAATCTATGAAGGGATGAGGTCGAATGATGGTCGGTTCATGGGCTAGGGATTCTACTTGGAAATCGAAAGGATTTGTGGGTGGCTGTGAGGTCGATCGAGCAAACGTTAAACTTAGGTTCTAACCTCACACCTACCGTAATTCTTTTAACTCGGCCGGGGAATAAGGGCCGATGTTCTATTTTCATCTTTTTTTTTATTTTTTTTTTTTATCTTCTTTACAGGAACTGGCCGGGCCATGCTGTTCTGCGATACCCTTTGCGCTTTCAAAGCCAAGCCATTCGCATTCACATGGCGTAAGAGTTGGACTGATAGATTTAATCCGCTGGGCAAAACGGAGTTCGCACTTCTGCTGTCAGCGGGACGTTTTATGATTTTCGCGCGAGAGAGGAAGACCTTTTACTGTCTTCCTTTCGTACGGTAGTGTTCTCAATTGGACGAAGGACGGACTCGAGGGGCCCATGAATTAGTTTGTACCACTGGGTGGCCTGGCCTGCTGCCACTTGAGATTTGGTGCGAGGAGCACAAGGACGGTCGATCCGCCTAGGCCTCTCGTGGTAGCTCGCATGGTCCGAAGTGTGACTAGTGGACGGTGGACACGCGGAGGGATTCGTCACTATCTCACGACCTGGGGATGCCTTTTGGGGCCTGGCCAGAGTGCCCAATTAATTATTGGTCTATGTATAGATGTACGTATGTATGTGGATGATGGATGACAAGTTGGCTTACGCGGGTCGTGTTGGATATTCCTTTTTTTTTACTTTTACTTTTTTTTTTTTCATCTGCTTAATGAAGGAAATATTATGTCTTAAAGATGTCGTCACTTATGCAGCTTGACCTAACAACAACCTACCTATGTAATGGGATGTAATGTAATGAATGCAAGTGAATGAGAATATGTACCATCCAGCCATGCGTAAGGGGACTGACGACACCACCTACAATGTTCCACAAGGGAAGTCTTCGTATGTACTCGGTAAGCCCATCCATCATCATCTTGGAGCTTCCCGAGGGATGCAGGTTGGCAGGGTTTCCCCGTTTCCCCACGTAGATTGTGCCACGTCTTCTTGCATCTACATATTACATAGTATTGTACATGCCCGTACATATCATGTAATATAGTTACAGTCCAGTGCCTCTTTATTAGTTAGGTATATTTACTTATATCTTAGCTTAGGTACGCTAGCCAGTCAAGTCTGTCAAGCCACTCCGGACAATATTTTGGCTTTTGAGGTAATTATTGTTCGTTCATTCGTCCGACGACCGTGATTTCGCGAAAACGACGGCTTACCTATCGAATGTGGCAGCAACTATTAGTCGCGCGAGTCTGGGTTTTTACATGTGTTATTACGATCGGTACATGTAGCCGGGATGACGACTGGCTGGCATACGTACCTAGCTAATAACCTGACCTAACCTAAGGTGAAGGAGGTAAAGATAGCAGTAGTAGTAGATAGGGGATTGGATTGACGACTGACTTACCCTATCGGCCTTGGGTAGTCGAGTCGGTCCAAAGGGATCTGTGTGGGATTGGGGGCCTTGCTTGTTTCATGTTCCTCGGCTCGGGTTGCGGAGATGCAATGCTGCTGACTTACATACATCGTAGTAACTATGATAGGTATGCCGATCTCGAGCTCAGGGTTACTTGCTTGTTCACAAAGAAAAGCACTAGGTAACTAACTAAACTGTAAGATAGGTAAGGTAGAAGAGAGGCATGTATGCACGAAGCGTATACCTACCTCACTACGTAGTATGCATCTTTACTGAAGGACCTATAGGATGAGTAGGGTAAGCTGGGCGTTTATGGTGGGAGTCTTACATAGTACATTATTTTCACGCTTTTGAGATGGGGAGTTAGGGATTGTGAATATAGTAGTATTGAAATATCGTCATCATATCATCTTACATAGGTACCTAGTGTCTATCCTACCCCCTTTACTCAGAAACGGTGTACTTCTTCTCAATGCCACCGTAATGAACTCCGTATAATCTACAGAAGGCTTGAAATAGCGACCCAAAAAGAAGGAGGAAAAGAACTTTCTCAAACGCCTATGATGCTGCTGTTGATCCAAGTGCAATTGGCGATTGATAATTATAGCTCTAAGAACCAGACCCAGCTGGCCAGCGGTTCCAAGCTCCTGGGACGAAGTCCGGGTTAGCGGTATCAGGACTCAGCGCTTAGCGAAAGGACGACGACGATGATGATGCTATCAATTAGCCTGATGGTGCTACTGCTACTGCTATTCCCCTTGACTCAGGGGAATCTGAAACGTGATATCTCTCTCCCTTTTCCCATCCCCATTTCCAGTGCCGGATAAAGAGCTTAACCTACGTAGTACTTAGCAGCCTACCTAGGTACCTGAGTTATTGCTACGATACATGTATTGCACAACACAACACAATACAACACAATACTAGCATACTGGCTAATAACGAGAGGCACGACGGGCCGCGATAAGCTTATTCGCTGATGAAATTTCGAAGCGGCTAGCGATACCGATTGGGTTTGAGCAAAAGGGATCTTTGATATTTTCGCATGAATTAGATCCTTTAATCTGTTGAAGCCGTACGGTTGGTGACTTGGCTTTGACTTGGGCGCTAACGAAGGTTTATCTAAGTACCTAAGGTAGGTACTTTTCGACGAAGCAAAGTCGGCAAAAACCTCTCCAATTGAAATTTGGATTATTCCCCTGTAGTTTTTTTATGTGTAGGTAGCTGCAATAGAGACATACCTGGTATGGATAACACCGAGGTTAACGCTAGGTACATAGAGAAGAATTGGCATTACGTGAGATTTCAGCTCCGTTGCGATCGGTCTTCGGAAGCTTGGAAGCTTAAAAGACTAAAAGTAGAAACAATTACCCCACTATCCTCTTTGGGTTATATTGGGTACAAAGGTACGAAACTTGATCAATGCGCTTATCGATAACAAAGTGAGTGCTGGCAAGTGGGGCAATATGCGGGTTGCTGGGTCAATTACACGTTGTTGACTTTTGACATCACCCTACCCAACCTCCCCCAGCCACACATTTCCCGAAACCACGTTGTCAGCCATAGAAACAACCGGCCAACCGTTTACCTTACCTTTTCCCTTCTTTCTTTCCTTTAGGTGCTCACCTGAAAAAAATCAACCGCTCACAAACGTAACGTCAACAAAAGGTGGTGCATGGGCGAGCACCCACCCATCAACAACAATTCAACCCATTTCTCACCTTGTGCATTCATTCCAGATTTGCATCGAGGTGTGAGACAGATCAAGAGATACCTTTTCCAAGCATTGACTTGGCTGGGGTTTCCAGCGGGATTTACCAGCCGAGTCGAGTCAGGTCGAGTCGAGTCGAGTCCCATTAGTTTTCACCAACTTTATTAGTCTCCATTCCAATCAGAAATAAAAAGTATCCGTCTCGTCTGTCCTACAATTTAACATCCATCTCCACACCGCCGAAAATGGCGCCTATAATACCACCGCACCTAGCGGCCCAGGCCCGTAGCGTGCTATCCGCCGCCCGCAGCACCGCTCACGACCTCACCGCCCGCACGGCCTCCGACCTCCAAAACCTCGGGCCCCTAGCAGCGCGGTCGATCCTGCTGGCGCGAGACGGCGACGACAATAGCGGGCAGGAGAAGGTGGACCCGCACAAGGGTGCGGTGCGGCCGCAGGACATCAACAACACGTTCGTGTTCGTGCTGTTCGGGCTGATCGGCGCGGGCTTCGTGTGCACGGGGATCTGGTTCTTCTTCTGGGCGAAGAACGGCGGCTTCTACTTCAAGGAGGACGACTGGGAAGACTACAAGTCCACCGTGCTGCGGCGCAAGGGCCCCAACGGCACCATCCTGTCCAACGCCACCCCCACCACCCAGCTCGGCGGCGGCTCCGTCTACAAGGACGTCGACGACGGCCGCACCGAGTACACCGGCGGCCTGACTCAGCTGTCCGCCGCCGACACGGGCAGCACGCTGACGGGCATCACGGCCGGCGCCTCGGACCTGGCGGCGCGCGAGCGCCGGCGGCAGAAGCGCGAGCGCAAGGACCGCGAGCGCGAGAAGAAGAAGGACCGCCGGAACCGCGAGAAGTCGGGGCGGCGCGTCGGCGAGGACGGCGTGCTCGTCGACGAGCAGGCCGAGGCGGAGGCCAAGGACCAGCTGCGCGCGTACCGCGAGGAGAAGCCCGCGCGGGTGGGCGGCATCAACAAGGAGAGCGAGGGCAGCACCTGGGACGGGTCGACGAATCCGGAGAGCTCGACCGCGGGTAGTGACCTCCACAGCAACAACCGGCACAGCAGTCGACACGGTGGCGGAGGAAGTAGTAGCAGCAGCAGCGGTGTTACCGAGACCACGGCGGACGGGGGCCGACATAAGAGCGGCGGCGGTGGGATTCGCAAGGTGTACAGTACCGCGGACCGCAACGCCGAGCGGGAGAAGCGTGCGGAGGCTCGGCGTCTGCGCGAGGAGAGCCGTGCCAGCGGCGGCAGCGGTGGTGCCGGCGTGAAGCGGGACTACAGTTTCCAGCGGGCGCGGGCGGCGCCGCACAGCACCGCGGTGGCGTCGTCGTCAGTGATGCGGCAGAACACGATCGAGGAGGAGCCGCAGGAGATGGCGCAGCAGCACAGCATGGGAAACAGGTTCCTGCCGGCGCCAGGCGGGTGGACGCCTACGGAGGTGAGCGCCGAGAGCGCGGACACGGGGACCAAGTCCTACCACCACGTCATTCCCGGCTTGTCGCCTAGCACCCTGAGCGGCGGCGGCACGGATGTCAGGGATTATGCGGAGGATAGGGATAGGGACCGAGAACGAGACCGAGACCGTGATCGGGACCGGGAGAAGGATAAGAAGAAGAAGCGTAGCTCGAGGGGACATCGGAGGGAGTAGGAGGAAAGCTAAATGGATGGACGGGGGGGTAATGTGAGTGGGGGATAGGGGCGGTATAGGTTGGTTGGTTGGTTGAGAAGGGAAATGAGGAATGGGAGATGAGCTAAGTACGTCGTCGTTCTGTTTACGCCTTTAGCTTTTGCACCTGGTGGTAATGGTGCATGGTGGAAGGTGGGTTAGGAACATCCCGTTGCCTGTTTAGCATGATTCCGTTCCTCGACACGTACAGAGAGCCCATGTCAAAGGGGATAGATGCACATCGACGACGCTGGTTTGATTCCTCCCCTAATTTGGCGATTCCGAGCCCTACTGTTATGAATAGGTTATGAATAGGTTATTGTTACCTCTCTTTTCTTTTTCTTTCTTTTTTTTTTATTAACAGAACAGAGGCCGTGGGGATGAGTTTGATGAACGAAGCACGAAAAAAACATGTACGTAACACGACCGACGGAGTAATTGCAAAGCACTCTCCCGAGATATTTTCTTTCTTTCTACGCAATGGTACAATTGGCGTTTCCTATCTTTGAGCATGCGTGCGAGGAAACGAAGTTGAGGATGTTTTCTCGTGGCAACATTGATGTAATTAGATAGCTAGCATAAGGTCGAGCACGACTAGCAAATATACAGAACATGAATAAAGAAAAGCACCAAACGGATTCGGATGTCTGCTAGTATAAGCATTATTAGTACATATATATGCTAGTTGAAAATCAATTGCCTCCTATCTTGAGGTTAACTAATTCCGTAGTAGATAGGGAGATTGGGCGTGGCCATGTCATACCCATCAGCACAAACTAGGGTAAGATAGATCACAGCAAGAAGTCAATCTTCCGCTTTCCTATACGCATACCCCATAATGATGAAGTAGAATAAAGACGGCAGATGTTCAGGATAGGTAGACGTTAAGACCATACCTGAGTGTTTATAAGATTGAAAACTTGCACAGAGGTAAAACACATACGACATGAAAAGTAAACGGTAATATAAAATTGGAGATTGTATTTTCGAGTAGATGATGGATCATTAATGCCAAGGTAAAATAACCATAACCCGTAATCCAAAGCAAACCAAAAAAAATTTGAGTCAACGATAGGTGCAGAAAGCTAAGAAGTAAAAAATGTGTCGGGCTCGCAAGCTAATATCTTGCCCCCCCGTCTGTCTTTTGGTTATTCGTGAGACATGTATTCAGTCGTAATGTCGTAATAATTCCTTAGATTCAGGCGTCATTCTGTCCCCAATTTTTGAAACCCCCGGGTATGCCATGTTTTATGCTGTGTCCTAGTAGACCATTTTGCATAATAGAAACGGAAGCAGGATGCTAACTATTAATAGCTGTCGGTCTTTGCGTACCAGTTGTGCTGTTTTCCCAATATCTATATCATGTAAAGGTCACTTGAAATATGGCGGCAACGGGGTCGCCGTTAGAAGTGAAACGTGATTTGTTGTAGTACTGCCGACCTTCATGCCGACAAAATGCTGGTGGTAGGCGGTAAAGCCTTAAAGTGGAGTGTAAAACGTATATATATATAAGGTAAGGGCCGTTCGATACCGTGGGTGGGCTTACGGCCGTGGATGAACGTGTTTGTTAAGGGGCGAGGAATATCACCTCCTCGACTTCTTTGATGACAGACGCATCTTATTGTTCCAGCACACGTCAACAGCGTAGCTGACGTTTTCGAAATCTTCTCCGGTAATCGATCCGATAAAAAAGACTTTGACGTTGTGCTCAATGGTGACCAACTTCGAGTAGTTGACCCGAGATTCCTTGGCGAGCTTTTCGCCTTCGGCGTAGACTTGGAGGGCTACGGGTGTAAACCCAAGCTCGGGCTCATTTTTTAGAAGCCTGGGCTTGCTCCCTGCCGTGTAGATGATTCCATGCTTGCTAGGTCTAACGCCTTTCTTTAGACATCCTCTTCGGTCATATGTCAAGATTGGCCTGCTCCTGTAAGTTGACGGAAACATAAAAGGTGGTGGTGTAGCTTACACGCAAGTACTATGATGGCTTTCATCCGTCGTGACGATAATGAACCTACGGAAACCAACATAAAATTTACCAGCTGCAGTCTTCCTTTTCGTCACGTCGGAAATCGGGTCATCGCCGCCGATTTGACCGAGAGGTTCCGACCAAAGAATCTTGAAAACCTGCAAAGCAAAGCATGTTTAGTAACTGTGTATTTGGAGGGGGGGGGGGGGAAAAAAGGGGGGGGGGGGGGGAAGCGAATAGCTAGTTCCACTTACCTCACCCGGTTGAAACCGTGTTGAATGTTCAACTCTATATCCTGTTGTCTACTTAGTCAAATATGAAATATTCAAAGATCGAATGTGTGCATACGGCTATCTAGGATTTCCTCCATTCCTGGTGTCCCCTGGATATAATTGGCATAAGATAGAGCTGACGGTATCATAGGACCTGAAACTGGCGAACCACCGCGGGGCGTGGGTAGTTCCTCTCCAGTGATCAGAGACGGGTCTGCTTAAGAGTATCAGCCACTGCGTTAGTTCAAATTTGACGTGGTACGGACTTAATTCGTATGAACTAGGGTCAACAGATGTAGACCAGGATGAAGATGTGGCTGGTTCTGCCACTGGCGTCGAGTAAGACGGCTCGCCTGTTTTAGGGGCCCCGTAGGTTTCACTGCGGCTCCTACGGATAGCTTCTTGATATTCGTCATCATCGAAACCCCTGGTTTCTTCAGAGTCGTCGTAGCCATTCACTTGCTGTTCCGAAACATTCAGAGCTATACCAGATACAGCAGTCTCAACACTCAGGTAATCTGAGCCGGTATCTAGAATTATTAGCGTCTTGCGGTCAGCTTATGCTAATTGTGTCTTACATTGCGGATGCGTTCCTTGGCGATAGTCGCTCATTGTTAGTTGCACTCCACGAGCAACTTGCGGTTGGTTACCATCCACAGATGAACTGCCATAATCCACAATCTGCTCAACTTCAAGGGATTTTCCCTTTCCTTTGTCGCCTTGGCGTTGTTTTTGTACATGATCGATATAATTGGAATCTTGGGGCTGGCGTGCGTCGTGTGTATAACTAGAGTGGTCGATGGCGGTAGCGTGGTGGCTGCTGTAGTCTGAATACTGGCCCTGATCGTATATTCCTGGGTCGACAGTAAGATGTCCAACTTCTACAGCTAGATTGTCGACCAGATTGTTAATGGCGTCAGACCGTGGGATGCTCTGGTCCGCGGCATTTGGAAGGGTTGGTCCAATCCAATTATACTCTATACTGCCTGAGGAATGGTTTGTTAGCACAAACCAGGCCGAGGGAATTTGCGGGATACGAAAAACATACCATGTCGGCTTACTCGTTCTGAATACCATTGCTGATATTGGTCGTGCCACTTGGGTTCGCTCCAAGGGCGCGACGACTTTGGCTTATGTTTCTGCTTTTGCATTGTGACATCTTGTATTTTTACATCTCATGGGGAATGTCAACAGGCAAAAGGAATATGCGCAACGTCTAAGTCGTGGGCAGGGACAGAAATCACGAGCAAATCGGGGAAGAGGAGACGAAGCCGATGCAAACTGAGCCTTAAATCAGCTATGCGGCTCTGTCACGGATACGTTCTCTCTCTCTCTCTCGTCTTTAAGAATAACTCTAGGCCGTTATAAGAATGGCTTCGGTCGAGAAGACAGCCAAGAGTGTGGGACAGTTCCTTTTTTTTTTTTTCTTGTTTTTTTTCTTCGGTGAACACTACGCCAGCACGTCAAGTGTTTCTGGGGACAGAAGCAATCTATCTGATTTGACGGCTCGAAGTCACACTTTATGCCTCGTGATATAGTCGGCTAAAGGTCATTGGCCGTGACAAGTTTGCGGTAAAGAAAGAGATGCAGTGCTCTCGAGAGAATCAAATGGCGTCGACAATGTGGGAGTGAAAAGACGAACTGGCCAGGGATCGTAGGTAAACTAGAATTGGGATCTTGAAAGGGGCCCAGACAGGCAGAGACTATCATGTAGGCACGAGAGTGGGCAGCCAATCATGAGAGGGGAAGGTATTGACTGCAACCTCGGCGTTTGTATAACGGACGGAGGAGTTTCCCTCAGGGCTCTCCGGAGAGGAGAGGGACATTCAGGTGTAAGTAAGGGTGAGCCCGCATCCAAGATGGGACGGGGGTTCGCGGGCGACGACAGAGAAAGGTAAGGCCAACTTTAGAGGTGAACGACCGGATTGAGCGGTCAATGATCAGAACGGGGACACAAAAGAAACCCGAGACATACTGTCGAGACGGAAAGCGACATAAACAACAGTATTCATAAAAAATAAAAATAAAAATAAAAGGACTAGTTAAGGTATGGTGGAAAATGGAGAGGGGGTGTGGTGCGTTCTTATCAACTTTTTGGGAATTTCCAATCCTCACTCCCTTGGCGGGCCGGCCCACATTCTGTTCGCCTATTCTTCTCCGGTCTGGAGTTTATTTTCCTCTGTTACTCTGGGTTGTTTGAAGAGTATGAGGAGAAGACTAGGGCGGGAGTGTGAGCGGCAATCTGGGTCTTTCCTAGGGTCCGTTTCCTTTCGGGGATTTTTCTTCTTCTTCTTCTTCTTCTCGACAAGGGGAGGGGAGTTCTAAACGCTCTGCAGGCCGACAAAAGGGAGCAGAGCAAATAGAAGAGGAATCGTGGACCACCAAGCGGCAACCACTTGGCGTAACTTGGAATGGCACTTGGGATGTCCACTAATACTACTGCAGAAGTATGTTGTAGAATACGTTATTAGCAGCCGCAAATGGCCTAGCCAAAACAGTTAGACCATGTACTGTAGCAATGCAGTGCAGCGATTTGCGATTTGCGATACATGTACTATAGTATGCAGCGTTGTGGCTACCTACGAATCCCAAGCTTGGAAGTTCTCCATAGGTATTTCTAAACGACACACCCCCACCGACCGATGAAGGACCACTTCAGAGCCCACTAAGGGCCGTTGCGGGACAAGTAAGAGGGGTCGGGGTGTGTGCGATGACCGGAGGGGGTGCGTGAGAAGGGTCGGGCAGATCATCTGGGCCATCTGGGATGACAAGAGATGACAAGATGAGGCTCTGTCCAATGTACTGCTTATCTTGTGTACACGCTATAATAATAATGTTGTTGTTAAGCTTGGACAAGCCAAGCAGTTGTGGGCGTTGAGCTTGAGCCTCGTCGTGTTAGTGTTGTTTTTCTTTTCCTCTCCCCTCGCTTCCAGCCCACGATGTTTTTTTATACCTTAGGTTAGGTACCTACCTAGGTACCTACTTACTTAGGTACTTAAGCGCTTAGATTAGACGATTGGAGACACAAATACACAAATGCATGAATGCACGTGTAAAGAAGAAGTTTTAGTAGCCCCAGTCTTTTTTCGTTTCCCCTTACCACTTTACTTATTAATGCCAGATACCTTAGGTGCCTAGGTAGGTAATCTGCTAGTCTATTAAAGGTATAGCAACTACTATAACTTTATGTTGTTGGTAATTGTCAATTACCTACCCTGATTAACTTTTGATGCACCTGTCCGCGTGTAGATAAGAAAAACTTAAGATGTCGATTAAGATATTATATTAAAACATCTGACTGGAGGGGGACCTAGAGAGGGGGGAGGAGAAAGCAGTAATAGTAGTAGTGGATGTATTGTACAATACAGGTACACTAAGAGTAAAGGTAAGGGTAAGGGTATTTTCATCACTATATGGTGTGGTGGGGTCTAACGCTAAGGTACCTAACCTAGTGAGGGTCTCCCGCCGGGGAGCCGGAGTAGGGAGTAGGTATGGTTAGGTGGCTTTTAGACTAGGATGCTGGAATATAGGGCCCAAGGTGGCCAGCCCAGCAGCCCAGCAAGCCTACAGAGTTGAATAAGCTCCGACAAACCTTAGTGCCACGTGCTAAAATCTCCCCTAAATAAAGCCCAATAACTGCAATGAGCTGCGAATAGCTGGACACTTGACACTTCAGTTACATACCAGCATACCCCTACGCCGCTGTACTAGGGGGTGGACTTGTGTAACTGGTCTCGAAATCTAGCCTTCATGTTTTATTTTTTCTTTTTTTCCTTACCTCACGTATCCTATCATCTATCTGCATCAACAACAACAACCCAAAAAAAACCCTCTCGCATCACTTCCTCGTCACCTGTTCACCTATCGATTTTTTTGGTCCCTACCTTAGGCCTACCTTAGGCACTGGTAATAAACAACAGCCTCGTCTCCAAGAAAAGAAAAAAAAGGATTACATCCCCATTTCTTTTTCCTTACGATGCTGCTACGGGATTCACAGTTGAAACGTCCTGAATGGCTACCAGCGTCGCCCATCGTCATGTAAATTTGGATGATGACCCCTTGACTCTTCTCGAAAGCTTCGAATCTATTCCCCTCGAATATGACCTCCATCATGACGTATTATACGACCCCTCCACTGAGTCTAGTAGTCAATTATCTATCATGTCGGCCGAAGACATACCCTTAGATTTGTCCCGTACCCTAACAACCGGGTCTGAAGGTTGGACTGATTCTGAAGACGATAACGACGATTCGTCTGTCACGTCTGAGACTTCGCATGCCCGCATCGCCCGTCGACCACATTTCCCCCCTGTCCTACCCTCCGTAAACTCGTCCTCTAGTATCTCCAAGAGTCTGCCGCAGAAGCTAGCAGCAACTATTGCCGCTGCCGAGGGTTCTAGCTTAGACCGTCGCCGACATCACCTAAGCAAATCTCACTCACCCTCTGCTCGCTTTCGACGTGTGAAGTCACCGTCTATACCTTCCCAGCCCCACAGAAGGTCTCTAATCTCCGATGCCCTTCGTACCAACGTTCCGCTAGATTTGCAAAATCGGCCGATCCACCTTCAAGTACCCCCGACTCGGCATACTCGACAGTTTTCACATGGGATTCACGACAATATCTCGGAACGGATAGGTCTTCCTAGCGTTAGAGGCCCTCAACCCAAGCCATACAGTTGGAAGGGGCTTGGAGTGGAAAGTGAAGAGAGCGACTATGAGGAAGATGAGACCAGATTCGCCAACTCTGAAGATGAAGACGACGAAGAGGATAACGTGTCCGCCCGCGCGTCTCGTGGCCTCCAACGCTTATCAGAACACTACTCGAGGCTTAGAGACCGGAGAACTAATCTATGGGAAGTTTTCGACAGCATCCATCTAAAACGAGCCCAAGTTCAAGACTTACGTCATGTGAAGGATGAAACTACTCTTGCCTTTATGACCGCTGTGCAAGCTATACTCCCGAACAATCCAGGGCTAGATCAGCTCTTCAAGGATATGCAAGATGCCCAACTCAAGTGCCAAGAAGCGGAACAACGCTTCGACGATATGCTGGATGAGCTCCAGCATGGCGAAGTAGAGTTGGAGCTAGAAGAGCGGAGGTTCTATACTGCCGCGGCAGGCGGAAACGGGACCGATGACGAATCCGACGATGATAGCTGTTCGGTGACCTCGGAGATCTCAGCACTGCTAGGAATCACCGGTGATCGCCCAGAAGACATACACCCCTTATTTGAAGAGCTCCGAGAGGCTTCCCGGAACATACAGCTAGCCAAGGAGCTTCTGGTAAATACCCAAATGAAAAGGAAAGCCCTGAGTGCAGGAAAATCTCATTTGTTATCCCCCGATAGTATTGAATTGTTGGAGAAGTACGGGGATGCGGGGAAGAACCGAGCTCTCGAACTCAAGCGATCGGGAGTAATGTCGGAAGACGACATTGAAATACTCATGGATTACGACAAGCTAGAGCGGAAAGCTCGTCTTGATATCGAACGTTTCACTAAAGATGTCATAAGACTGGAAAGCGAATGCCGCGAGAAGGGAGTAATGCCCAAAAACACCCCTTTCCAGGAGGAAGGGTTTGGAGTCAATCCCGTTCTTAAGGACGATATTCAGCTTGACGATGTGCCGTTCGAAACCCACGCGAGAGGGCAGCCCAAGACCCTAGCACATTCTGTATTCCCCAAACTACTGTCAAACCCTACGCACTTGCTAGAGGCATTCCCGATGACAGCCCAACAGTCGCTCCGGCTTGCCTTATCACTTCCTCCGGCAATGCCATCCCGTCAAAAGCATGTTAATGATGCGGCCCGCGAGGTCAATATCCAATCCTTACTTATAGAGGCTGGAGACGTTGACAAAAGGGGCTATATTAATCGTTGGTTACTCCATAAGCTTCACTTATCACCCATGGAAGCCGAGCTTTTGTGGTCTACTTTCCACGTTCGCCTCAGAGTTCGTGATACCAATAGATGGCAGCAGGATGTCCTCCACTTGTGGTGGAAGGACCAGGCTGCCAGTCTACCATCGGCTCAGTTCGAGAGTACGCACGAAGATCATAGTTCGGCATCCATTCATCCAAGGACAGATCTTCCAGCGAGACGGTTTTCTGATTCTGGCCAGCTTGACCGTCTTTGGCTTTGGGAGATCGAAGAGGCGTGGGACTGAAAGACATGGTTTTCTTCTTTTCTTTTTAATAGATAGTGCAATACCCACTTCAGTATATATCAGACGGCCATTGTACTCATGGCTGCATTTACTTTGTTACTTCACTGGTGGCTGTTGTCGTCAGGTCTTGGTTTTGCGGAGGGCAACGGGACTTGCAAACCGCGTTGAGAAATTTTGATTTATGGACTTTATATATACCCCCTATGCGATTTTACACCATGATGGAGTTTTAGCCATTGGCTAGGAAGGGCTAAGACTGGATTTCTGTTCCATGTACAAATCCCAAGTTAACTTTAGAGGTGGAGGTTGTCTGCTACTTTGTAGGGCGTTCGGTCATACTCATACCCCCCTCTCTCCAAAGCTCTTATTCCAGAATGTTATAGCTCCGAGTGAGGTTTTCGCAAGCGTTGTTGTCCATCAGAACGAGCGGAGTGCCTAGTATATCACCTGTATGGTCCCAAATGTACCTAGTGTATGAATGTGTGTCATGTCACCTATCGCAAGCGCCTTACCATCTACCGTTTTACATCGGTCCGTTAGGCTTGTGATGCCAAACTAGCTCGGCGGGCCGTTCCACCCGGCCAGAGCGATGTGGGTATCCTAACTTGGTTTGTAATTTTGGTGATATATTCGGCCGATTTAATACATTGACAGGTTGACGGCTTCTGAGCTCCACTGGCACCAATCCTCTTCACCATCTTCTATGGTATTACATTTCCTAGATGCGGGGAACGACGCCATTGCCATGTACTAAGGGACAACCACACCTATATCCCTCGCTATATTGTTTATATTGTATCTTTTCAAAGGAGTACTTGTGGATGGGATATGTAGCGCTCTCGTCGCACAACTAGTAGCATGGGATCTTCATTGCTGCAAGCAAGATGCACGACCATCAGGATCCTGTGAATCTGGCAAATCAAAACCCCCGAGGCCACGGCGCCATGACTAAACAGGCCAAGAGTCATGTAGAATCACCAAAAATAATGCATTTTGAAGTTGCTAGGTCTTATTTCATCGCAATAACTTGCCCAAACCTGATCGACTAGCCTACCGCAAGAAACAGCACTTCTTTTAGCCGTCAATTCCTTCGAATGAGATACCAACCGCGCCTTAACGGCGTACGTATGTAATTGTTCGCATCCAGCCATAACTCCCGAACGGCGGCGCCAAGCGCCGTAGGATTCACCCGCTCTCATGTAATCCTCCAATCCCGCTCGTGCTGCTTGCCAGAAAACGGGGTCATATGTTTATGAGAGCGGAGCGACTCCTCTCGAGAGGGGGTCGCGGCAAGATGCAATACGCCCGCTTCGCCCCACGGAATCCGGAGCCTACATCCCCTAGTGGAGGGTTACCACAAGAGGAGAGTGGGAGAGAGGGTGGGGGCCAAACTTTCCCTTAGAAAAAAAACCCACTCTTGTATAATACATAAGTTGGCATCTCTCTCTGCCTTGTCCTCCGGCCTACACGTGTATGTGGCTTGAAAAAAAGAAGGCACTTATAACTAGCTAACGGCATTCATTAGCTGCACGCCCCTCCTCCCCGAGTCGGTACGACAGAAAGCTGTGCGCTCGATACAGATGGGCCTAGCTAGTGGGCAGTGAGGGAGGGGGGGAGGGGGGGAGGGACCGAATCGGAGAATTCGGCTTCCAGGGACATATATGATTGGGAAATCTAGAACAAAATGGTTTCACTCAACAATTCGACAAATATTAAAGGCGGGAAGCCATAGCCAAGGGTGTGGTGTGTTGGGGCTTCGCCCCCTTTGATATGAGGGAATGAGAAGAAGGAGAAGAAGACGAAAAAAATGTAAAAAAATTGATGTGGCCAATTCCCAGAATTTCGCGATTGCCGTGTCGACGCTATACAATGATTGGACGTTAGGTAGACTCGGAGCTGAGAGAAGAAGAAGAGGATGGGACCTAGATGAGGTTTCATCAGCAGCAGCAGCAGCAGAAGCAGCGGTTCCTGCAAGGTACACGCGCGCCGGAAACGTTCGCTGATCCTGCCGGGCTGCAGTGTGCAGCGCAGAGCGTCGGGGGCGCTGGGGAGAGCCAACGCTGGGCGGCCCACGGGTAGACCAAGTCAGTCACCCGCAGTCAGTCGAGATGGCTACACCCGACCGAAGCGAGATACGGATCTGGAAAATGTACGTATGATGTTTTTAAATTGACGTTGGTAAGTTATCTGGTTCCCTGCCGTGTCGAAGCTGCCCCTTGACCTCCGCCTTCGGCACTGCCGAGTTTGACTCCGCAGCTCCGCAATTCCAAAGGGAAAGTACGGCAACAACGCACCGCACGGCAACTACCTTACTTCATACCCCGGTCCAATATTTACTGTATTTTCAACGGCGACACCTCAAGATATGACCACAATAAACCGAACAATTGCTACTACCACAAATAAGGAGGGCTTATGATTAATTCTGACAAATTGGAAGTATATTTTCTTCTGTTGCGCAAGCTATAACAAAGAGTCATTTACTACTCAACCAAGCCTCTTATAACCTCTTGGCTTTGAACATAATAACATGCCTACCCAGGTAAGTAACTATAACTGTTCCTGTGATTATATTGACAGTCGAACTCAGGATAGTTCTTTGAAGTTTTATAATCTACCTAGGTAACCACATAGATATTCTCAAGGGGAAGTCTTCAAAACTTTCACAGCACAGATAGTTGTAAATATTGATCCAGTCCTTGCAAATAACACTCCCTGTAGTGTTCAATTCCACATACTACCGTTGAATCTAGCAAGATCTTTGATAGCTCTATTCCCCAAGCCGTCCCCCATTCGCCTACATATATTACATAGGTACATACATGGCCAGAAGTTCAATATCAAACTTGCTCGTCAAAGGAAATGACGTACTTGTGAAACCTAGAGCTAAAAAAGCATTTGCCTATTTCCTAACTGGTAGCACTTGAGTCCGTGCCAATATACAGTATGACAGCATGGGCTTACATGCCCCCCCTACTATATACAAACTTTAACTAATGTAAGCCAAGCTTGAGGCTCAATCCCGGTCTAGCCTCCTAGTACATCGCCCAGATGAGCGTCGATATAGATTCAATGATATTTAAGCTTAATGATATAAACAAAGAGCCGGATGATTTCGAAACGCCAAACTAGGTACCATCTAGATCCATGATCCTAGCAGCTACCTACCTAGGTAGTTATATCCCCTTTTTGGTAAGTCCTGGTCAGTTGGCGGCGGCACTAGGAGAGAGTAAACTGCGCAACTTCCCCCCGTACCTAAATGCTTGTTTCCGATTATCAAGCCAGCTCACACGTTTCATTCATGAATCTTATTCTACCGTCACGGTTGAGAACAACACTCGTCTCTTTCTCACCTTAGGTTAGGTAGGTTGGCATCTCATACATGAGATCTGATTCATCACGTCCAAAGCATTACTCTAGACCCCTGCACATATGCCCATTGCCCGTGCGCTCCCCCCGAATATCAACCACCAACTCGAGCATCGTCCCGACGCCCAGGCTGCCCATCAACGGCCTCACTTTCGTCGTGAAGAAATAGTGCCCGTTGTTTCTGCCTCCTTGCTTCCCCACTTGCCATATTCTCCCACACACCACTTCGAAAATTAATTCTTTTCCTTTACAATCTCTTCTACTTACCTACACTGCAGACCAAACCACCTTGACATCTTACTCCAAGCACAAGACTCTGCGCAGCTCACTTCGCAGTTCATCTTTGGACTCTCTGTCTCTGTCTCTCTTTTTGAGCATTTTGTCTGTTTTTTTAATAACTTATCGTCTGCTACAGGCCTTCAAGCATACACTCTCTCGCACACCTAGTACCAAGACCTTCCTACCCTTTTCTTAACCAAGTCATCCTTCTTTCAATACTTACGTGCCTAGGTACATAACCAGTAAGTACATCCACAGCACATTGCCCCTAGCATTCCCATCACTCATGATTCTCGTCACCTTACTGACATTTACTGACATTTACCAAGTTGTACCCTACACCTTTTGTCTTTCAGGGCAAGGTTAACGGTCTAGGCCTCGGACATCCGACTTCCTCATCGCCGCATTTTCATTACTTTCTCCTTCATCTTTTTCATCTTTTTTTCTTTTTCTTTTTTTCCATCGCCGGCTACACTTGCCTGGGAGACTGCCCTAAGTCTCTACCATCATCGCCAAATATGGCTTCGTCTGACGACGGTATGTTATACACTCTTACATAATACTACCCTATACCCTACCCTATGCTACCCCAAGACACCATTATACCCCTTCTCTTGTCTTCTAAAATGTCTTATCCTCTATATACCTTTCACTATATACCCTTCAACTCTATACACTATATGCTCGCGTGACCATGCTACTCTTACCCCCGTCTCTGTTGATTCCCCCACTTCTATACCTCGTGTCACGATAATGCTTGCTATACTTTTGAGAACTTATTATACTTGATACCTTATATAGGTATATAAAATGACACTGGCGCTAACTTTCTACAGGGGTAGCCAATCATGGCTGGCCCGCGGGACTTATCCCCATCGAGCTGTTTACGATGATTGCGGAAAACTTGGATCGCGATGACGTGAAGGCGCTTCGTCTTGTCAATTGGGAATTCAAAGATAATTTGCAAGATTACTTCTTTGAAAGAGTGGTTATCAGCGTGAACTTCAAGCTTGGAGAAATATTCAACATTCCCGGTCAGGGCTATGGCGACTCTGTCCACCCTGGTATCACGGAGTATCTTGCAGACGCTGACAGTCTACGCAAATTTTCTCCTCATGTACAGCGCCTTGCCTTGGCCCTGGAGCTCAGCGAGCAGGAGTTGGCGACTCCCGAAGATGACGGGCAGGAGATGCTCAAGGTTCGAGACTGGGGCATCTTCAGATGGCCGGCAGACGAAAAACACCGATCCAATACACGCCTGGCGAAGATGGCCCGAGCCCTGGAAAGTGGCCGAGGGGTCTCATATATCTTGGCCAACATGAAGGACATCCGAGAGCTCGCACTATCTTGCGACGGCGGTCTTGGCTATCTTCAGGGCCCTGATGTCAATCTCTACCACTCACCGGGACTTTTCCCCATTTTTAGCAACCCTACCAAAGTCGGCAATGTAGTTCGACCCGAAGAGGATTGGGTTCGGCCTTCCCCAGGGGTAAAATTCAGGAAGTCATATAAGCTAGAGATCATGGAAAAGAAGCTAGCTGCTCTTGGAATACCACCTGGTCAAATTTCAGCTGAGATCAAGAGGATGGTAAGCTTCGAGGGAACCGGCATGGATGGCTTCACGCGTGAGAAACGATCGCGAGCTTCTCTCCCCAGCAGCCGTTATGGGGATCTTCAAATTACCCGGCCCTCTAGGTCTCACTCTGCATACCGGCTGCAACCGGACCAGCTGACGGAGACTCAGGAGCGGCTCTTATTTCAATATATTACGGCTCACCAAGCCCTAATACAATCAATTGTCCTGTATATGGCGGACAATGGCTCGGCATACGCGAACTTGACCAAGCTCAGTATTGCTCGACTCCCAAGTTTACATGTCGATCTCCTATGCCGAGACGACTTCTGGGTCGGCATACCTAAGCTAGAAGAGGTATCTCTAGCCATTGTGCCCGACTGGAGGGAGATGATTGAAGAGAACATGTACTATATCGAAACGAGACAGGTCTATCCCACCATGGCCATGCCCAAGGTCTATCGGCTACTCGAAGATTACATCGGCAAGCAGTCACGGGTCAAGAAGCTCCATTTCGAGTGGCTCTGCGGTGGAGAGTTCGCTCCCGGCTGGCTTCAGAGGGAGAGAAACATCTTGCCAGCCCCCTTCTTGAAAAAACACAGGCTAGTGATCTATTCGGGAGAAGAGAACCTTCTTATTCTGCCCCACATCAAACACCTGTCTCTGAAGAACTGCTGGTTCGCTCCGAACGTGTTCTACCAAATCATCCGCACGATGTCCAGGGAGTATTCTCTCGAATCGCTGGAGCTGGAATCCGTCTCTCTAACGGGCCCGCCTATCTTCAGGGAAACCATGGCCGACGAGGACGATCCGGGTCACCATCCCTGGCCGCAAGAAATGTACCCTTCCACCGACTCGGAGGCGCCCGGCCTGCTCCAAGACCCCCTGCCGCTCTCCTGGAGCCACGTCATCGACATGCTCACGCCGGGCGAGACGATCCGCGAGCGCATCCATGCGCAGCAGTTCCCGTCCGACCCGCCTCTGAGCATCAGGAAAGACCTCCGTCTGCGCAAGCTGACCTTTAAGTCCTGCGGGTACGTGCTGATCGCGGACCGGCGCTTCGTGTCGATCAGACGGCTCATCCACCTCAACTACCCGCCCGTCCTGCGGCCGAAAGCACGCAGCATGGCGCGCGCGTACTTGGACAAGTGGGCGGAGCTGTCCGGGCTCCTGCAGGTCAGCACGGATCGGCACCTCGGCGCCGTGGCGCCGCTGCTCGACCCGCGCGAGGAGTACGCGCTGCGCCGGGTGTTCGGCCTGCACGCGGGCTGGCCGGGGACGTACGACTGGCTTTTGTTCCGCGCGTCGGAGGAGGACGGGATCACGGCCGCGGGCGTGGGCCGGTTCAGCGGGACTATTGAGGTGGACGCGGATGTTATCTCCAGACGGCTCGAGATGATAGGAGAAGAAGAAGAAGAAGAAGAGGAGGAGGAGGATGAGTCCGACTACGACTTCGACGACGACTTCGACGACGACGACTCTGACGACAAACAGGAAGAAGATCCCGCTGTTGGTAGTCGTGGTGGTTTCGTGGGAGAAGAACGAGGATACCAGCCTTACGAGTACGACATCGATGTTTTCGACATCGACTACGAGGAGCTGGATCAAGAGGATCTTGATGACTTGCTGTTCGGCGCGGAGATGCGGTTGGGTTACAACCTCACATTCCCTGAGGGATACGTCCGGCCGGAGAACGACGAAAACTAAAGTACCTCTTACTCGACTAAACTAGGTAACTACCTCCTAAGTCGTTGGGGAATAATATCCCGTTCGGACGAAGAACAACATATCTGCCTTTACGGTACTAGCATCCCGCTCTCGGGAAATGGCCTGTGTACACCACATACATTAGGTACACCCATCTTTGTCGACAGGCCTCCTTCATAACGATCAGTTGCGTTTCTCAGCTCGGTTTTCTTGTTTTCTTGTTTTTTTCAGCATTTCCAGCTCTATCTCATTCTATTCCGGTTACGCATCAGGAGGCGGCGCACAGCATTCAGCGGCACGAGGCGTTCAGAAATTCCTCTCTCCTTCTTTTTCTTTTCCCTTCGGCAGTACATACCTCATACCTAAGGAGTTCTACGACTGTCTTTTTTCTCTCTCGGTTTTTCTCTTTTCGGTCTTCTGTTTTTTTTTCTATGCATTAGGTACTTTTCATCCGCATGGCGTTGACTTCAAGACTTGATGATACCCCAACAAAAAGTCACTAGAACTCAGGCGTTGGTTTCGTTTATTTCTTATTTTTTTCTTTTCTACCTGCATTCTTGCATCAGAGACGCTGGCGGCGGAGGCGTTTCGGGATTCGATTTCCACGTCTACAATCCGCATCAGCATTGCCGAGACGGGACGCAAGAGGCGTTACGAAGGAACGAGTTACATGTCTCATAACATAGCAACAAAAAGTTCGAGAGGTGGTTTAGCCTCCAACAAACGGGACCCCATTGCCCAATACGTGTGTGTATTCTCTTCGTTCGAGCTGCAGCAGCACATTGCTGTTGTTAGACTCGCCACTTTTTTTTTTTTACATACGTCTGTTTCCTGTGGATTCGGTCTATGAGTTACGAATCTACTTCCAGGGACATTCTAGAGGCGCTCGGTACTCAACCAAACGGCCCTCATTACCCACTGTGCGTATTCTCTTCTTTTGAGCTGCAACAGCATATTGACGCTGTTCAGCTCGTCACTTTTCACCTACATCTGTTCTCTGTAGGCTCGTTCTATGAGCTACGGGCCTGCCACTAGGGACATTTGAGAGGTGCTTGCAACTCAGCAAAACGGCTATCATGGCTCAACGTGTGTATTCTCTTCTTTTGAGCAGCAGCAACACCTTGTTGTTGTTGTTAAGCTCGCCACTTCTTACCTGCCTGCGTCTGTTTTCCGTTGATTCGTTCGGTTCTGTTTCGTTTCGTTTTACGAACCACGAATACTACAGCACCAAAGGACGGAGTAAACTGGTTGATTGCATCCACGATGTTCTGGAGATGGAGGGAACACTGGACTTTTAACGTTGTATGAGGTGGATTGCGTGTACTTTAATTCTCTTTTACTTCTGGCCTGATATGTGCTCACGAGCTCATCTCCCTCGAGAGGCCACGGTACGAAATTTGCAATGTGTTGATAACGATGCGTTTTCTCTGTGCTTTCTGTCTACTACATACCTAGGTACATAGTATGCAGACCCTCATAAGATGCGTTTGCAAAAACAATGAAAGGATTCAATCCAATTCAAGTGTGCCCGCGTAGAGTGAGAATAATTTTCTCTGTAACTTGAGGATGAATATGGGTTCGTAAACATAAATGGTACCAAGTTGTATCCAGGCGTAAGGGGTAAGTACTACTACTCTCCTCATGACCTAAACAAGCAAAGCTAGGCGCGTATTGAGGTTTGAGCTGCTTTAATGAAGGCCTAGGGGTCAATAGTTGGATTTCTCAATGGGTTAGATTAGGTACCTAACCTTAGATTACCTAGGATGATCATTCGTGATTTTGCCACATGCTATATGGCTAGGTATGTATACGAGGTCGGTGATCTCTTTCTACGTGTCAGTTTTAGAATAGAGACTGATGAGGGATTGGACGATTAAACCTTGGGTTAGACTATAGGTTGTATGGGACAACTACGAATCGATATCTCGATGGACCAAAATGCAAATAATACCAAGGGGATGGACGAACTACGGTAAAAAGCATAAAAATACGTCGAGGACTAGTAGTAATTAATCACAACCGAAGCAGGAAAAAGTCAAAAGAGAGATGATCGTTCAGAAACCTTTTTTTTGCCTCGTTATTTGGGGGAAAATCCACGAAGATGTTGATTTCGCGGAGTTGCATGCCAGAGAATACCTAGACCCATGCTGTACGATAACCGCCTTGACACCTGGAGTTTGAAAGCAACTTTAACCCCGAACCTGAATCTCCATTAATCGTCACACCCCCTTCCTCTACCTTCATCGCCTCGCGTCCCCGTCCATCATTTTATTTTTATTCGGGAATCTATGCGGCGGTGATGGCCTTGCGGATGCGGGCACCGCGTTGTCTCGAGTTCAGGTGAGAGGCCTCGCGGGCGACCTCGCGGGCGACAACGGCCGGGGACTTCTGAACAACCTCCTCACCTTCGGTTAGGATGAGCTCGATGTGGCAGGGGTGGGACATGTAAGGGTTGATCTATTACGACTCATTAGCAAAAACCATATGTTACATCAATCAATCTTCTAGCCAAAGAAAATATAATGACTGGAAGATGTAAGGTGGAACACATACACGACCGTGGGCACGGTAGGTTCGTCTTCGCTGCTTGGGGGCCTGGTTGACCTGGATGTGCTTGACGATCAAGTTGCTGGTGTCGAGGCCTTTGGCGTCGGCGTTGGACTCAGCGTTTCGGAGGAGACCGAGAATGAACTCGGCAGACTTGCCGGGCCATCGAGCCTTAGTGACACCGAACTGCTTGCCTGTTTGGATTAACCATATTAGCTTTGATTTTTTTCTTATCGACCAGAAGTGCGTAGCAGATATCGTCATGTCTTCTCTCTATCCACCAATACCCTCACCAATACCCTCTGATCTTTTCTTGTCTTTTCTATTTTTTTTTTCTTTTTCCACCGAGGAGAGGGAGAGAGAGATGACCCGTAAAGTAATCAGAGTTTCCGTACCTTGGGCGGTTCGGCCAATGCTGCCAGCGTATCGTCGGAAGGGGACAGCCTCAGTCTTCTCCTTGACGTTCTCGAGGAACTTGACGGCGCGGGTCAACTTCCAGCCGTTGATGGCCTGAGCCGTCTCTCGGGTGTTCTTGAAGGAAACTCGGAGGTAGGCGCCGCGGGCGCGGGCCGACTTCGCGGAGTCAATCTCGGTGGCAGCGTATCGAACCTATACGAGGAAAACAAAAAAAATCAACCGTTAGCTAACCCAATTCCCCGTGTTCGTTTGTATTATTGATCGTTAGATCTTTGCATCGCGAGAAAGTCGTCGATGGTGCAGCACTCAAGCCGTACACCCGAAAAATTGGAAATTACGGTTGTCGTAGAATGAATGTGCATTTCGACTAATTTCACTTGAGAGGGATTGTTTTCGAAAAAAAAAACGTACCATCTTGGCTGCTGTGTGGTGTTGAGGTGGGAGATGGACTCGATGTCGTTTGTTGAATTGAAGATTTTCGCGAGGGTCAAAGTTCGGGGAAAGTTCAAATTGTGGAAATTGAATTGTGCCCTCGCTTACTGCCCTGAGAGGAAGAAAGGTACGTACCTCTTACATAGTAGATTAAAAAGTATCCCACTTGGTCAATGCGCTTTAGTTGCTAGTTTGCCTTGTTTATCGATAACAAACTTTTCAGCATTGAAATTATTGACGGTAAATATTCGGCTTCATGCTCTTGAAGCTCGGGCCATGTCAACTTCTCAATTGAACTCCATTAGCGGTTACCTTTGCTTTAGCTCCAAAATTTTTTTTTTTTCTTTCTGAAGCTTGAAGGAAATTTTATGGGAGCTTAAAGTTAACATAACTTTTCCTCCAATTGTTTCCGCGAAAACTCATAACGCGACAAACGACGCGATAACAACCCGTCGCAAATATCGCAAGAATTATACCTAACTAATACTTTTATTTTTAAAATATGGGTTTCACTCCTCGAGGAGGTAGAGGCGGTGGCCGTGGTGGTGGCGGCGGCCGTGGTGGTTTTGGTGACAGAGGTGGTCGAGGTGGCCGTGGAGGTGGTCGAGGTAAGTTGGATCTGCAAACTTTATTTTATATATTACAACATATTCCAGGACATCAATTTGTTAATCGTTCTCTATTTAGGTGGTGGTGGTGGCCGAGGCGGTTTCGGTGACAGAGGTGGACGTGGCGGTGGTCGCGGCGCCCCGAGAGGACGAGGTGCTCCTCGCGGTGGTGGACGTGGAGGCGCTAGAGGTGGTGCAAAGGGTGGTGCCAAGGTTGTTGTTGTAAGTTGTAAACCTCATTATAAGTTGACTTATAAAGATTATCATATTCACCTCTTTTTTTTTTTTAGGAACCCCACCGTCACGAAGGCGTTTTCGTCTCGCGGGGCAAGGAAGACCACTTGCTCACTCGAAGCATCGCCCCTGGTATTGAGGTCTACGGCGAGAAGAGGGTTTCCGTTGATACTACTACCAAGGCCGAGGATGGTACCCCTATCACCACCAAGGTCGAGTACCGAATCTGGAACCCTTTCCGAAGCAAGTTGGCTGCCGGTATTATCGGTGGTATCGACAATATCTACATGAAGCCGGGCTCCAAGGTTCTGTACTTAGGTGCTGCCTCCGGTACCTCAGTTTCTCACGTTTCCGATATCGTTGGGCCTACTGGAAACGTCTACGCTGTTGAATTCTCCCACCGATCTGGCCGAGACTTGGTCAACATGGCCCAGAACCGAACCAACGTCATCCCCATTGTTGAGGATGCCCGACACCCCATGAAGTACCGCATGCTTGTGCCTATGGTCGACTGCATCTTCGCTGATGTTGCTCAACCTGACCAGGCCCGTATCGTCGCCCTGAACGCGCACATGTTCCTGAAGATTGGCGGTGGTGTAGTTATTTCTATCAAGGCAAACTGTATTGACAGCACAGCTGCCCCAGAAGCAGTCTTTGCGCAGGAAGTACAGAAGCTAAGAGCAGAGCGCATCAAGCCCCAGGAGCAATTGACACTAGGTATGAAGACTCTTCCCTCTACTCACAATTGCTTATTACTAACTATGGTAACTAGAACCTTATGAGCGAGATCACTGTATCGTGATTGGACAATACCAAGAGGCGAAATAAATGCACCTGATAGGCTAAGAGGAAAGCAACCTATTTTGTGTTATATTACGGTCTTGATGTAACGATCATAAACCACGTGGTTCGTGGGATGGAGTTATTCCCATCAGGCAACGGCGACTAGGCGTTCGGAGGGTGGGTTTGTTGATATTTCATCTGCATAAGTTTCCATAGGGAAAAGTCTATTTGATCAATACCATGCAAGCAGTTCGATCCACATGTTGCCTTTACAATCTCTGGTTATAAGGCATATTTTTATAACTGGAGCATCTCGACTACCGTGTACATGCGCCGTATAGTCGAAACCCAATCTTATCCTAGTCCACCATAATTCTATGGTTTTCCGGGTTTATACTACTATGTACACTCCTACTAGTCCGGCAGCCATCCCGATTATAAGCCGTGTTTTCGAATATGGCGCGGCTCACGATCTATTCTGATAGGTTCCAAGTTAACGTCAACATACCAATCGTTGGAAGCTTAGCTTGGTCAACATTTCGCTTGAGGAAATAAGAGATATAAACAGCTTCGGGTTCATAAAAGTTCCACATTATTTGATATCAGCGCAAGGAATCAACAAATGTAGCTAAACTAACTAATACCCATCCTACTTTAAAAACCGCCGAACCTATACTATCACGCCTTACGGGGATATATACTGCCTTGTAAGATGTGTATTACTTTATCTAGTTAAATCAAGCGTTATAATCCGCGAGCGCGATACTTCCGTTAACGAATATCGTATTAAAAATCGAAGGATTTTTTTTGCTTTTCATAAGTTGCTGAGGTATATCTGCTTTGCGTCAAAGCACATGCATGAAGAAAAATGCCTTTGCCACGACTTACGTGAGTTTCTCCCATCCCACAAAAGATAACAAATCACTGGACGAGAACGAGAGTATTCGTGGCTATACAAATAGTAACGTCCTTGGGATACTATGAGGTAGGCAGGCCTATATTATATATGCGCAAGGCAGCTTACAAAATGGCCGTTGTCAACGAACTTGGTTCAACGCGATCCAGACCCATCATCTGGATTTGAGGATTGTTGTTGTATTGTATTTGAATCGCATGATTAACATTCTATCCGACCGTTTTAGAATGAATAAATCTTAGAATAGCCTGAACGGGTTCGCTCAAAGCAGACGAATTTTCGTTTGCGACGGGGAACCGCTCCGTCCCTACATGAGACTAAGAATCCCATATGAGGTAATCCTCTCCCGCTATTGGCTCTTGTCTCCTTCGGTCTGCCCTCGAGAGCGGTATGCAGAAGCTCGCCTTTACATAACACGGCATTCTCTTGGATGTCCTTCTCATATGACGGGACGCACTTCGCGGCGGCATTTCAAATACTCCTTAATCCTGGTGGAGGACTAAGGTGCCCTGATATAGATATGGCATACACCGACATGTCAGTGACTGCAACGGACCCTGCATATATAGATGCCGCGCTCGCAACTTGATTATACACGAGCTTATATCGCCACATGTAATTTTTGAATACCGTCTGAAAATAAAAGTAAAAAATATATATCATCATGTCTTCTCTCGCGCAGTTAGCCATTTCCAAGTTGAGAAAAGCCGGCTTGGGCGACGTCTTGCACGTCCCCGGCGAGCAGACGTACGAAGCGACAGAGGCATCCCTCGCGCCGTATTCGCAGAAACTACGGCCATGGGCCATCGTGCAGCCCCGGAGCACGGAAGAGGTCTCCAAGGCGGTGAAAGCGCTGGTCAGCACCAAAGGTCTGCAGTTCGCCGTCCGCAGGTGAGTTATGTCGTTAGCTACGAATCTTATTGCTTCCCGTACCTACCTACCTACCTAGGTACTCTTGAGAGTTGGGAGACAAGAGGAGAAAACGCTGATGGGGGGGTATTTTTTGCTTGGATAGTGGCGGCCACATGTGGGCGGATTATAGCAATAATATCAAAGAGGGCGTGACGATCGATCTGAGTCTTATGACGAAGCGGACTTACGACCTCGAAACGAAACTTGTATCACTCCAGCCGGGGAGCAGATGGAAGGATGTCTACAGAGACTTGTGTGAGGGTAAGTCACTTCTGAACGCTCTCTTAGAACGTACACGAGCGCGATCTAATAGTATAATAGAAGGATTGCTGGTTGTTGGAGGGCGCGAGCCGATGGTAGGAGTCGGTGGATTCTTAATTGGTGGGGGTTTATCGTTCTTCAACTCTAGGAAGGGATGGAGTTGTGGTAAGTAACTAATTCTTTAGATTAAGCCATCATTTGCCCGACAAGCATAGTCTCGCGTGTTGCGAGCGGAAGCCGGGGTATCGGGAGTTTATATAAGTGCTAACATGTGTCTCATTCACCAGACACGATTGTCAACTACGAAGTCGTGCTAGCGGATGGCAGTATAGTCCAGGCCAACAAGACGACGAACCCAGACCTATATCTCGCGCTAAAAGGTGGTTCTCTCAACTTCGGAATAGTGACACGCTTCGACATGGAGTCTATGGAGTCCAAGAACATATGGTGCGGCATGGCCGTATACCCCAAAACCTCCAACAACCAGATCATCGACGCTTATGTCGACTTCACAAACAACCTAGCCGACAACCCGGACGACTATGTGTTCCTATACGCGTACCGCCCGGCCCTGGAGGAAGACTACACCATAAGCATAAACCTGTCCGATATGAATGGCATCGCAAACCCGAAGCCCCTCCAAAAGTTCTTGGATATCCCGAATCCGATTTCAAATAAGGACGACTTCAAGGTCAAGACGCTGTATGAGAAGTTGACGGATTACGTAGTCCCGTCCGCGAACTAGTACGTCGAACATGAATTCACCACGCCACTATTTATTTATCATTCTCTAGAATAATGTAGCCCCTTCGACTAACCATCATCACTAGCACCAACTGGGAAGCCATCACCGTGCAAGTCGACGCCAGCGTCCTACGCCGCGCATCCGGCGAATTCGAAGTCCTAATATCGAAGCTGCGGAGGGCGATCCCGGACAACAACTTCATCGCGCGGATGGTGACGCAGCCGATCCTGAAGTCGTGGGCGCGGATCTCCGCCTCCAAGGGCGGCAACGTGCTCGGGATCGAGAACCTGCCGGCGGACTGCCTCAACATCCTGGTCGGGATCGAGGTCCAGTCGCTCGAGCTGCGCGAGAAAGTCGGCAGACCCGCCGTCAAGGCCCTCCTCGCCGACGTCAAGTCCTACGCCAAGTCCATCGACAAGGACGCCGACTGGCTCTACCTCAACTACTGCACGGACGGCCAGGAGCCGTTCGCGACGTACGGCGCCAAGAATGTAAAGCTGTTGAAGACGGTAGCGGCCAAGTACGATCCGAACAGGGTTTTCCAAGAGAGGGTGCCTGGTGGGTTTAAGATCTCTAAGGCGCCCCTAATGGAAAAACTCTGAATTTCGTATATTAGGCGGCATGAAGAGTTGGGCAGTCGAGTTTCGTAACGTCTGATCTGTTTTGTTCAGCCATTGATGTATGCATTTAACTAGGCAACTACCTACTTTACACCAGTGAAAAGAGGTGGGAGATATAATCTCCAAGAAATTAGCGTATGAAAGGTAGAGACAAAATGATGTAAGACTATAAAATAGTATGATGCAACTACGACCAATATTTATGAGTTCTGTTGATATATTTACGCTGTAGGCTTGATGTCACGAAGTACTTAATTCCATACGATCTCCCATTCCTTCTTCCCTCAGTTTCCGCTCAAGTTCATCCTTCTCTTCTACTTCTTCCTTGATTCTTTGTTCAACTTCATCCCGTATTGGGCCGAGATCGGGCGGAATGGTAGAAAATTGCACACTGGGTGCGGCTTCGACAAACCGTAGCTGCTCGGTAACATGCTCTATAATATCGTCTAATTTCTTTCTCGGGTTCCTATTCTGACGCGGCTCCCCCAATATCTGCTCTAGAGTAGGAAGGAGTGTATCTTGTCGAAATCGGTCGCGCCAGGGAGTATGAAGGGGCAATTCTGTCGGGATAGTCTTGTTATGGCCGATGGCAACGGCCGTTTCATATGCCCAAGCACGAGCGACGTTTCGGGGTGTATAACCTCCGCCTCCAAACATGAGCAGAGGAATATTTAGGCTTTTGCAGTATTCGACGCACGACGCGTGGCCCTGGACAAGCAGATTGAATTTACCTAATCTGTCTCCAGCTAGGGAATCCGCACCGCATTGTAGAGCAATCGCACCAGGTCTAAACTTTTCTATACACCTGGAGATGACACTCTTGAAAAGCCACTCGTACTGCTCGTCCGTGATACCATCATTCAAGGGTACGTTAATAGCGTGGTGCGCTCCTGGGTTGTGCTCACTCCTCGGGCCATTGTCTTCTAACGCACCAGTGCCGGGAAAGAAGACTTGAGGATCGTACTTGTGGAAAGATACGGTCATGACTCGGTCGGTAGAAAAGAACGCCTCTTCCACGCCATCACCGTGATGCACATCGATGTCGATATAAAGAACGCGAGGATGGATGCGTAACAACTGCAATATACCAAGGACAATATCGTTGATATAGCAGAAGCCTGACGCTTCCGACTTTTTGGCGTGGTGCAAGCCTCCACCCCAGGAGATGGCAATGTCGGACTGTCCCGTGCATAATTTTCTCGCGGCATCTAGTGAACCACCGGCTGACATGGAACAATAGTCATACAATCCCTCGAAAAGTGGGCAATCACTACCACCCAAATTAAACTTGAGATCTGGACTTGAGTTATCAACGTCTAAGGGTAGTGGTTGGGGGGCAACTGAGGCAAGGAACTCGACATAATCATCCGTATGAAATGCCGTAAGCTCCTCGTATGTGGCCGCGCGAGCAGTATAATTCTCCATGGCGAAATTCATGCCATAGGATGAGACCAAACTTTTGGTGAGAGTTAGTCGCCAGGGCTTCATGGGATGTGTTTGACCGAAGTGATGCCTCTCCATTTCAGGGTTATAATGGAATGATACTGTGTAGCCTTTTGGTTTCGTGATGCCATATTCGTGAGCGAAGCGCTTAATCTTGTTAAGATAAGCTGCATTTTCAAGGTCGCTTGGCCGATCTAACGGTTTATTGAACTTTTTTACCACTGGCCCGTCGACATCGACCTTGTGAGGTAGGTAGTTGGGTTTTGGCAGCCGTAACGAATAATGATTCGCCGGGTCAACCTCCATCTTGAAGGCTAACGGATGGAAACGCGGCTGATCAACGAAAATATGCTACTGCGCGAAGCGAATGGTGAAAATGCTTGAATATTTGTCCCCCTTGAGTACCCTTGAGTAGAGCCTGTATAGCTTATGAAATCTTGATATCTATAAGTATGCGACTGTTGTCTTATTGGTTGACTCCGGAAAAGAAATTTAGAGGATATGAAGGAAGTCAAGGCGAATCAGGACGACGCTAGAAATTATCCGAGGAGAGCTTTATATAACGTGTTACAGGACGCGCGCTTGTAAATAAGAATGTAACGGAGATGAGATAGCCCGATATATAATGGGTATCTAGACCTTTTTCTCGAGATTTCGTTCGGGTTTTCTTTAATGATGAGATTATTTTCAATCGTCAAGATGAAAGTTGAAGATGAATGAAGGCGACTTTCGTAACACCAAGAATGCGGTAGCAGGGTAGATGCCGATTTGCTCCACTATAATGCACGGGCTAACTAGCATACAAAATTGGAAGAGACGCTAAGCTAGATCTGCAATAGACCGGATCGGTACCTGGATTGAAGTTACTTTCTTTCTAGCATTGCCCCGATTTGCTTCATCCAGCCAATGGGAACTAATATTTTCGTAAATTACGTAATGGGTTAGACTTGTCCCAAGTTCTAACATCTGTTGCCTCTACCGTTCTTTAACTTTTAGAATTGATTTTTTTTTATCGATTGAACTAATCTACCTTAACTCCCCACTCTGGGATCTTACTTACCTAAGGGACCAACCATTAACTTCCAGTCGCGTTTACCGCTACCGCTACCGCTACCGATATACCGGCGCAAACAATTCTTATATCCAACGTTACCATCCACTCATCTTTTATATTTATCTCTCCTAGCGCCTTCTCAAACATCGTGCCACTCCTTATTATTGGAAGGTTCCTTTTAAAGTGATATATTATCGGGACTGATCAGGAAGGTGAGCCAGAGCTCAAATTCACACAGATATCCCGATTATGCGCATGTGATTCCAACTGCTTCAGCCAACAAAGTAATTGGCCCCTCCCTGCATTACGTTGCACTGTCTTTTTTCTGGGACGCCGCCGCAGCAATAAAAAAAAAGATGAACGGAGAGTTAGAAGGAAACTTAGATATCTGATTACAGAAAGAAAAGACAAAAATCGAAGAAAAAGAAAAGAAAGCGAATAACAATAGGCAACGCAGCAATAATTACCGGAATCAATGCATCTTACCATTCCCTTCCTCTAGTTTCAAGCTTTCCAGTTTCCTCTATCTTCGCGCGCGTTATCGCTTGCTCTTTGAACACGCTCTCACCATCACCTACCCAAAGAGCGTGCCCCTCCGCTTAGAGGGCCAGGTTAACAACGATGCCTAGAGACGATCTCTCCATAGACTTCGTAAAGAAGATGGCGCCCTCGACCGACGCGCAAGACCCTGCCGCCATCCTCGAAGATTTCATTCATCGAACCGCCAACCTGCCTGAAGAGATCCGCTTCATCCAAGATGAGATAGCCGACAAAGACCGCACGTATCAGGAGTGTGTTAAAACAATCGAAGAGAGCGACGCTAAGATCCAACGCTGGATTCGTATGAATGGTAGCCACACGCCTTTCCCCCGCGAGCAGATGTTACGCGAGACCATCCGCGAAAATTATACTCGAGCAGACAAGCTTGCGGAAGAGAAGATCCAGCTGGCCCAGAAGGCCCAGACGCTCTTTGACAAACATATCCGACATCTCGACCTACAGATCAAGCAGCTTGGCGACCGAAACGAACCCGGGTTTACTGACCCCGACGAGATACCTTCCGTCGTACGACCGAGCGCCGCCAACAATAGTAATACTAGCCTTCGGGTGCTCGCGGTCTCGGCAGCTAGTAACACGCCGCTCAACCCTATCACTAATAATGCGACCCCGACCGGATCGAGAGCCGCCAACCCCCAGATCAGGACCACCCAATCACAAGCACACATCTCCAGCTCCGCACCTACGTCTCCCGCCGCAAGCATGATCATGAGCAACCGCAACCAGCGCGAGTCCTCTGCCGGACCGTGAGTAACCAATCAGAATTCTTTACTTCCTTTTACAACACAACATATTGCTTGGACTCCTTTCCTCTCCAATTATTTGCAGCACTTCTTCCTCTTCAGAACTTGGCACACACATAAACTCTTAAAACAGATATCCGCATTACATATAAACAAGAAACAACCAATACTAACTAGATACAGTGGAAGCGGTGCTCCGAAGAGGGGCCCACGAGTGACTTCCAGCTTAGGTAGCTTGCCGACAGCGTCGAGTGGACTAGCTCGTCATGCTTCTCTCGGACCAGGGACGCCCAAGGCAGGGACACCGGGGGCATCGAGGGCAGGTAGTGCTGGCCCGCGGGCCAGTTCGAAAGCCGGGAGCGTAGGTGTCGGGAGGAAAGGCACACCATCAGCTGGAGTTAGCCGAAAGAAACCTCCGAACTCGAAATCGACGTTGTCGCGTGTCAAACGAGCGGGTATATCCAAGGGGTCACCGGTATCGACCGCCGACAGCGAGCTTTCGGACGCGGAATCGGTGCGGTCGTCGCGCGCGGGATCTAGGGCCGGCAGCGGCACGCCCGTGCCCCGCCCGCATAACACTCACCATCATCATCGCAAACATTCGCAGCTCGACGGGGACGAGGAGATGCGGGACCGGGGCTCGGCGTCGGCGGGCTCGGGAGGCTCGGACGACGAGGACGAGGAAGGCAAGAAGTACTGCCTGTGCCAGCACGTATCGTACGGCGATATGGTGGCTTGCGACAACCCGGCCTGTCCCTACGAGTGGTTCCACTGGACCTGCGTCGGCCTCAAGTCCGAACCCGAGGGCCGCTGGTACTGTCCCTCGTGCACCGAGAGCATGAAGAAGAAGGGGAAATGAAGAAACATAGGAAATGCGAATCGACATCGAATGGAAAGTCGGTTCGGTTGGGTTCACTCTTATTACTATTTATTTATTTATTTGGGGGTATGTATACCTTAGGTACCTTAGCACCTATGTACATATGCGCTAGCACTGCTAGACTCAATACAAATCGAAGCATGGAACGATTGGATGAAGTATGACTTTTTTTCGTTACCTACCTAGGCTATACTATAGAGCGTCATCCGCTTTACCCCCCGTCGCCAGTGTTCTTCTAATAAATGCAAACTTGACGCGTGCCAGGTCGGATCTGAAGCACCCGGTAGCACCTACAGCCACCTAGGTACCTAGGTATCACATCAACTTCTCAGATTACCTACCCAGTTACTTCGCAGTGGTTATTGGCTCAGGTACGCTCGTCCGAGTGTTGTTTGACATGAATCTTAAAGGGCCAGACGCCGACAAAGTTTGGCGTCAACGTAGGTACCCGATATTCAGATGATTAAAGTTGTAACAGACAAACTGAGGACGCATACAACCTTCAAGATTAACGTGTGGCGAAACTTTATTTCAATACCAAAGCTCCATACCGGCAAGCATATCCTCGACTCTACACCAAGGTAGGTAGTGTATAGGTAGCTTTAGGTATACAGATCATGCAATAGTCACAACACATACTCGACATCATCGTCGTCTACTAGCGTACTTGCACTGGGATATTATGTATATCCTTTATTTCATTATGTTTACCGGCGTCTACATACCACGCCCGTACGTCCTTGCCATAAACCCTCCATTTTCCTCGGTCGCTGTGCATTCACTCAAATCCTGCATCCTGCTGCTGCAATACCGCCTTGCCACTGCCGCAGCAACGTTGTCGTCTCTATATGACATACAACTTCCCATAATTCACCCGTATAGCTGGCAAAGGGCGATAAACCACCATGCCAAATCTCTACGGGAAAAAAACGCGCACACATTATAATACGTAGAAACGTACGGAATGGAGGAGGGGGGACAAAACGCTTATCAACACAAAAAGCAGAAAGGTCCCGAAAAAGTACGCCAATAGATTAGGGTTCCTTCCACAGATTAATGCTCCAATAGACGCAAGCTACCTTCGACGACAACGTTCTCCAGGATGGATCCCGGAGGGATGTCGATCGTGGAGCCTTCCGTTGCGACGATGATAACGGTTCCCTTCAGCTCCACGCCACGATGTAAGTTGACGTTGCCAGTAATCGTGAGATGGTCCAACTCGATGATCTTGGGGATGGAAGGGATGCGCTTCTGGAAGTCCGAGACCTTCTTGAAATCGCTACCCAGCTTGATGAGCGGCGCGCCACCGAAGCGGGCGGGGCTCAATTGCAGCTGACCGTGCTTAACGGTGTACAGGTCTGACTTGACAAGCATGAGATCTGAGCAGGTCTTGACAGGCAAGAATCGGCGACGGGGTACATTGACACCGTGGGCATTTTTGAAGTGGCGGATGGCAGCTCCGACGGCGGTCTCCAGCTGAAGGATGGAGATGTCCGACTCTCCCTTCTTATCACCAGGAATGGTCTTGCCGTTAGGGATGATCTCCATCTCAAGCTCATTGTTCTCCACAACGCGCTTGATGGCATGGGTGTTCATCCAGATGTTGTTGGTGTTGAAGTACTTGAACTTCTTAATCGACTTGAATTCGTTGACGTGCTCCTTAGGAACCTGGGCAATTTCCAACAGACGCACGGAACCATCGTAGTCAATGATGGTACCACCCTTGACGTCAGCCTTGGTCTTGTTTGTCAGCTCCATGACGTATTCGGCCTTCGTCTCGACCATGTGTTGCAGGATACGTAGATCTACGACGGCACCTAGGTTGTCGACGTTGGATAGGAAGATGATCTCGATGCCCCGGTCAATGAGCTTATCGAGGAGCCCGGAGTTGTAGAGAGACTCGAAGACGTCACCGTGTCCGGGAGGGTACCACTCGTTGATGCTCGAGTCAAAGCTCTTGGGGACGGGTAGAAGCGAATCCTTGTAAATTCTTGGGTATCGCGACTGGTTGAAGGTAAGAATGTCGACGTTGTGGCCCTCGTACTTCTTGATGATGGAGGCAGTGTCATCGTGAGTGTTGAACGAGTTCATCAGGATGAAAGGGACGTTGGTGTTGTATGTCCGGTTCAGGTACTCGACTTGTCGTACGGACATGTCGAGGAAAGACATACCATCGCGGACTTCGATGACGGATTTGGGACCGACACAACCCATGGATGTACCCAAGCCACCGTTCAGCTTCAGAACGGCTAGCTTGTTGAGGAATTCGACGGATTCAGTATTGGCTAGGTCTTCGTAGTCTACGACCTGTCCTTGCGCAGGGGGTTTAATACGATCCCAGTCGCTAACCAGCCCATCGTTAGCCTCGTTGATTTGAAGTTAAACCACGATAGAATTTATACATACACAGAGTTTCCCTTGGCCTTGTCATTTAGGTATCGACGGAAGAGAGCGAAGAAGTTGTCCATTTCAGTTTCGAATAGCTAACACGACTAGTTAGTTTGACATGGCGAAAATGAGTGTTGTTGTAGACACATACCTTCTTCTGCTCCGGGTCCTTTACGGTCTCGGCAAGCTCAGTGAGAGAATTGCGCATTTGCGCGGCGGCGACGTTGGTAGAAGCATTCTCGAAGGCCTCGTCGACTATTAGCAAACCAGGCATTTTGGAGATGATCGAAGAGAAATTGATATAATTAAGCTCAAAAAGATGTAAGGTTAAACGGGAAAACCACCACCATAAACACTTATCGGTGGCTAAATAAAGAATCCCGGATTTGGCGAAGATGATGTAGTGACTGGGGAGTAGAGAAGAATTGTGACTGTGATCTTATGATGTTTGAGAGATCGAACTTTCCAAGTGTAGCCAATACAGGAGGAACTTTATATTGCCATGCAATCTAAAGTACTGAGGCATAACACACGTGGATTCCCCAGGACTACTTGGGTTTCTTGGGCAACTCGTCATGTTGGATAGGAAACAAAGAGGGTACGATGTAATTTGAAAGGGGGGAAACGAGGGAAAGGATGGAAAGGAGAGAGGGAGTAAGTCGTGTTTCCTCGTTGACTCGGGAACCCGCGATTTCAGATTGCTATGGATTAATACCAAGGGTAAAGAAATGAAGCTGCACTCACCATGTGCGATCGAGTCTTTCCGTGGTGTCGACCAGCGAACTCACCGTCCGCATCGTTCCCGCCAGGCTTCAGATGAGTAGGCAGCGCACTCTTGATTACCTGAGCCATTGTGTATTTTGTGTAGATTCAAGTAACTTTATGTGTTCTTTTTTCGTTGATGGATTAGGTAGGTTACTGAATCGAAAAATGAGTGAGTGAGCTCCTAGTTGAGACGATGTAGGTGTAGGAGACTAGGCGGATGTTTTTAACGAGGAAAAAGGAGGTTAAGAATTTCTTTTAGTAACGATTTGGGATGACGATTTGTCTGGACTTTTTGGGTGGGCAATGGCGGGGTAATTTTTTGGTTGGCAGCGGAGCTTCGACAGCTACGGTAAATTTTGATACCTAAAAAAAGGGGGGGTTAGCTTACTTCTGCAGTTGCAAATGCACCATTGACGTAATGCAGACTAAATTAAAGCAAGTCACTCATGTCCTTCCCTGATTGATTGATTGCTTGCTTCGGTTGCTGTTGCTTCGTGTATATAAGGTACCTTTATAAGGTAGGTACCTTAGGTAAGTTAGGTATATTATATTTTTCAGTTGGGCTCTTTCCTCCTATCCAATCCAATCAACTCCCTTTTTTTTTCATCTCCATTTTACTTTCGTCGTTTCGTCGTTTCGTCCTACCCGGCTGCTAACCGGTAACACTAGTAAAAGTAGTGACGAAGCCAACTCACACTTGTTTTGAAGATCTCCGAGAATTAGAGCTTCCATGACGAAACGTATATTCCTTCTCATTATAAAGGAAGTAGTTTTCCAAGCCTCGTCGTCCTGTGCCCTATACTCTCTGTGTTCCTCTATCCTCGTGTCTCAGACTTGACAGTTCGCCTCTTCGTGTGGCGCTCAATCACATGCCGGACTCAAGCGGGGGGGGAATAAGGAGAAAGAAAAAAACATGCGATACGTTGCAGCCCTTAGATTGAAAAAAAGATCAGACACATACCTGGTGAACTTGAACGTCCTGTACCCAACTATCTGCAGTCTGGCCTGATTGGAAGTTGTGCGAAGAGGAAAGGAGGACCATCCAAGTAACCCAGGGGAGCATATCGTCCCCCTTTTATATGGCTTGGTTTTCTTCTAGTCGTCCGAACCCCTTGATGGTTGCTCCAGGAAATTATCGGTAGCCCCATGGCCACGAATCGTGCTTCTATTACACTAACCTTATTCTATTACAACCCATAAAACAGAATATCTCGACAAGTATCTCCGTTCCGATTGTTCTAGCCTTAGATTTAAACACAATTAAACAACACGAATGCCTAGTACTGAATAGGACTGTAGTAGATACTGTGCCAATTCGATATGCGGTGTAGTGTATATCTCCCTTGTACCGTACAGCAAGTGGTACTGCTATGTATAGCACTTCACCGCGAATATTCGAGTCTCAAATGGATCACCTCCTCGAAAATGCCCCCTTCAAAACAGGTCAGGCTAATCCACTTGCGGCATTTGTGGACATGGGTTAGACCCTGCTAAGCTAGAAAGCTAAGATGGCTGAAAGGTCCACCGCGACGATATTCACGTCGGACTTGGTACGGTATCCTAGCCACGATAGTTTAGGTATTTGGGATGCCCTTCGCGGGACGGAATACTGCAGTTTCTCCAACATAAGGAGAAGGCCCGTTTCCTACCGCAACGGACAACGCCATCCCACATTAGACAAGTACGGGTATAGGACGTAGGGTATCAATACATTTCCCAGGGCGTGCAGGCTTAGAGCGCTTCAAGGCTGAAAAAAAAAGGGATATCCAAAAGATCTATCACATTTTACCGACATTCGTTTGACAACAATGGAGGGTGGGTCGAAGTTCAAAAGTTGGCTTGGGCTGGCATCCGCAGTTCAAGTCTAGCCTGACCGGACTCCTCCAAATATGGGTGGGTAGTATTTTCACCTCCTTCAATGTCGTAGTTGGCATTCAAGCTACCGATAGAAAAAGATAGAGAAGAAAAAAAGACTCTTTCCTACCTACACGATCCAAGGTTTCTCGTTTTGGATAGGCGGCTTTGTCGAAAATGTTTTCTACGCAAACCCCTCTCGGACGACATTCGACTTGCCCCCAAGGTTCTAGTCAGTAATAATATATTGGCAACATTATATCTCGCAATAACAAATATACCTTCCTCTCCACTAATAATCAATTAGCTCACCCAATACATGGTTTCATTTCAGACCAGCGGGAACTAAAGCGCGTACTAAGTTCTAGAGCAATCCACTTGATATTCGTTTAAATGAAATTCTCATATCGGTTGGTTTGGAATAGCTACTATGTAAGGCTATCGAATACCAGTGAAACCGCCAGCCGAGATGCTTCGATCGAATCAGGTCTTAGCGAAAGGTGGGTTTTTCTGTTCAGAGTTGATTTGAGAAGGATGATTCAAATTGATCACTCTAGTGAGATAACGATGACGAGACTACCTTAACAACGGCTGCCACGTCAGTTTTGTAGCAAATAAATAATCGGGAGGTTTCCACGTGGGGGCTATGCGGTTGAAGAGAACATGGATTAATCAATGTAAGTACCTAGGTAGGTAGGTGACGTAGACTTTTAAACAATGTGTTTTGTCTTTTGACTCTTTATATTGACTTCATTGCTTATTGAAGAATACCTAATATTACATAGTATATATAAAACACCATATAAATACCCCTTAGGTAGGTTGCGCGGGATCGATATCTTCGCGACTAGGCAAATGAAGAGCCGCATCTGGCTAACCTTAATTGCTTTGCCAAAGCCTCAAAAGCTTGAGTTGGGATGTTGCCTTTTGAAAGTAAACAATGCGGCGATAGCGTTTATAGCATCTGTGGCGTTCGCAGGGACAGAGTCAAGGAAAATCCATTCGACTCCACATGGCGATGCCTACCACAGTTGATTGGCCAATGTTTTACGGTCAGCAGTGTCCCCTGAGGTTCTCGAATTCCAAACTGAACCGATTACCTCTCAGCCCCCTTTCCAAGATTTCGCTTCGTTGCACGGCACCTACCATACCTACCTAAGGTAAATAACAAATATTGACAATATTTCCCCAAATTGGAATTCTTTGGTTGCACTTCCCCGCTACCGTCCTTCAAAGGGGTATCGTCTACATATTAGCTAGCATTTATCTATCCGGTGATTGTAACCACCTGCTCATCTTTCGTCCGTTCTCGCCAAGGGGGGCGGATAGGGACGCTGTTATCAACGAAGATTAGGTACTGATACTGTTATCAAAGATACTTGTCTACATCACCTAACCTAGGTAAACGTGTACTCCGTTGGAAAAGCGAGATGGGAAGCGTCAGCGACTTGCCTTATTGGCAGGTGAACGTACCCGAAAACGAGAGGACGGAAGAGTGTCCGGAATTCCTTCGCAGCCTAAGCGTCAAGGATATCGGCATTATCGGCACGCCAGACTCGGAGTACACAGTGGCGACGTGGGCCGAGGTCCAGAGGATCGTAGCCGAGAACCAACTGGGCTCGTTCAGACGCATCCCCTCCGACCTCAGGCGGTACCTCGAGTACACGTGGAAGCTGAAGCGGGACTACGGCAGCGTCATGAACTTCGTTTTGACTCAACGGCTCCACTGGGACGCCCCCGTGAAGCCGCGAGGCGGGCCCTTCGAGTTCGAGGACGACATCAAGATCCTGTGGAACGACTGGCCGTACGGCATCGACCCCAGGATCGTCCACCTCGTCGTCTGGACCAAGTTCGAGCTCCCCGAGGACCCCGTCACCACGGATCTGACCGACGAGGCTCGGGCCGAGATCGACGCCTACGTGCAGAAGACATTTGGGTCCAGACTCCCGAAAGATCGCGTAAGTGAGAATATCTACAGCCCTTCAGTACCTAGTCTCGTCTCGCCCCCGTACCCCTAGGTACCTAAGTTTAGCCACGCTAAGATGTTTGGGGGGGGGGGGGTTAGTACATCTGGTTCAAGAATTGGAGATCCTTGAAATCCGTCCAAGCCGTAGAGCATTTCCACATCATGCTCTTCGACCCGGACCCCAATTTTGTCGAAGAAATCACGCACGGCGACGTCCCGTCTTGCCGCAAGGTTTGACGTGGCCTCGTTTATTAGGCGCCCCCTTCATGATAGATGATAGATGATAGACGATAAATATGATGTAGCCTTGGCTTTCTATGAAGACTCAAGATTAGACCAGCATGGACGGCATGTACCGAGACGCATCCTTGTATGCGTCAGGGATCCTGCATCATCATAACATGAATACCGAATCTGAGGTAGGAATCCATCGTTGGAGAAACACATAGACGGCTAAACCTGCCTCAAAGTTCGTGAGTCATGAATTGTGTATATTCATCGTGTTTGGAAACGAGGCTGACCAAGCCCTTGTAAATCCTCACGAATGTAGTTCCCCGTCCGGCTTCGCCTCGTCATACCACCCTTCTGTCTCAAGTATGATCAGACATTGAGGTCACGATGCTAGACCTTGTGCTGGAACACAGGCTATCCATGTTGATGGCACAAGGCCACGTCACAATCCACTTATGTAGCTTCACTTATGCCAGGGACCGTGTATCGTAGATCCCAACCCGGAGCTATGGCAGCCCTATCCGATCAATCAAAAGGTACCAACGGGGAGTTGATAAAACTACCATTCTATACGCGTGGCGACAGATTCCACCGTATTATGTTACACGCATAGAAGTCTCTCTATCTGATTCCCACAGATTTCATGTCCATTGGACGGCCTGTTGCATATTCCAGAACAGTTTGCTACCTCCTACGGTCTCTCTTTCACGGCACCCGGATGATGTTAAGTTATTTTTAGTTTACGTTAGATACCGATAATGGGGACAGTTGAACTCCAGTAAGTTTGATGTAGCTTAGGTAGGTTAGGTACCTGTTACTCGAAATTTTCAAACTTCGATAAGCTTTAGGGAGAAAGGCATAAGTTTACTAGCTACCTGTCTGTATAATGTGTTTCGATCATCACCATGTCCCTAGGAACGTTGACCGGATAAGACATGGGAATGCTTCAATACGGGACTTCACGAGAGGTATATAATGAAATTACCGACTTCCAGCGAAGAGCTCCGTGAAGGTAAACCAGTCTCTTCGTAGAGACATGTGCCCAAGTTAAGATTATGAAGCCTTCTATCTATAAGGCGACAATCTTGTAATATAGTAGCACAGGAAGGTTTTCTAATATGGATATATTTCCTACAACGTTAGAACAGGCAAGTTATATGCGTTGTATCACACAACTTACCACTTGAGATATCCACCGTCGTCCTGCATACCTACCTAGAACCTATATCGACGTTTCGTCGGAACAGCAACCCCTTCTTTCCCTTTCGCTAGGCCGTAGAATCACGACCCCATTGTCACTTCGACGGCTGGGAACTCGGCGGTAGGTATCGCAATCGGCTTCTCCAAGCAGACCTTTACCCGCCACCCCCGGTCTTTCATGGGCTTCGGGTCGTCAGCGATCCTGAAGTCCGATAAGATCTTATTGCCGACGTGGGATGCAAGAGCCTCTAGCGTCTCGAAGGACGAAGACTCTATTGCCTATTTGCATACGCGTAAGCGGCATTTCAAGACCCCGGGTATTTCTGTACAGCTGCATAGTATATAATCGCCTTGGTGCACTTACCTCTACTACGATAGCCTCCAGCTCGGTATGTATATCCTCCGCGACATCGAACTTATCGATCTCGACATCTACAACGAGCATCTGCTTGGCCTTGCGCTCATTCGGGTTAACACCAATGAGCGTGGGAATGTGCAGTCCATGGATGCGCAGGGTGCGAGAGTACGATTGCAGGGGGTTCTGGTTCGTGTCGCCCTTTTCTTTCTCCTGTTCTTTCGGCAGGTCTTCTCTGAAGCTCGCCGTCGTAGTCAAGCTCACGCCGGCGCCGAGGAGAGACGCCTTGGGCAACTCCACGGTGAGCGACAACGAGCGCAGGCGCGCCGCGTGCAGGAACGGCAACTGGTCCAGCGGAAGCGCCACGCGGCTGCCGTCCACAACGCGCCCCGTCATGCGCACCCACAGAAGCTCCATGACGTCCGCGGTGCGCGGGGTCGCGACCTCGGCTTCGTAGCCCGTAGCGGCTACCGCCGACGCCGCCGTCCCGGCCTTGGAATCAGGGTCGGCGGCATTGCCCTGACCTAGAAGCTCGAGGCTACCGAGCAACGCTTTGCTCAGATTGCCGTAGTGCACGGTGCCGGAATCGAGCTTGTCGGTGTTCGCCGACGAGGACTCGCTGACGGCGAAAGGGACCGCGAACGAGACCTCGGACGACAGGAGCACCGGCTGCAGCTTGCCGGAGCGGCCCCAGGCATCCCGGCCGATGGGGATGGAGCTTCGCAGGTTCCGCACGCGGACGACGGCGACGGCCTCGCCCGCGTCAGCGCGAGCGCGCCACGAGCTTACGAGGGGAGCCGGCGGGTCGGCTTTGTCGTTGGTTGGGGGCGCCGGAGACATGTTGGAGTTGAGGATTGGGGATGTCTTCCAGAAGGAGGACAGCATTGCTATAGGTGAGCTTTGAGATGACGCAAGGTCAGACTAGTAAATAAATAGCGGGTTTGCAATGGTGGGGGTTTGTTCAGCTGGAGGAATAAGAGTGAGGTGCCTAAGTCGTTACTAGGTAGTTAAGACTTCACATGTAATAGGTATCACACTTGACCTTGGAAAATTATAAGTGTGTACCTTTAAGGGATCTATTTCGAATAAAGATGAGACGACGAAATCATAGATATAAGGTTAGTTAATAAAGGAGGTTGAAAAAAGCACGAACGAAATGATGTATCTGGATTCTGAGCTGTATTTAAGAGGCCCCACTAACACAGTATTACTTCATTAATAGAAGACAGATTGAAATATTACTAGATGTGTTGTTGAGTTGTCCGTAAACAACTCACCAACTCATCTACTCATCTACTCATCAACATCAAATTATTCAACTTAGGCAAATGTTCATTAATGTATATTCTAACCGTATTATCAAGCAACCAATGTATAAATAGCTCGTTAATCAGACAGACGACAACTTCTGGTGAGATAGAATAACTCCATCGGTCCTGAATTCAATTTGAAGGTAACAATATATCGATCATAGCCTGGGTTAAAGAAGTGCAATAGCTTCTATTCTGCCCAACATATTTGAAATAGTTAAGTAATTTATGAGTTTGGCTTGCAACCGACAGAGCATTAACTAACGCTTATATAGGTAGGTACCTGTGTATTAGAGTAACAAGCACGCCTTATCTCCCAAATATGCCTCTTCCCGAAGCCGCACAATTAAAAGCCCATGGCCTTAGGTAGGTACGTGTCTTGCAGTTGGAATAGGAAAAGAAGGATCGTATCTCTCTCGGTGACTTAGACGACGCACGGGAGTGAGGACGTAATGTATAAGTTGTATGCTATATGAAGTGGTGAAACAGTACCTACCTAGGTAGACAATATCCTATCTTATCCTCAAGAGAACCTTACTACTTCACACGAAACAGCCGACACGTAATCGATACACTGTAAGGTTGGCAGGTACGCAACTATGCTACCGCGTAAAAAGCATCTACGACCACGGGAAAATTACTGGCGTTGAGGTTTTTTTTTTTTCTTTTCGAGTGCGCCAAACACTGTACAATAAATACATTTAACATCTTCGTCCACGCTTGGACCCACCGGACTTCCAACCCAATACAATATAACCATTTCGCAAACAACGAGACAAACGAGAAGGAAAGATAAATCTTTAATACCAGGGATCAGAGAGGTCCAAGATGGTTGCTTTACCGGATGGCCTAACCCTAGGCTCTCCGTCCCCAGCTCGCGGCCGTTCTGTCCTCGCATCCAAGGTTTTCAGCCCGGGATCTGTCGTCGCCGTGTTTGCTCACGGCGAAGGGGCGCCTAGTATAGCTATCCCGGACAACCTCCAACTATCGCGGACCTGCCACTACTGTCTGGCCATAGCGTCGGACGAAGATCCCGCTGCTACTTCGCCCGTGCGCGTGCGTGCTTGCACCGGCTGTCGCACGGTCTACTACTGCTCGCCGAAATGCCAGAAGGCCGACTGGGCGCTCGCACACGGCCGCGGCGAGTGCAAGGCTTTCCGACGGGTGCGGGCTCCCGATCCTGCTTCTAGCTCGTCTGGAAAGGGAGAAGACACCAGCCATCTAGTTCTGCCTACTCCCGTCCGGACTCTGGTCCAAGTGCTCGTGCGCCCGGAGATCCAAGCCGCGATGGCGGAGGTCGAGGGCCACGTCGAGACGGTGCGCGCTACCGACCCGGACGTGACCTGGGCCGGCATGGAGCTCCAGGCCCGCGCCGCGCTGCATTACTTGAATCGGGAGACGAGCCAGAGTAACCTGGCGGAAGCGATGGAGATATTGTGCAAGGTGAGTTGAAGCCGGGAATTTACTTACGGCTACGTACCTACGTACCTATCTATATACATGCTTGCTTGTCTCGCTCGCTCCTGAACCTAACAACAACCAGCTACAAGTCAACTCTTTCAACCGACTTGATCCAGACCTTGGCCAGAGCGGAACATACTTGAACCCTGCACTGGCTATGGTGAACCATTCCTGCATACCGAATGCGTTCGTGCAGTTCATAGGCCGAGCGGCCATCTTACATGCATACCGAGAGATAAAGAAGGGCGAGGAGATAGAGATCTCATACATCGGTAAGTTGTTTGGCATCGACAAATCTCCTCCCTTATTTTCCTTTCAACTACTCACTTTGTACCAGAGTCCACAGTGCACCGTTCGCAACGCCAAGAAGCGCTGAAGACGCGGTATCGTTTCGAATGCGCGTGCCCGCGATGCAAAGAAGACCTAGACGTCTACCAAGTCTGCCAGCGGTATCCGCATCTCGAGCTGAACTTATTCAGCCTCGTCCCCGACCTCGAGAAACTGCGACGCCCGCCCGTCAAACAGCATCTGCAGTCGAACAGACCTCTGCAGAAGTATATCGAGGAGATCTATCCAAACTGCACCGAGTCGCTGCAAGGCATGCCGCTGCCGGAAAAATCCAAACTGCTCCGCCAGCGCTGGAAGCTGTGCGCGCGGCTCCGCCAAGCCGAACTATACGCCATCGACCCCCTGACGCAAGTCATCGTTGAGGCGAGCGTCTATTTCTGCGAACAGGCCAACTTCCCCTACGCCCTGGCATTATCCTGCTTCCTCGCGCTGGACATCGACCCGTACCGCGGCCCCATGCCCTTCCACGGGCAGCGGGTCAAAGGCATGCTGTCGATCGCGAAGCTGCTCGCCAACACGGCTTCGACCGCGCCCTCGACCGCGCCGGGCGGCAATGCCGGGGCCCTGTCGGCCAGGATCTCGCGGGCGCTGGGCAAAATGGACCAGGCCACCATGTGCCAGACGGTGCTGGCCGTCGTCGTGCACTACTGCCCGGCGGCGCACTCGACCGAGTGGCAGGTCTACCGCCAGGCGAGCGAGCTGCTCCGGGACCTCGAGAGCCTGCCGGGCCGGGACGCCGAGAACGCGCTGATCGCCGCTTTCGCGAGGGACCCGACCCGCGCGGAAGAGGCCGAGTTCTTCAAGCTGCTGGTTCTGGACCCGATCCGGGAGCTGGCTGGGTTTGCCCTGGAGATCATGGATGCCGAGTTTGCGTGATGGGATTAAGAAAAAAAAAGAATTAACTGGGTTAGGTACCTAAGGCAGAAAGAGAAAGGGAAAGGGAAAGGGAGTGAACATTTTCACTGTGCGCAAGTCGAAATGCTGCGGGCTTGGTACCGTTAGGTAATTATAGTAATGCCTTATGACATATTTCTCTCTATTCTTGGTGTTGCTTACTAGTAGCACACCTCTTGTGCTTTTCAAACCCACTTCGGACATCTCTTTTTTAGGGGACTCTTCTCTATGGGATTTGACTTGGTATAACTACCTATGAATAGCCTCCTCTCCTCCTAAGTCGTTTGAAATGAGTACTCTCGCAAATAAAGGTGAACTCGCGAAGCCGTATTTCGTTGACTGAATATTACAACACTATATTGTATCTATTAACTGAAATAAAGGCACGAAGACATATTCGCAGTAGCGCCCCTTAAGCCGAAAAGTATACTTTCTACCCTTTGGTTCGCTCTTCGACCGATCTCGGTAGCTGTACTAGTAGTAAACGTGTACCTTGATGTCTTCGCTCTTGGATAGGCTCTTTGAGGGTCTTCTACTTCCACTATCCTCGGTAAAGATACTTCCTAATACTCATAGTGACTATGCTGTGCTTAGGTGTCTGCTTTACAGTTGGCCTTCGGAACTTAAGTAAGTATGCGCGCCTCGAAGAAAACTCTACAAGAGACACTACAATTCGCCGGCATAAAAATAGTTATATCATTAGATGCCTATACCTAAGCTCTCGAAATAGGACTGTATCTACCTAGGTCATGCTGACCCATACAGCACAAGTAACCTTAGGTAGAGGTAGGTAGCTAGAAAAAAAGCCCAACTACCTGCTTCGCAGAACTATCAACTACCAAAGGTAGCTATCCCTGACGAAGAATAATAGAAATTGGGGGTATCTTAGAATACCAATACCAAACACGATTCGTAGCTCGTAGCTCGTATCTCATATATCGCCTACCCATTGCCGTACATGCTTCCGGAACGATGAAACTGAAAAAAACACGAAACACGGCGGATTGGCCTATATGTATAAAAAGAAAAGTTACACGGAAGCTAACTTTTATTTCATTTGACTCCGATGAAACCGATGCCGTTACGCGCGACGCTAACTGCCTTCTTCAGCGCCTGGTCCTCCCTGTCCGTCCATTTCACGCTTAAATTGTCCCAGTTGCTGCCGGGTGTGTTGTATTCTTTCTTAAACTGAGCCTGCATGGCTTGCAGGCGCGCCATCTCGCGCGGGTCGCCGGAACCGCTGAAAACGATGAAACCCGTACACGGCGGTAAGGAATCGTATATGCGCTTGATTCGTTGGGTGAGGTTCTGAACACATGTTTCGAGGGACATGTTGGAAAGATCAGGAGGCGGAAAGTCGCTCTTCCCATTCCACCACCCCTGGAATGCCTCTAGCTCACGGAACCGGGCAAACACAAAGTCAACACCGCCAAAAGGTATCTCTTCTCCGGCGGGATCGCCTTGTACTGCACGCATGATAGCTTCCGCCACTTCTTCGTCCGAGTTGCACCCGATCGGGAACGTCGAAGCTGCTCCGGCACCCTTCATTGGGTCGCCCCAGTCAATCATAGCGCTCGTCTTGCCAACTTGAACGCCCCCTTTGGCTTCAACCCCGCCATTTGCGCGGTAAGCCTTCCCCGTTCTCGTCAGCCGTCGGAATAGATTTTCACCCGAGTCCTGATTCCCCCAAGCTTTTCCCTTTTCGCATTTCTGTTTCACAAGGTCCAAACATGCCTTTGCGTCCTCTATGGAATCGTGCCCCATTATGCCCTTCTGAATCTCACGCTTCAGAAAGCGCTGTGATAAGAACTTAAGACTGTTTTTCAAAGGAGGCCCTCGGTTATGTGGAAAGAGAATAGCAGTGTCAACGACAAACGGGTGAGTAAGCCGGAGCGCTTTTAGATCCGACTCTAGAGAATGTCCTACAAGGATCGTGCGTGGATGGAGAATTTGTAGAAGCTTGGCCTGTATGTCTCCAAGTGTAGTGGTCACAGGGGCTAACATCTGCTCCGTGATGCCAGAGAAACGAGTGACATAGTCGAGGATCGGCTTATCTGGCTTGACCAGCTCGTCGAGAACAATAGTTCCATCCCAACCTACGAGGCTGATCCTCGTAAGGGAGTACTCATCGGGCCCCGTCACGCACATCTCACAGTCGAGAGCCAGAATTTCTCGACCCGCCGTGACACTTCCTTGTTGGATTTCCTCTTCGGGAACGTCTCCATCTTCAAGGTTCTCCACGTTGGTATGAACCCATCCTTCTAGATCTTGAAAGTTTTTGCGCCGCTCCGCTGGTATGCAGGCGGGATGTAATACGTACCCGTTTGCTAGGAAGTCTTCTGGCATCGTTAGAAACTCGGTGATCCTTGTGCGCTCATCCTTCCAACCCTTCGGCTCCCTCGCAGGCTGTACGCCCCGTTGGCTCTTCTCTTCTTTCGTCTTCTCGGTCGGCGCCGTGAGTACGGTGCCGAGTGGTGAGCGGATAGTACCATATTTCTCGTTGCCGGGAGTCCTGACGGGCCACAGGTGACTGAACATGTCTGCGAAATCTTTCAAAATCTCAGGAAGCTCGTTCTTCTTGAGAAGTCGCGGATAATAGTCATCCGGAGATGTTAAAACCCGAGGTCTCTGGTCCGAATCAAAAGGCTGGTCATTATATGTCGCGAAATCGACGTCCTGCTTGAACATGGCCTCTTCTAGACCTGGTACCATGATGGCGACAATCTTTCGAAATTGTGGCCGCTGAGAGATTGCGACCCATTGAGGAGCTGCACCTTCTGCAAAGATGTAAAGGATGAGGTTTCGCAGCGAGTCGAGCGCGATCTTGGATTGGAGCTTGGCATTGTGATTGAAGGTGATTGAAGGGTAATTGCTTGATTGAGGCGCGGGAATCTTCTTTTCCTTGTTCTCCTTTTTCGACTTCTTGGACGAGCGCTTGCTTACGGTTTGCCATCCGTCGTCAGCTTCGTCATGAGGTCTAGATCGCTTCAGGCTACCAGCTTCACTATGGCTAGTACCGGTCGAGATATCCTCGGGGAGATCTGTGGGAATGTGCGGCGACGGAGCTTCGACGCCGAAAACTTCAGCTGGATCAGAGATTGACAAGGGTCCATCAACAGGTAGTTCAAGCGAGTCAGGTAAAAGCCCTTCCACTGAAGGGGTGATAGTATTGTCCATGATCGTGGGTTGCCAAGTATCGGACCAATTATAGAGACAATTATAAATAATAGAGGGAGCTACAAAATCGGATACATTGAAGAATGGGAATTGTATGTAGGGTTGTATGTAGTATGTAGAAGTTTTGCAAGTTGCAGGCCAAGAATTAAGATAACGAAATACTTAGGCGGGTCCGTTGTCCCACTTAGAGCTTATATATATAGTATGTGCATAGGTATGTACATATGCGTATAACTATGTGGGGGAGGCTGGGATTTCTAGGTAGGTACCTGACCAGGTACCTAAGATCGACCATAATTCCCCACAATAGTCCTATTGGCCAAATTTCATTGAGAATACCTTAGGTACAATATGAACCACGCCGCAGATCTAATGTGGTAGGAGGTAGTTAGAAGTGAATTAAGGGTATAATGCTTGTATACCACAGCCCCGTAGTTATGTCAGTACGATGGATTTACTCGCATGTCTACAGTCTACTACCTCTTATCCTCAAATATGCAAGTCGTTTCGAAACGTAACTAAGGTAGAGAGATATAAAGATATATATACATACGCAGCAGCGAACACCATACAAATACGACCCGCCTTCCCTTATCCGTTCGCCTGCTTTATATGCAGAATGCTCGTCAAAGATCGATTCCTTCCTTCTTTTGAACGCCTGATGATGCATAATTCTATTTTTTTTCTTCTTCTTCCAACTTGGCGTGCAATACAATACCATTCATCGTAGTCTTTTATAGTTTGCTCGTCATTGCTTCTGGCTTTCCATCTTCGGAGACTACTATAACGATGACGCAGATGTCGTCAATTTTCCCGCCGTGCCAGTTCTCTTGGGGATAGTATTTCTGGACCTCTTTAGCAAATGGCCCGTCAACGTGCTGGCTTATGCTCGCTAGCTTGGCTGTGGCCACGATTTGTGTTGCCAGTCCGCTTTGAAGTGTGAAGGGCCGCTGCAAGGAAAGTTTTGGTTGGGTGTATGGCAGCAAGTTGTCAGCGACGAGTATGCCGCCGTCACTTGCTTTCCAGGCGCCTATATCAATCATTCGCTGGCTAGCTATCCGAAGGATGTCTTGGTTGAACAGATTATCCCAAACTCCGTCACTCGCGAAAATGAGTATGTCGCCATGTTTTAGTGTGTGCTGTGTGACATCCGCATCTCTGGGATAATCGCACAATTGCGCGCCACCAAATGCGGCGGCACGTGCCAGCATGCTGGCCGGCACGATGGATAACTGATACGGAGTGTTAAAGGCGTGCGTCTGCGGCTCCGAATAGCTATGTACGGCATTCAGGCGCAAGTGCACAAATCCCGAGTCACCCAAATTAGCAACTTCTAGCCTACCATCCTCGCTCGCGATACCAATCGAGGCCGTGCTACCCCCAGCATGAATGGATCCATCCTTGCATACGTCATCGTATCCTCTCTGCATCAGTAATCTGGCTGTTAAGGACACACCAGTCGCATCTGATCTGTGCTCATAGGCTGCTGAGGCCATATAATCGCAAAAGCTATGCGAGAAGTCGGCTGGATCAACTCCACTGTCCTCCCAACCTCCAACGCCATCGGCAATGCCAAAGGCGATGGCGTTCGTGTCACCCACACGACTTATAAAGAAAGCATCCTGTCCGCTCGCAGGTCGCTTCGATTTGGGGCGCTTCTGCGTTTGGATGCGATTATAAGGATTGAAGTGGAAGACGTCAGTCGTCGAGTCGAACTTATTCTTTTTAGAGGAAAATGAGGCGGCTGCATGGTATGTGAATCTGCGCGGGGAGTCCGTTTTCGACTGCGACTCTTGGGATCGAAGGGTCGTTTGCACGGATAATGCTCGAGGGAATACGAATCGCTGTCGCAAAGCGGTCGAGGATGGAACCAGTGGCCTTGGTTGACACGAGATATTTGGAATTAAAGGCCTGGACAGTAACCCATATGTCTTGGAGAGCATCGTGATTTAAGCTGAAAAAGGTGGTTTCCCATGAGTGGCCACAATCGGTGATAAATAAACTAAACTAGGTACCCGACTTATCTCACCTTCTTCACCTAAATTTTATCTCTCTGAGATGCAATTAGCAATGTTCTAATTTCCTACCTTGAACTAGGTACCTTGAACTAGGGACACCGGACTGTGCTTGAAAGGCAAAGTTATGACAGACGGCAGCAGCTGCATGGAAAATGGTTAGCCTACATAAAATACCTTATGTACCTACCTAAAGGCCCAATGCATGCACCCCTTCTGACCCTCATATCCTTGGCATTAGTTTCGTTTTGCACGTGCCATCGTGGAAGACTCGCGTTTGGCGACAGACTGAACCCCACCTTAGGTAAGCCTACCTACCTAAGGTAGCTGGCAGCGCTGGGTAGGTACGTAGGTAGGGATCAAAGATAGAGAGATGTTGCGTGTTACATAGCTTAAGGCAGGTAGGTGCGCCTTGATCGTTTGCAGATGTCCATCAGTTCTAACTTCGTTCTAATTTCTCTCTAAACCTCAACCACTATCATCACCAAATATCCGCATAGCGACAATGTCCCCAAACCTCACTACAATCCCCTTGGAAATACTGATCCAAGTCACTTCATATCTCGATACTCGAGACTACGCAGCTGTTCGTTTGGTCTGCAGGAAACTCGAATTCTTGCTCTTCCGGCCATTTGCTCAAAAATACTTCACTCTCATCTGGTTCATGAGAACTGAATATGATTTGCAGGCTCTTGTGGACATATCGGAGTCCCGCCTATCACCCTACCTAAAGCACGTACTAATCGAGGAGGATATCTTCTGTTGGGGAGTATTCAAACAGAGAGAAAACGATAGCTATTTTATAAACAAAACGCTCAAATGTTTACGCCTCGTATCTCCGCGCGAGAGACTTAAATTTCTCGAATTCGCTGCCGAGCAGTCGGAATTCCTCAGTACCGGACGTGATCGGGAACTGCTTATCAAGGCCTTTCGCAATCTCCAACTTGAAACAGTCGAAATTCGTGGTTTACCTTTTTTCGGTCATTACAAGATTCGAAGTTCGGGAACTTATAAAGCCTACAAGAAGACCAGATTGCATAACAGGTTCTTTACGCACCCTGACTTGCGCCCTGACTTGCAGCCTGACTTGTTCGAATGGGACCTGTTCGCAAAATGTGCGCAATCCGTCCTACTTGCGTTAGTAGACTCGAGAGCGAGGCCGAGACGATTTAAAATTTATGCAATGTTGCCGGCAATGAATGGCCGAGCACTCAACATCCCTGACTTCCCAGAAGATGCCGTCCAGTCCATGGCTTCTAGCCTAGAAACTATGGAAATAGAAATAGATTCGGATCGCCCACCTGGTCTCGAATATCCTTTTAACAGCGTCATTTCACACGCAACCCATCTCAAGAAATTACGCATCGTTGCCCGAGTTAATTCAGAGTTTATCCAGTGGCTGGGGGCTCCAGTTTCGCACAATGGTTATAACATACCACCTCCCGCACTTACGGAACTTCATCATTGCTCGCTTAGAGGCTGCAATTTACCTATGCTGAGCCTCCTTTACCTCATTCAAAAGTGCTCGAGCCTCCGGAGATTGGTCGTGTTTGACGTGGAGTGCCTTGATTTCCGTATGATAGATGACTTGGGCTCCGACGAGGCTGCACTTGTTCGACTTTTGAAGAAGATACTCCAGTCAAGCACACATCTCGAGTTTATCTGCTTAGTTAAGTTGAATTTGGTGCGTTGGGAGAAGCGTGTCGTTTTTTCAAGAAACAATGGCCCTCTACGCCCATCATTCATTTACAAGGGGGAAAATATGAAGGAGGAGCTTGAGGAACTAAAGATTGCGGTGGAGGCGGTGGAGTAAAGCCATATAGTAATTTTTCGAATGATGGTTATAGCTTATGGCAGATTAGGCTAATAACTGAAGTTATTTAAATAGCTAAGAGGCATTCCTCTGTTGAGCGGTTAATAGAGTTGTCATCCTGTACCTGTGGTCTGTAATAACAGCGTTCAGTGATAGAGGGGGCCGGATGGGTACCTAAGGGACCTCCAGTTATCAGGATATGAAATGCATCTTCCATCATTGGTCTACCTAGTACCTACCTAACCTAACCTAGGCTAAGGTACTAGGTACATAGGTACAAATATTAATGCGATTCATCATTCATGTGCAGCGCTGAATCATTGACCTAAAACAGTAAGCGTCCGCGTGTGGAAGTCGGGTCGGAATGGAAGACGGTCCGTACGAGTTGATTAATTGAAAGCATGTGATTGGCCGGAACCTTCGATGCCAATAGCCGAGGGCAAACCGGGTCGGGTGGGAAAGTTCGATGATGGAAGACTTCCATTTCCTCTTTTGCCACTATTCCCGATAGCAACTCTTGTTTAGAATAATTGCTCGGCCGGTTGATTGATTCTCTTTCATCTTTAATATATTGTCCTAGATTTTTTTACTTGGCTCTTCTATAAACTTTCCTTCACCTAATTGCCAATTGCGACGGCAATCAATAAGGGAATCGACTAGCCAAACCAACCAAATCAGCCAAAACCACTCTCCCAAATTGGCCCGCAATGGCAGCTCTCCGCTCAACCTCGTCACGGCTACTTGCCGCTGCCGCCTCGCCGCGATCCACCGTGCTCCCTTCCGTATTCGTGCGATCAATGGCTTCAGTAGGCACCACCAACGTTGATGCGATCCCGAAAAGCAGCACCGACACTCGCATGAAGTCGTTCCAAATCTACCGATGGAACCCTGACACCCCGAGCGAGAAGCCGAAGATGCAGACGTACACGCTAGACCTGAACAAGACGGGGCCCATGGTGCTCGACGCCCTGATCCGGATCAAGAACGAGCTAGACCCCACGTTGACCTTCCGCAGAAGTTGCCGAGAGGGCATCTGCGGCAGCTGCGCGATGAACATCAACGGGACCAACACCTTGGCTTGCTTGTGTAAGTCGTCGTTTTGGCGGCGACGCTGAAAAAAAAACCAAGACGTCGTTTGCGGCTAACAATGTGCTCCTCGTAGGCCGCATTCCCACCGACACCAGCGCCGAGATGAAGATCTACCCGCTCCCCCACACATACGTAGTCAAGGATCTCGTCCCGGACTTGACGCACTTCTACAAGCAGTACAAGTCGATCAAGCCGTACTTACAGAGGGACACCCCCGCCCCCGATGTAAGCCACCAACCCGCCATAAATACTATCGTCTTTTTTTTAGTTTTTCAATACTAACAGTGTTGATTTCGTAGGGCAAGGAATACCGACAGAGCAGAGCCGAGCGCCGAAAACTAGACGGCCTGTACGAGTGCATCCTGTGCGCGTGCTGCTCGACGTCCTGCCCCTCCTACTGGTGGAATGCCGAGGAGTACCTCGGCCCCGCCATCCTCCTCCAGTCCTACCGCTGGATCGCCGACTCCCGCGACGAGCGCACGGCCGAGCGCAAGGCCATGCTCGACAACTCGATGAGCCTGTACCGATGCCACACCATCCTCAACTGCACGCGGACCTGCCCCAAGGGCCTGAACCCCGGTCTCGCGATCGCCGCCATCAAGAAGGAGATGAGCTTCTAAGCTAAGATAAGCGGAGCTGAGCTGAGCTGAGCTGAGTTAAGCTAAGCTGGACCGAGTTGGGCGAAGAGTAGAGAGAAGAAAGTACCGAGAAAACTTGTACGAGTCCCTATTAAACGACTTGACGAGACGAGATGAGTTGCGAACCAAGGGCTTGGCTAGACCGGGCTGGGGGTGGGGTTGCGAAGTGGGAAGAAAAAAAAAAGGGAGGGAGGGGAGGGGAGGGGGGAAGGCAACTGTATAAAGCTGGACGACGGGATATGTACCTACCTGATGCTAAGGGGCCCTTCTTCCCGTCCGGTGGCCGGTTTATAACGTCTTTAGCCGCGTTCCTGTTTTTTTATTATTATGTTTGCGAGCATGGTTGGAGTTGTGAGTCTCGTTTATTCGGCCTGGCAGCAATCAACCAACTGTGATATCAAATAAATACCTACACTATTTGCTTACGTTACGCCGTGCGACCACATTCAGGGTCGGGGATTATCTTTTCAAGTGCATGTATGTGTACCTAGGTACATAACCTAACCATAGGTACGATTCGCCTTGTTTATTACAAGAAACATCATCAGTCGCAAGAATTAACACAGCTCGACTCGAACAGTTTCTTCCGGATCCTGTTTAGATCTCAACTAACTTCTCGACTTTCTCCGGTCGAGTTTGCGCCTCGTCGCTAGCTGCAGCACTGGCTTTCTCTTCCGTAGTAGCGTCGCCCTTGCTCTCCTCATTTGCTTCTGGCTCCGTTGACGCCGTGGCGGGTTTGCTCTTACTATCTGATTCCTTCTCATTTTCCTTGCCCTTCTCCTTGCCCTTCCCCGCTCCCGCTCCCGCTCCCGCGCTTTTATTATTCTCCTTCTCCTTAGCCCTGTCCCTCTTCTCCTTCTCCTTCTCCTTCTCCTTCTCCTTCTCCTTCTCCACCTTACTCCTCTCCCCGCCCCGCTGGTCGTGATACCGGGGCGTGCCAGCAGCGGATTGGTGGACGTACCATCCTACGCCGGTGCCGGTGCTGTTGGCGTTGGCGTTGGCGTTGACGAAACCCCCCGGCCCGAAAGCCATGCTCACCGCCGTCGTGTACCACGCCGGGTGGTGCGCGAGCCCGACGTCGCGCAGCCCCGCGGCCGTCGCCGGCATCTCGTGCGCGTAGCGGCACTGCGCGCCCCAGCGGCACGTGCCGCGGTGGCACCAGTGCTTGCAGTACGTGCTCGACGGGCTGCCGCTCGTGTGGCTGTGGCCGCGACTGCTGGTTCCGGGGCGGAGCGTCGTGGTCCTGGTCGTCTTCGTCGTGGGCTTGCGGGAGGAAGGGGGGTGCCAGGATGGGAGGAAGTGGGGAGGGGGTATAGGGGGCGTGTGGTAGGAGGAAGGAGAGTACGCTGGCTCGGGCGCGTGGAGGATCGGGTATAAGGGCGGCGTAGGGCCTACGGGTGTAGTGGATGAATGGAACTCAGAGACCACTGGGTCGATTCGCAGGCTTGGCGTTGATATTTCCTCCGCTGGTGTGGGCGATGGCAACGCTGTTGTTGGAGGCGGCGGTGAGGCGCTGGTGGATGCTGCGGTTATGTTGTTATTGGCGTTCTGTTCCGTCTGTACGTGATGATCATCATTCTTGCGAGGAGCTGGTGTACCTTGGAGGCTGTCATTCATGAACACCTTGTAGAAGCCGGGATGTCGAGGCACAGTTCCTAGGTTCCTGAGACCCACGGTCTGCTCGACGCTGAGTTCTCGCGGTACCCCCGACAGTTCGAGCCATTCGGGCAGTTGGTCCACCGCGATAAGAGGCACGATAGGTCCGGGCGTCGTTACTGTGCCCGACGCCGTGATCTTCGTGCTCCCTGGGCGGACGATGAAGTAATGAGGAAGCGGCATCTGGTTTTGAGTTGATGGTGAGTCAGGGGGGACTGAGCTTGAGCTGCGGGTTCGCTGCTGGCTATTCGCTCTCGCTCCCGCTCCGCCGCCAGTGTAGTCTGAGTTAGCCATACTTGTATCAAGCTAGAGGTATAGAATATAGATCATGCTCTGGAACCCTAAGGTCTAATGCCAACCTGAGTGACAGTGTTGACTGAGGATGATGTAGGTTTATTACCTAGGTAGCTTAAGCTGTGTGTGGTATGTGTCTGGGCTTTGACTTTATGTTAAGCGTGTAGTAACCTATAAGACAAACCCTTGGAGAGCCGTCTGGGTAGATGCCGGTTCTGTTTGCTTGCCAGCGTTGCAGCGCTTGTCTGTTTGTAAAACTCATGCAGTCGAGCCCGTAAAGATGGATTGGTGTTAGACACTATTTACAAAACGCTGCAGTCTAAGGCATGTACATAGCCTGTCTCACTGCTCTCATTTTCTTGTCGAGAGATTTCCCAGCTTGGGCTATTTAAAGTACACGATTAAGATGGGCGCTTAAACTAGTTTGAATAGTCTCTTCGATTTTATAAAATCTCATACGGGTAGAATGATAACTGCTTGGATTACCGTTTCATCATCAGGCCTCAACTCTGATTTTCGCCTCCAAGCCATCAACACAGAACCCAAGCTGCCGCGGCCCGTCTTGCAGCTCTACCTCTCGTTTGACCCACTTGCCAGTCTTTGTATCTACTGGAGAGCCCTCTCCTGTATCCACGGCTTCTCCCGCTTCGCCTTTCTCTTGTTCCTCTTCTTCGTCGCTGCTGTCTTCAACTTCGTCATCGAATCCTCCAACCGGATCCCATTCCCCAGTCTCCCAGGTCAAGCGTACGCCAAGCGGGTTCAACCCAAACAGCTTTCCAGCGATACCCTTCACGGCATATATGTCGAAACTCTTCGGAATCCTTGTCGTTCTCTCTATGATTTCACCACCTTTATCTTTGGGGTGGAAGATGAAATGTACCGTAACCAGTCTCGCTTCCAGAAAAGCCGGATTGATTTCTTTTTGCCTGTTAACAACCGGTGGGCCATATAGCTCACATAGTTCAGCATAGCGTCTGTGCTGCTTAATAACTTCAGCTTCCTTGTTTTCCGGAACAGTAGCTAAGTGTTTGCCGATACGACCAAGATAAAACATCTCCGCATCTTGACGGTCGGTGTTCGATATGGTAGCAAAGTTGAGTATCTTAAGATTCGCCAAGCGGCCGACCGTGAACATGTACGCCTCTTCTGTGATAGCTTTCGAATTGGTAGAGAATTCAGGATCGGGATTATCGTATATAGGGTTGTGCGAGAACCGGAGGGACGTCATACCAGGGAAGCATGTTGGTAGCGCGTCGACGAACTCCCACGATAAGACTTGATTATATGAGACATCCAGGTATTTTAGACTTTCCGAAAACACAGGTAATTCATCGGATGCATTCTGAGAAATCGTCTTGATGAAATTGCCCTTAAGGTGAAGATTACGAAGTGACGTCAATGCGGCAAGGCTGGAGACATCCGTGATAGTAGTAAAGTTGTTGAACTCCAAATCCAGAGAAGTTAAAGTAGAAAGGAGTGTCGATAACTGGGTTTGGGGCAGAGAGAACAAGTGGTTCGCACTGGATGAGAGGGTTGAAAGTGCCTTAAACTTGGTCGCAACATGGCAGATTTCCTCCCAGGTCATGAGAGTCTCGTCCAAAGCTAAATCCTTAATGTTCTGTAAGGAGCTCTCTGCATTTTCAAGACCTTTGTCGGTTAGTATGTCTTGAAATCGATTGCCACTGTTTTGTAATTAGCAATGCAATTCAATATGGTCTCTTATTCCCGATCTCGACAGGCTTACTTTAGACGTAGACTTCGTAAAATAGGTAACTCGGAACAGATGGCCACGACAGTTTCGACTTTCTGAAATAAATTCCGGCTGAGATCCAACTCGACTATTTTAGGAAACGTCTCCCTAATGGAACTATCACCCTCCAAGTAAGCCGTTGCGATACGTGCACCATCAACGATGACGGCTCTCAGTTCGGATAACTGGGCCTGCTTGCGCTGGATCTTTTCGAATCCAACCTCCTCTGCTACTTTATTGGAGAATCTGATTTCAATTGTCTTCTCTAACTCGGAGGCGTACTTCTCGGTTACTGCCCTTACGAAGCTCTGCGGCTTCTCTATAGGTCGTGTCGGCCGCACAAAAGATGCGGCCGTTGCGGATTTAGATAGGCCTCGTTATATTTAGATTTATATTACTGATTATATACGGTTAATTTGGAGACTTACAAGTAAAATATCTCACTCCTTTGTGAGAACCGTCGTGTTTCCCGCGAGCTGGGTCGTCCCATTCGACGCCAAGCCAGCTACCAGATGTACCACTAACTTCGCCGACATATCGAACTGTACAAACAGCACCGTCGTAAGACAATCTATCGCCAACTTTTGGAGTTGTAGCCATTGTGATAGTATTCTCACTATAAAATCATTATGAACTATGTCTGATTCTGAGGTGGATAACAGATAACTGAACTTGGCCCGGCAATGTAGGATAGGTACCAGGTAACCTTTATAAATTATATGGAGAGTCGGATCAGGCAACAATTTTTATTTGTTACAAGAAGTTGTTGTTACCCCGTCACAGGGGGGGAAATTGTTACACACCACCAAGTTCTTATATTTTGACTAGGAGAAATCGCCATACGCTCATATTTTACATTAGGTACCTACCTATTCATACCTGATTGAAATCTTTGAAAAACTTGTGCTAATTACCCACTGAAATAAATCATCGCTTATAGCTTGCTCTTAGCTTCTCCCACTACCTTCATCAATGCTCGTCCGTTACTCAAACAGACCTTTCCACCCGCAACCTTGACCACAAACCTGATTTCTTCCCACTCTCCCTTCCTTTGTCCAGTTCTCCACACAGATGTAATCAACTTGTCTCCAGGTCTTACAGGGCTTGCGAATCGGGCCTGAAACTCTTTGATGTTGGCCGGGTCACTGCCACCCAACTTTTGTAGCAGGCCGTGACAAGCCGAGTTAAACGAGTATAAGCCGTGAATAATAACACCGCCGAATCCCATCTTCTTGCCCGGCTCTGGGTGCGCGTGAAGTGGGTTGTAGTCGCCGTTTAGTCGGTATAGTAGGGGTGTCTGCGCGTTGGTCTGGTCCTCGAACTCGACATCTGGCTTCTTGTCCTTTGGCGGCGGGAAGTTCTCGGTCGCGGGGCCCTTGGGACCACCCCAATTGCCCTGAGCGACGTAAAACGAGCTGCCAATGGCGCGCGTGTAGACTTCGCCCGTCTCGGCGTCCACTAGATCCTGCTGAATCTCGACGACGGAGCCCGGTCGGCCCTTGTCGTAGACACCGAGGACTTTGGTTCGGAGCTCGAACTTGCGGCCGGCCGACGTCGTAGGGAGGGGCTTGAGGAATTGGACTAGTCGCTGGCCGTCGACGACTCGTCGCGCATCGAATTCGGGCACGCCGGGAATCTTTACTGCCTTCTCGGCGGCATAGAAATCGACGACTTCCTGCTGGTTCTTTTTGAAAGCTAGGTAGTGTTGTTAGATTAGGTACATATATTCAAGTCTATGCGAAGTGTAGTTCTTACGGAGGATGACCGGGTAAGTCGGGAACACTGAGAAATTAGGATCGAGTTCCTGCTAGGGTGTCAGAACAACAACAATAATAATAATGATAATAACAACGACCACACGACGAAGCTGTTGGCGTAAATAGGTAGCCAGGAAGACTAACGTATAGGAAGTGAAGCTCGTCAGAAGTACAGCCTATGGTGTTGGCAAAGAGCAAAACATCGCGCTTTGTCCACGATACCTCGGTGGGAGGATATTCAAAGCCGGCTCCTGGACTGCTCATTTTGGATTTCACTTAGATCGAAGATCGTCTGGTCGGAATTGATATAGAGTGTGAATAGATGGTATATAGATTGGGGTTGAGCGAGTAGAGGGTTCTACGTAGGAGGGTATATATATAATAGGACAACTACTGAATATCAATAAAAGCAAGACCAGACTACCTAAGACTTAATAATTAATAATTGGTTGTTGAAGCTCAGATGCGACAAAGAAGGGCTAATACCTAGGTACCTAGGTAGGTAACTGTCCGGTATTAGGAATCCTAGGCCCACCACATGATACCTAATGCGATTCGAGCCGAGGTTCAATGGGTCTAAGAGACGAGTCTAGCTGATCTAGGTCTAGAGCTGATTGATAAGATAATCGGCACTTTATACCGGTATTTTGATGGGTAGATATATAAGTTATATGCATATATTTAGGTACCTGAAGTATGAATTTAAGGGAGGTGCATAAGGTTGTAAGATAGGTGCCAGGTACGCGATGACCTCAGTTATACTACCTAGGTAGAGATTACCTACAGGTATCTCTTACCTTCTTCAAAGTTCTCTATTTACCTAACCCAGCCTGATCCAGTAATTGCAGCAGTAATTGCAGCAGCTGGCTGTAGTGCAACTGCAACTGCAACTACAACTACCCTCACCTACTCAGAAATCTACAATTCAAGGTATCTGGGTTAACCTCCAAACCTGTGGCCAGGTAAAGAATAGGTATCCTGGATTTCTCATTCGTTATAAAAGCAGAAAGGTAAGCAGATCATTTCATTCTTCTCATGGAATATCATGTCACAATTCGACACCTCACCGTTACAACATTGAGTGTCGTATAAAGGTCGTGTAAAGGGGTTTCTGAAACATACATGAATATCCTACTTACAAATACGTCGACAAGGATAAATTCTGCTTGAAAGCAAAATTCCATTTACCAAGCGTCGATAGCTAACTCAGACAGAAACGAAAAGAAGAGTTAAAGCTCACTGATGAGATCTCACTCTAACGACAGTTCACGGCCTAAGCTCATATGATCTTTAACTCTTAGAAAACTCAACGACTTATCAAGTAAAATGAACAGCTTCATATCAAAGCGTACTAATCCATAAGATAAGACTCTCTCACCTAAGAGTGAATATGAGAAAACGAAGCCTAGTCAGAACGACTCACCGTTGAAAAAAAAGCTAGATCAAAAACAGAAACACTTGAGAAAGAAAAAAACACTAGCACCTTCAACAACTTTTTCATCTCAAAGAATTCTACAGAAAGGATTCCCTTTCTCAGCAACAACAACACTTTTACGATATTATTCGGCAACTGGGCCGTCATTTTAAGGAGAACCTCAGACTACCACCGGCATCTTACATAAACCCCAAGCAGAACACTATTGACGAGAGTCAAACAAAATGAGTTCTGACGAAGAATTCACCACGCCACTGCTATACTTAAAGGCTCGACACCAGCATAGCGATGCACCCCAATATCCAATGTTGAGCGGAATTTCCACTATGCGTGCTCCCACTGGAGAAGAAGTATGTGGCGAAAAGAGAAAGTCTGAAGACCATGGTGAGGCATCAGGCAAGAAGCGCAAGAAGAAGAAGACTTCAGGCGATTTAGATTTCTCAGCAAGTGCAGCAAGCGCTATATCCAAGTCGTCGAAGGAAAATATTGATCGGTTCGACGACGACGGCATCTAGGAGATGCTGTTGGATCCAGCCTTGTTTAGCGAAAAGGATAATGACGCTCAAGAAGCCGGTGACGTACTATCTCCAAATACCTCCACCCAAATCAAGGGTCATAAGTCGACAGAGAAACATAAGGCGAAAGCTGAGCGTCGAGAGGAAAGAGAGTCAAGCAAACGTCGAGGACGCCAGCATTCACACTCAGCAGTGAATGACGCCATAGCTGGCGCATCAACCTCTACCCATGATGCTCAGGCTGCCGACCTGGAGAAACTCGAACAGAGACGTAGACTGGACGAGATCGTCAAAGATCACATCGATGACTGGGGCATCGTTACTGACCGACCTGGTGCCAAGGAGAATGATGCAGATTGGATGATGATGTCTGGTGGGCTAGTCACCGCCCCCCTTGAGGTTCAGGTTAGTTCTTTATACTTTTTGATGTCTTTGCATTGTTCCTAATATTGCTATGTTGTAGGAATTATGGGATATCAGAAACCCCGTCTCAGGAGACCTCAGCGATGGCAGCGAACTTAAAGTCACAAGTCAGGAAACTTATAGTTCGGTAGTGCCTTCAACTTCCCAAGCCTCTGTAGAAGCTTCGTCTTCGTCTTCATCTGCATCTTCGTCTTCGTCTTCTGGATCGTCCACTACGGTCTCCTCGCCAACGCTCCATACTAAACAATCCCAGCGACGTCAGTCTGGAAATTTCGTTCGTCCTACGAAAATCAGCGGTCCCTTAGCTCCTCGGTTCTCTGATCGAACCATGCCTGCCATCACTCCTACATTTGCACCCACGACAATCCTCACTAATACTCAAGCGGTTGATTCAAACCAGGAAGAGGCCGATGAAGAGGAAGATGAATATTACACACGGCCGGGTGCAGTCAGCTTGAAACGGCCCCGACATACAACATTCCTCTCTACGCCGCAGCCTTAGGCAGGCCCTGCTAGCGGAAACACTTTTGGAAGCTTGAATTCTTACTCAATAAGCCAGCCCCAATCATACACCCAACCAAACGTGGGACTATCTTCGCACAGGCCTTCGACATCCTCCCATCCTCGTCTTGGACCGGCCTCATATGCCGTCCCGCAACCTATCGATGATCTCGTTACCCTAGTTGGGGTCCCGGGAGTTGAGTCGCCTAGTACAAGGACTAGTAACGGCGGGCCATCCTCCTTCGGCCATTACGGGGGACAACATATCAACCGTCAAGTCCCCCTCGTCGAGGCTCTTGCAAGGGACCGCGCGGTCTTGGAAAAAGAGAAGGAGTTGTGGACTAGAATGATAGGCTTTTAAAGATTTCGCATCCGCATTTCGCAATTTGCGCTAGGGTTGGTTTGTTGTTGTTCATTGGTCACGATATTCGGCTTTTTGCACAGATTTCTGCAGGGAGTTTGGCTTACCGAAGGCGAGTTCTCGTGATTTTAGGAGTGGTGGTTTTGCACACCCCTTCTTGTAAATTATCCGAGTCTATAGGCGTGGTAGTCTTGCACAGTACGATATGGCAGACAATCCCTAATTGCTTACTTGTTTCTTTAGAGTTGATGTTTACCTACCTTAGGTTACCTACCTTAGGTTAGGTAGGTATATACCTCTCAACATTAATTTGATTCTGATTACTTGTGTTAGTTGTGGCATAGGCCTTGTTGTATTAATAAGTCGTTTCCCTCCATTTGCTGGACCGTTATGGCATTAGCTACTTGCCTTTGTACCTAATGATTAAAGCAACTTCGCAAGTTCTTAATTTCAAACTCAAAACCCTTATGCTATATGAATTATCTAAGGCCCTCTTACCTCTTTATTTCCTCTTCAGAGGGGCGAATTAGCGGTGCTTCCGAGCGCTTGGGTCCCCTGGCAAATCAACTACGCCAGCTCTAGCTAGGCAGTCGTCTAGCCAATAGAAGCTATCGAATAGTAATAAACCCCATGGGTCATCCCCATTAATCCCATTATTTGGAGTCGCGGGGTCGCTAACTCACATACCTCCTATGTTAGCAGTTAGGTACTTAAAACTTATACCCTATTTGGGGATGCCGATCGAGCTCCGGGTTGCCGCGGGTTAAATACAACCGAGAGCGTTGTCAAAAGCTATTGGGACCGACTTTCTCAATTTCAACATTTTATTTAGTCGAACAAAGGAATATATACATATTGTGCTTGGGTATTTCTTTTTGTGGCATTATCGCTTGGTATGTTACCAAGATGGCTGAAAAGCTCATTAGCGCCGAGGAAGGTAAGATAGGTCTCCTAAAAGCTCTCTGGTACCTGTTCTTGAGACATGTACCTTTGGCTGTCGTAGTTAGCTAACCGGTGTATACGCGGAAATCAGTTGTAAAGCATACCACGCCCGAGAGTTGCTGGGTGGTACTATACGGGAATGTCTATGATGTAACAGAGTTCTTGCCCTCGCACCCCGGTGGTTCCAAGATCATTTTGCAGCTCGCCGGCCGGGATGCGACGGACGAGTACGACCCCATACATCCGCCGGGAACGCTGGAGGAAAACCTCAAGCCGGAGGCTAAACTAGGTCGTATCGATCCTCAAACTATAGTCCAGGCTAGCAAGCCGGCTGCCAAGGAGGAAAAGAAAGATGTGGACGGCGTGCCGCCCATGGAGAGCCTATTGAATCTCAACGAGATCGAGGAGGTTGCCACGAAGCGCATGCCCGAGAAGGCGTGGGCGTACTACTACTCTTCCAGCGACGACACCATTTCCAAGTCCTTCAACAACACCGTTTACAAGGACATCCTGCTGCGGCCGCGAGTCTTCGTCGACTGCACCAAGTGCGACACCTCCACGACCTTGCTGGGGCACAAGGTCGACATACCGATATTCGTGGCGCCGGCCGCGATGGCGCGACTGGGGCACCCGGACGGCGAGGCCGGGATCGCCCGGGCCTGCGGCCGGTTCAACGCGCTGCAGGTGATCTCGAACAACGCGTCGATGACGCCGGAGCAGATCGTCGCGGACGCGGTGCCGGGCGGGCAGATCTTCGGGTGGCAGCTGTACGTGCAGAACGACCGGGCCAAGAGCGAGGCCATGCTCGCGCGCATCAACCGCCTGGCCGACAAGTTCAAGTTCGTCTGCCTGACGCTGGACGCGCCGGTCCCCGGCAAGCGCGAGCTCGACGAGAAGCAGAGCTTCAAGAACGCCGTCCGGGTCGCGTCCGGGGTGAAGACCTCGGACGAGCCCAACCGGCCGGGCGGCGGCGGCGTGGGGCAGCAGCTCTTCTTCGGCACGGCGTCGGACCTCACGTGGAAGATCACGCTGCCGTGGTTGGCCAAGCACACGGATCTGCCGATCGTGCTGAAGGGCATCCAGACCCACGAGGACGCGTTCCTCGCGGCGAAGTATGCGCCGCAGGTCAGGGCCATCATACTGTCGAACCATGGCGGGCGTGCCTTGGACACCGCGCCGCCTGCTGTGCATACCCTGCTGGAGATCCGGAAGCACTGCCCGCAGGTGTTTGATCAGATTGAGGTTTGGGTCGACGGCGGCATCAAGCGCGGGACGGATGTCGTCAAGGCGTTGTGCCTGGGCGCCCGGGCCGTGGGCATCGGTCGGGCTGCGCTGTTCGGGCTCGGGGCCGGTGGCCAGAAGGGCGTTGAGAGGACGTTAGAAAGTAAGTCATGTTTTTGAATAAGCCCCATCCTCTGTATGTGTTTGTGCCAGTACTAATAGCATGGTTCATAGTCCTTAAAGCGGAGATAGAGACGTGTATGAGGTTGCTGGGCGTAGAAAAAGTGAGCGATCTGGGTCCGAGACATGTAAGTATTCCCCATTCCCTATCTCGTACCGTAAGACACACATTGTGTTTCTTAGATACTACACCTAGCTGACACAGTGCGGCCAGATCAATTCTAGAAAAGTCGAGAGAGACATCTTTGACGGAGACGCGGGATTAGAGACATTTGGGCTGTGGGATAAAGTCAAGTCTAGACTGTGAGTTACTGTCTACCTCTAGTGCCTAGGTGCCTTACCTTAGTATATACAGCCGTAGAGTAGGTAGAGGAGTTATGCCGTGTTATCATTCATGTACGCTCAGCGATAGTACTACCTTTGGATAAACCCAGCATAGCGATAGCGAAAGGCAGGTCTTCTATGATTACAATGTTATATATATTACACACTTATAAGACATCGAACTGGTAGTATCGAAATTGATATCCAATGATTGACTACCTACTTTCCTCGACCATTCTTATATATGCAATGTGAAGATATTCCTAACCAGATAATAAAAACACAACTCGGCTCAGCCAACGCCTTCACTTCAGTCCCGACCTGCGGTTGGGCTTAACACATGCAGAGAACCGGTAATCGAGACCTTGCCTTGGTCCTCCAAACCGCGAGCATACTCCTCGGGTAACGGCGTGTCAGCAAACAGAGCAAGCGCATGCTCCGGAGGATAACGAGCGCCGCGACACAAAGCCGTCTCGACGAGCGCTCGGATCCGCGCAACCTCGTCTGCCGAAAGCGCGACCGACGCAGCTGCGCAGTTTTCCTCCAGCGAGGCGGGTTTTGCGAGCAGGCCGCGTGACAGCGGCGAGTAGGCTACCACGGCGATGCCGAGCTCGCGACACGTGGTGAGGAGGTAGGATCGCGCACATTATAAGAAAAGCGAGGGCGAAGTCATCCATATCGTCTCCTTTTCCAGTCCGCACAAAAGCATCGAAGCGGAACGCCGATATAATCCATATAGGCTCCTCCCTCCATGCCTTATAAAAGTCCAAGGGGCTCTTGGCAGTCCATAGATGTCTTGACGAAGTCCATCTGTGGACGTAATACCAATCTCCAAGATCAGCTATATCTATCTGTACGTCAGAGCTAAGGACTTAAATTTCTTTATGCTGATGTCCTTACAAGGTAATTTGCGCCCTTTCAACACACTCCAAAATTGAATAAGTGCAGCAGATATCATATAGGTTCTCCTAACACTTTCCGCAAATAACCAGCGCTACGAAGTATCAGTAACCATGGAACTTTCTTGGATAGCTTTTTTACACCTACCTCCCAAGACTCTGGTGGCTTATTGCGAACTCTCGCAAGCTTCTTCCTCGTGGTTATTGATCCAACATTTGCTGTTGTTCTCGGATTATGAACGTTCTTATGGAGAATCTTCAGAGCGAGGCCACGAGTCGCCTCCGTCTGGTTCGCGTAGAGAACGCATGTCGAGAATACGTGTAGGATCCACGACGGCGTGTCAGTTAGGTACAGATGACGATGCATACATAGAGTAGAGTTGTCCTGGGAAACCGTAGTGTGGATATTTTTAAATGTTTTTTCATCGCATATGCAATCCTGGGTGAAGGGTCGGCAAGTTGCCATGGAGCGTAGTCGTCCTACTACTGCAAGTCTTAAGAAAAGAGAAGGTATTTCTTACTACATAGAACTTACGCATACAGCTGACATCTTAGAATAATCTTGGTGACTTAGGGTTTTAGTCCGTGAAATAGATACTATCTGCGTATCCTGCCTTACAAAGTCAGGTAGTCCCTGTATATCGCCGAATTCATGCCAATTCATCGAATCCAGTAGTGATTCAAACGTGTCATCGAGTTGGATAGTTTCGTCAAGAAGAATATCTACATCGGGTCCCATTGATGTACAGACCCCGCCGTCACCCAAGATGAAGCTGTCACCGTAGGACGTAGGCGGAGGACCGTCGAGCGAGTCTAGACCCGTCGAAACACCGGCGCAATTGCCGTACGACCGCGCGTCCGACTGTCGCCCCTAGATACATAGACGCCTCTTCTTGGTGCAGTTACCGCAAGCTGGTATCCGCTGGTCAGTGGTCACAGCGTCGCTTGCGGATCACACAGGCGTTGCAGCTCTTCTGCTTACCTAGATGAGCTTCCGCGCGGAGCCATGAAGTCCGCTCCAAGGAAGACCGCCTAGGTAGTGGAAGATTATTTTCAATTTGTCACCGATGGCTTTTTGTCAGTCGTAAATAACGGGTTTTTACCGCAGAGAAATTTGACATGAACACCATTACCGGTAGATGGAAATTAAAATCGAATCCATTAAGCATTGAGGAAACGGGCCTGCGGAGGATGACGCGTGAAGTCCGCAAGTCCGCCGCCGATATTCCTTCAACCTCCGGAAAACCCATACACCTTTGTTGTCCTTAGACTTGACGACAGAGCAAGCTGATTACAATACAGGATGAATATGAAAAATGACCTAGGTACCTATTTAGCATTACCTGCTAAGACAAAATAGTGTCCGTAACTATGTACCGTAGACAAGTCGAAATATTCGCTTGAACAGTTAAGGAAGTTTTAGGTACTAGGTATCTTAGGAGGTACTTAGCATCAAGATACGCGTTCGATAAAACGCTAGGATGGTGATTGAGATAGTTTTGGTCAAACCTCACACCAAGTCCATTTCTACTTGATATTCGCGTCTAGTCGAACTACACCGTCATGTCCAATCCAATATGGACAAACCTCCTGAATCTCCAATCTAACTATAAAAACCACCCTCGGCCTAATTTTACCAGACAATCCCATAGTCGAATTATTGCCAAGTAAAAAAAAAAGCCCATATGATTTTGTATCACTAATCATATAAGGGAGGGCGCTTTTCCATCCCCCAAGGCAAACCGGGAGCGTTAGGTCGCCGCAAATAGTTACCTATATTAGCATCATAGATTGGCGTTACTCCTCACGCGTACCATTACGACGATGGCTTTTGGGCGCTTGTTAGGCAGATATCTAAGCCGGTGGTTCTGGCAGTCTGAGTGACCGCCGTGGCGGACACGAGGCTAGCTGCAGATGTGCGTTCCGCCTCCAATCACACCAGTTGGTAACGCAGCACTTTATGGGCATCTCGGACGCGTTGCCAGAACCCCTGAAACCGTTACACCAGATTCGTCCCGAGAGCCACGGCGCCGGTATCACAAAAGGGTGTCGTGATGCTAGTAGCAGGGCCACATGTGTTTCAGTAACTAAAGAGAGATCTTTCTAGATAATTAGTTCTCTACCTAGGTACCTGGGTAAGTAGTAGAAAAGTGTGTTGGAATGAGACAAGAAGCCACGCTATGCAAGGGATGACAGATTTTATCATGGTATTTTATTCACTACCTATCTAGTAGGTAAAAATATGGGAATACCAAGTAAAAAAGGAAGAAAGAAAAAGAAAAGAAATTTGTTCTCTTAGCCGTCTTGCCGGATTTGTCCTCCCCAAAGGGAAAATCGGCACCGAGCTAAACCTCGGAGATGTCTACGTCTACCTCTCGGTCGCGAAATCCTGCCTATTCAAGATCTAGATTCGGCCGTCAAGCGGTTAACGGGAGGGCGCTGCGCTGCAGACGGGAGGCGGCAGACCTTCAGAGCAAACCGACAAGCTTTTATTTCCCAGGGCGTAACATCCGCGTCCGAGACAGACGGGTCTCACTGGGTGGTATCGTCGGGTTATCGCATCAGATCGCGCTAGGTACCTTTTCTCGGAATCTAGAAACGTGGTATACCGCACACAGAGTATGCTGTGTCTCCATGTCTCATTTGTTACCCCGAAAGGTGAGAGAGGAAAAAAAAAGGGGATATGCGCTCCCCGCCCCCATTAGAAAGATGGATTAGGGAAAAGCCATGGGACAGATTTTTTTTTGTTCTTCTCGTCAGCATCTTCCCCGTGAGGCTGGCTTGTAGTACCCCATTCCCTCTTGGTGCTACGAGAGCACTAAGACCTAGATCGGGGTCGAACAACGATTATTGTTTATTAGTATAGGTGTTCGTACGTAACTAGTATATAGTTACCATCGAAATAAGCAGTATAAAACTCCTCTAGGAGTCCCTTTCCCTTCTGGGGCCATATGTGTTGACAAGAAACGGGACGGTGCGACTGTATGCTGACATCGAGACTATTGGCCTAGCCGTGTAATGAAAGCCTGCGATTCACACTAATCGGTTGCCCCTGGCGCTGACTATTGACGGGTAACACTTACCATATGCTCGATTTTAGAATGGCTATGCCGTGTAGCCGCGAATGATGATTCCCTTTGTGGAACTTTCAAAGGCTTGTCTTTGCGATAATACATAGTAGTTTGAAGCCTCCCAAATCACTAGAGAAGAGGCGCAATAGAAACAGGCCCTAGCAACAACACGTGTGAACAGACCTCTCGAGAAAGCCTTACTACCTACCTAACGTATCTTAGGTAGGTAGAAGGTTATCATTAGACTTATTTGGCTCTCGGTGAGCCCGTGTACTGCGGCAAATGACGGGTAGGTGAACGGGAACCAAAGCTGACGCCAGTACGGGGTCGGCCGAGTTAGGATTCGAGCCATTCAGCTCGTGGAATGTCCATATAAATCCCCCTTTAAGCATATAACTACCTAAGCTTATACCTATGAAGGATTAAGTTCGTTCGCCATGACAGTAGATATGGTATTACTAACCATGGACCTGGGCGCATAAACTGACCATTCAGAGCTGGCGCTCTTCTCGTACGCACGTACGCGAAGGACCTCGGGTTGGAGTCACAGGCGGGATGGCCCCCCCGGCGGGAGTGGCGTGCAGATCTGTAGGCAATTCCTTCGGCGATAGATCTCACAGACCGAGCTCGAGCTATTTGAAGAATATCGCCGAAAGAGCTGAACGCATACCTTTATTAACTAGGTGATGTTGGGATTCCCACGATGTTTGATACTCACATGGGATCCGGGATCTTAAGAATTAATTAAAGAGCGGGATCAAGCAATGAATAAGCTGGCTTTTAGGTAGTTGCTATTTGCTACGATGTACCTAAATGGTAATGGTGACACCGAAAGGAATCGGCTCAGATTTAGGCGAGGGCGGAGGGCTCCTTCAAGGGGCCATTCCGCGGGCGGCGTCTAACTGATAATGGTCAGAGAACTGTGGTTATTTTGGAAACTCATTCGGGGTGCACATATCGAGTTTAGGGATCAGTTAACTTATTAACCTATGTGATACCGTTCAGCATGGGTAGTGTGGGCAGTGAACCCCATCCGGCCCATGTGATAGCAAGGGATATCGAGGGAAAGCAGGAGGCTATTGAAGAACCAAAAGCTATAATATCATGTTATCTGGTACCTAATAATAGGTAATAATAGGTAATAATAATAATAAAATGTGGCTGACTTCATGGGCGCCCAACTATTTTATATTGCCCTCCGAGAGGTATCTTATGTCCTGTAGTACGGTTTATTTCCGTTGGGATGTTTCCGAGCACTGTGCGTATCTTCGTCTGTCTGTAAGGCTGGATCTCTCTCGACCCCCCATAGGTCGGCGCATCGTTGATGCATAATGACCAATTATTATATACCAGTCTTGTGCGAGGGATGAATCGCGTAAAGAGGGAAACGAGCGGAGGTTACATCTGTCCATCTAAGATCTACCCCGTTTACTGATCAAAGTACAACTGTCAAAAGTAAAACTGTAACCAAAGAGGTGGGGGAGTTTTTAACAGATAACGAATATTTTCCTTTTCCCGCATTCGATAGTTCGTTGGTTCGGTGAACATGTTCACGCCAATAATAGAATATCACCGAAGTGATATGAAATACGGTTGAGAATAGTACAATTATTTCATTTTGATAGTGTAGAAAGATCGTTACATCGATGAAGAAAATATTAATGGTTAGATGTAGTATTTATCCTCTCCTGCGAACTCTTCCTGGTTGATACGGAGCTGCTGGATGTTACCAGCTAAGAAATATAAAATCGTCCTAAAACATTACGTACCTCCTATACTATGTGAATTACCGCGTAGTAACCAGCGGAGCCCTCCTATGTGCATTGCAGATAGCTGGCTTAGGTAAAGTTTCGGTAGTTATAGCATATCATGTTTATAAATATTAGGTACTGCTGACTCTTGTTGAGTAAGTACCTAATACAGGTAGTATCCTGTAGGAGCTTCTTGGCGCACTTATACCTAGAAGAGGCACGAAGTACAGTAAGCAGAAAGGGGTTAACAGCCTACCTGCATAGTATACGGATGTAATGCGTGGAGTGCATACATATGACTTCTCATTGTACGTGTTCAGTATCTATCCATGAATGTATGGATATACGTGCCGTCCACTACGTAGTATGATGTCCCTACGTACGTAGTAGCACGAGGCAGATTCTGTACTATGCTGCCATAGTATGTAAGCAGTAGACGCCGGGACACTACATAGACATGTAATCGACCGAGAATCGCACGGGTACCTACTTGTCTGGGTACCTAGTGTACCTATATTCAGGTTTACTCTAGTACCTATTAGGTACCTAAGGTAGGTAGGTAGGTAAGTAAAGAATTGGGAGGGCACGGCAATAACTCAGTTGCCCAGCACTGCTTCTGGGTACAACGTACCATGTCAGCATGTACAACTTGGATGGGATTGAGGGACTGCCCCAAGAGCAACCGGGTAAGAACTTGAGAACCACGGACCAGCACGAGGCTTGCCTTTTAATATCAGATCTGGGTTTTAAATCGAATAGTGGCTCGGTCAAAAAAGGACGGGGAACGGCCGAGCCAGGAGTTGGATCTCACTCCCGAAATGATGAGAACCACCGAAACAACCCCTGCCTCTTCCTAGCCTTACTACTAGCGGATGATATTTGGCTAGCTTGGCACTAGGCAGGGAATCGAGGATGGCGGAGACACTAGCTAGGGGAAAATTCCTTTTAAGTGTATGAGGAACGTGGCATGCCGCATGCCGCGCCCACACTCGCACGAAGTTTGGGGGGAGGGGGGGGGGGGCAAGGGATGGGGAAGCCTGCCAGCCAACTGCAAGCCAGCAGCCAGCGAGCCTGAACTGATCAATGGGAACATCATGAGAGAAATTTTAGGAGGGGTGGCAGGGTGGTAACTACGATCAACGTTATCCGCCTTGCAGACACACAAGAACCTTGACCTACATATGTATTATGTATTGTGTGACTGGTACCAAATCTTCACACCTACATGAAAAATTCTGACTGGTCTAACCGTTGGCGGAACCATCCTGTAGGCTATATCACATAAGTCCAGCTTACGTTTTGAAGTGCCGTCCGCCCCCAGATTTTATTTATGTACTATCTTAGGTATGGACCTTTGTCTCTATTTGGGAAATATCGAAACGTCGAAGCGTACCTAAACTTTATATTGTACCATGATTAAACATCATCTTGGCCGTGTTGTTATCATCAGAGAATTGAACCTTTTGCCTGGGTAAATCGAGGAGCGAGAGGATGGTGAGATACGTGTATGGTTGATGACTCGACGGCACGCCTTTAACCACGTGGACATCATCTATCTTAGGTAGGTAGATTAGGTGTAGGTACCTATCCATCTACATACATACAAACCTTACGTTACCTCTGCTTACCTTAGGTAGTTCCAATCTACACCTAGACACATTAGGTACCTATGGATGGTACTTATTTTTGTTTACTGCAACTACATCAACCATGCATTATACTGTATATATAAAGCGGAGAAAAATGTCTTAGTAAAAGACTTCCGCCTCCCTTATGCATACATCACACGCACGAAGTTGTATCGAGGTCGTACGAGCTTCTAAAGATCCAATTCGTCAACTGTAAAAAGTTTTGGGTAAGGTTGGTAACGTCTCACCCAAACCTCCCAGACCTTTGCATGTGGCGCGGATATTCTACGAGACAAGCATGCCTTGATGCTTTCTTCACTACCTACCTCCTAAGGCATGTATCTACCAAGGCACCTAATGGCAATAAACCTTGCGCGGCACACCGGAAGTGAGATATGCCAAATAGAATCACACCGATCCGATGACAAGCGGCAATCTAAATTGCATGCATCCTCTTAACATGTTTGTGTGCGACGCGTGTTGCGCATCCTTGGCAAAACCCGGTGATAGGTCTCTTGGTCCCAAGTATGCAAGAGGTCCACGAATGGGAAAAAACGGCATTATCCCTCCTTAGCTTCGGTAGACGACGATGACCGTAAATACTGTAATTCGGACATGAAGAAAGGAGTGTAACACATAGGATGTTCACGACCCCTGTGATTTGTTAAGAGGTATGTATAAGAATAACGGTTTTCCACGAAGACCTCATAAGTGTTGATCTGACTAAGACTGGCTGAGTTTTTATATCCATACGCACAATGCATGACGAAAACTACAACTCCGAGGACCGTGGGTTATCTAGTATGGCCGTGGACGATAATTAAACACCGAACTAGTGAAATGTCGGCCCGGCTTTTGGCATTCGCTGATAACGAGACGTCTTTATGCCCGAGACAAGATATTCAAGGCTTTCCGCCTTTTGTACATACCAGGTACCTAGGTAGTCAAGGCGGCGGAGAAGCTTGTCTCTATGTACCCGAAGTGGTTCCATGATACCTTAGGTAGGCTACTTAGATCTGAGGTATGGTATGTACGTAGCGAGGATGACGGCACAGGGATCTTGATTTACTCCTATATGTAATGTACGGAGACAACTTGCAGGTTGAACTGTAAGTTTACAGGATCGACTGTAGGCCTTAACAGGTCAGTCGGAAAGCTATCCGTTGCGAACGCACCCCGCATAATTGATAGGATTCGTTGCATAACACTCGTGGTGTTGGGCTTAGCCTCCTCTGCTTAAAACAAGCTGCTGATTTGGGCATTTGTCGATACGGCTCACGTGGCGGCGGGAGGATCACAGTGAACCAAACAGCCAAACAGGCATGATTATCGTAAGAAGCTCCAGTCAGAATCGATGCTGCTGCGGATCCTACCGAGTTCCTCCTTTTCAGGGACACCGACAGTAACGTGCCCATACATGATGCTTTACATCCTAGGCTAATTTATGATATCGAATTTTCAGACATTTCGTTCGTGGATGTTGAAATACGGATTGGCTATTATACAAATACCTATGCTTAACCCAATACCACTATACATCATACATTACTTCGTATACTTAACTAGCTTCTAATTATTAAACTTGTGATAACAAAGAATAGTTATACCTAAGCTCCTACTGGTTCTCGTTTGCCACATATGAACCATTTCAGATCTGCTTTATTTCGGATATTATTAGCTACCTGAATATGAAATGGTTGAATAAAGGCATATATCATGTACTTCGATTCGTTGATTAGACTAATAAGCAATAATAGGTAGTTCTTGGTCATATCTGGATAGGTAATTCTAATTATTTGACGCTTTGGGATTGTGACACCCTATTCCTTTCTTTCAAGGTCCTTTATGTCTCCCATACATTGTCTCCCGTACATAGGTATGGACATTACTTCCCATATCCTTGCTATTTACCAACAACGGTATTTGACTACTCTTAGCTCTGGCACGAGCCACCAAGTTACCGGTGCTTTAAACAGGGAGTTGAATTGACTTGGATGGATCTCCCTCCTCTAATACCTTTCAGGGTCGTTCCGATTGCCTGAGTTCGCACAGGCCATAAACAGACCACCAGTTCCCTGGACTCGGGCGGCTGACCCAAGCCTTTCCCAGCTCGCCTCAAATTGTTACTATGTAAATGGAACCATGCTGGCTTCGTATGGTATTTTAAGACGAGGGCGGCATATCATGTACCTATTAAGTACAACTGCAGGTAGGCAGTACCTAGGTAGAGACGAAGTCCCGTCTTGACGCTCCCTCGCGTCTCTTATCCCATCCAAAAAAAAGAGTAAGCTAGAATTCTTGCTTTGCGATTTGGCTTTTCCGACACTGACACTGGAAAAGAGGAGTGTAGCGTCATAGAATAAGAGTTTATGGTTGGGACTTGGATGGCCAAATGCTGAATCCTATCCAGAGTTGATGGAAGCAATACATTACCTATACAAGACCAAATCCGGAACCTTTCTTCGTTGATTTTAGTACCTTACACTAGCTGCCTGACTTAATTATGTATGTTAGGTTAGGTACCTACAATAAAATAATTCAGTACCTAATTGCTCCTGTGCGTGCTGATGTGGAAGCCGCAAGCGTACATATCTGTTAGTACTTCTATAAACGTGTTGCATATGCCGTACATGGAAGTATTCTGCTACGTCTGCATCGGCATGGATGCCATATGGAATGGCGTACATAGTACATATATAATCACTTCAGTGACTTCCAACTTCGGCCACGGGGGAGCTCCCTGTCGTACTCCACCACCCATGCACATGTGCATAGGTACTATGGCAATCCCTGCTTGACTTCACTCACGTGTGCCCGGTACATGGCTAGCCACGAGGAAAAAGAAACGACAGGCGGCACATTAGTGACACGCTAGCGCAGAGCCCATGGCACAACATGTATCTTATACTCTCGGTCGGGGTATCCTTCGCTAGCAATCTTCCTGGAAATAGCCATGCGACAAATCCTTAGCTAAAGGGCTAGCTGCATCGTCTCATCGTCTCATCGTCTCATCGTCTCATCGTCTACCTACCTACCTAGGTAGACGCCCATGAACAAACCTTTCTCCCACTAGACTACCTCCTACCTCCCACACGCTGCAACCCTTAGCCACCTTAGGTACCTAAAGTACCTGGTACGTCTTAAGGTTGATACAATTGAACGCATTTGAACATACATGATGCGTGGCTCTATCCGAAGCCGCAGCCAATGACCTCAATGTTTATAGATACCTATAATGCAAGTTGACCCTATACACTACTATGTAAGGTACTTATACTCACTAGTTATGTAACTTCGAAAACGTGTGTATCTACATGCAATTTAATACATGGGGGGGGGGACACTTGCATGGAGGTAGCGTGCTAGGCATGCATTAGGAAATACATAGGAATGGCCATCCTCTCGGCTCTTTTTTGCTCTTTTTTTTTTTTTTTTTTTTTTTCTTTCCTGCTCTTCTTCTCTGACCTGCCGTATCTCTTGTACCTCTAACCTACCTGTTCCTCCACAGCAACTGACACGCGCAGGGCCCCCTTCGATCCCAGCAAGGGGGGCCCTCTTTTTTCCCATCCTCCATTATTTTCATTTGGGCCTTTTTTTAATAGTAATTCTCCAAGAGAGCGCTTCACCTCATCCCCCGTTCTTCTCCTTCCACACTCCGTTATACTACACTCGACTAGGTACCTAGCTCCTAGTGGAGGTACGTACCTAACCTAGATCAATTCTTTATACACATAGACCTACGAAGTACATACAAGATACATTTATAGGTACCTAGGTACACACCTAATGTACAAGAAGCCCTTGTGCTTACGGGAACTAAGTACTCGAAACTGGGGGGTCCTTTATTCTCTCTTTTACTCTTACACCTTCATCCATTACCTGTCAAAAACTCCTCTTTCCCTTATTTGTTTTTTTGCTACTCTCCTTCTATCGTCCAAACCCAACCGTCCAATAGATACGATATCTACCTAGGTAGTTATTTCTGATGCGCATCCTCGGTTCGTGGTAGTGCTATATTTGCGTGCTAGGACCAACGACACGTTCCTGACGCTTCTTGACCTGTCGTTTTACATAGTTTCCCCGTCGGCTTTATTACTACGACTACTAGCTAGCTACAACTACATACTTACCTACCTACCTTACTTTACTAATAACTACCACTATCGCTACTATTATTATCTTTTACTTCTTCTAAACTACCGCTACCGCTACCGCTACCGCTAGGTACTACTAACTAGCCTCTTTTCGGAAACACTTTCCAACTTTCCGCCTTTTCGCTCTCTGCTTTTTCCTTCCTTTTCCCACCAAGCATCAAATACCAAAGCTCGAGCTTTTGTCGGTCCAGTTGCGCCTAATTGCGATTGGTTATTTAACGTCAATGCTGATCAAACCCCGTTCGCCAATGTAAACCGATGTCGAGCGCTACCGCGTCCCAAGTCTATCCGTCCATCTATTAACTTAGTTCGGGCGACTTGAGCTCAAAGCACCAACTTATATCGCGACGCCGCACCCGCACCTTTTTGCGTATCTGCGTATCTACGTCTCTGCTGGGCTTTAATGAACACCGCTTGCTCAACTTCTCATTAAAGCTACTATTTAGCCCCTCGATAGTCGTCTTCTACCTTCTCTTCTCCCCTTCATAGATCCAATTCAAGCTTCGCAAGCATGGCGACAGATCAGTCTCGGCCTGCGTCGCAGAAGATTCCAGCTGGGCTGGCTACGGTGTTGAATGCTCCAGATGACAATCGCGATTCGGCCTATTACTCGAGCACAGATGCGTCTAGTAAACGTATGTAATTACTATAGCCACAGCTTGGGTTGAAAGTTGAGTAGTAGCGTCGCTAACTACTGGAACCCCTTATAGATACTTCCGCAGCCTCGGGCATAGGCATCAGTGTATACCACTCCGTTCATGACAAGACTCCTTCTCCAACCACTACGAACTTAGTTCCCCAGTCGGTAATATCTTCTGCGACCAACATGAGCGTGGCATCCATGGTATCACCGACAACGCCAGGTGGTGGACGTTTTGATCGGCCACAGTCGATAGACTCTATATCAGGTGGCATGTCTTTGGGTGCAGCAAGTGTCGGACCAGATTCGCGACGGGAGAGTGTTGACAGCAGAATCAACCAGGGGTTCGGTGATTTGAGATTGGGTGGTTCTCCTTACGCGAGCCAGAACCAGTCAACTACCTCGTTCCATGGGAGTTTGGTACAACAGCGGAACTCCCGCGCGGGAATGGAACATCTCGCGGTGCATAGGATATCCAATGGGTACCAGCCGAATGTCGAACGTACGCCTGATGGTCAACATCCAAAAGCTGCTAGGACCGCACCCGCTATCACAGGTCCTGCTACAAGCACGATTGCTAGGGCGGCAGAACCGACGAAAGGTCAAGCCTGGGCATTCCCAGAGGAGGAGATTCAGCGCATGCCATCTACTGGTAATCATACCTTTTTTGATTCTAGGAGAAGTAGCATCTCGGAGTCGATTGCAAGTAGCCAATTTACGACTGAGTCTCGGTTACCGCCTGGACAGCGCCGGCTTGATGATAGTATAGGCCCAGATTTCCAAACCATTCACCATCACACCCTTCAACACAAGCAGTTATCGGATCTTCATAGCGAGGAATCCAGCCCACATAGCGGAAATCAGCCGTATAGTAGGACACCCGAGCTTCGGAAGAGTCACAAGCTAGCGGAACGGAAGCGGAGAACAGAGATGAAGGAATTATTCGATCAGCTTCGCGATCTGATGCCACAAGAACGAGGATCAAAAGCGTCGAAATGGGAGATTCTGACGAAAGGTATGTTGCTACAAAGTCAGGTACCAGCTTATTTACTAACGATGATGCAGCTATTGCCGAGCATCAAAAACAGAGCGAAGCTCTTAAGAGTATTACGAATCATTGCCAAACGGCTATGCAAGAAGCGGAAATGTTACGTCGTGAAATCGATAGATTACGCATGGAGAACGCTCAGCTTCGAGGAAGCATTCCGATCCCGCCAGGCCAAGGCCCGCAAAACACTGCAATGCCATCGCAACCGTCGGGGGATCCGTACGGCCAGGACCCGTATGGTAGAGCTTCTCGGCCAGAACTTCCACCCTTACGAGCCTTGAGTAACAATATTCCCAATAATCCCGATTCCATGACCGGCGTCCAATATGACTCTCAAAGATCAACTAACGGATATCGCCAAGATCCACATCAAGACCCTCGCCAAAACCGGTTCCAATAGCTGAACTACTATCATTCATATTTCCCTTTGTCGTTGTGAACATATCATATTGGGGAGCGGTAGCCATGAAAAATTAGAGACTTTCGGCGCTTTTTCATCGATACCCGTATAAGCAGACGGTTATACCCGTCCACGAGCACTTTGAAGCTAGGCGCGGATGGACTCGATACGGAGGATGTTACGTCGGAATAAGGCTACTGCCTAGGTATTTTGGCTGTCGTGGCGCTGGCGGAACTGAGGCGGGTGGGCTATTGGATCCCTTCAGACTCGCCGACGACGTTAAGGTGCGGATTGATGCTAGTCATCCCTTCTCATACCCTGGCCCCTAAATATCTAAGTCCCGAGGGACAGCCTACTTTTCACCTACAGAAAAGGATCGAAGTAGGAAATTCTATTTTCAAGCAGCGGATGGATTGTCTGGTTGTAGACATCGACGCTCAGTCAGGTGTTTCCCAAGTACCGGCTTTCGATGCGTTGTTCCTGGTTACACCACTGCTCGCGTTGAGCTTATTGGAGTGTATATACATATATACCCGCCGTCTTGTTGCTCGGCTTATTTTGTTACGGGTTTGGGCAATTTAAATTCACGAGGTGAAGCCACGAGGGTATTCTTAGGATGGGAGGGAGGGACATAGTAGGAGAGGTTTTTATAAAAAAGAAAAGGGTTTTGTGGTCGTGGCGGGAGTTAGAATGGCGTGTAACGATCCTTTAAAACTTGGATCAGAAATCTTATCAATACTGGTCAAATAGACCGTAGCTCGGCACGACGAGGATATGATGCAGTCTCGTGTTTGACGATGTACTGGCAGTTTAGGTATAACCTCCAGGGCTATTATGCCCGTGCTTCCATTATAAAAAATCTTGGGTACTTATTTTTGCCACAGCCTAAGGTAGAAGGTAGATTTGGCCGTATACGTACCTAGTAGATTTAACTCGAATTACCTTTATTTACTACATGATTCAACTTGAAGTTAAATAAATTTTCTAGACGACGATGGTGAGGCGCTATATCACCTAGGTATTACCTACTCCGTGCTACCTTTTCGGTTATTGGGTACAAAAGTACCTGACTTGCCTGGTGGTGGGCCAGTGGGCTAGCCAAATTCAACTAAGGTTAGGTAAGTCAGGTAAGGGTCGGTGGCGTGAATTGTGCGGATAAGCAGATAAGGTTAGGTACGCACACTATGTGGGCCAAAGTCCCCTAGTGGAGTCGAAATTTTTTCAACGATTAAAAAAAAAGTTTCTTCTGGAGAATCACATATAAACTGAGATTTCTACATATTGTGAATCTTCCATCCTAATTGTTCAGTAGGGATTTTCTTTGATTCAACAAATTTTGCAAAAAACCAAAAATCAAAATGTACGATCGCAATTCTTTTCCTTTCCTAATAACTCAACAATAGCTAACAGTTTGGTTTTAATAGGCATTCCCTCCGACGCGCAGCTGCTAGAGCAGCATGCTCTTCAATTGCGGTCGCTACCCCGCGCAAGCAGATTGCTTCTTTTGCCATGCAGATTTGCAAGGCAAGCGCGCGCCCGGCTACTCTCATGCCTGTAGCTCGTCACTTCTCCATGACATCGCGCATGGCCCAGGATGAGAGCGAGAATGCCGCCGTCGAACAGGCTATTGGTTCTGCTGAGCAGAACCAAGGCCCGGTGGACCCGGACCTGGCCAAGAAGATCTATATCAGAAACCTTCCTTTCGATGCGACGGAAGATATGGTCAGGGAAGCGTTCAGCAAGTACGGAGAGATTACGCACCTTCAGTTAGCCCGTGATCCCTCGGGTGCCAGTAAAGGGTATGTAGATGCATTGATATTATAGAGCTTTCCCCCCTTCGGTTGTCGGTTATGTTTGCTAATGGCTTTCCAGCTTCTGCTTCATCTCCTTTGCCGATGAAGCTGAGGCAACTCGGGCCATTGAGGAGGGAGACAATTCATTCTGGCAGGGCCGTCGCCTCTTTGTTCAACCCAGAACATCAGGCACCAGTTCCTCGCGGGCCCCCAAGGCCCCGGCAGATCCCTCAACCTCTCTCTACATTGGTAACATCCCGTACGAGACATCCGATGCCGACCTGAACACCATCTTCCGGGATCTGGAAAATGTCGTCAACGTCCGCGTAGCTGTGGACCGCAACACTGGCTGGCCTCGTGGCTTTGCCCACGCTGATTTCAGGACTGTCGAGGACGCACAGAAGGCGTTCGACAAGCTCCAGGGTTTCATGCTCGGACAGCGTACTCTACGTATTGACTTCGCCGCCCCTCCTAAGCCTGCTGGATCTGGACCCCGACGAGATGGATATGGCCAGGGCCGAGACAACAACCGCGGCCGAGACAACAACCGCGGCCGGGACAACAACCGTGGCCGGGACAACTACGGCTCAAACAACTATGGCTCAAACAACTATTAGCCCGTAGACAGGTTTTCGATGGGAGTGGTGCTTTCGCCTTGGAATTAGGTAATGGCCATAATTATATCTTCTGGCAAGGCATTTTTCGGGCAAACGATGCGATATGTGACATGTGATCAGGAAAGCCACGATGGACGAGAGGTTCGAGGCTTTATATGGATCAGGTCTTGCCAGTAGCTATCCATCCGATAATGGAAAGCTGACTAGGTAAATTGTATGTAACAACATGAGTTCAGGTTCTTTTAAGAAAGAGCCGCCTCTACCAAAAATTCGGTAGTTAGCACGAAACCCAGTTTACTAGGAAACTGAATGTACAACTTCTCTCCGATCATTTTTCATTCTTCAATACGTCTTCGCTTAACGATTAACGTAGTGTGTATGACATGGAAAATATTAATATAAAAAAAATACTCAGTAGCTCGCATACGGTAACTACCTAAAGTAGTATAATATGTGCAAATTTGTCACAAGTTCAGACTTTTTTCAAGAATAACTAGTAGTAGTAGATGTATGAATACCTACCTACCTCAGGTACTTAGGGTTATACTTATACAATGTGTACCTAACCTACACATGAAGCCAGCAAAATGTGGTTTGCACGGACCATTGATCAGTCAAATGGAAGGTTACCACGAAAGCATTTAAGTGGGGGTAATCCAATGACCTCGCTACCTCGGCGGATTCTAGTTTGTACAATACCTAAAGTACCTCCTAGTGAAAGTTCTGGCCAGTGCAGGTGGCAGGTTTCCTCGGCATCTTGGGACAATTTAGGTACCGTAGTAACCTAGGTACCTAGGTACAATACAATACGGCCAGCACAGTGACCTCACTTCCATGTTAAAACGCCCGGCTTTGTAATAGAGTAGAATTATGGTAAACATTGGGAAATCACCGCCCATCTTCAGCTACATGTGAATACTCCTTCCTCTTTTTTTCAATTTCAAAACATTTTCACTACAGAAACCATCCGTTTCTTTTCCCCACAACATCCCGACAGAATCAAAAGGGTTCTGCACCAGGTGTTGCCATACGATAAACCACTAGTGGCACTAACTTCCGCCACCAACTTTCTACCTTACCGACGATCGACTTTATTTCCAGTACCTAACAGTTAGCATTCGTTTGCATCGTTTGCATTATTCTAACTCCTACCATCATCATCGCATATTACTTATCTATCACGTTGTACATAAACCATCCCTCAACATGTCTTTCCTCGGCGGTGGGCCCGAGTGCTCGACGGCGGGTAACCCTCTCAGCCAGTTCGCGAAGCATACCCAGGAAGACAACAGTCTACAAAGAGATCGCATTGTAAATGGAGCTCCTCAGGCTGGTATGGGTGGCTTTCGCAGTGCTGCACAACATGGACCGCAAGATGAGGTACGGTTGATAATCTACAGTTTACCTATCACGTCTGCACAAGCTAACAATAGTCCCGTCTTCATAGATGATAAACGGCTTTCTACAGCAGAATGGCCAATTACCCAATATGCCCCTTGAAGGCATGAACCAGATACGATTAGATCACCCCTCCCATGGTGTCCACCTCCGAGCGAACTCGACTTCACCGTCGTGGGCGAACGAGTTCCAGCAGAATCCGCAAGCAGCCATGGAATCCGCGTTCAAGGTCCCGCAGGGTACGCAGTTCAGCCCGGAAGATTACGCCAAGTTCCAGCAGATGACCGGCCAAGCAAACGCATCCCGAGCGAGTCCCATGCCTGCAGCCATGCAATATCAAAATCCGATGATGGGAGTGGGAATGATGAACGGCATGGGCATGGGCTACAGTATGAACAACATGCCCATGTATCGTCCTATGCCGCAGCAGCAGTTCTCGCCAAGCGTCCAACAGGACAAAGGGAAGGGCAAGGAGAAGGTGGTGGAATTGGACGATCAGCAGTGGGAAGAGCAATTCAAGCAGCTCGAGCTACAGGAGAAGGATGTCCAAGAAAAAGATGTTGCCGCCAACTTAGAACCTGAACTCAACAAGCTTGACCAGCAGATTTTAGAGTCGGAGACGAACGAATTCGGCGACTTTGAGTCGATCTGGAGAGGCATCCGAGCTGAGGAGGCGGCCGCTAAAGAAGCTATCAACGAAGAAGAGTGGGTTGAGCAGCTGGGTGAACCCGAGTGGTCCGACCGCTTTGGAGATTGGGGCATGCCTAGTGCCAATAGCAGGCTAATGATGGACCCTGCAATAGAGAACTATCTCTTCGAAGAGGAGAACCTATTTAAGGACACCGCGAATCCCTTTGAAGAAGGTATGCGGATTGTCGACGAAGGTGGTAATCTTTCGTTAGCCTCTTTGGCTTTCGAGGCGGCCGTTCAAAAAGACCCCAAGCACGTGGAAGCGTGGGTTCAGCTGGGCATGGCTCAGGCACAGAATGAGAAGGAGACGGCGGCTATCCGGGCTTTGGAGCAGGCCAAGAACCTCGACCCGAATAACGCTCCCGCGCTCATGACCCTAGCGGTTTCTTATACCAACGAAGGCTATGACAGCATAGCTTACCGAACCCTTGAGCGATGGCTATCAGTTAGATATCCATCTGTTATCTCACCTAGCGATCTCTCCTCCCCGGCCGAGATAGGCTTCACAGAGCGCCACCAACTTCACGATCGTGTTACACAACTCTTTATTAAGGCCGCCCGTCTCAGCCCAGATGGTGAGCACATGGATCCGGATGTACAAGTAGGCCTGGGCGTGCTGTTCTACGGTGCTGAAGAGTACGACAAAGCCGTGGACTGCTTCTCGGCGGCGTTGGCGTCATCTGAGCTCGGAGCGTCTAACCGACAAAACCAAGTACACCTGTTGTGGAACCGGCTAGGTGCGACGCTAGCCAACAGCGGCAAGAGCGAGGACGCGATCGCGGCGTACGAAAAGGCGTTAACGCTGAAACCCAACTTCGTGCGTGCTCGCTACAACCTCGGAGTCAGCTGCATCAATATGGGGTGCCACGCGGAGGCGGCGGGTCACCTGCTAGCCGCACTCAGCATGCACAAGACGGTGGAGAAGGAGGGTCGCGAGAAGGCCCGCGAGCTCCTAGGAGGCGGCGTCAGCGATGCTCAGCTCGAAGCTATGACCACCCAGAACCGGAGCACAAACTTATACGACACCCTGCGCCGCGTCTTCACGCAGATGGGTCGCAGGGATCTCGCAGAGAAAGTCCTGCCTGGTGTTGACCCCGAGGTGTTCCGTGGCGATGTCGACTTTTAGCGAATTCTCTTCTCCCCGAAAATACACAAGTGGTATAGGCAACCTGGGAAAAGGAGGAAGCAAAGTTCTACAGACTAGTGAGGAAAGGAGGAAAGGGACACTGGTAAGATAGGACAAATTCTACGGCCTCGCGCTCTCTGGATACTAGGAGATTCCAGAGTATTCTTATATCGAGACCGTGGCCAGAAATAGCCGTATGAGGAGGCTATTGAGGTTACGGCAAATAACGTAGCCAGCCATCCAGCCAACCAGCCAGCTAGTAACCTCACCGTATACAGGACATATTATGGGTGTAACGCATGTGATTTATTTCAGAAGACATTCGCTTTCAAACGGGGATGTCCATCATAGTACCTTGCGAGATAACAGGGTAGAACGGGGTAAATGGGATTTATTATATGTTAAACGTCTGAGCTTTCGTGAGCATATCTGGTTATTATAATTGCCATCGGCTTATTAACGTCGTCTAAGCAGCTGTCTATTGAGACCCAGCAATGGTAGCGTATTGATATTGTAACATGCCTTGAGATAATTTTAAAAATTAGGTATCGGCTGTGTCTGTGTCTATGTCTGTATATGTGTACCTAGGTACCAGGTATGTTCATATATCACCATTGGACCGAGCTAACCTTGGTAATCCACGCAGCTATAAATACCTACCTTCTACCTAGGTACCTAGGTAATCGAGACATTAGAATATTCCATCCGACGAGACATTCCATATCAACATGCTGAACGATGATGGATCAGCCGAGATGACGAAATCGAAATTGCAGTTGGTGTCGTCGATGTTATATGACTTACATCCACGCCGTGATTCAAGCAAGACAAGTTTCGAAGGAATGTCTGACCCGTTAATAGGTAAGACCTTATTGGCCTATCCATACCAAGAGGTTGTTGTTTATTTACATATGCGAACTTGACGTCATGATAAACTCAGGTTGTACCGAAATATTTACAGCAACTAGGTACCTAAGGTATGTCGTTGTTATCGTTGTTATCGGTGTTATTATTATTATTCTCATCATTATCTTGTTGGCATGTAGATACATCTATCGTCCTCCAGAGCTACCTAGCTGGTCTACATCAGCATACCTACCTAACGTAGGTACCTAAGTCTATGTTACTCGGTAGATATTACTTAAGGAGAAGAAGACGACTAGGTGACTAATACAAATCGCGACCTGTGGGTTAGCTCTGCATAGAAGGGTTCGTTTAGCTAAACTACCTCCTAGAAATTAACGAAGAAAACTCGACGGCGTCCCCACAACCCTAAGACCCTGAAAACCTTATTGTTATTTTTTGTTATACTTCCGCCGATGCCGATAAAAGCATGCCTAAAAGTTTTGAAACACGAGCTTTGAGACCGTTTCAATTACTTCCGCATGCTTACTTTAGGTACTTGAGGTACTTACCTATTCTCCTATTGGGTCTTTCTTCGCATACAAGTTTCCGCAGCGGAAAAGTCTTAGATCTGATATGTAAGTGGAGCAGGACAGGCTTGGCAAGACGTACCCTTAAACGACAACTAAGCGTCCTCCCAGTAGGTATGGAAAGACCTTTAGGTTTAACTGATTGATCTGAATTTTATTATGTAGAGGTTACCAAGTAGGTACCCGTTACTGGCAGATGGATCCTATCACGACTTATGCGAGGCAAACTAGGTTACCTTTCGCTGAGAAGATTATACATCGATCTGGGATACTTTACGTAGGTATACTACGAAGTAATCCCAACCCGGCTTCATATGTCGAGATCCCATTAACAGCAATAGCTCATAAAACACATGTTCCCTTCCATTAAACGTAAACTACCAGTACGTGCCATTGTACGGGAGGCGAGAAGCGTATTTTGTACAACGAAAATTACCGGACCGAAAGAATCGTGTTACTCCCGCTGGGTAGCGTGAGTCGTTATCATGTGTTTACATGAAAATCGCACCGACTGCCAGGAGCATGGGTGCCACAAACGGAGCCACCGTCTGAGCGGCATTCGTGTTGGGCACCGTGTCGGGGGTGGCAGCCGAGGTCTTGGTCGCGGAAGAAGCTATAATCTTGTCAGATCCTCGAACCTAAATAGGCGCGTGTAAATGTTAGACTAACTGGAACTGGCATGGGTGCTAGACGAAGTGGTAGCAGAGGTTGAACCACTGCTAGTGCTTGTGACGAAGCTGGAAGATCCGGACGACGCGCTGGAACTAGTAGGAGCCGAAGAAGTCTCACTGCTAGTAACAGAAGCACTGCTAGTGAGAGTAGCACTGCTAGTGGTGCTAGCGATAGTAGACGACGACGAGATGGCCGAAGACGTGCTAGTCTCCGAGACTGTGCTACTGGCCGAGGTACCGCTAGCAGAGCCGCCAGAGATCTCGAACTGCTGGCTGTAGTTCACGTCGCTGCCATCGTTGATCTCGAGGGCGTAGGTGCCAGAAGACAGATCAGAAGAAGGAACCCAAGTGTAACTCGTGCCAGTCTCGCCAGCTGCGTGTTATTAGTAATTAGTGATGAGTTAGGCTATGAAGGTTTTGTAAACTTACAGGTGAGCTCAGAGACGGTCTTGAGATTGTCAGACGGGCCATCCTTCAAGGTAAGACTAACAGGACCGGCGGCATCGGACCAGGTAACCTCGAAAGGCTTGCCAACCTCGATATCGTCAAAATTGCTGTTGGTAATAACGACAGCATTGACCCAGGCCGGGAGGACGGCAAGGACAGCAGAGACGAAAGAGACCTTCATTTTGACTCGTGGTGGAGTATTAAAGTAATTAGAGAGTGACAAATATCTGTGGAAAGACGAGAGGAAGATTAGTAAAGCGCTCGCGCGGTAAGGAATTATATAGGTTATCTTGCGACAATGACGACTCATATAGTTCGCTGATATGTAAGACGAGTCATAAAAGGTAGAAAAAAAATTCAGTCCCATAAAATCATGACTTTTCTGCTTGTCGATTGAAACCTTGGAGACTTCTTGCGACGTAGTGGGCAAGTCAAGCAAAAGTGGGATTTCTGAGACTTCTGTAACGGATCATGTAACTTGCATAAAGAAATCGTAAACTTACCGGTTTTATTGGAATTAGTTGGAATTAGAAGACCGTACGCGAAAAGAAAGGCGACGAGAGAAAATGGGCTCGAGTAACGAACGTGAAGGTTGTTGTTGTAAAAGGAGTGAAAGCTCGAAGGAGTGGCTGGTAGGAAAGAAAAAGAGAAGGCTCTTGTCCCAACTTACATGCGCCAGCAGACCAGGAAAGTACAAAGCCGTGTCCCGGGGGAAATTAGCAATCGCAACTTACAACACCAACTTTCCATGTTTTTGACTTTTGGAGCTAGAAACGGCTAAAATCTCATTTGGCTAAGCCCAATCCGGCCTTCGAGGAAAGAGCTAACCTTGCTCGGCTGCTTTGTAGGTACCTAGTAGGTAGTATTATAGATTCAATCCTAGCCAATTATCTACGGCCGTTAAAGCCTGGGACCTCTTTTGACTTTTTGGTCTGGGCCGTTTATTGCAATTGCTCCCAACATTTGCCCTTTTCTATCCAAGGTTTTCTCCCTCTAGCCTTGAGGCCATGACGAGCATCATTACCATTGCTAAATACATGCCTACATAAATTCGAATCATATACGCACATAGCAAAAATGTCGCGAGAACCAAGATCAGAACACCACGACGTCCAGGACGTTGCAGCCTCGGCCATCACAATCAGGGGCATCCGTGCTTGCGTGCTAGTACAGCGCTTTTAGTTGCATTGTGCGCCAATGAAAAAAATGTCATATGATTTCATTCAGCGGTGCTTGCTGCCAACTTCAGTACTACCACCAATCTCCCTAAAATAAGTTCCATCTCTCATTGAGCATACCTATGCCATCCCGTCTGCTTCAGATACCGAGAATATCAAACACTTCCAGGTTATACATTAGGCACCTACGTAGTACATGCAGTACGATATTCTTTGATTCACCCGCATTTAGGTTTCAAGCGGGACTCGAGATATTTGATCCATCGACGAGATCTGCTGAAAAAAAGGAAGCAAATTGGCAAGGCATGGACAATGAAAAAGTGCAAGTCCGGTTCGCGGCAGGATCTCGACTCGTCAGCTCGTACAGCTGTGTAACTTAAAGCAGACGTGTGGGGCCGCGCAATCTCGCCAAAGTCCAGGCTAACAATCTTAGGTGATTGGTTCCTGCATGAAGGACCCAATTGAATCTGAGTGAGAGGTAACAAGGGCGCTCCCGGTCAGAACCCTCCCTGCAGCTTTCCCCAGGTACTCCATTATGCAATTCAAAGGGTGTCTCCATAACCGTAGTCATAACCATAATGGGCAACAAAGCCCACCACCAACTCCGGGGTCCCGGATCTACGAATGACCAATAAACATACGCACCCCTTATTTAAACATCTAGGTACGCTCCGCAATAATTTACACAGCTTGACTTCCTTGAAGCTAGGTTGATAATCGAGACGGCGCTCGACTGGAATGCGGTTATAAATGTACTTTAAAGGAGTGTTTATCTTTTCCCCCTCATTCTTCTGCTAATCTTCAGGAAGATGACATGCGCTGCTAGCTATTTACATCCCCTTGATTTTGCAGATATTACAATAGCAAGCTCGGGCTTTACTAGTGCCGGCATTCGCATTGAAAATCAGGATCCCAGCTTTACGCATCCGGAGAGCTTGACCGCCAAACCCAAAGGCAAATCGAGAGCCGAAGAATCGAAACATGGGTCAACCCTTATCTGACGACTCAACTGTGAAGTTGCGGCTATGGAAATTTATTTGCATATTATGTAGACAGCACTACCTGTAACCTCTATATTGATTATTTAATAGGATAATGGCGTCCTCATGGGACTGAAGATATACGCCTTAGTAATCCGAGCCAGGCATTTCGGACTAAGGACAAGAACCCAACTCTCCCTTAAGCCATAATCTATTGTTGTCGCAGGTTTACCTGGGGCCTAGAACGGCTATGGCTATCGTGCTACGTAAGGCTGCAGCGAACAACGCCACGACGGACGCCTTCCGTCTCTTCTCGAAGCTCTTCAACGCTTGCACCCATCTCCCGAGCTTTAACGACAAAGTCGTCTAATGAGCCACCCACGCCAAAATAGAGCTTTTTAGCACCCACCAGTGCTTCAGCCGTATTACCCTGCGCCTTCTCCTCTTTTAGAATAGAGAGGATGGTCTGTGTAAATGCGCTGAGCGCGAATGGGGAATATATGGTCTCAGCGCCAAGGATAATGGTTCGCTGGCCGGCTTCATTTCCAACTTTCGAAGCCTTATCAGCGTCTAAGAGGCCGATAAACTCTGCAGACCAGGCGCCGGAAAAGAAAGAGAGAGATATCTTGCGTGACGTGAGAAATTCTTCAAAGGCTTTGAGGACTTCTGGTGTTAAGTCTAACTCTCCTTCCGATGAAAAAGCATCTTCTAGTAAGGGCGAGTCTGCTCGTTGATGAAGAGCCCAGGTCAGGATAAAATTGGGCAATGTTACGAGCTGCAAAACAGTTGGATTATAGTCGGCTAAGACCATAGAGAGGGCAGAACTCTTGCCGGGTGTTCGAAGACTAAGGCACCACTGGAAGAGAGCCAATGAGGGAAGAGCCGTGCCACAACCGAGCTGGAGATATCTAGTTGGTTATTTCTGCAAAACTTGTGAAATCACGACAGAAAAGACTTACCTCGATCAGTCTCACGGTCTTGTCGGTGTCGGAAAGGAAGGATTTGGACAGCGAGAGGACCTTGACGAGATCCACGCTGCTCTCCCAGGATTTGAATCCGCCCTCGTAGACTCCGGTCTTCACATCATGATTGCCTAGCCCGGGTTCGGTATCGCCGCCGTCATCTTCGGCCATAAGCTGAACCCGGACATCCCATAGCTCTCGGCGGGGAAGCTGAATGTTCCCAGCGCCGTCTAGATCCACGTCCAAGATGCCATAAGCAATTTTGGAGGGTAGCTGAGATAGCATGTGATTCAAGTCATGACTTTTGGCGGGGAGTAAAGGTTTTCCTGATACAGGAAATGCACTAGCCGACGCCTGCGGCTGCTCAGGCGCGCTGACCTGTGGACCTGCAGAATTTGACTCCCCGTCATCCTCTATATCATCACCGGAAAACCCAAACGAGAACTGTCCAGACATATCAGATGAGTAGATGAGCCGATTAGGATCCTTCCTTGGCCACTTTATCCTATATCTGATACTATAAGATAAGGCAAGTGGCACGACCTGAGATGTGAATATATTGGATTAGGTAAAAGTGTGTCTTCAGAATCCAGACCCTTGAAAAATGATAGCGCAAGCTGGCGGGGAAGTACATGTACCGTGTACCTAACGCATTGTACGATATATCCGGCAATACAATGCTAGGGTAACGGTACTCTGTACTTGGGCTGCTTTGGCTAACGATTTAGGGTACCTATGGGCTACCTATAATTGACCGTGACTTCTTAAGGCACAGTACAATACCTGGCACTAATCAGACTGCCAGACTGCTATCGAACTTAATTGAGCACTTACACATGTGTAGGTCTTTTTTCATCTTTTTTTTTTCAACTCATGATAATTCCGAGCTTAGAATTAGATGCATCCATACCTCGCATTCCGAGTTAGCATCTAGGTATAGTACATATTGTACGACCACCCTTTCTTACATTAGTATTTTTTACACAGAGCTCATCGCGATCATTGGTTAAACCACAAACTGCTTACACCTTAGATCACATCTTCAGTATTACACATACATACACAGATACACACACACACATACATACATACATACATATGCAGGTGTGCATTCGAAATTGGGTATTCTCCCATGGATCTAATCCCTCTAAGCTTCCCATTCCGCTCGGCTGCTTCGGAGGGTAGCTCGGTAGATGCACGCCTCAGTGGGACAAATGTCCATCATCCCATGTACTATGGTAAAGTTCCCAGTACAGTGCAGCACAGTCGTTAAAGCACAGTTATAAGGAACGTGGAAGCCCCTCTACGACAATGGGCGATTGGCTGAAATACGATACCAACGTCCACGCCCCATTAGTGATAGCCATGATAATCATGATAACCAAGCAAGACGACCTATCAGGCAACTCGCCATCGGCTTTCGAGTTGAAGGACTTGGCAATTCAATCCTAGTCTTTCTCTCCATTCGGCTTGAACTATCGTGGCAAACAAGTCCAGTTGCAATGGGCTGCTTTTATCATCCGCACGTCGGCAGGGGGGATGGCTGTAAATAAAATATCATCAGTCCGAGTATCAGTCCGAGTAGATGCGCAAACACTAGCCATATACGTAATGTGATATGTGTCGAGGGGGTAACAGATAGATTACATTGTGAGTGGATAGCGGGCCATGTTGCTTCCCTGACATAGCAAACCACCGAAAGGAAGCTTCCGTCGATGATGGTAGGCTGAGATACGCAGCTCCCTGTTACTCAACTTCTTTTTCCATCCTCCAAGTTACAAGGTCTTTAGGCTCTGTATCCGCTTTCAGCTAAGCCTTCTATAACGCCAAGGGTAGTAGAGAAGAAATACGAACTTACGTCTATTAGTTCGTTTTTCTTTTTTTTTTTTTGTTCTCACAACTCGAGGCACAAGCTCAAGCTTATATATAAAGCTTGTACCCTTAGACACGACGGTATGGGCAACATTTCAAAACTACAACGTCGTGTGTCTCGTCTTCTCACCATTCCAGCCAGCATGACACGCCATAAAACCAGTCACAAAGAACCCCAAGTGCCAGACTATGGTGAAAAAACTATAAACAACTCCAAGACTCCTGATATCGTATCAAGACCGCCTTACACAATCAGGGAAGCGCCCCTCGGAACTTCCAAACATGTCCGGATCGTAGGTATTGGGGCGGGGGCTAGCGGCATAAACATGATACGGACCCTCAGGAGAAATATAACCAACTACGAATTCATAATCTACGAAAAGAACAGGAAAGTCGGCGGGACGTGGTTCGAGAATCGATACCCGGGATGTAGATGTGACGTACCAAGTCACAACTATCAGTTCTCATGGCGTCCGAATCCCGAATGGTCCAATTTCTTCGTGCCTGCCGGGGAGATTGGGCAATATCTAGATCGGATATGCGAAGAGGAGGGTATGTTGGACGTCATAAAGACTCAACACAAAGTTGTTGGCGCCTGGTGGGACGAGGACCGTGGCCTTTGGGACTTGAGCGTCGTGAATCTTGAAACCGGTCAAGAGTTCAGGGATAGTGCCAACTTCCTTGTTAACGCAGCAGGCATTCTAAAGTAAGATAGAAGATTGAGCATTGACTTATCCCCTATGTACCTAAGGGAATGCTACTAATGAAGGTATTCCAGTAACTGGAAATGGCCAGATATCTCGGGTATAAATGACTTCAAGGGGGACCTAATACATACTGCTAGCTGGCCTAAAGACTTCGACTATACTAACAAGACCGTCGCTGTGATTGGAAATGGCTCGTCTGGTATCCAGCTACTTCCCACGATCCAGCCAGGTCAGTGAGCTTCTATTCTAATTGCGAACAACACGAACTGACGTTTAGGAGGTGTCAAAAAGCTGTACCATTTCGTCCGTACTCCGACATGGATCATTCCCCCACGAATATTGTCTATGAAGGTGATGGGGGGACCTGCGAAAGAGATCTTAAGCGAGATAGAGCTCGACGAGAAGGAGAATTTTACGCCACGGCAAATCGAGAAGTTCAAGGCTGACCCTGCCTTTTACCGCAAATTTATCAAAACAATTGAGAAGGACAGCAACGGAGCGTTCGCACTCGTAAGAAGACATTTACTGTTTGCTCTCATATTACATTACCGTTAACACTTCCATGTATAGATCGTGAACGGTAGTCCGGCGCAGAAGTTTGCAACGAGTAAGGTTGTCGAGTATATGACAGCAGCGCTAGGGGGCGACGAGAGGCTTTGCAAGGCCCTAATCCCCAAGTTTCCTCTGGGAACTCGCAGAATAACGCCGGCGCCAGGCTATTTGGAAGCTCTTAGGGCTCCGAATACAGAAGTCATCACAGAGAGGATTGCTGCAGTTGTGCCGGAAGGTATCCAACTCGAATCAGGCGAGGTCATCAAGCTAGACGCTATAATATGCGCTACGGGCTTCGATACATCCTTCGTCCCACGATTCCCCATCGTTGGCAGACACGGGAACGTTCAGGACGCGATGAAGACAGAAACGCCGAAGGGCTACATGTCATGCGCGCTTCCCGGCGTGCCCAACTACTTCAGTAAGTGTTCCCAAATAATTTACTCCTATGATTATCTGCCGCATCCTAACACGTCTTCGAAGCCTTCCTCGGTCCCAACGGGCCCATCGGCCACGGCAGCGTCTTCACCCTCAGCGAGCATATAGCCAGGTACATCACACGCATAATAGCCAAGTGCCAGAAAGAAAGCATCAAGGCGATCGCGCCGTCAGACGCGGCAGTCGCCGACTACGCGCAGCACGTGGCGGCCTTCATGCCGCGCACGGCGTGGGCTGCGCCGGGGAAATCCTGGTTCAAGGGCGGCGCCGAGGACGGGCCTGTGACGGCCCTGCACCCGGGGAGTCGCGTGCACTTCTTCCACATGCTCGAGCACTTCCGCGGCGAGGACTTCGAGTACGTCTACGACGGCCCCGCGGGTAATAGGTTCCACTACTTGGGCAATGGCTTCTCGGCTAGGGAGCTTGATCCTAGTGTCGATTCGACTTGGTACTTGGACGAGGCGGTGGACGGTCCTGTATATATGTAATTGCCTAAGGTGCCTAGGTACATATATAAGGCACTTATAGATAGCAGGAGCCAAGTTTATAAGGATTGGTATTGTGAATGTCTACCGCCTAAGGTAAGGTAGGTAGGTAGGTAGGTAGGTATATACATATTTGTGGCTTTAGACCCGGGAAAGAGTATATGAATGCACGTTACGACTTTTCTTCTCTGTTGAAATGAGCTTAATATAAAGGTACCTACCTATGAATCGTCTTGCCTACCCAGCTTATACAGCTTGTAGGTACATTAAGTACCTGTTATATGTTAGTCTTGTTTTAGTCTTCTAACTCCTAGCTACGTGCTATTTTAAGTGAGTTAGCTACCAGTAAGACTTCGCGTTCCCAATATTCCAGAAAGAAAAAAAGGCTCGTAGTTTCATCTTGGACCAACATGCTTTAGTGGTGGATGCTATCGTGTAATTGACGCTGGCATTAAAACTTAGTGGCGCTTAAATAGGTAATCCACTTCAGCTAGTTGACTTATTCTCTTTAGCACGAGATGTAAAAATAGGTAAGCTCCAGCTCGCAAATACACAATCCAATACATTATGAATAAACTCATACAACTACTTGATAATAGGTTATTGCTTCGTTGTTTGTCTCCCGCTGTTTGGCAAGGGAGAGCCGACCCAAGCAGCTGGCTCTATTGCAACGCCTTTCATAGGCGTGTTAGCCCGTTGGTGGTGGGGGTCACGGGTCGTTCCGAGCCATTGATAACCTGTCACGTCCATAGAGCTTACAAGATATCATCTTTTGAAACACCGCTATATAGAATCTATGTGGCGAATTACTTACCTGTTATTACTTCCCCTGTTTGTAAGAGGAAGAGGTTATCATCTATTGGTAATGGTCTTGATGAGCTTACGGAGGGGATGTATCTTGGGAGAAAGAGAAGGAAAAAAAGCACAGGCGCTTCGGAAAAGCAATGAGGCTCTTAATACCAGCGCGTCGGAAATCTCTTCATGCCCAATGATTAGGACTCATATATGGGTTATTATTACCCTCTCCCATCCATAAGTGGAAGCGTAGTATGCATTTTACCAGAAACAGAAGCTGAAGCTGAAGCTGAGCGAAGCTGAAAACACTTCGTCCTCGGGAAGCCCAAGAGGCCACAACACGGGCCGAGTGGTGCTTTTTTTTTCGCGGCCCAACCCACCACCCAACAGTATTCGGACCATTCGTATTACTCCATATACCGCCGCCTGTTTCGACAAGCCTCCACAACGTACCTACCTAAGGTATGCAAGGCGTGTCTTTCCCAGGCGGCTATTTGGTCGAACTCCGCACCCTTGGGGATTTTCGAAAGCTTGCTGTTCGTTTGCTGTTCATTTTGCCCAATCGAATCGAATCCCACATTGTCGCGGACATTTACTGGTAGGTAAGCCCAGATGGGTTGTTCGGTTTCCATGTTGCACCACCAGCAACTGCGTGGGATCCTTGCGCCCTGCATTAGGTACTCGCCTATTGGCCCGCCGTGATGCTGTGTTTCTGGCACCGCCCTCTCGCCCACATGATTTCTTGCCATGTATGTAGGTAAGATAGGTAGTGCATGTGCATAATATATATCTGGTTGGCCTCACTTGCCATCATTTTGAATCTTCCCTAGTTTTTCTATTTTTCGACATTATTGATACCCTTGTTAATTTGCTTTTTTTTTGTCCTTCATAGCGATAACTCATCGGATTTGTTTATTTTTATTTTTTTTGGCATAACGTTGTTATTATAGATCTCTTTTCTCGCCCCTTTTGGATAATACCTTACTAGAACGAAGCCTCACTTGTAGTGCGCGAGGCCTCGGCAAGTTAGATCCGTGTAAAAGACCGGTTCGGAAGAGAGGGAATAGGGAAAGAAGGAAGAAAAAGACATGTCTAAAAACGATGGCACACCGGTAAATCTACTTGCGTTAGGTATATACACATTTTACTTATATTCATGTGACTAGGTAGTCATCTAGTAGATGTTCAAGTGTAAGCGGCTAACCTTTGTGTCAATGGCAGATGGTGGAGGAATTCGCGGGATATGCGAACTCAGGGTCTTAGACGAGATCATGAAGCGAGTCCAGAAAGCGCAAAATCTAGCCACCATACCGAAGCCATGCGACTATTTTGATCTCATGGGAGGCACGAGTACTGGCGGGTAAGAAAACCTAGCGAGTTGCCGTTCCCAGGGGGTGGAGATAGACGTCAAGGGGGGAACACAGATGTTGAGGCAATAAACAGTATGGATGATGTATCATTTCACTAACGAAAGCGATGTGGGAAATTAGGCTCGTTGCCATCCTCCTCTCGCGGTTCAAAATGACGACGACGGAAGCGATTGAGGCTTACTACGACTTCTCGGGTAAGATATTTTCGAAAAGAAATAGGAAGGGGTTTATGGCCTACTTGGCTGGTCATCCGTTCAACGAGCGTCCTCTTGAGAACATCATCAAGGAGATGGTCGCCGCTCGTCAAATAGGAGAGCTTATGATCGATCCTAGGCCTGAAGCTCGGTCTAAGGCCTTTGTCTGCTCGCAGCCCGCGCATAAACAGGGACAGGCGACTCGCTTCAGAACGTACGAACCGCCACCGCCTTTGAAGAGAGACGCTTCTCTGGACATCCCCTCTCCATCAGGATCTTTATCGTCGTCATCCTCATCTTCCCATTCCTCGCCTTCGAACGCCCCCTCTCGATCCTCGGCTTCTTCAGTGGAGAGTACCCCCGTGGCTGGCTCGCCTAGACTCGAGGGCCCCATGCCTGTGGTGAGTGACCCGTGGAATGAGTACAGAGATATCCAGATCTGGGAAGCCGCTCGCGCCACGACCGCCGCGCCGTCGTACTTCGACCCCATAGTAATTAGCCGTGGCGGTGATACTAGGACTTTCATCGACGGGGCAATGGGCTGTAATAACCCGGCAAAAGAAGTCGTGGATGAGGCGGCGGCCCTTTTCGGAACGGACTGTGTTCTGGGCTGTCTTGTCAGCTTAGGGACCGGGTTCTCCGGCGAGGTAACAATCGGGGAAGCCCAAAAGGGGGTTAAAAAGATGGTCGGTTTGATCAACAACCTGAAGAAGATAGCTACGAATACCGAAAAGGTACACGAAGACCTCCGGAACCTGATACGGGCTGACCTGGACACCTACTTCCGGTTCCAGCTCCCTGCTGGAGCCGAAAATATACGCTTACACGACTACAAGAAGCTCGATGAGCTGTCTCGGCTCATGCAAGTGTATATCGAGAAGGAGTCTTCAGAGATCGACAAGGTTGTGCGAATATTAGTGGACAAGGCAAAGCCGCGAGGTATTAGCCTCGGCCAGATCGGTGAGTTCTTGACTTCTTATTGCCAGTGCCCATGTATTTTCTTAGCATTGGACTAATTGCGAGCGACTCAAAGCGGGTGCCGACCATGGCCAGATCACCCCACCCAAGAAAGATATTCGCAGCCGACCACATGTGAGCGAGTTCTTCGTCGGAAGGAAAGAGTATCTCGAGACCCTTGCCGACGCTCTGTGCCCGGATCCGCAGCGACCAAATCGCAAGAGGCATCACCTCCTCTACGGCCAACCGGGTGCCGGCAAGTCTCAGACAGCCGCTAAGTTCCTAGACGATTACGGACATTGGTATGGATTACCGTACTATCGATTGCTTTCCCATTTTCTGACGTCTCTTTTGCTAGGTTTGACATGATATTATGGGTCGACGCTATGAGCAAGGAAACACTCGAAGCTGGGTTTAAGGAGCTCAGGGGCTGTTCAGAATTCGGCTATACAGGCGACGGTTCGGCTCAGTCAATACTCCACTGGCTCCAGACGACAGAACATTCCTGGATTCTCGTGCTTGACGATGTGCGCGGCGATGTAAGCAAGTATGTGCCCCAGGGCAATAACGGAGCCGTCTTCTTTACGAGCCAGGACAAGTTTATGCAGCCCACTCAGAGGTCGGCGACCATGTTGGATGTTCTGGGCGAAGGGGAGGCAGTCGAGCTACTGCTCAGCAGCGCGCAACTCGAGGAAGAGGCAGACGACAAAATACGCAGGGACGCAGTGAACCTGACGAAGTCCCTTGGCTACTTGCCCCTGGCCATTGAACAAGCAGCGGCGACGGTCCGGATGCAGCAGTGGGGAATTGAAGAGTACGCGAAAAAATTCGAGAGCCACCGTGACGTCTTACTGAGCAGAGCAGGTTCCGACTCCCAGAATGATTCGCTCGGCCTCCAAGCCGTGCACGCATCCTTCGACGTCACGTACAAGGTCATAAACACGCAAGCCCACGACGTTTCCAACGAGGCGAAGGCCGACGCGGCGAAATACGCCCTTCAGCTGCTAAACCTGTTCTCCTTCTACCACAACGAAGGCTTGATGGGGAACATTCTCAAGCGCGCGGTCAAGCTCCGCCCGGAAGATAGGAAGGAGGATGATTACGGAACCGGCATATGGTCGTTCGCGGATCTACTAGCAACAGACGAGTCTGGAGAATGGATCGAGCACCGGTGGCAGTTAGGCGTGGACCTGTTGATTTCATACTCGCTGGTAAAAGTGGCTAAAGACGACCAAGTTCGAAGAGTGTACTCTATCCACGGTCTCGTGCATGGTTGGGCAAGGGAAAGAATGCCTGAGCATCCCCGCTCCGTGCGAGCGAAGGCTGCCAGGTTGATCCTTTTCGACTCGTTTACTGAAAATCAATCTACTCACGATGACTTCCAATACGGGTTCAAGATCCTTCCGCACACAAGGGCCGTTATGAAGACTACAGAAAGTGTCTCGAGTGACATGTCACTAGAGATCACTCACCAATATAAACATTGCCTCCTACTGGAGGCAGCAGGGGTTAGTGGTATTGACCTTAGTGAGTTGGTGTCAGTTCTCTTGGCTAGCCAAGGACATCACGGAGGGCTTTCCGAGAGGTTTCTCGAAATCGCAGACACTGTTATCGAAGCGACGAAACGTCGGGGGATGCTTCTTCCAGCCCTTGAGCTCTCAAGGAGTTGCTACAGGGCACGGGCACTGCTCTACGGGATGGAGCATATGAATTCGGTGCGTAATCTGGTAACCACTGCATCACTCTGCATCGAGTTGGGGCAGTATATACGTGCTGCAGAAACGCTGTACCTTTGCCTCTGGATCTACGAAGAAATCCATCCGGAGGAGGATAAATTGCCGATCAAAACCGCCTTGGCCATAGCTCATTTCCACAATCATCAAACAGACCAGGCCAGAGACTACCTACTTGAAACGGTAGAAGAGGCTAAGAGGCGGTATGGTACATCCCATCCGAAGACTCTCGAGTGTCTATCCAACCTAGCTATCTTCCAGACAGCCCAGGAGAATTTCGAGGAAGCAGAGAGCATGCTGAAACACGTTATGGAGATAGAGGATAAGCTTTTCGGATCCAGATATATGAGCCGAACCTACACTCTTCACAATCTCGGGATAGTGTATTACTACCAAGACAGATTCGACGAGGCGGTAGAATGTTTCTCGACAGCGTCAAAGCTAAGCAGGACCCTCTCTCATTTCGATGTCAGATATTATTACCAACAATACGCGTTGGCGATGGCAGTATACCATAAGGGAGACCGGAAATGGGCTATCGAGCGCATCAGTCGGTGTTGCACAAGATTCAAGCAAATGCTGAGCGAGCAACATCTTTACATAGAACAGGCCGAGCGGCAGAGGGATTTATGGATAGAGATAGGAGATAAAGATCTAGACTCTAACTATGACGAGGCTCCCTTATTTCCGATCTTTCGGTATTAGGAAGGAGGGGAAAAGGGAAAAGAAAGAAAAAGGATTGCTTTGTCCTGACTGCCCGATACTATCCAGCTTTGAATGAGCCACATACAATTTAAAAAATATTGCATACACGGTTCTGATGATAAAGTAACCCTATGATCTGACTTTGTAAATGATAATTGTAGGTCTCACTGAACTATTGCTGTTCATACTAAACTGGCTCTAGACTCAACAAAGGTAATCGTCTTGAAAATCATCTACTATTCGAGTCCAGGTGTTTCCCACAATGCTATTTGTAGATGGTCATTACCGTATGCTTGTGGTAAAATTGGGGAATCATCGTGTTTTATCCTATATGGTGTAGAATATCAACTGCGTTCCATGGCTTCGACGATCCAGTCTGCTTGAACAGTGCTGACCTTCTTAACATAACTCCTCTGTGTAAACACGTGCTCCAAGAACATTATAGCCTCCCGTTTCTGGCCATGTAGAACACTGGATGGGTGGATGGCAACGACATGCTTCCCTTGGATTGTAACATAACTCGAATCTGGAGCTAAAAGGGCACATTTCGTGCCAAAGCCTTTCATGAAACACTTTAATAGCAATGTTGCCCTTTCAGGAGACATCGGTACAAACGGTTGGGGATCTGGTGGTGGTGTCTCTGTAAGCAATTTCTCCTTTAAGCATATACCTCGAAGTTGCTTTCGAATGTTAAGAGCTTGTTTCATGTTCCGAATATTTACTTTGCGCCTCTTACACCACTCAATTCGATCAGTATTCTCCGCCGCATACCGTTGCATAGTAGTCAAATACGTAAGAATATCGCCTTCTCTTCGATATAATTCTTTGCGATATTCTTCAACTTCTTCTCTTGCTTCCTCGGACTGCAACTGGTGAAAGATATTCTCCCCGGAAGTGATGCAGGAAATAATATCAATGACTTCGAGGAGACAGTCATATTGGGGCTCGCTTGCCGCAAGAAGCACTCTCCCATAGGGCGCAGAAACTGGGAAAAGAGCTAGCTTCCGCCCGATTTCCGTGATAGTGCCGTCATCTGCAAGTGCACCCAGGAAATGGAGATGTATCAAGGCCTTTTCCACTGACTCGATATCAGGAAAGTCCATTAACGGAAACGAGAGAATATCATTGATACCGCGTGCCTTCATTGTTAAGACGGCACCTAGAACGTCATTGCGCAAAATTTCTGGTAGATCGGCCTCTTTGAGCGAGTCGTATGTTGCTGATGTGTAGAGTCTATAGCATTTGCCGGGGCCTTCACGCCCGGCTCGGCCAGTCCGTTGTATCGCTGATGATTTTGAAATTGCTTTTGCCAATAATGATTCCATTCCCAATTGTGAACGGAATTGTTTAACTTTAGCTTTTCCGCAATCTATCACATAACGCACACCTGGTACGGTGACGGATGTTTCAGCAATATTAGTTGCTAAGACTACTTTCCGCGTAAAGCCCTTCTTGGCGGGTAAAAATGCGTTCTGCTGCGCCTGAATTGAGAGCTGGCCATACAGGGGACAGACTAATAGCTTCGGTACATCTGAAGCCAAAGTCTCGCAGTGCTCCTCGATAAGACGCTGAGCAGACTCAATTTCCTCTTGACCAGTCAGGAAAGCTAGGATATCGCCAGGTAATGGTTCGTGTAAATGGATATCGAATATTTGCTTCAGAAGAGCCTCTTGAATGTCTGTGACAGGCCTACTCGTATGCTTGATCTCCACAGGGTATTGCCTTCCTTTGATTTGGAGGAGCGGAACAGCACGACTCGAGTCATGCGGCGCAAAGAAAGTTTGGATTTTCTCTACGTCCGCTGTGGCGCTCATGATGACAACTTTCAAGGGTATACCTCCCCTTCCGGTTTTATCTCCTGACAGTATCTGCTTCAAAAATCCAGCGATCAAGTCTACGTCAACGCTCCTTTCGTGAATTTCATCGACGATTACGGCGCTATACTGACGTAGGTTTGGATCTCGCAAGAGCTCCTGCAGTAGCATACCTTCTGTAAGAAACTTTATCTTAGTACCCTTTGGGACATTATGATCGAATCGAACAGAGTATCCGACAGAACCCTCGCGTGATGCTCCCAGAGGCGTTCCCATCTCACGAGAAACCCTATTAGCTAGAGTTGTCGCAGCAACCCGTCGAGGTTGGGTTATAGCAATCATTCCACCGACGTTTACCATGTCGGATTGCACTTTGACTTTTTTTCTTCGACACCAGGGCTCATCACAAAGAAACTGGGGAACTTGCGTACTCTTGCCCGAACCAGTCTCACCCACAATGAGTAGCATATCATTATCACCTCGCAGCCGGGCCTTAATTTCGCTCTGATGAGCCCATATTGGTAAGGCCTTGCGGGATTTTAGTAATGAAGGGTCACCATTGCTGCTCGTGGACCGCTTAGGGGGGTGTGATTTTCCAGTTTGTGGATTAGGTTCGTTAATAACATCTTGCTGTGGTTCTTGAGTTGTAACTGGCTCCTGAACTGATGGCGGTTTCTCTAATGGCTTCTTCTCAGGTGCGAGATAGGCACTCAGAGATATAGTTTTATTTCCAATTTTGACCACTGAAGCATCATTCGTAGCCTTAGTTTTGCGTCTCTTGGGTTTATGTTCATCGTCGGCCATTTTGAGGTTTTGTTGCTAAGATTGAGAACAAAGCTGTAGACCTTTTTCTCACTAAAAAGTTTAGAGCAAACACTTAACATATGCTACCAGCTAGCACTGTGCTACGGTGATCCAATTTCTACGTAGTATCCAAAAGTCACGTGCCATACAGTGCTAAGGCCAGGTACGTAGGTACCTATACCTAAACACATACGCCAGGAGGAAATCCCATCTTTTTATTCGGATGGTTCAACTGTCGACTCTATGAAGTAATACTTAACATCATGGGCGTAATAAGAGTTAGATAGCTATGAACCAATTAGTGGCATAAATTTTTGATACAGGTAGATATATCAACAGTTTGTACGGCGATTATAATATATATATATCAGAATACGTTAGAGAAGAGTAGCAATGCGAGACGTCATTCTTCCTGCTCATCCTTGTGTCTCTTCTGAATCGCTTTCATGAGTTCATATAATTGCCCTATTTGCTGATCTGGTAGTTTCTGTTAACGAATCGGTTCTTCGGTATAACTGAGGTCGACGAACCACTCATTTTCTCAACTTTCGCTGGATCCAGTTTGTCGCCAACCCATGATTTCCCTTCAATGTCCTGAGCGTAAAGCTGCCATTGTGTGAGGAATCCAATCTGGGGCAGCTGTTAGTCATCGTATATGTACTCATCGAATAAATTCCGTACCAGATGTACTGGGTTTTCGACATTCCTATGGGCGCGAAACTCGGCCTTGACATATTTGTCGCCCAGTATACGCATCTCAGGATCTAGGAATTTCCGATGAGCTCTAAGTAAACGTCGATAGAGGGGAATCGGTGGTAATAATGCCATTGGTTCCGGCCTCAGGCCTTTTCCCGCCGTTGCTGTAGCCCATAATCTCAACGAAGGTCTCATGGCGAATGTGTTTTGATATTGAACTAGATTAGTGACATCGAAACGTGGTAGACGTTGTAGCGATGCTTCTCGTACCTACCTTAGATACCTCTGGTAAACTCTTGAGATTTAGATCACACAGTAAATTGAGAATTTACTACGAGACCCCACACGGTGCAGAGTGACGCATTGCCGTTTTAGAAGCACGATAGCTATCAGACTCTCGCGAATATAAAATAAGATCAATATAATTTATGCTTACAATCTTCAATAAAAAGCACTACTGAAATGCCACTATCCTAGGCTGAGAACAAATACCACTTTGCATCTCCAGCAAGAACCTCGACGGGAACTCTGAAACATAACTGCATACACGACTAACCACTATGATGCATTACTTATACTTCTCCCAAGGTGTCCATCCGATCAGGGTTGTCAACTTTGAACAGGTCTATTGTTCCAGGCGAGGGAATTATCGCATACTATCAGAATGTTGTAGTACAACCTATCCACCATATCCAAGAGAACTATTGTCCCCTTCATTAATGTTTTAATGTAGTACCCAATCAAAATTATCTGATGCTTTGAAGTCTGCGGGTATGTACCACCGTTCGATCGCTCAGCTGGTCGCTCTATCTAGTTGTTAGTCCCACGAATGTGTAACGAGTATGATGCGATAACTTACCTTACTGCCGATCCTATCAATGGTCTTGTTCTGGATGGTAACTTCATCGCTCATCGCATGTGCGAACATATTCAGCTTGCTGACGTCTCTAAACATACTATCCTCAGCATTCTGAATTCTCTGTTCCGATTCAGCGTTTTCTTCGTCGTCGTCATCTTCAAATGCATATTTAGACTTCTCGGCAGCAGATTGCTGAAGGCCATTAGTCTTTGCCTTGGCTTCTATCCTCCTGAAGGTCTCTTCCATGCGTTGATTCCCCTGGTAACCGTCTTTGCGAGTGGCTTCGCGTAACTCTCGATCAGCACGGTGCTGCTCTAAGACTTGCTGCTCCATCTCTGCTGTCCTCTTCGAAGCCGTGAAGGGGTTTGACACATGGACAGCAAACATGCTACGATTTAGACTCTTCAACTTCTTCGTTGACTGCTCAGCATCTCTGCTTGCCATGCTGCCCCTATCAATTAGACTTTCGGTGTAATTGAGGCTCTCGCTCTGTGCACCTAGACGAGCCATCGTCTGCATGGCAACATTCACTGCTTGAGAGGCGACACGGGCGCCATTTTCAGCCGTTTGTGCTGTAGCCAATTTCTCTTCTTTGATCTGCCGCTTAATGTCATCAATTTCTGCTTCTTCCAGCTCTTCTTCCGTGAGTTCGCGCTGTTCTCCATAACCACCGTATTTGCTAACGCCGGAATCGGCACCAGATTGCCCGTATGTTCCATTTGGCTGGGTAGTCTGTTTCTGATCATAACGTTCGCGAACCCCGGAGAATAGTGCATCTCTGTTGGCATCCGTATCATTGCTATCGGTGCTACTTAGTCCGCCGTAACCACCGGGGCGTGCCTGCGCACCTCCGTAACCGTTTGAGTTGCTATATTTACTCGCGCCATAGCCTGATGCCGCACCATATTTATCATTGGCGAAGCCGTTGGCGGAGTGTTGATTCGCAGTACTTGCCGAGGAGTAACCACTATCGCCGGTATTGGAGTGTATTGGAGGAGCGAAACCATTCTGAGGAGACGGTCTACCAGGTAGACCATTGGCTGAGGGTTCGGGGAGACGCGCGCGAACTTGTTGGTAAGACGTCATAGGAGCATATTTGTTGGTGTCGTTCATATATGGGTCATTAGCGGGTTGAGATTGAGCGTAGGGGTTTTCGGACACAGGCGCCGGGGAGGCCTTCTTCCCGAAGAGGGCCTGACGATTCGCATCGTCGTCGTCCGCCTTCTTCCTTCCGAACGTGAACTTCTTCATTTTTGGCTAGAGATTTATCGCAATGTTTTGAGGGTTGATTGATTGGCGAGATGGATTGTTGGGATGGCTAGAAAGTGGGAGGTCTGACGGTTATAAGGAGGCGGATTACGGGACTGAAGACGGAGGATGTCTTAGGTTACGTTTCGAAAAGGAGGGGACCAGCTGGATTAGAAGGGAGTTAAAGGAAGCCGATCAGTTCTATCCAAAACAATTCGTCAGTTCCATGCCGCAGCAAGTTATTTAGTAGGGGTAGTAGGGGCAGTAGGGGGAAAGCTCCATAAAATTTAAATATTTAGTTGGCGGTCAGTGGCGGTAAGGCCGTCAGCCATTGGGGTGGCAACTTCTATTTGGTTGAAGAATTGCCTATTCTAAGTTTGGGTATTGCCTGTTCGTATTGTTTTTTTGTATTTTTGTATCCATGTACACGTATGATATGCATGCTTATTACCTTAAGTACCTAGGTAGTGTACAGCCACTACATAGTACATATTGCACTGAAGTTTCCCTCAATGTTTGTATTGTATTAGCCTAAGTTAGAACCTAAGCTAGAATAGGTATGTGCTAAACCTTCGTCATCGGTAATGCTCTCACATAAAGAAGGTACTGTCTATTATATCCCTATCTCCCTATCAATGAAGCAACTGTTATTTCTTGTTCGACATTCGCAACTGCCAGCGTGGGTATTTGATGATTTGTACCTAACGTAACCGTTTAGATTTAGGCGGATTTCATTAAGGGGCTAAATGTTGTACTAACAACCCGGACAATACATTATAATGTATTCCATAACACTAGGCGTTTCTATCCGTGGCAGCCCATGAGAGTCAATGTTTACCTTTCTGCCACATCGCGGCATAGCCACATGGCCTGACCTTGAAGATTTGTTGGAGCACCTGAAGGCATATGACCATTTTCCAGTTGACCTACTTCGTTCAAAATGTAAAATACATCTCGTTGCATAGGATTTTATGATGAGTGTACATGTATACTACCCTGCCATAGGTTGGTGATGTTAGGTAGTATGTAATACAAAGCACAATTAGAGAGGTAGGTACCTACCAATACATGGAAGACTGCACTATTAAAAAGCATAAGAGATAGAGCTGGTAGAGGCATGGCATGAGCATGTGTTAGGTATTCAGCTACCGATTTATGGGGACATATACTTACGACATCTCCAAAAATAGCACTTGCTATATGTACTCCGGGTGAGTCAAATACCACCCATACTAGGTAGGTACTGTCTTTATGGATTATGGCCGGTCGAATTTATACCGACGAAGCCCATTACCAACTTCACATAAGATACTTATCATTTTCAACATTTTATTTCTAACGTAGGTATACCATATCGCCAACAACGTACAAGTCACAATGGCTGGTCTAAAGTTGCATTGAGACTGTCCTTCTATCAACTAACAAACAGCATACAAATTTGAACTTTCCGTACACACATTTGTGAGCTTTCTAGCTCTAACTTCTCGAAGATGATACTACAAATGCATCCTCTTTATACACAGCGAATAGCTCAAGACCATGCAATAGAACCAATACAAAAACTCTTCATAACAGCAAACAGACTATAAGCCAGGGACCAAAAGAATCTGCATCCTAAAACAAAACAAAAACAAAAAAACAGCCGGTCATAGCTCCCTTAACGAGGATTATATAACGCCAGAGTATGAACGGGGTTCAACCTAACTGCTAGGTATTCAATTCACCAACTTACCAGTGTACATAATCGATCCGCTGGCTGAGGTTGGGAAATGGCCTCTATATTCACTTTTGATCATGACCCTCCACGGGTGCACTCGCCTTGGCGGTCCGGCCAGGATTCCGGAAAGAGGCCTCAGGCTGAGCGTTCCGTAACTACCGGCGCTATCCTCGAGTCGGAACAGCTATCCGATCCTGACTTGGAGAGACTCGAAGCAGAGCCGCAAGATGGCCCCATCGAATACAAACTGCACCTCTTACTACGCCCTCGGAGGATCTATAATAAAATGAGTACCACGCTTAAAGTCTCTGGGTCTCAGCAGTCCAGGCAGATACGAGAATCAAAGCAGCCAAGACAAGGAGGTAATATTCCCCTCGCTGCTTCGAATCAAACTAGGCAGAACCGCCTCCATCACTTAACCACTCAGTTACTTTGGAGATTACAGCAGTCGTCACCAAATCATTCCAATGCGAGACGTGAACTTATACTACCGAAATTACCTGAAGACATTGCCGACCTCGCAGCACTGGAGAAGCCCCAACAGCTTCTTCCAGGCCTGGAAGAATCTAATGGAGCATTGTATGAAATAGGAGTAGCTGATGATGGAACGTTCGTGGGGCTGACTAAGGATGAGATGGATGAGAGTATGACGACTCTGAAAGTTATGGCTGCTAGTTTGGGATGTAGGGTTGAGGTCCAGCGCATGAAAGCTGTCGGCAGCTGCGAGTGGACAGATAGCACGTCGGAATTGAGCGACGAAGTTCATGTCGCGGATCTCTGGGTGGCAGAAGCACTTGTCATGCCAGTGATGAATACCCGGAGCAATAGAAACGGTCAACAAAAAAACCAACCGGATATTGAGGCTAGGAGAGGTGCCTCAGTTACCGAACAGCTTCGAGTTTCGCTTATCGGCCCGACGACTTCTGGTAAAACGACACTTCTGGGAACACTGTCAAACGGTACATTAGATAATGGCCGAGGAAGTAGTCGGATCAACCTATTGAGACATCGGCACGAAGTCGTATCCGGACGGACCAGCTCCATCGCACAGGAGCTCATCGGCTACGATGACCGGAAGATATTTAACTATAATGTCGACAATATCAACGAATGGCCTGATATACATGATCGTGCGGAGAATGGCCGGCTGGTCTTTCTGCTCGACTCTGCCGGACATCCTCGATACCAGCGGACCACTCTTAGAGCTCTGGTTGGATGGGCTCCTCATTGGACTATCCTATGTATCCCCGCGAACGAAGACGGAAACCCTACCTCTGGAGTACACTCATTACAGGGTGCGGATGGTGCCATGGGAATTGGAATAGCGCCGATGGATCTGGCTATGGCACATCTTGATCTGTGCCTTAAACTTACCATACCTCTTGCCATCCTTATAACTAAGTCTGAGTTGGGACAGCGCGCGCTACTAAAAGAGAAACTAAATATAGTATTCACCAAGATCAAAGCTATGTCGAGGACACCGAAGCTGCTTACTTCCGCGGTACGTGACGAGGATAGCCTTACAGAGGTATCCGAAAACGACTTACAGAAGGTCAAGGACGAGGTCATCGAGCCAATTTCCAAGTCTACCGATCCATTATCGATTGTTCCGATCATACTCACGAGCGCTGTCAAGGGCATAGGTATCGGATTAACCCACGCTTTATTAAGAAGCTTGCCGGTCCCGCCTTTGCCTACGGCTCGAGACTTTGTCCCATTGGCCTTGAATCCGGAGCAACCAGCCGCATTATTTCACATTGACGAGGTTTTCGAGATGTCATTGAGCCGTGCCCAAAGTGCCGCATCGTCCACGTCGAGCGAGAGTGCGCCGGTGGTAACGGGGTACCTACGATTTGGAAGGCTATCTATCGGTGATAATGTAGTATTAGGTCCTTTTCCAGGGGATGACGATGACGCCGGTGCTCTGGTGCCAGAGGACTACCCTTCGCCTGGATACGGCCTGTCAATCCCACATCCATCATCTGCGGAATTTGCTCGTCTTAGCTCTCGTCACACACTCTCGGCCTCCAAAATCGAGGGTGAGTGGCGGCAAGCAACGATCGTAAATATCCGCGATTTGAGACTTCCGGTGCAAACAATCGAAGCAGGACAAGCAGGCTCTATTCAAGTAGTTTTTAGCAAGCCTCGCGAGGGCTCATCTGACACAGGCGGCGCTGCCCTTGAAACTTTAAGGATATCTAGTACTCGACTTCGCAAAGGACAGGTCCTCGCGGTGCCTAGCCAGCACATGATTGATACGGGTCTCTCGCTCCAAGCCGCCTCCAGTCTAATAGCTTCTTTCAAAACACCGGATGTCAAGTTACTAACTGTCAATAGTCTAGTGAACGCGTACGTGGGGATGGTTCGTGCGGCCGTTCGGGTACTAGGGGTAAAACGTCAAAGATCTGACTTTGGTGCGCGAAAGGTCGCGACGGAAGATAACGATGATGTTTTCAATATGAATGATCATATCGAACTTGAGCGTACCAGGTCAGAAGCGGACTTGGAAGAATACCATACGCAGTATCATGTCTCCCTGGAACTTTTGAACCATAGGGAATGGATCGAACTTGGATCTCAGATCGTGCTCGTGGAAGGCGGGTCCAAAGAGAAGTCGGGCCTTGAAGGGTATGTCGGTCAGGTAATTGAAATTGGAGAGTAAACAAGCGATGAATAATAGACCGTGTAGCAGTATTAACGGTCTATTTATTAGGGGATATCACAACGGGAACAAGCAGTGAGATAACAGTGATAACGACGTATTTAATATTATTCAAGACTGAAGGTTTTTGATGTCTTGGACTGGTACACCACAAACGTCCTACGTAATCGTATCGTACCTTATTACCCAACGCCAACCAATGCTTCGCAAATACTTATTCATAGACCGAACCACCCATCATCATCATCGTCATCCCGGCTCTGCTATGCCTACCTCCTATGCTATGCCCTCACCAGACCGTAGAACAGCGTCCAAGTCAACGTGTAGCCCGCGAGCCCGCTGAACAGCCCGCCCGTCCAGAACTCGTACTGGGTGCGGAAGTACCTGCTCGTGTCGAACAGGCCGTGGCCGGCCTTGAGGGAGGTCGGGGCGACGCGGGCGGCGTAGAAGAGCACCGTGGTCAGGATCGTGAAGACGAAGTAGAACAGGAAGCCGTGGTAGGACTCGAGGCCGAGGATGCCGGCCGCGGCGCCGAAGATGGATGCCGTGAGGGTCTGCAGGTTGGATAGAGTCTGGCGTGAGAGGGTGTTTGTTTAGCATATAAGAGGTACCTAGGTGTGCGAATGGAAGGATTGTATGTCTGGACTCACCCTGGAGTTGTGCATGATGGACTCGGGCACGATGGGTGCGATCTGGAATTCTCTTTCGGTCGGCATTGTTGCGATTGTTGTAGAACCACTATCCTATCCTTCTCTTTTGGGGTATGCGTTTATAACCCTTCGTGGTATTTCTTGGTGTCGCTCGAATCTAGTAATGGGTAATGGGTTTGGGCGTTTGTGATATTGGCGTCACAGTACAAAGTAGTAAGTACCTGTAACGTAATGTTGAAGTTGAGCAACTTGAAAGTGAAGGTTTTAAGTGGGGAACGCTACAGCAGACGAATAGCGTGAGGTCCACGGGTTTACTAAGCTTGCTACAGTACCTACCAGCATAGCCGACTTACATGAGAGCAAATCCCCTGGATCCCCAAGTCGTTTCTTCATTCCAAAATATTAAGGCTTTCTTATTTTTGTCATATGCTAGATTAGTATGAAATCTTTCATACTACCTTCAATGATCCAAGTACTCATAACTGCGTGCTGCTTCAATATATTATACCTCGGTACGGGAAAAGTAACAGATATAGCAGATCAAAACTATAAGACCGTAATCTTACAGGACCGCAAGAAGGCTTAAGCTCAGGTGAAAGTACATAGTCGGCCGAATCATCGGGACTCGGGAGGATGGCATTGAGCTTCGTCAACTCACAGGGCGGAGCATAAAGCAACCCTGCTGAGGGAAGCACTGCCAAGTAAGCGAGCGAGGATGTTTCTTCAAGGATCATAACGTCGCAGTGGCTATTGCATCAAACAATAACAGCAAGACTTGTAGGACTAGGTATCTGTATATACTATTAGTTCTCGTCATAAGAACTAACTAAAACGCTATAAGAGTGAGTCTCTTGGCCATAATTGTGTCAAGTTACATAGTTTGCTGGCATGACAACTCAGTTATAAAAAACAAGCCCGTTTCGACCGACTGACAAGTCTACCGTTTGATAGCTTGTGGCATTTGTCAGGCAGCGTTGGCGTAAAAAATTAGTGACTTATCAGTCTAGACAGCAAAATTATAGACATGCGCATAATCTCAACTATAGAGGATAGGAGACTAAAAGTTAAGTCTTGACATGAAGGCAAAAATATGATCTTTGACCCCAACCCGATTTGAACGGATAACCTTTCGATCTGGAGTCGAACGCGCTACCGTTGCGCCATGAGGCCGTTGGATAAAAATTTTGAAAGTTAAGTCTATATTACTAGCAACAAAGTGTCTGGAGTGGCTCAGCACGATTACCCGGCAATTGCCCTGAGACTCCACACTTCAACGTTCTTGATTGGCTAACCTCAGAGAGAAATGGAATGAAGCTTCTAAAATAACCTAGGCACGTTTTCGTCGGATCATTGGTTCATATCGGACTGCAAACGTTTTGGCTAAGGCTGACTGCAGGCGCTAAGGCATGTTATAGTTTAGAAATGTATGTACAATTCCACTTCTAAATTCATCGGTTTAGCAATTCAGCAAGTTCTAGACGTTCTCGAGGTCACTCCCCCCCCCTTCCATGACGAAACGGCGCTGATGAAGGCTAAAATGGAGGCTAATGGAGACTTTTTGAATACGGGGCTTTCTATGGGGAAAGCTTTAGCTTTAACCCCCTTGACGGGATCTCGGACATTACTCACTGCGTACCTACCCGCCCCTACATGTAGCATGCGCCTACCTCATTCATGTAGGGAATGGTATAGGTAATGTATATTACCAAGTAAATAAGGTTTATAGGTACATACGGTAGAGGTAATCTTTCAGTCCCGTCTACTTAGATTGCCATTTTTGCCAGGATGTAGCTACTTAGCTACCTAGGTACTTTACTTAGCTACTTGCCTAATTAGATCAATTGTGCTACCAGTCAGGGAGACCTAGGTATTAGGGATCTTATTAATCTACTAAGGATCAACTTGTTAATGTTAATCTCATGTGTACATACGAGTCAAGTGAACAAAGCACTTGTTACCTCACTTCTTCCGTTAACAACCTTTCATTCCTTTTTTTTTTAACCGTTCCCTTTGCTATTCCTTTGCAAACCCACCTAGAATCATTTACGTACCTAATTTTCCTTAAAGATTCTATTGTCGCTCTTTTTCCTTTTTTTTAGTGAAAACCAAACCTTGTCATATTCAATACGACCAAGTGCGACTGAGCGTTGAGCGAATCATAAGTCGTCTCGCGCCAGATGGACGCGATCCGTCGTGCGACACTTGCAATTACATGGAGACTCACGTAGATGAGGGCACGCCTTTGAGCAACTACCTCGAGGGTACGTATGCTGGTTCCGTGCTATACATTGGCCCCTCAATTTCTTCGCTGGAGCATCCCTCCTTTAGCGACCGAAATGCCCGGATCTCCCACAGTCCTAATCATAGTTACAGGCACGGGGGAAAGAGAAGAATCTCAGTGGCAGGAATCCGACGACGATAGGAATTACGATAGATCGCCATCGTCTAGTCCACCGCGAGACTTCGCCCCGAGGGGGTTTGCCAAAGTCCGGAAGAGGTTTAGGGAACACCTCCCTAGACCCCTGCATCTCGATGCCAACAATCTCCCATCCCGCCTCAACTTCGACGAGTTCCATAACCATGCCTCCCCTATCTTCGATGTGCTGCGACTGTTAGTCGAGGCCGTAACCTCATCTATCGATCATGCTCGGTCGATCGGTTTCCTCGAGCGGCTGCGTCTCGCAATTATACAGTCCCAACTTCTAGACAACCCCTTAGTTCTAGGCTATCAAGCTTCAGACGATCCTACGCTATCGCAACCGGCTGGCGAATCAAATTTCCATGGAATTACAGTTTCCGGCGCTGTTGCCGCGGTCGTGTTCGGCTTCGGAACGGCGTTGGTCATCCGTTGGTTCTCGTTAGGGGGATTTGTACCGACTTGGAGGGGACTGCTAGTTTTCGTTGTCGTAGCGTCTCTAGCGTCTCTATTCGTAAGGGCGTACGTGCGAAGACAGATTCTAAGGAATATTCAGAAGCAAGGGCTAGTAGAAGCCTCGAAATTTTTCTCGCTCTCCCGGGAATATGATTGCGCAAACAGTGCAGCATTAAATTTCGTAATGGAAGTAGAATTAGTCTCTCGTGGATATCGACTGTGAGTCTAACTTTGCGCCTAAAACTCGGTAGTTTGACTAGCTAATCTATAAATAGGAGCACGCCTATCCCTCCTATCAGTCGATTGGAGAATAACGGACAAAACGTTAAGTGCCTTCAGCTAAGGAAAGCCCTCCGAAACAGTTTAACGGAAGTCATTTCCAAGTATTATCATGTGGCCTTTACGATTTGGGCATTCGCAGAACAGACCGAATTGCTGCAATTGCAATCGCAGTATCAGTTCACAGTCGCCGATGTGGTGGAAAGGTTCCAGGTGTTTTCAAAGACTGACGCCCAGGACGCTGAGAAATTGCAACCCTTGAAAGATGCCGCATTTCTCTTCCACGATATTAGGAAAATGTTCCTAAGTGGCTTGCTTGCTCTTCACACTGCCGGTAACGACTCTGACCGACACCGTTTTACGACTATACTAGAAGCATTTGAGGAATTAAATATGGTCACGAGGCAAGCCTACACGAGGGTGAGAGATATCCTGGCTGATAATGACTGTAAGTGAGCTAGCTCTACGTTTCATAACTACTATTTTCTAATAATCCGGTTCTAGTCCAAATTCCCAAGAGTCCTCGGGGCCCCGAGACGCCAAGTCATGATCGATGGCGTCACCAGGTTCGCAGATTGAATTCGATGACTATGAATATCCGCAGTGTGCAGGCTAAACTGCATCTCCTGCGTGAGGAGTCATCCAAGGCTCTGAACGAAGCTGACGATATTACCGACTTAGGGCCATTGTTCATGGCCCAGTATGAGTCAATTGGACAGGACCTACGGGATCTAATGGAAGCGTGGCAGTCAGGAAAGGCTTCGCTAGCGTCTGGTATCGACAGAAACGAGAAACGGTTATCCTCGATGGGTTCTACGCTCATGTCTCCCCTAAGCACGATGAGCGGGCGGACCATAGCGGAGGAGGATGAGAATAGCCAGGACGAAGGTGTTGCCGACGCATATAAGAAGCTTACTGGGGGCTCTTCGCCGCCGTCAGAGCCGGAGCCGGAAGTATTCGAGGCCATCTCAATTCCTCGCCCAAAGAGTTTACTCACGCGGGAAGAAAGAATAATCAAGATGAGAGAGGATCGAAAGTCTAGAGAAATCGCCAAGGCAAAGGCCGAAGCCCAAAGGGGCATGATGCGAGAATTACAAGGCGTATTAGAAAAGAATCCCGGACGTGGTCGAGTCTCTCTTTGAAAAATTTCGTTAAACACTGTATCATTTCGACTAGCAGCACCAGTTGGGCCCAAGGCGCAGGTAACGACTAGATTATGAACTGGGTCATCGGTTGTAATATGGCGCATTTGGGATAGAGAGCGATCCGATTCGAAGTTGACTTCGTCATGGCGTTTTCTTTATTTGGTTTTTCTTGGGGGGGTCGAATTTACTGCATAGAGAGCTGGTCATCCATACGATCTTTGCTTAATGTCTTTTCTATGTCACTCGTACATACAATATAAAAAACAAGATTCGCCTGACTTATGTAGGTACGTAGGCGTATACATAAGGTACATAAAATAATAAAAAGAAACTCGAATGAGTTGAGAAGACACCATGATGAACTACCTACGCTTCTTACGATGTGAAGTGCAAATAAAGGGGTATCAAAGTACAGTGTAGATGATAACGAAAACTACCTATGGCCCTGTATTTAGGTAGGTTAACCATTAGGTAGGTACATGGGAATGACGAGCCTTGAGATCAATTGATTGGCTGTTTAGGTATGTACATGGCGTATTAGGCTACCTAACCTTAGGTAGGTACCTGCTGTAGGCAGGTAAAGATGGGGCTTTCGCGCGTCTGCCTTCAATTAAAGACGCGTCCAACCACCCAACGCGTCTCCATTCCCCAGCTTATCCCACTAATTTCTAGAATTATATTTCTTAACAATATTCTCCAGCGTAACCCAATTTTAGAGAAAAACCATCTGGATAACAACCTCACTCTCAAGAAATTCTTACGACAGTAATCCCGTTTCGATCCTTCCTTTTTACCCATCCATATACGACATTTTCAAATACCCAGCTTTTTTTTTTTTAATAGCTTATTTTTTCTTGTCTTTTATCTACAATTAATCACCATGTTAGAGGCACGACTTGAGCAGGCTCAGATCCTGAAGAAGGTTTGTCTAATCCAATGGTATATATTTCCTACTGCAAATCAAGCTGACAAGTTCTTAGGTGGTCGATTCCATCAAGGATCTGGTGCAGGACTGCAACTTCGACTGCAATGACTCGGGTATCGCGCTGCAGGCCATGGACAATTCGCACGTCGCCCTGGTGTCGATGATGCTGAAGGCCGAAGGTTTCTCTCCTTACCGATGCGACCGCAACATCGCCCTCGGCGTAAACCTCGTCTCCCTCACAAAGGTCCTACGCGCGGCACAGAACGAAGATATCCTCACGTTGAAGGCCGAGGATGCCCCCGACTCCCTCAACCTCGTCTTCGAGAGCAGCGAGAACGATCGTATCAGCGAATACGACCTGAAGCTCATGGATATCGACCAGGAGCATCTGGGTATTCCTGAAACGGAATATGCCGCGACTATCTCTATGCCGTCAGCCGAATTCAGACGCATCTGCACGGATTTGATGGCTATGTCCGAATCTGGTAAGTGATAAGTGATGGTTCTGTTGTTCCTCCCTCGATTAGCACTAAACTACACATATCATGAAGAAAAAAAGTAGCTAACGCGTACAAGTGACAATCGATGCTACCAAGGACGGTGTCAAATTCTCGTGCAACGGTGACATCGGTAACGGTGCCGTCACTCTCCGAAGCCACCAGAACGTTGACAAGCCCGAGCTCAATATCGATATCGAATTAACCGAGCCCGTCGGCCTGACATTCTCCCTCAAATACCTAGTCAACTTCTGCAAAGCCCAGGCTCTGTCCAGCACCGTCAAGATTTGCCTGTCTAACGAAGTGCCTCTTCTGGTGGAGTACGGACTGTCTGGTAGCAGTTATTTGAGATTCTACCTCGCTCCCAAGGTATGTCAAGACCGCAACCCCTTTTGCTATAACCATCACGTCAAATTACTAACACCAAAGCTACAGATCGGTGATGAAGAGTAAAAGGAATTAAGGGTAGCAGAAACTAGTGAGACCCACGAATATACCACGAAAATGTTGGGAAGGTGGTCGACTACCACGGGATTTGCCATGGGGGGGGGGGGACTTCTCGTGGTCTACGAATTGGTTACGAATGAATAACCGCATGCAAAAAAAACATAGGTAAATGTCAATTGCATAATTAGTATAGGAGGGTTTGTTGGATGCATTGACTTTAGATGCGGTATCAACCCGTAATTTTCGAGACGATTATGGGGTTTTGTGGCCTTAATATAAAGTTTACTTTCTTACCTGATGAGACTACATACCACTTAATAAGTCGTCGTCTCATGCTGCTGCTGTGCTGCTGTGCTGTTAACAACTTTTGAAGCAATGAAAACCACCTTAAGGTATGTACTAGGTACATACACTTACGCTCGCAGCCCTGAGGATGAACCAAGCTGAAAGCAGCTTAGTGCGGGGCTATCCGTCATGGCGGGGCAACTCCTGCAAGCTGATTAGGTGCATTAGACTCAGCTTTTCTTTTCAATGGTCACTTATCGAAGAGAGTCATGCGTCTTATTGTCTTCGGCACTCGGCGGGAAGGTCATATTATTATCACGGCTTTCCACCGTCTACTAGTCTTCCCTCCGCTTCTTCTTTTCCTCATGCTTATTGTCTTAACTAGATTTGTGGAACATAGCCAATTACTTGACTTTCTCTAATAATACACCCACCCGATCGTATATACTTTTAGATACTCATTCAAGTTCGCATTTTATCTACTAACATCACCATTATCATCACCACTATAATCATCGTCGTCAACAATAACCGTCCGCATGAGTGCCGAACCGCCGTTCGTCCCGGAGACGAGCGTCTTAGCCGTCGCCAGCCATGTAGGGAAAAGCCAATGCTTCTAAGCAGTCAGTTTCCTATTTTTCTAGTAGCTAATAATTCCCTCTTTGAAGGTTGTCTCAGGGTGAGAGTTCTCTAGATTTATATATACCTTATATACACCTACCTACCTACCTATATATCTCCCTATATACCATAAAATAATCGTCAGCGGCACCCCTTTTCCCGTTAACACCTGTTTTTTTCTACGGATAGGAACGTAGGGAATAAGATCGCCGTCTTCGCGCTCCAGTCTATGGGTTGCGATGTCTCTGCTATAAACACCGTACAGTTTAGTACGTATATACTTGTTGTCAATTGGGTACCCCATAACCGAACATCGCGTGTCCTAACAGGAATGTCAAACCTACAAAGGCAACCACACAGGCTACAAGCAATGGAAGGGCACGCGCGTGTCGGCACAAGAGATCACGGATCTGTGGGAAGGGCTTAAGCAGTCGTACCTCGACGACTTCGACATGATGCTCTCCGGCTACGTACCCGGCGCGGCCGCCGTCGAGGCAGTCGGGAATATCGGCAAGGAACTCAAGCGTAAGTCGAAGGACCAGAAGCCGGGGAGCTTCTTCTGGGTGCTGGATCCGGTTATGGGCGACAATGGCCGCCTGTATGTCGCAGAGGACGTCGTACCCGCGTATAAGAACCTGATACAATATGCCGACCTTATCTTACCCAACCAGTTTGAAGCTGAGTAAGTCCACTGCTCTCAGATACACACAACACCTCCCTCTCCTAGATCAGTGGATGGGGGACTCGGTGAAATCTGGTCTTAGATATCTCAGTAAAAGGGGGGCGGGGGCGAGAGTGCGTCAGCTAATAACTGCGTTTTTGATAGACTTCTTTCTGGAGTAAAGATTACCGATTTTGCCTCCCTCGAGAATGCGATTCGAGTCCTGCACCAAGACTTCGGCGTCCCCCACATCGTCATCACGTCCGTCTCTTTACCGACCCTCGACTCCTCCCCTTCTCCGCAGGCAACCCGTACCATGTCGGTAGTAGGCTCGACCATGACTTCGGATCGACAGCCGAGGCTCTTCAAGATCACGTTCCCGGTGTTCGAATGCTACTTTAGCGGAACAGGGGACATGTTCGCGGCGCTGATGGTAGCCCGCATGCGCGAGGCGGTAACGAACTACGACAAGCACAGCAACGGAAACGGAAACGGGAACGGGAACGGGTCCCTAGTCGAAAAGCTATCGTGGCTCAGTCCCGACGACGTCGACGCCCTGGACCTGCCCCTCGCGAGAGCGGCGGAGAAGGTCCTGGCCAGCATGCACGAGGTCCTAGATCGCACTTGCGCGAGCTCGACGGCCGAGCTGGCCGAGAAGCAAAAGGGCAAGAACTTGGACGAGAAGACGCTGCATCTGCTGAGGTCGAGGGCTGCGGAATTGAAACTGGCGAGAAATCTGGGGAGTCTGCGGAACCCTAAGGTGGAGTACCGCGCGGAGAAGATGTAAGTGGACTAAGTAGATACTGGCTGGCTGCATTGATACTGCATTGGGGAGGGCGGGTTAGGTTAGATCGTGACATTGGGGCATTGGTGTACTCATGTCTACTACCTAAAGCATAGAGAGAGAATAGAAAGTGCTACATCATCACCATCACCACCACCAGAAGCAGACCCTGATTTTCATAATGTGATGTAATATGATGAGTCCTTAGGATATTTCTTGTAGAATATGTATGTATGTATTCATTTCTATTCATATCTCATCCTCTATTTGTCCACGAGAGCTTCCAACCCAAACCTTTGGTAGCCGTCCTAACCAGAGTCGTAACGAAGACATTTCCAGTTCTCGTATTCCCATTTGCATGCTGTACGCCATGGTAGGTATCTACCTAGGCTCCATAGGTAAGTACCGCCAACCTAATTCTTCCCCGTGCTCCCGAACCCGCCGGCGCCGCGCACGCTCTCCTCCAGCTCCTGGACCTCGACGACGTCGGGGGTATAAATGCGCTCGACGACGAGCTGGGCGACCCTGTCCCCCGCGGCGACGGCGAAGTCCGCATCCGCGTGGTTGAACAGCAGCACCTTGACGGGCCCGCGGTAGTCGGCGTCGATCACGCCCGCGCCCGTGTCGAGGAAGTGCTTCGCGGCCAGCCCCGACCGCGGCGCGATCCGCCCGTACGTCCCCGCCGGCACGGCGATCGCGAGGTCCGTCTCGACGAGCGCCTTGCCGCGCGCGGGGATCGTCGTCGCTTGCGACGCGTACAGGTCGTAGCCTGCGGAGAAGGCGCTGCCGCGCGTGGGCAGCTTGGCGTTCGGGGAGAGCTTTTTGATGAGCAGGGGCGGGGATTGGTCTAGGTTTGGGACGGGGACGGAGGGGGTTTCGGAGGAGGAACCCATTTTTTCGGTGGTGGTGGTTTCTGCTGTTGTTGTGTTGTTGTTATTTGGGGCGGTTGAAGCTGCGTCTGCTGCGGCGTCTGTCTTGACTCTTTTCGCGGGCGGAGAAGTCGGCGGAGAAGTGGCAGATGCAGATGTAGCAGCAGTGGTCATAGTCCTGTACGGAGAAGAGGATTTATAAGAAGAAGAAGAAAGAGGAGGATAGAAAGAATGATGATGATGATGATGAGTGGCAGGAGCTGGGTTTGTTGTTTGTCTTGGACTGCCCACCCTAAGTGAGCGTTTGTAGTTGGGTAGTTGGGTTTGTAGGAATCGGGTTCCAGCAGTTGCGGTGAAGAAAGATTTACACACGCTACGGCGGAAAGTGGGATTATAAAAATACATGACGGTGGGACACGCGCGGGTTGCGGCGAGTCGGCGACGCGTTGAGGGGCGTCTGCATAGGTTAAGTCATGTATGTACCTACCTATAATGCTAAGGGGAATGAATGGGATTGGCCAATGGGCCTAAAGGCGTGCTGAATTGGACGCCAAGAATTTTCATGTACCCTATCTTATGGATGTACCCGTGTATCTAGGTTAGATAGGAGGTACCTAACGTTAGGTACATCCATACACAGAATGTAGGCGTGGTCAACCATGATAGGTAAATCATTCCTCATGTCCACTACCTATCTCGGGACTATATATTTATCGCAAACAAGACACGTGGAGATGTATCACCTAATTTGTTGGTCTTCAAGTTGCTCCTCTTCAGACTGGATAATCCCCCGGAATGTTATAAGAAATCTATAGGCTTTTGAACCCCCTAGGCTTGAAATTGAACTTTACCTGATACACATTTAGAAATTGGCCTGGTCAGGTTTGATGCTGTAGTCTTTGCGTTGTATTGCGTCTTGTATGTACATCAATATATCGTGAAACAGGAGACGAGAGCTTGAGCGTATTATTCGTCCAGGTCTTTACCAAAGTCGATTAGCCGAAGCTTCGTGGAGTCCCTAGGGTGAAACTGCGCAACTTTAGATCTGACTAGGAACCTTGCAGCTGCCGTCTCCCTGGGAAGTTGGACGTAGGCGGCCGAACTATCACCATCAGATTGTGCTAAGGCGTTGAGTAGTTCCTCCGTTAGAGTACGCATCTCCTCACCAGCAGCTGCAGCTTCATCCCGGCTACCTGCTTTAGCTTTCCCTGACGACTCACCGTCCTCTCGTATACCCCATATTTCATCAATGCGTCGTTGTCGTTTATCCTGGTCGGGGTTCTCCTTTGCCTTCTTCAGCTTGCCCTGTGAGCTAAATCCAGCGGCGAGATCGTCCCCGTCAATATCCATGATATCGCCAACAACAGGGCCACCCAGTTCCTCAGCGGCAAGCATACCCGCGAGATGCTCGTCGATGAATTTTTTGAGCGCTTTGAGAAGGGTTGAAGTTTCTTTATCGTAGTACTTTTTCTTTTGCTTCAGCTCGTTCATCCGTTCTGCAGCAATGTCTTCCGGTCCCATCTCCATTCGGCTTTCCAAGCCATCCCGCAACGATTGTATGCGATTGCGCAAACTTTGCGAAAGGGCTTTCTGATCTTCAAGATTGGACTTTTCCACCTCAAGCCGTCGCCTGGTTTTCTCAACTGATTCCCTATGAGAGGCTAAGTAGGCCTTGGTTTCCTCCACAGTCTGGTGAGTTTTGCGGAGAGCTAGGAGAGCAGGCAATACGGATTCCGGATATGGTAGGAAAGGTGTCTGCGATGCCAGTTCATCGTAAGCTACCCTCATGATATCCCATGGTGCCGTCAGGGGATGGTACTGATTTGAGAGATGTGCATTTGAAGTAGCGCGCAGCTCGTTCAGCGCGGCCTCATGTTCTTTGACTTTTTCTTGAAGCTCCCGCAAGGTCTCTTGAAGGTGGGACGTGTGAAACAGATCCGTGTCGTCGCTAAGACGCGCTCCGTTATCCATTTCGTCGTGGGAGCTACCTAGGTAGTTAATGATTCAGACTGCCAAGACAGGCTCTCTCTTGTATTTCAAACAACGTTACTTGAGGTAGGGTAAGATACGGTTGATGTCTTGCAGCTCTCAGTTTTTACAAATGGACGTCTATATTTCCCTATTGTAGAATATATGCAGCTAGCAGCTTTTAGCAGCCTTTAGCAGCCTCTAGTTGAGAGCATGGATTCAAGGGGGGTGCCAAGAAATGCAACAACAAGGTCAAGTGCCGACGGATCTGCGGCACAAACACTCCTGAAGCAGGTCTTGTTGATTAATCCCAATTCTATTGAATACCATGTATTGAAAAATACACGTGGTATATTAGTATAATCAACGATTCGAGAAGGTATCAAAAACCTAGCATTATCAAGTTAGTACCACTAGTTAGAGAGAAAAAAAAAGATGGAGATGAAAGATAAACTAGAGTTGTTAAATTCAAATTCTCGGAATAATAGTTCAAGGATATCACGTACTGCAAAGAAATCAACGGAATCAACCTTCCTTGATGTACACGGTGTGTTGTACAACATAACATTCGTACATAGGTACCTACCTACCTAAGTAGCTGGAATGGAGTTTGGAAAGAGCCTACTTACCTCGTTGGAGTACAAGCACACTACGTGGGCAAACACCAAAATCAGAAGTATAGACGATGGCTGACGAATGTATGTGTACTTAGCAAGCGTGCTGGCGTGCTGGTGTGGAGCTGAATTTTGGAAGGCATAGTTTTAGCGCTAGAGCCAATTAGGTGGGAATCCATGACGCTTGGACAACCATCTCCCCTAAGATTTTGTGCGGAGGAGAACCCCATCGCCCTTGCAAAAGAGAGAAGAAAAAAAAACAAGCACTGGGCGCACTGGCACACTGGCACACTGGCACGGTGTCCACTCTAGGTTAGATCTTTCTTGCATTAGAGTGAGACAACCTTTATGTAGACAACCTCCAACCTTACAATACGCATCTTGCCTCCTTCAATTCAATCTTTTATCCACCCCCCCTTCATCCTCATCCTTCCTCGCAACTCGTATCACCCATATCGCATTCGTTGCGAGTTGCGATCTCAGCACACTGCACCTCTTTTTTCTCTGCACCCCTTCTCCCCCTCCCTTCTATTACTATATCTTCGTTTAATTACCCCATCATCCCGCCTTCTTCCCTTGTTGAGGATTGTTGAGGTAGTTTCGCAATTAAACTTCTCTTTAACAGAGACAACGAGCAATAGTCGCCTTTAAGAGTCTCCTTTACTGCACCTACCCGCAGCAGGAGAAGACATTTTATAATTGCTTGAGCGCATCTTTAGTTCACTGCGAGAAGACCAAACGCGACGCGGGTCGACCTTCCCTCCACCGCCCTAACTAAAGGTGCTTATCTGCTAGAGAGGCAGTTTCTCTCGTTAGAAGGGAGAGAAAAGTGCGCAACATAATAGAAAAGAGAAAAGAAGAAAAAAAAGGAAATCGGTGTCGAGTATCCGCCTGAGATCTTTCCTATTTGACGGAGTAAAAGGTTTGAGAACTGACTACGTCTCTGATCCTGCCACTTCTTTCCATACCATCACATCCTACTTTTGTCTACTTCGTTCGCCCTTCCATACTTCTACCGCCAACTTGATCACCACATCTTCGTTTTGGTCAAGCTAGCAAAATCCTCCACCTCCATCAAATCGCCCTCAGCTACCGTTTAAGGTCATCACCACCACTCTCGTCCTACCAAAATTCCGCCTTGCAGCACGAGCGTCTAGGTCCCAGCCGGATCTTTCATTATCATCACTCTTCTCGTTGTCCCTGTCGTCATCTAATTTGACGACTTCGATCTCGTCCCATCATCGACCCTGCCTTACAAGTCCGACCTGACCTCCAGATCCCGCATACAAAATATTCATCAACTTGAGGGTACTTAAAAACCATATCACGCCCCGAACCATTGCACCTGCACGTTTTCCTTCGAAAACCCTCAAGGTGTAGATAAAAAGAAGTCGATAATTCAATCTCAATTCGACCGTCTTAACGGCCTACCGTAGCGTCCGCTCAAGAGTGAACAAGTTCATAGAACAATATGTCTGCCTCTCCTACTCACCCTACTAATCCGGCTAAACGCCCTCTGGAGGATGCCTCCTCTCCTTCCCGCGGCGGTGGCGATCAACCCGAAGCCAAACGGCCCGCCCTTGACAAAGTCAACAACGCAGATAACGACAAAGATGTCGAGATTCCCGAGAGCAATGGTGACATCGCCTCATTGCCGCTGGTTGGAACTAACGGCACAGTCAAATCCGAGGATACCAGTCAGGATAAGGCTGAAGTCAAAGACGACCAGGGCGATACTGTCGTACCTGATGTTGATGAAGCCAAATCCGCCGTAGATGCCGCAGTTTCTGGTGCTACAGGTGTGTCCGGTGCCGCTGCGACCAACACTCATGACGAGACCACCTGGATTCATATCCGTGCTGTGATCTCTAGCCCTGAAGCTGCCACCATCATCGGTAAAGGTGGCGAAAACGTTTCCAATATCCGGAAACTATCTAATGCCAAGTGCACCGTTAGTGACTATCAGAAAGGCGCCGTAGAGAGAATACTTACAGTCAGCGGAGCTGTCGAGGCCGTAGCCAAGGTATTTCTTAGCCACTCATCCTGTAATATTTTCAAGACAGTAGCTAACATTGATTTTAGGCATTCGGTCTAATCATCCGGACATTAAACAACGAACCTTTAACAGAAAAATCCAACACGCAGTCTAAGACATACCCTCTTCGCCTGCTCATTCCGCATGTGCTTATCGGTTCCATTATCGGGAAAGGCGGTGCCCGCATTCGTGAGATTCAAGATGCTTCGGGAGCGCGGCTTAACGCCTCTGACTCGTGCCTGCCGCTATCCAGCGAGCGTTCCCTCGTAGTCATGGGCGTAGCTGACGCTGTTCATATTGCTACTTATTATGTAGGAAGCACGCTCCTCCAGCAGCTTAACGAACGCTTTGGGGGGCCGGCAGCCTCTGCCTATGCCACTCGGAGTGGTGGTCCGACCGGTGTGATACCCGGAGGAATGCAAGTAGTTCCATACTGTCCCCAACCCGCTGGCGGCAACTTCGGTCAGCGCGAGAACTATGGTCGACGACCTGACCCCCGAGCTCATCACATGCCGCCCGCGCCGTATGCGCAGCCCTACCACCCGCATGCTGCCACCCCGCAACCTAACCCTAGTGTACCGATGCACTATACACCCCAGGCGGCAGGCTATGGCGCCGCACCACACATACCGCCTCATCACGCTCCTCACGTGGGTGGCCCCCACCCTCACGGCGGTCCTCCGACCCAACCAATGCACGGTGCTGCTATCGCAGGAGCGCCTATGACCCAGCAAATTTACATCCCCAACGACATGGTTGGTGCCATCATTGGTAAGGGTGGTCAAAAAATCAATGAGATTCGGACAATTAGCGGTAGCGTGATTAAGATCAACGAACCGCAAGATAATAGTAATGAGCGGCTTGTAACAATCACGGGAACCGAGGAATGTAACAGGATGGCACTGTACATGCTCTACTCTCGACTGGGTGAGACACCTAAAGCACCACGCGGCCGCGCGTAATAAGGGTCAACCGAGAACTAATCATTACCATGACGAGCAGAGAGCGAAAAGCACCGCATTTAACGATTGATAAAATAAAAATAAAAAATTATATCCCGTCGGCTCTCGGCTTCATCTTCGAAAAATTTTGGTCGCGTGGGGGGGCATTTTGTGTTTCAGCACATCGTGTTCATTGTTATCTGGTCCTGAACCTATTTGGTGCATCGCCCCGGGGAGGAGAAAGGTCACAGGAGATGGTGGCGTAAACGGCTGGGTTGCTAGTAGCTTCATATGATTTTTTTTAGGTAGTTGGGCAAGAGTGAGATTTTTGATCCTAACGAGCGGTAGTGCCATTTGACACGGCCGACGGACGGACGGGTACGAGATAGGAGGCTGCTTAGCTTCATGTGATCTCTGCGTCTTTACTAGTCAGGCAACAAATACATGTTCTTCATACGGATATGCGGTCGACCTACGCTACGTGCTCCTTGTTAACCTCGGTGCCGTTGCCGTTATGAGTCTACGAAATTTGCATTTACGACATATCGGTGGTACGTCTTAATCTAGGTAGTTACGTTTTGGTAGGAGAAAAGAAATATGCTAGCTCTGAAGTAGTTTTTGCTATGTAAATGATTTATATCGATCCTGCTTTTGTCATGATGATATTTCGTACAGTTTACGCCTACATCAAGCATAAACTGGTGAATATATAGACGAATGTATGTATAGAGGCAGATACTAGCGGTAGCTAACGAGTAAAGGAAACGTTGAGATGCCTAATCCATCCATCCATTACCTTGCGCCTTAACTGCCGTTAAGGACTTGTAAAGGCCAGTCCGTCTAGGTTGTTGTAGACAAGTAGTTAGGTTAGGTACTTATCTCGTTTAACTACACCAAGTTCATCGCTGCTTATCCAAACAATGAATGGTTCGGCTCAGGGTCGACTACTATATGTCCCTGTTTATGGGTATATGGACATTTCTTCAGTGGTACAGCAATAGTGGCGTTTCTTAAGCACTCCTCCTATGCGGACAGTCTAAGCTGTTACGCTTCATATGGGAGGGAGGTTGTTAGTTCTGCATTACAAAGGCTTTACCAGTTACCAGTGATATATGATACATAGGGTTAGGTAACTATGTAACTACTAGTGTTCGTTTTGAGCAGGAAGTTTCATCTAGACGCTGAGATGAGTGCAATGGCAGTAGTACTTGACCGTCCATGATGTTTGGTACCAGCTACCTCTTAGCTGCAGTAGTGGTATAGGTATATTGTCCCTAATACAAGTCTCAAGTTCTGACAGCACGAATCGGTATGCGACGTAGACATGGCAAGGTATGTCCTCTAGCTTACGGTCAAGGTTGAGTAGCTCTCTGCGAGTGTTCTCATATTCTAGATAATGAATCGGGGAATCACGGTCGAGGTAGAGGGCACCAAAACTATTTCCACGACTACACGGCTTTCCATTTCCCCAGCCTGGCTTAAGATCGCAAACATGCTCATAAGTGGAATTTGGCGTCCTGGAGGTTAACTGGACCATAGTTACCTAATCCAATATATCAATCCGATATAATGGATTGTGATTCGAGATTGGTCATTTCTTACGTGATACACTATTTAGTTCTAGCAAACGTGGTATGATAGTTGACTTACCAAACACATGGCTTGATGGAACAAACCCATCGTAGAGCTAGAGCTGGGATAAAGCAACTTGGTTGATGTTTGAGTGGCCCGAGGCATTTAGTTTATTTAGAAGACCTGGACAAGATTTGCTGAAGTAATATATTTTCGTACGTAAGTCCGTATATATGTATTACCGCATACATATGTTGCTTGTTGACCCTTGGCGCTATAGCAAATAGACATTGGATGGTGTGATGCAAGTCGAGGTAAACAATGCTGCTGCAGACGTAGAAGAGGCAGTAATAGGCGAGTAAAAATGAGGGCTTTTGGCGTTTTGTTGGCTTGTTACCCAGAAGGCATCTTCTTCGCTCGCTCACTGCGTCTCGAGGTATAACCCGTTTAGAAGGGGAAGATATTGCTAGTTGAACTAGTCAATCACTTACCTACCTAGGTAGACATATACTCCCTTCTATAGAAATATTGTGCGAGAGGTTCGAGGAATTACTCGGGGCCAAACGCAACGCTGCGATACACGGCATATCATCTGCTCTGTACCTATGTATTCATCGTCGCGCTCTCTATAGCCAACTTATAAGACGGGACAATACCCAACCTTAGTAGTGCCTTCGCCAGGTAGTAAAAGTAGGTAAGCAATGTCTTACCTACAGCCTCGTCCAGCGTGTTAATTAGGGAGGTAGCACGCCACGAGTTTGTATTACCTACTGGTAAGATTATACCTTCGGTATTGTACAAAGCCGGACCGAACGCCCGAAGTTTTGCGTACAAGGGAGTTTAATGATTTCCCCCATTATTACGCACGAGCCGTCGTAGTCGTCGTCGTGGTCGTCGGATATTATATACCCAAAGAATTCGAATGTTTGAAACAAAAGTGCGCTCCCTTACATCTCGATTGTCTTCAGCCCTACGCCACCGCACATGGGAAAAGCGTTACAGCATCGGAAGCGTTCTAGACCTAGCTTAGGTTAGGTTAGGTTAGGTTAAGTTTGTATTGGATTTCCAAGCGTGGCTGTCGATGATTTCGCTAACCGCCCTGGCCCGTCCCCTTAAATAAGTCGGGCTAATATAATAATATAAGAGTACTATAGCTATATCGTAGGGTCAGCGCTAAGAAACTAGAACCACTACTAGAGGACGAAAAGAAACAGCCTGCTATTGTTGCGGCCTGGCAGCTTAGCAGGGCAGGGCAGGGGGGCGCGTGAAGCGAAGGATTCCTTCAGCTTGGTTTAGGGAAATTGAATGTACGATGTAGGACCAATGCGTGCAATCAAAAATGCTATTCGCTTACACTAGTAACATCTAGCATCTTACCCATCAGGCGGTGTCTGTCGCACACGGGGAGGCAAACTTTAGTAGTTATTTCATCTTACATTGGACTTTTGTAAGCCGGGCTTGATTCGTCTGTTCCTTGGTAATAGGGGGCTAGGACATGACATTTGAGCCAAGTAGGTTATGGGCTGAGCTGGACACGAGCTACGCGACAAGGAGAGCAAAAAAAACAAAAAAAACCAACCCGAATCAAGATGTCATTCTCGATATCGTCTGCTATGCTATGCCGTGCCATGTTATGCTATGCTATGCTATAGAGCGGAGTAGAGGTGGACTCGATGACGTTTTAAGGACGATGTCACGCCAGGCTTACCCAATTTACGAAATTTGCAATATGTATCGTATGTATTGTATAATACGAAGAGTGGTAGTTTGGGACACTAGGTGAGGCCAAGAAAGCTTCGCGCAGCCTTACAACGATCTCTCTCGTGTCGTGCTGTGTAGAGAAATTGGTTAACGAGAACTGGAGAAAGGCTATATCGAGAGTTACGATGTAACAAGAACATTTACGAGTGTAACGTAGACGTTGAGAGAGGTAGCATAGCATAGGACGATCCCCCGGCTTTTGAGCATTAACACCGTGGGTAGTTCTGCCATAGTTAAACGCATTAATGAGTTTGACAGGTTTGGTTGGAAATCGGATGATTCGCCCGAAAGTCCTAGGTAGGTAATTGTATAATAGGTCATAGTTATTATGCATACCTACCCAGCCTAACCTAAGGTACGAAGTATTACCTAACATCCGCTATACCAACCTAAGGCCATAAAGCCGACCCCGATAGAAACGGGTCCAGTCATACCGGATCGGACTGCAAGTGAGGTTAGCTGCAGCAGGAAGTTGCCTTCCTAGATGAGCAGATGGGCGCCAGGAACAATCGCCCACGCTCCCCATTCTTTAAAGTAGGTACGGATTACGTACCTCAGTATTGTACAATAGTACTTAATATGCTATCTACCAAATTTGGAATTGTAAACTAAAAACCTTGTAACATTCTTTTAAACAGGTAGGTAGGTACCTAGAGTTATTTTGAATCTCAACTCAGCCTCGAGGCTTAGAATGCCTCAAGTGGCAGAAGTGTGCGTGTAATATACGATTAGGTACCTACGTAACAAAAGCGACGTTTCAATTTATTCGTTTATTTAACGCGCATAACCAGCGCTACTTTGTGACTTCGCCTTACTCCAATCACTCACTCAAATCGAAGCTATTTACGGGTTATTAAGTAGGCGATGTTACATCCAACAGCCCAAGGGCAACCGGGGTGTAATAAAAGAGAAAAATAAAATAAAAGCCGGCTTTTTTTATTTTTTATTTTTTACATGCCCCCCTTTCGCCTTCGCTAACTCGTTTGGTCTTCCTTCGCGAGGGTCTTTGTAATTTTACCGTTTTTGAAAACCCATGCGACTCCGGCCCCATTGGCTCCATTGGCCAGTCAGAGTGACGAAAGAATGGATCTTTAGGGGCAGGTGGACAGGTGGGCTGCAGTCTGACCAGTAAAGAAATCTGGGTTGGCGGATATCACATGTACCCAGCTTAGCTTCTGGCCAACTGGAATGTATCTTTTCTTGTTTGCTTTGCCTGTGGGATACCTGTCGCGTCATTAAGTGAGACATGAAGAGAGATCTAGCCCGCGAAACTGGCACGCCTCCGTCGACTAGGGGCCCATCGCCTAGGGGATCGCCCAGGGGAACGAGCCCAGGATTGCCATGACTGGAACTGACAGGTTCTGCCAGGCATAATAGGCATAAACAGGTGCAGCAGGCAACGCCAGGCAACACCAGGAACCAAACATCTGTTTGTTCTTAGTACCTAGGTAGGTAGGTAGGTACCTCTAGATCGTATCGCGCCATGAGCTGTGCCTCTCTCTCAGTCACCCTCCCCTCCCCAGTCTTAGTCAACTAAATATCATCAACCATTTTTATCTCACGCCCTCCTGTTTCTTTTTCTTCTTTTTTTCTTTTTTTCCTTCTTCCAACATCCAGCCGTAAATCCAAAAGTCTTTTTTTAAGACTCCCACATTCTTTTAAATCTTCGCAGCTCCGCTCAGCTCGCGTCAGCCCAACGGCACCTTCCACTCCTTTATCAACCTGCCTCTCCTTCTCGGCACTCGTGGTCCTCAACAACCTCCAATTCCCTTCCAACTTTAGTCAAGATGCGTTCTACCGTTTTCGCCTCCGCCTTGGCCTTCGCTGCCTCGGCCTTCGCCCAGACTCCCGGCTACGCCGTCATCTCCTCTCCCGCTGAGGGCCAGCAGGTTCCCTCCGGCAAGACCTTCACCATCAAGTGGGACGCTGGCAAGGACTCTGGTCCTGTTACCATCACCCTTCTTGGTGGTGAGACTCCTACCACTCTCTCTATCGGACCTGTCCTCGCAAGTAAGTAAAATATCGTTGGTATCCGAATTGGTGATTTGTATGCCCGTATTAACAAATATTTTTTTTATAGCTGTTGATGTTAGCGAGGGCTCTTTCACCTGGAATGTTGACTGCTCCCTCGGCAAGGACAAGACCTACGGTATCAAGGTCGCCTCCGTCGCCAACCCTGCTACTTTCCAGTACAGCTTTCCCTTCGCCATCGCTGGCCCCTCTTGCGGTGCTGTAGAGAGCAGCAGCAGCAGCAGCAGCAGCAGCAGCGCTGTCGTCTCTATCGCCACTAGCACTGCTGGTGGCTACCCCGTCTCTGTCGCTACTAGCACTGCTGGTGGCTACCCTACTCAGGGATCCTCTACCCCCAGCAGCAGCTCTGTTGCCACCAGCTCTGTTGCCACCAGTTCTGTTGTCACCAGTTCTGCTCCCTCCAGCACTGCTCCCTCTTACCCTACCCTGAGCGTCTCCAGCTCCGTCAAGAGCAGCAGCAGCGTTGCCAGCAACACCACCAGCGCTAAGAGCACCCCGAATCCTACTTACTCCGTCGTGGTTCCCTCCGGCAACCTGTCCACCACTCACCAGACCCCCACCTATGTTCCTACGACCATCGTCACCAGCGCCAGCTACGCCGTCGTGACTCCTACCCAGAGCGGTAGCCCCTCCACCTCGGCTCCCGTCACCATCCCCACCGCTGGTGCCAGCAACATCGCCGCTGGTTCTCTGGCTCTTTTCGGTGGTCTTGCATTCGCCCTCTTCGGCATGTAAAAAGCTTCTTACAGCTAGAAGATTTTTTTTTTTTTACTTGTTGAGAGATGACGTTTTAATATAAAGATTTGGTTGCGTTGTTTTTAAACCGGCGTGAGCAAGGGAATCGGAGCTAATGAACTAATTGTGGCCACACAAACCGAGATACCTTTCTGAAATGGCACCGGCTGTAGATGCGGACATTATATCCAGGTTCTATATGATGCTCAAGTAAAGCATTGTGACCAAGCCTCTATTCATGTCAATATAGACAGGCCTGCTATACCCGAATATACCCCCCCATTAAAAACTCATTGCTTCTTGTCTTTATTTGCACGTGATTTGGAGATGAAGAATTGCATTGCGCACTTGCTTTTTGGCTCTAATAAGTCGTTTCTGCGCTGATGGAAACGAACTATTGATTTGAGTATTTGGTACAAGATGATACCCGTAGTCTCAATCGAGGAACGTCGTAAGGTTCAGTTCGTCAATAATTAATACTACGTAATTGATCTGACTTGGAAGTACTGAAGTCAAGATAAATAGTATCGACGTTTTCCGAGTCGAAGTTTAAAGTTAGTTACCTAGGTACATAACAGGTAGTTCAACGGTAAATTTTTATTAGATTTTTTCCCGCTAATTCTGCCTACGATATCATTATCCCACGTGGAAATCAACCCATGCCCGTGTAACGATTGAAGATCGACAAGATATAGATATAGACATAGACAGACGTACAACAACGGGCACGATCCCGATCGCCGGTCTTTCCTTTTCCTTTTCCTTACAGCGCATCACCGAATCGGGAAGAAGCCGATGACGATCACGGATGGGACTTAGGACGTAAAGTACCTACCTAAGCTACTTTTCCCAATATCTCCTCGGATCTTTTCTCCATTGCTTTAGGTAATCTGTCGCATACGAGAGGGGAATGGAGGAATGGAAAGGCTGCTTTTGTTGCTCGTTTCGGCTTTATTGGCGCGGGTACCCCGGGGACGCCATTCCTCCCTCAACCGGCGCTCGAATAGCCTACTGGGCTCGCTAACTGCCGAACCCGGGTATCTTTGAAACCGGTGTTTGGAATTGGGAGGGGGATGGTTTTCTTGAAACCCTGACCCTCTGACACAGTTGGGATGATGATGGTTGTATTTCGTATGAATTACAGTTTTCACTTGTTCTACTTATAACAGCTACCTACCTAACAAGAGAGGAATCCTATGGAAAGAAGGAATTCCAAGGTGTCAGCACAGTGATATTCGAAAAATTGTTAATTATTAAAAAGCAAAAAAAAGAAAAAAAAAAAAAGATATGGAAAATACTACTCCCACGGGTATGATGTAGAAATGAGCGTCCCAAGCAAATCGGTTTGGTGGTCGACAACTTCCTCGTATTGCGACGATAACCATCCATATCCACCGCAGTTTACATACCTGTTAAACACATAACTAATAGTTACCTAGGTAGGTACCTGTTATCTATTCTTAAGTATCGTTATATTCGAGATCTACACTTTATAGTTACCCTAATTCCATACCAACTTCTGCTGGAACCAGTTAACCGTTTCGTAATTATAAACCGTCTTTTTACAGTTAATATTTATTAATATTTATTATTTTAAATATTTATATAAAAGTAACGTTTGACACGCTTTTAATAATAAACGTTCGAAAGGCTTTCGAACGTTCAAGCGTTTATCTCCTTCCCGTTGTCCCTGTTACCTTGATCCAATACGTCTTGACGTACGTACCTAGGTAGGTAGCAAGAGGCCCGGCTGATTAAGTCTTCGGAATCGTCTATATAAAGGCCTCTCCCTCCCTCCTTTGAAAGCGATTCTTCTTTCTTTTCTTCTAAGTTTTCAACCCTCAGCCAGCCAGCCAAGCCACTGTAGCCAGGACCTAGGACCCAGGAGTCATCGTAGCCCCGTAGCCTCATCACGTAGCATCGTAACATCGTAGCATCGTAGCATCGTAGCATCGTAGAATCTTCAATAGCCTCAGAATCCTACTGCTTCTAATTGCGTTTGTACGCTCGTTTGTACGTATATACGTACCTAATATCCCTTCCCGTTAGCTCCCGTGGCTCCCGTTAAGGCTTTTGTACCCCTTTTGGTAAACGCGTAAACGTTCGAAGTCAATTCAAACGTTTAAAAGATTAAATTCTTCATTAAATTTTAATAATTTAAAAATATAAACGTTTGAAAGCACTTCGAATATCTGAGATCTTCTTGAACGCTTGCCAAAGTTATTCAACGTTCAAGAAGTTGGAATTTTTTTAATGAAAAAAAAATTAAATGGTGAATAGACGGTTAATTAACGGTTTACAAGAACCAGCGGAAGTTGATACGGTTCCATCCAAGCTCCAAGTCCCATCGTTATCCATCTATGCTATCGCTAATCGACTTAAACCAACTAGTGGTTATTGACAAATTATCCTTAGGTACCTCTTTACCTTACCTTTGCCTGCAGTACCTTATACATAATAAGTACCTAGACGGGGTATATACCGAAAAACCCACGCTCCTCCCCCTCCCCCTCCCCCTCCCCTTCAAAAAACGCCAGCCCCAAGCTTCATTCCTCCGTGTCAAATCCCCAAAAGGAAAAATTCCAAACGCCAAGATAAGATCCCGTATAAGTCGATAAATCAATAAATAACCAAATCGTTAAATATAGTAAACAAGAAGGTCAAGTTTCATCCTTCACCAAGGAGGAAGAGAGGAGGGGGACGCCAAGACCAAGCCCAAGCCCCAAAAAATAAAATAAAAATAAAAATAAATCACCGCCCACCGACCTGCCCCTTCGGCACGGGCGGCACCCAGCACAGCACGAGGTTGAGCGCGATGGTGATCACGCCGATGACCCAGAAGGCGGCGGCGTAATCCGTCCCGGCGCCCATGAACCGGAAGACGATGGCGAACACGACGCCGCCGAGGTTGCCGCCGGCGCCCGCGGTCCCGGACACGACGCCGTTGGCGTGCGGGTGCACGTGCGGCACGAGCGCGAAGTTGGCGCCGTTGCCCGCCTCGATGAACAGCGCCGCGAGCGTCACGAGCCCGACCATGGTCCCCAGGTCGTGCGGGTCCGTCTTCCCGACGACGACCAGCGCCGCGCCCCCGACGCACCCGCACGCCACGATCCAGATCTTCTTAGCCCAGACGCTGCCGCCGCCACCGCCACCGCTACGTCCGCGTCCCAGGTTCCGATACAGGACGTCCGCTACGGCGCCGCCGAGAGGCCGCGTCACCACGTTCAGGAACCCGAACATGGCGGCCCAGTTCGCCGCGTTCGTCTGCCCCAGCCGCGGGAAGTTCTTGACGTAGTACGACCCCAGCACCGCGTTGATCGCCAGCTCCCCGCCGAACGAGCACATGTACGTCAGCACGTGGAAGATCGTCTGCGGCGAGGCGATGACCCGCGCGGCTTCGCTCCACGTCGGCTTCTGCACGACTTCGCCCTTGGCCGCGCCTAGGATATCGCTCCTCGGCATGGGCAGGGGCAGGGGCAGGGCCGCTTCGTGGTCCCATTCGGCGGTGAGCTTTGGAGGTTTCTTGGTATCCTTCTCGACATCCTGGATGCTGTTTGCGCCCGTGGAGCTGGAGCTGGATTTGTCCGTGATGTTGCCAGGGACGTCGACGACGCTGTCCGCTGCCGTGTTCGGGGTCGCGTCGCCGTCTTGAGTGGCCAGGTTCTGCTCGACGTGGAGATGTCGCTCGGACCATTTACCGGTTGGCGTGTCTGGACATAGAAGCAGCATCAATATGCCGGTGGTGATGGTTATAACGAGAGGCACGACGAAGGTAAGCCGCCATGCAACGCCGTCCGAGTAGCCCAGGGCCACGAAGGAGTCGAAGACGGCCGGCATTATGAAGTAGGTAATTCCCCCGCCGGCGTTACCCCAGCCTCCCGCGAGGGCGTTGGCGGTACCGATAACATTCTTGTCGAAGAACCCCGTCGACCAGACGAGACAGGGCACGAAGGACCCGCCGAGGATACCTATGAAGAAACGGCTTACGTAGAGGCCCTGCGCGTTATGTACGAGAGGGGCCAGGCCAAGGGGGATCGACCCGATCAGCAGCGTGCCGGCAAATACCCAACGAGGCCCAAACCGATCGCAAGCAGGACCGGCCGCGAGCCGTACCAACAAACTCCAGTAGGTCAGCTTTTGAAAAAAGGCAACGATAAAAACCAAAAAATCAATCATAAAACACATACGTAGCACACAACGAGACAATATTGGAATTGGCAACTTCGGCCGAGGTAAGGTGAAGGTTGGATTTGATGGTATGCGTCAACTACGGAAGCGTGTGTAAGTATCAGTGTCAGTTGTTTGCTTCTCCCCTTTTATTGTGAAATTTCATAAAAGGCATGAGGTGAGAGATACTGACCAGAGGTGGGAACGTATACCACGCCCAAAAAGCTACCATGAACCCCCACCAGGAGAAGAAGAACACGCGCCCGTAGACATTAAAGACATTAAGAACAGGGACAGAGCGGGCCTTGCGGTTAATGGGGTCGATTTCCGGGGCAGCCCAGAGGCAGGACAGCTTCATCTTGAGTATTCAAACACTAATGAGCCCTGAGAGAAATCTTACAATCAAAATATTCGTATATTCTCTCAAAGGGGGACTTCGTTGGATGAGTTCCCAACACGAAGCTTTAGTTATGGTGATTTTGACTGTTTACTGGTATGAACTGGCAAACTGATGGGCTGAAAGGGGCCAACGTATATACTCTCCCGTCCGAATAGCGTATACTCTTAGATTAGTGAATAGAATTACCGTGCAATTGAGCATCTCCGGACGAGTCGTCTCTGAAGCGGGTCTAGAGTAACGGTCCCCACCCGAAGGCTACGCAGGTGTTTTCCGCGGAAGCTTCTCCTGGAAGATAAAAACTGAGATGTGCCGAATCGGAAACGTCTAACCCAAGTGGTGAGGAAATGGCGTGATGGAATTGTCCAATGACTTATCGAGAATAGTAGATCTATAAGTGGCGAGGAGGCTCCTCTCCTATCGATGACCTAAGGGAAAGAGACAGAGAGGGAGAGCTACGACTAGGAGCTGATCTCGACGGGCCTGATAAGATATATCCCTTTAAAGATTGGTGATGTATTGACTAAAATATAGCCATTAGCGTAAATTCTGATAACTGATATAGCCTCATTTGCCTAGCCGCGCTACCCACGACGCACATCGATAGCGCCGGTGGCTTGCTGACGGTAATACGAAGCAAGAATGACCGGATACGGGAGTTGTGATCTTCCAACAGTCAGCCGAATGTGTATATATGCACCAACGAGTTTGAGTTGTGATAAACTCCGACCTCATTAAGTGAACGCCGTCCACTAACTAATAGTAAACAAGACAACCCGAATACCGACTGGCTGGCTGACTGGAAAGAGAGAAATAGATTGAGAGAGTGAGTGACGTTTGAAAGGCCCACCTTGCTTCGCCGTAAAATTACAAATCAGCCAGGGCGCGCACCTGGAAGAGGACTCCCAGCAGCGAATCAGACATGGCATAAAGTAATTTGACAAGTTTCCCGTCGTAAAAGCAGGTAAAACGAGCAGCACGGATATTCGCAGACGCTCAGATGGACCGGTCAGGGGGTGTACGGTGTACGCTAGCCAACGCCGACGTTCCAAACGTCCAACAGGCCAGGCCTCCTTATCTTATCTGGAGGCGTCTAGAGACTAGGATCTCTTCGCCGATGCGTATATACTATACCTAGTAGGAGGTAGGCAGGTATAGGGCTAAGACTTGTTAGACGATGGGTATTTCCCACCACCACCCCCCCCAGCTCTCAGAGATAAGGATGAGGGCCGTCAGTGGCTATTATCTAGGGAAGAGAGAGAGAGAGAGTCCGGGACAGGATTATCGCGTAAGATCTCCGCGGCCCCGTTGGGAAGCTTATGCTTTTTAACTCCGGAATGTTATGTCATATCATAACAGTTGATTAGGTAGGTATATTTCAAAAAAACGATGATCAATCCGGGGTAAGAAATGTAATGTATCTTGAACGCAATGCATATGCTGTAGCAGCCAGTCCCTTGGTCCTTTGGTCGCTCGGGAATCCGACGAGTTGGGTTGACCCCGAACGACTGGCGCGTTCAGACGCAATTATCCCTGCAAAATGTCAGCTTGTCAGCATCGAGGTTTGACAAGGAGGATGTAATTACTACCCTACGAGCTTTTTTGGCACAGGACTCTCTCACACTCTCTAGGACGACTTATTACCCAGAGTTACCTTAGGTTAGGTTAGGTACGTAGGTAGATAAAAATAAAAAGGGAGATGGATGGGGAAACTTGGAGCCCCAAGAGCCGCCAGGATCTTGATGGCTCGAAATCTTATGAATTACTATGTAGTAATTATGAAGTGTAGTTTTTCGATTTAGCGTAGGTAATTGTTGTTATTGAATAGATAAAGACCAGCTCCAATGCTCCACCAGATTGGTTTATCCATCTTCTTTTTCTTTTTAAAACCCCCCTGTCTCCTTTATACCCCCACGTATTTTACTTAGTACATTACCTGGTACAATACAATACAATACAATACCTACAATGCGACTTTGAATGTTCTCTTTACCCAGCCTTACCATCAGGGAGAGTGATAAATCACAATTCAGCCTTACGAATATTTGGTTGGTTAACCAGACCACAAAGCCTTTGTGTACCTGCGTTGCGGATATACGATGTAACGATATTATCAATCGCATGAATAAGAGTGGACAATAACTAGATGCACTCGTTATACCGTATGGCATAGAGGTGATACGAATAGGTAATTCCTTAACTTCACGACCTTTGATAACTACCTAAGGTACCATTAAATTGCTATCGCTTTGGTCCTATAGGTTTTGTAATCAGGAGGATTTGGAGGTCAGCATCCAATAAGTATGCAAACAAAAGAGGAAATATAAGAAACAGAGATATGATATAAAGACAGCCCAAAATTGCCAACGTGCATGACGCACATTTGTCGTCATGTTAGTACTTGAAATGGCCAGGCCAGTATTTGTAAGTGATAACGTTTAAGAGATGGGCACAGGTTGATTTTGGAATTGGTGTCGTTGATTAAAAACGGTTGTACTAATTTATATAGTAACACAATTGCCGGTAGTAACGTTTAACCAACTGTCGGGATGGGACAAAGTCAAATAAGTGCGTAACATAAGGGTCTGAATTTAGGTTTCGAATTTGTGTAGACTTATGACCCTCATTGGATATCAGACATACCTAGGTACCTATCCATCCTAATAGATCGGCTTCTCGAACCGGATACTGCCTTTCTTATCCCATCTTCACCGCTGGATATGGGTACCTGTTACGGATGTCGTTGTGCTTCCACTATTGATATCGGTTCTCCCACGGCACTCCCATGGTGCTCCTGAGAGCTTAAAAGTCGTAGCCGGTACTATAATAATGCAGATCCTAGCCGTTATTGGGGAACCTTCTCGTCATTGGCATAGAAATGCAAAATGCGGTAACTTAACATCAAAATAGTGGAGCGGCTATTGGCTACGGATCTCGGAATGTTAATCCGGTAGTCGGTATTTTGGGTGTTGAACGAGAATGACATTAGACTAACTAGTGAAGAGCCTTGTCAATTGAAGTCGAGAATAGATCATGACTAGGCTAATGCTTAATTGTCTAGTTTTAGCGTATGTCTTTAGGGTGTTCTAGACTCGTTAGACGGAATAAGGAAATAACCCAAGTCGATTTCTTTTTATTGTTTAGAGTATGGTATTTACTGTGAGGCATGTGAGGCTCTCTAATATGCCAATGGTCACAACATCCACTGAACCATCTGTTGAAGCCTTCCTGATTTTGTCGACGTATTCTGCGGCCGCTACTGGCGAACTGTTTGTGCTTCTTGGCTGTAAGCAATGACTGTGTATACCTAGTTAGGATCTCGGGTCGGCTTGGTGGGGCCGTGTCCCGGTAGTTTAAAAGTTGGGTATGAATCTACTAAGATCCAGCGGTGCCGTTGCCGAGCTTGATTCGGATACTATGTGGCTGTTAACTTTGCGGTTTACTTCCTCTTGCGTCGGTTGTCGGTTTACAACCCAGACCAGGATTTTCTCCAACCAAATCTGAATGATGTCAAAGATGCTGGGACAGTTACATATTTTTATGGAAGCCGTGCCGACAAAGGCATTAGAACGGCCCCGGCCGCCATATGTGAGGTTTATATCCGTGGCGAGTTGACAAAGTCGGTGTGATTCCGCTTCTTTACAAAAACTTGCCTATGTGTGACTCGTAACTTTCCTTCGAAATAAATTTTTATTAGGAATTTTGATATTCGAAGGTTACTTGCTGTTTGCTGTTTAGAAATATTCTACTACTGTTAAAAAACATGGCAGACCTTAAAGTCGATAAACCCCAAGATCCCGAACAGAGGAGATCTGATAGTATGCAGACCACTAGCTCTAGCTCTTCGTCGACTCTATCATCTAACATGGACTCGATATTTTCGAGGGCGTGGTGTCATATGATGGAGCCTGTTCGTCCTTCCGGGTTTGCGGAGTTCGAATTACTTATTCTGACGTTGTAAGTATCTAATTTCCTGTATGATAAACCAGACTTTGAAAAGACGAAGAGGCATCCGGAACATAGTAGATGCACAGGCCGGCTAGCTGGACGTCTAGAGTTTCATGAAATATGTTCCAGTAACAGGTACCTACCTAGCATTAGCTAACATATTCTTGATATTAGTTGTACGGGCATGCAAGATGCCATCTCTTTCCCCGATTTCCACTGCTTCGCGTCGAATCAGACGGGAAACACAGTTTTCCTCATGCTGGCCATCATATTGCCCTATCTCAACGGTGAGACGTTCATTACGGCAAATATCGGGGCAGCGCTGGGTTTCTTCCTCTTGGGCGGATGGGCGACGGGCCAGATCAGCCACCTCGTCGGACCGCGACTAAGACTATGGCTTGTCTGCTGCAACTTTACCCAGTCGTGCTTAGTATTCGGCGCGGCGGCTATGCAGTACCGACACGGAGTAGTGTTAAAGGGAGGCGACGCAGTGATCGCTATAGGACTTCTGGCGTTTGCTTCTGGTAGCCAGGTTGTGCAGTCGCGATCCCTCCAGATGACGGAAATAAGCACGTCGATGGCCACGGCAGCGTGGATCGATCTGCTAATTGATCCCAAACTCTTCCAGCTAAATAATCGGCCACGTACAAGGCGTGCTATGTTTCTTGCGACGCTTGTTCTCGGGTCACTTGCGGGTGCGGGTATCTACCGATCTGCTGGTTCTTGGGTAGCCATCCTGATATCGGCTGCTGGAAAGATGCTTGTGACGATCATGTATCTATTCAACGGCACCGAGAAACCAAAGACGACGTCTGGCCAGGATGCTTGTTAAGTGGATTCAATTTCTATGTAGGTAGACATATCACGTTGGATACTAAAGAGCGAATATGCAAAGATGGGTAGTAGGTAATATTTAATTTTAATATGTTTAATAGAGTTTATGATCATTAACCGTCAATTTTATGAGTTATGGACGAAGTGATGACTTGTAACTTAGTAATGAGACGGCATAAAAAATGATATAGGGCATAATAAATAAGATAGAAGTAGCGACGAGGTTTATGTACCTATTTTAACTTATTGAATGTTTACCTTACCTAATCTAACAGCGGGATGGCCCCACAACTTTATCTTGCCTGCTCAGATTGCTTGCAAAACGCGGCGTTGCTAAATTGAATCACCTGCACACGCGACTTGGTGTCACATGGCCCGAGCTTTTTTTTAGAGGGTCTGTCGTGAATTCGGACTTTTCATACGGTTTACATACCTCCCTCTACCTAGGTACATAGTAACATTCAAAACCTGCCAAATGCTACTTTAGAAAACGAAGAGAGGGGACGACATTACTGATGTCCTATTAGCCTTTCCTTTTTTTCTTTCCACAATTATTTCTGTAAAATCTCATGGAGCTTCTATAGAACATTAGTTCCAAGGCGCCTTCATGACTCGAAACAATCTTCGCGATCAATTAAGTTGGTTACTCGCGAATGTTGCTCTAACCTCGCCAAACGCGCCTATTCTACCACCCGCTCGAGACCAACCTTTCTCCGCTATCTCCTCTTCTCTCACCAATTCGACCTCCTCAAGTTCTGAAACGCGTCCCAAAGACCTTACTGATTCGCCTTTATATCCAATTCTTCCCGATATCCAGTCTTTGCACCCAGAACCGCCCGATGGGTCAACGAAACCGGTGGCGAAACCGCTCCAAGCGTCCGGGGAAGATACGGTGAGAGAAAATATGGGGAGATTGTCTTCAAAATCTGGCTCGAAACGGCCTACTCTCATTTTATGCCAGGAGCAATTGCTTAGCCCAGCATCTACGAGCGGAGGCGCGGGGTTGACATTGGGGTCAGGGTCGGGATCAGGATCAGGATCCGGGTCTCTTGCTAAAGAATATAGCGCGTTGCTGAAAAGTTCAGGTTGGAAATCCCCTTCTACCTTAAATTATGAAAATATAACTAAAAGGATATCAAAGGTGTTGCGAATTCTGCTAAGAAAAGAGCGTCTCCCCGAAAGCAATTTCCAACCCCAGGGCCCGCATTCGGAAGCGATCGTACTTACGACACGGTCGATCTAACCAACGATGAAGAACTGACTTCGGTGAATTCTGTTGCATTCGGAAGTAACATTGGACTATGGCGGGAAGATTTTGCTGGCCGGCCCGGACCAGCATCCACTACCACCGCACCCTCAGTTGCGTTCGGAACCGACATCGTGATATGGGAGGAAGAACATGCTATGCGACCAGAGCCTATAACTACGACCGAAAACTCGGTGGCATTCGGGAGTGACGTTATGATATGGGAGGAGGAACAAGCTTCACGGCCTGCGCCGTTGACTCCCAAACGAGGTAAAAAGAGAAAGAGTGACCAAATCAGTCAACCGCCTACTACCACTGTCGCTTCAGCAGATGACTTTCCTGATATCTACGAAGTTTTGTCCGAGGAAGAATCCATGCATTCTCACCTGAAGAAATCCCCAACGAGATCACCAGCCAAGACGAAGCTGAAGAGGGCTAGTCAGTCGCCATCGAAAATTGCAAGCACGTCCAGGAAGGACACGACTCGACGGGCCAGAAAAGAAGAGATCAAGGATGATTCTTCGTCTGTCGATGAGCGTATTATAAAGCGATCCCCCGCGAAGCCATCGCTGAAAAATGTTGCTCCTTATGATGCATCGGGCTCTGAGGACAAGTCTGCGATCTCTTCCGTCCATGATTCATGCTCGGAAGATACTCCAGAAACTCCCAAAGCGCAGACGACGGAAAGATTTCGAACTTTGAAACATGATGACCGGGTTATTGAGGACTCGGCTGATGAGCTCATAACACCTCCTGCCTACAACGCACCAGACAGCACAGCTCATTCAAGCAGTCGCCCGAAGCCTTCGGCTCGGAGGTCTTGGGATGACGGTGACGATGACGTTGTCGCTTACGATACGCCCTCCAAGCCAAGACAGATAGCCCAAGTTGAAAGGCGTACGCCATTTCGCTCGTCCCAGAAACTTAAGCGGGATGTATCTTCTCAGGTTAGTATGACCAGGGGCTACGACGAGGACCTGGAAGCTGGTCCGTCGCAGAGAACTCAGTTGATTAGTGAACCAAGCATCACAATTGACGAGGATGAGCAAGACGCCATCCTGGAATTATTCCTGGCGCAACCTTCAGATACTATAGAGAGAGCCAGACAGATATTGGAAGGACGAATACAAAGCAATAAGGACGCATATAAGCAGTCCTTGAAAAGTGGCGACCTCGGACCTAGAAGTCGCCTCAAGCAGGAGAAAGAGCAGTTGACACGACGGCAGGCTGCTTTGAGTGACCTCTCAAACGACTTGCGTTCTTACGAGGAAATTCAACACAAGAAGGATGCATTGATTATACGAATCTCGGACGCCTACGACCAAGACTTAGATACACAGGATGACGAGGCTCGACTTGAAGAATTAGAGGATGTACTAAAAGAACGCCGGTCAATCTTGAAGCCTAGTCTTCTGAGGGCCGGCATCGACAGTCGGAGCTTTTTTGAGGCTAGCGAGAGTCTCGGTACCGAAGCCGAGCATTCTAACCCTGTTGTACGCGCGACTCAACCAGCCAGATCTGCACCGTCGACGAATTTTTCGCGCGAGTCGACGCTTATCCCACGAGGCAGTACCCAAGTCATTCTTCAAACTCAGCTTTCTCACCAAGTAGACGATTCTTTCCCAATCCCGGATCAGGACTATGAGGAACCACCGTTGCCACCGCCGAGTACCACAGGTAGACCCCGTCGCCGAGTTGCTTCTCCTATACCAGAATTGGACGAACAAATCGACGAACAACCACCGTTCACGATAACTAGTAACAGCAGGCTGGCAAGATCCCCAACTCGTCAGAAACAGCCTGTAGCTATAAGTCAGGATCCTTACAATTTTGACAACGACGACGACGGCCTATTTGAGGAACCGATACCCCAACCTAGTCGGCGTATACCAAAGAAGACGACAAGTTCTCAACCAGGGAATGAAAAGACTCGCAAGAGCCCGGTCAAAGCGAAGTCTAGCCAGAAAGAAGGCTACCAGAGTGACTATAGTGACGATGTCGACATGGTCCAATTTGCAGAGGAGCTTGATCTTCGGCAATCATCCTCGGAGAATAGGCTACCTAAGACTCATCGTCCCGTCCTTTCGGAAACATCTGGAAATGCAGGGATGCGACCCCAGAAGACGGCCATCAATAAGACTGTGGACCCATTGATGTCGGCACAAATTCCACGTGAGCTCAAGAACCGTCCGTGGTTTAAAGATGTGAGAAAGGCGTTAAAGGATAGATTCAGAATGACTGGATTCAGGCATAACCAACTAGAGGCGATCGATGCTACCCTAGCGGGTAAAGACGCGTTCATACTAATGCCTACAGGAGGTGGCAAATCTCTTTGCTACCAACTCCCGGCTGTGATCACGAGCGGAAAGACGCATGGTGTTACAGTGGTCGTGTCTCCCCTTATCAGCTTAATGCAGGATCAAGTCGCACATCTCGAGGCATTGAATATCCGAGCTGCTGCCTTCAGCGGTGAGCTTAATCAGTCAGAACGGAGTAAAATCATGCGTCATTTGAAGGAAAGCCATCCTGAGCATCACGTACAACTTCTTTACGTCACCCCCGAGATGATCAAGAATAGCCAGGCTTTCCTAGATGGCCTGGCCACCCTCTATAAAAACAAGAAGCTTGCACGTCTCGTAATTGACGAAGCCCACTGCGTGAGCCAATGGGGTCACGATTTCCGCCCTGACTACAAGGAGCTGGGTAGCTTCAGAGACATGTTCCCCGGTGTACCTCTGATGGCACTCACAGCGACTGCAACGAAGAACGTTATCTTGGATGTGAAGCATAATCTCAAGATTGAAGCATGCCAGGAATTTTCTCAAAGCTTCAATCGTCCTAACCTCTACTACGAGGTTTTGAAAAAGGAAAAAGATAGCGTCGAAAGCATTGCCGAACTGATCAAAACGAAGTACAAGGGAAAGACGGGCATCGTATACACGCTTTCCCGTAAATCGGCAGAGAAGATTGCTGAGAAACTACGAGGTCACAGAATAGCCGCTCGGCACTACCACGCAAGCATCAAAGTCCACGAGAAGGTAGAGGTCCAGACAAGCTGGCAAGCCGGTGAAACCAAAGTAGTTGTAGCGACTATAGCGTTTGGAATGGGCATCGACAAGCCTGATGTTCGCTTCGTCATCCATCATTCTATCCCCAAGAGCCTCGAAGGATATTATCAAGAGACCGGCCGTGCCGGTCGGGATGGGCTGCCTTCCGAGTGCTACTTATACTTCAGCTACGGAGATGTTTCCTCTCTCAGACGGATGATAACAGACGGCGATGGCAACGAAGAGCAGAAAGAAAGACAGAGGAATATGCTGAACACAGTGGCTGCATTTTGTGACAACCAGAGTGATTGCCGAAGAGCAGAAATTCTCCGTTATTTTGGTGAAGCATTTGACAAACGGCAGTGCGGAAAGACCTGTGATAATTGTCTAAACGAGGAGGTATTTGAGCAGAAGGATTTCAGTCCGTATGCAGTCGCAGTACTGTCGATCATGAAGTCCCAAGGAAGGCTCACGCTCGTCCAATGTACGGATTTCTTAATGGGCAAGAAAAAGCTATCGGAATATAGGGATGGGACGGATCAGTATCGTGGAATCGCTAAGCAGATGCAAAAACACGAAATACATCGAATTATCGACCGACTTGTTGCAGAGGACGCACTGATAGAAGAGAACATCTTCAATAACAAGGCTCGAATGGCCATTCAATATTTCAAGGTAATAGGGTTCTAGCGATCTTCAGCTGCTCTCTTCGCTAATATTTGTTCTATAGGTTGGGCCTGGTGCGCGTGCCTTCTTCAACAATCAACGTCGTCTTTTCCTGACTACTCGAGTTAAGGACAAGGGTAGCCAGAGCGGCGTATCTAAGAGGCTGACACGAATTAACGAGCCTGCGACCGCTGCGACGAAGCGGGCTACTACTAGTAGTCACATCCCATCTACCAACGTGTCATCCCCCATCATAGGTAGAGATCGCAAGAATAAAGGCAAGGCTGCGATGGTCTCGGAAAGCGAAGGTAGCGACGACGATTATTCTAAATTTAGCAACGGGTATGCTAAAGATGGTTTCGTAGTCACCGACGATTCCGAGGATGATTTCGAGGCGATGCCTCCTCCACGCTCTAAAGCCCGGTCTCAACGAACTGCATTAGGGCCGCCAATATCCCACGATGCGCGTATGAGCAGTGCTGAATTATCCGGTCTTCACGATGACATACTCCACAGCTTCTTAGAAGCGGCTAAAGATCTGGAAGAGAAAATCCGGAATTCGAAGAACCTGCGCTCGCCTATTTTTACCGAGCAGCAGCTTCGAGAGATGGCTATCAGGTGGACCATTTCGCTGGACAAGATGCACCTAATACCCGGTATTAACAGCGACAAGGTGGATCGGTACGGTAGTAGAATCCTACCCTTAATACAACAATACCACAAACAGTATAAAGAAATTATGAGTCAGATGAGCCCCCAAGCTACCGCTGTTGCATCCGGCTCTCACGATATCGTTGATCTCGTGTCGAGTGACGACGATATGGATGATATCGAGGATGAGGCGGATGGGGATATCGACGATCCAGGTGCAATATCGTCCTACTTTGCATCACCCGCAGAGAATGCAGGACGAGGGGCTACAGCATCCCGCGCACGCTCCACACCGTCTGCGGCTCGCTCGTCGAAGGGAAGCACATGGCACGGAAGCAAGAAGCCTTTCCAGCGTCGGACATCTGGAGGTTCTACCAGGGGAAGCAAGCCATACGGAGGCGTCAAGAAGAAAGCTACTACTAGCAGTCGAAAGACGACATCGTCCGCTGCTTTCGGCGGATCGAAGCGAACAGGAAAGTCAGCAGGTGCTAGTAGTAGCAGTAGAGCGAGGACGCAAGGCGTAAGTCATAGCGGTATTGGACTCATGGAGCATTGATGGGTCGAGGTACTTGACGGATTGATTCAATAAGGCGCATTATACAAGCTGCATTGCGCGTTTGATATTTTGCCATGGCATGGACGATCGATGAGATGACAAGGGATTGGACTGGACTGGCGTAATTGCGGGCGTTTTGATATTCTAAAACCTACTATTCTACTTCGGCGTTGACAAGGAAGCAAACGATACCTTCTGTTCCCCAGCATGGCGGTAGATAGATACCTAGATACCTAGACGTCTTTGGGCAGTGCTTATGACTTTCACTGCGGGAGTTAAGTTTAACTTAGTACGCGATTCGTGTCTTTAGGGCTGGTTAACCGGTCTTTCAAAGGGGGCACGAATAAAAGGAGGGGACGATATAGTTACTACTGCCTAGCGTATGTGTCCCAATATAATTTTATCAAATCGCAATATTACCTTATGGCAATATTCCACAATCCTGTACCCGCGAACCTCATCCGTCCGAGCACGCCAGATGTGGGCGCAGTCTATCACGCTATTACGAAGTATGTGGCCTACTCGTCGTCCGCAGTAGCGTCTCGACCTCAATGAGCTTCTGAAGAGGGAAACTATCGAGTGAAATAGAAAGGACCTAGTTACATAAATAAACGGAACGAAAAGACGGGATTCGAGTGCAGATAATAAACACGACAATGGAAGCAGTTAGTTTCTAGCTTCTTTTCGGACCCTCGAAGGGGGATACTAAAAGAACAGAAAAGAGGACAATGGAAATGGCACGTATTATACCAGAACTTCATCATTAGAAGCCGGCGTGGCTAATTTTTTTTTCTTTTGTTAAAAAAACCTAGACGCCATGGCTTTAATACCAATTCTCAAATTTATAGACTACGCCTGCCTGCTAATCCCGTTTGATTTCTTTCATTCCTAACCGTACGCCGCTGCAGGTCGAGAAAAAAAAAGCTAAAACCGACCGATGAATGAATAGGATACGTGGTAGGTACAATAAATAGAAGATATATCGTACAGTAACACAATGCTCGCTCTTTGGTTCAGGAGTTCACCGTTCCTCTTACTGAAGGGTTAAACGGGGACCCGGGGAAATATGCTCCTCTCTCACCTTGTCTCTTCCGCACATCTCTTCTTCCTCGGTATGCTCAATCTGTTTAACCTCTACAACCGCAAAAAAAGCGCTCGATTGTCCCCTGAGTTATATGCCAAAGACTGCCCCTCCCCCCCTCTCCAGAGAATGCTTATAGTAGAGACGGACGGGATATAATAAAAACATAAATAAGAGGTATCACTATGATGGGACCATTTCCATGACGACCCGTGCTGAAACCTAGAAATACCCTAAGAACGCCTTGGCCTACCTCCGCATTCGCCATGCTGCGTATACCCTCGTTTCCGCGTCAATTATGGCGGGATAAATATGGATAGATGATAGATAATCCAATCTCCAAGGGAATAATATTAGCTCAGCTCGGTTGTTGATTCATGCCGACGAGATGTTGGCCGCTAACCCATTAACGATTGTATAATTTAAATGCCAGTAAGACCGAAGGGAGAGAATAAACTTCCATGGTATCATTGAAGTAAAAGCGAAGACAAGGAGGTGAGGCCCGTCTTGCGGGACCTCGACAAATGGATGGTACAAGGAAGTGATCTGATCCTGTCTAGAGCCGCGTCTGCCGTAACAGCAAATCTATTTCGTAGGACGGCGAGGTCGCTACTTAGAAGTGCCAACGGGGCTTGTTATCTTTCGGCTTCGACTCTGTTACGCTGCTACCCCTGCTCATAGCAGCACGAGCCGCCGCGGTAGCCTGCGGACTGTGGCGGCCACTTGAATCTTCCATCTTTGACTTGGGTTGAGGGAGTAAACTAATGCGCCGGTTACTCATAGACAAGGAACTAGCTGATCGCCGAGTATCACTCATACTGAAATCTAGCCTCGGCGGCTGGAAAGAAGCTCGTCGGTTATCGAAGGTAAACGATCCCTGCGAAGCCCGGGACTTGGCTGCCGACGCTGGAACGGACTGTCCTGCAGAAGCAGCCGCATTAATCCGGTCACGGAATGAGAGACGAGAAGTGCTCTTCCTTGGTAGCGTATCCTCAAGAGCTGGCGAAGAAGAAGCCGCCATAGATAATGGACTACGGAGGGGAAGCTTCGAGCCCCCAGAAGATTGCCCAAGAGAAGATGAAGAGCGGACAGGATTAGGCGTTGTTTTGGCGTATGGGCTAGGCATGGTAAGGGTGAGTGGCTTAAAGTTATGCCCAACATCAGAATCGTTGGTATTCGTGGATGTATTCCATCGCGGACGGTTATCGGCAACATTCGAATTGGATTTCGAGAAACGACTAAGGGGGGTAACACTACCGCTTCGAGGTGGCGTAGTCAGGCTAGTAGTACTAGGCTGGAATGTAGAAAGTCGGGATCCAGCGGGCCGTCGCGAAGGAGGCGCTAAACTTGAACTACTTCTACGAGCAGAAGCAGGTTGAGGCAGATGACTCCCACCACTTATAGTGCGCCTCTTGTGCTGTGTTAGGGAAGTGCTTGACTCCGGGCCTGTGGACATGATAACCGATGATGGCGGCGAACTTCCCGGGGTCTCATTACCGCTAGCGGTAGTTGATCTATCGTTGGAGAGCATGCTGGAGATAGAGTCTCGTAGCTGTTGGTTGTGCTTGTTTGACTGAATTTCCTCTATGATGACGCTTAACTTTGTCATCGACTCTCTTGCTTCCTCCCACTTAGATTCCAACTCGTTATGCAGCCGAAGAATTTCGCCGTTCACAGTAAGTCTATCCTTAACTCCCTTGTCGATGATTGACAGTACACGCTCAATCGCAGGTCCGTAGTGCACCTTCTTTGCCTCATAGCTCTCGATCTTCTTTGTCATCGCCGCGGGACTAGAGTGTTGTAAATCTTGATCCACCGCCTCGTACACCTTTGCCATGCTACGGTCTACAGACTCGATCATTTTCTGGGCTTGCCTACCGGCACTACGAAAAACGAGGACCCATTTGTCTTCACCGAGCTCCTTTCTAAGGGATTCGGCGTCCTTCTCGAGTTTCTTATAGCTCGCTTCCAGCCCGGCTCTCCTCATTTCTAGTTCTTCGCAGGCTGTCGGGAAGGACGCAGAAGCTCTTGCTTCAAATACCGACAGTCGCATTGGCAAGAAGTCCAACGACGCTCTCAGCGGCTGCATCCGTGCGAACAGTGCAAGTAGGCTAGAGTCATCCTGGGTGAGTGCGGGAGTTCCCGGGGAACTTGGGCTAAGCGGAAACGATGGCACACTAAATCGATTATTGCGCATGACAGCCGGTGGCGTTTCCTCGACAATGGTCTCTAGATCGCCTATGTCCATCCCGTCCCCATTTGAAACGGCCATCATGGACTTGTGGCGCCGTTCCTCCATCTCGAAGATTAGTCGACTTAGCTCGTCCATTTCGTTCTGGATATCACCGAGAACCATGTTCCACAGCTCCTCCCACTCCATCGCCGTCTCGACCTGGCCTTTGACGTCATTCAGGGTTTTCCGAATCTTCACCCATGAATTCATAATAGCTTCCATCTGTGTGACGGCCTTCTGTAGGTCTTCGCTGGATACGCTTGCAATATCTGGTCTGTTTTGGAGTTCCTCAATTGCGCCCACGTAGACATTGATAAGTCCCTCGAATCTCGTAATGGCATTTTCCACTTCCTCGTATCCTTCTCGGCCCCCAGCCGCAGCCCACTCGACATCATCATCGCTATCTAGGCCCCCAATAACTTCAGAGGCCTTCGAAATCCAACTCCGTATCTGCTCGGCGGCGCCCAACAAGGCCTTCGACGCCGCTTGGGCCGTAGGAATAGCAGCGACCTTACTCGAGAGTAACTCGGCATCGGGCAGCTGAAGTGCGGTAAGTTGGGCAAGCTGATTAGCAAATGACGCGCGGGATATCGTATATATGGATCCTGCCCGTTGAAGCCCGAGGGGGTTAAAATAGTTAGGTAGGTCAGATGTGAAATCGGCAGGAGTTGCACTCGTAGGGGGCGTATCTTTGGGGGGTAAAGGAGGTGGCGTTTCGGATTCGTCGTCCAACTCTAACTTCGGAACCTGTGAGTCTCGTTTGATATGCTCCCGCCGAGTATCTAATTGTGCTTTGGTGCCATTTCCATTCGTGTGGTCGGGCAATCGATATTTATTGGTATCCATTTCCAATGGCGGCGCCTCGGATATCTCTGGTAGTAGCTCAGGCCTGGGTAAGGGTTCAGGCTGAACCAGCGAGACGGGTCTTTCTTCCTCGTTGGTATTCTTTATTCGAAACGAGTCGCGGCTAGATTTAGACCTTAACAATTGGAAAGGTGTACCAGCGCCCTTCCAAGGACGACCGCGTCGCTCGACGACGAACTCGGTAGAACTGTTTTGATGCTTTTGGTCAAGTAGCCGCAGCTGGTCTTCTGGTAAGCGGCCAATGTGTTCATGGGATGGCGATGTGGGCAAAGACGATGCCTGTCTTTGTTGATTACCGAAACCTAAAGCCTTGAGACGAGCTGCTAAACCAGGGGAAGGTCTACGTGCTTGATGATGTTTGGGCTTAATTGTGGGAGAACTATTATTATTATTATTGATGTTGTTGTTGTTGTTAAGGATGTCGGCAGGGAGAGGTCCAAGCTGTACCAGATCGGTCGGGACGTCAGAAAATGTCAAAAGATCGAGGGGCGGGTCGGCGGCATTTTGTTGTAGACGTTCAGGATCAGGAAATCCTGGGTCCGAAAAAGCGGAGGCCGTCGGTGTGCTAGGAGATTGGTGAGAGGATGAAAGCGGCCGGGTTATAGCGTATTGATCGTGGAGATAGTTTTGTGATGGTGAAGAAGTTGGCGCCGCTGCAGCAGCATCTGATACTGGTACTGGTGCTTCTGCAGCTGGACCGGCTCCAGATGGCCCTGTCATTTACTGATGTAAGTGATATGTAAATGCCTTGAAAAAAATTATATCACTTTTTTTTTTCTTGTTATTATCCTTCTTTTTCTTCTTCGGGATTCTTAACCCTTAACCCTTCTTCTTCTAGCGTCTAGTTGAGGCAGCAGTCTGTGTTGTTGCCCACTTCTTTACTGCAACTGCACAGACATAGGTGATGGGCTTCCTTGTGATTTTTTTCCCCTTCTGCAGCCCCGGGATGATCTCCTATTTTTCTGGGATAGAATTACACGTAACGTGGTCGGGATGAGGAGGAATTGGCGTGTCGGCGGAGTCGTACAGGCCTGATTGGTGTGGGGGGTCTGCGAATTCAATGTTAGGTACTTGTCACAAATTAAGTACAGTTGCACTGGCACTGGCACTTTTATGCTGTTTGTTGCTTCTTCAGTGTTCGCGGGTGTCGCTTGCCCTTGAACCTTGTACGGGACTCAATGTATTGTGTGTACAATACAATACCTCAGTACAATGAAAGCAGGAGCGGTACCTACACGCGCAATTAGTCGCTAGAACCAATAATGTTCTCGTCGCAATAAAATTTCAGATAAGGTACCAGTACCTCCCCCTTTCAGAATGCAGTACCCTCATGTAGTAGTTACATATGCTATGAGGTAGCCAAGTAGCCAGGTAGCTAAGCTATCTAGCTAGCACAGCTGCACAGGCAAGGTAGAAGGTAGGCCTAAAGCTACCACTCAGGCCTTGCCGTCTGATGACTTCCAATTCTGAGGGTCCGGTGGGTCGAACCAATTCCGGCGTATATTGGTAATTCAGCACCGCCGGTAATTGGGTAATTGGCCCGTATTCTTTTAAAAACAGCCGTTCGAGCCTATCCGAAGCGATCGAAAAATCCTCGATGATTCTATCCGGGTCAAGATAGAACCAATAAACTTTGGGTCGCCTTGTTAGGAGATACGACGCTAGTTTGGCGTTGTTGATTTTTACGATGTTCGCGTCGCAGATGCAGGTCGGAAAAGTAGAACGAATGGCTAAGACGTCTGTTTGATTATAAGTGAACGTAAGGGCTTGAGGTCGCGTGGTTGGTAATTTGAGAATGAGGGCAAAAAGATGGCAAGGTTTTCGTCTGTGTTAAAGGGTGTCAATGCCCAACCGGTTCAACTTTCAAGCCACCCAGTTGTCTCGGACCGTTGCACTCGTTCAGAATGGATAAAAAAGCAACGATTCCCGGCACGCAGCTGGATGTGGTACATATGATGGCAACACAAGATAGTTAGAGTTAGGTGACGAACTAAATAATGCATAGGGAATTACCAAAAAGAAGGAGGCAAAGATGGTATGAGACGAGAATGATCTGTTTCGTCTTTTGAGGCTTCTATTTGTTTTAATTAATTAATACCTGATAGCCAGTAAGGCAACTCGAACCTTTTCCCTCTCTTGTCCTCACTCCAGGGCAAGAAACACTCATCCACCAGACCCAGTCTCTCGTAATCTCATTCTCCCGCGTATTAATAGCAAGAAAATCAGTGTTGAAAAGTGACAAACCCGTTCAGCATGATGTTGCAACGCCTTCCTAATCTAGCATTAAATTTGTTATTTATGTCGCTTCGTTATTTGGTTAAAGATCTCACTACCCGTCCCTTGTAACCCTTATGACAGCAAATATTAAAGTTAACGCTTGGAAAGCATCTTGTGCACGTAAAATCTGAAGCATGCCACATGGGTAGGGCCAAGGCTTAGAGGAACCGTTGGTTGGGATAGCAAGGGCCGCAAGGGCCAAGTCATCTACTATTGTAGTATGTCCTATTCCGAGCCAGTTTTACTAGGATTGGGGAAAATGCAAAATGAATATTACGACGCTACAGAATTTGATCTACCTAAAATGAGGACATGAATTGAGCATATCTGTTCATAAGAACTCATGAGGTTCATTAATAGCACAACGCATCTACATAGTATATGAGTTACCACACGTATGAAAGGTACCTAGATAATTATAGGTACATACGAGGTAAGTACCTGGTATAACGTTAGGTAGTTATTTTAGACCATACGTCATCATCATCATACTCATCTCATAGCAATTCTCGAATAATGTTGGGATAATGTTCCATATAATTAACTTGCCTAGGGGGTATGCTTGGTCGTTACAAGACAGAGTATATCCCCCCCGGGTTCTAGAAGCGCCATCACGCGCATTATGCATTTACCTTGCTGCAGGACTGACAGTTGTCTATACGCCATTCGTGTTGTTCGCGGGGTAGTTGAGCAGCGGAACGTTGCTACTTAAACAGATGCATGCTCCAAGCCTAATGCTCGATGTAGAGAGAAGAAAGTAATGTACGCAGCTTTGTAGCAAGTCGGGAATCTCGATGAAAGTAAAAAATAATGAAAATAATAATAAGCTATTGTAATTAAAGGAGAAAAGGGGGGATCCGTAACGTCAGATAGTTCCTGTACATAACTTAGGTACCTAGTATTGTAAGAATGTAATTAAATCTTGTTGCCCAGCCGGTCAGCACCTCAGACGAACGCACCGTCTTCGATTACACAGTACCTAAGTACCTACCTACCTACCTTAGGTAGGCAGGTATCTGAGCTGCTTGAACAACAACTAGTGAGTGTATATGCCACATTATACGGCACAAAGCAGTCAGCATAAAGTCATTATCATGATGAACTATTGTCACACTTGTGGATTCTAGTAGTAACTCTATTGAGTTGGATATACATAAAGAACCCAAACATGGAAGATTCGCTTCCAAGAGCTTGTGATATAAGGAACTGTATCGAAAGTACTAAGAACATAAGAAAAAAAAGGGGGGTGATGGGGCAAAGTGCACAAAGGGTATTGGCTAATCAGATATCCATTTTATTATACGCGTCTCCACTAAGCCGAGGACCGGTTCGACGCGAATAAAGTAACCACCTTACTAAAAAAGTCGATTGTACATAATCTTCTATATATGGCCCCCTGGTTCCTTCCCCGAAGTCCCACTTCCTCGCGGATGTGCTGGATGACTGGATAACGCTAGATACGAAGTAGGCAAGGTAAGATATTCCTGAATTGCCCAGTTGCCTTAATTGATCTCATTAAGGGTACCTAAAGTAAAACGGGAAACGGCCACCTTTTACGATTGTTTATTCTTCAGGTTGTTCCTTAGGTTAACACATGACTCGATAGCTATCAACCCTCATTTCATATTATTTACATTCTTTCATATTCTTCACATCTCTCGTGGATGCACCAGCTCATGCGATCATCAGGCAACTCATTCTTTCACATTTATAACTAGGTGGTATTTGACCCGAAGCTGTTGAACAGCCTTGACCCACGCTCATTTGGCCCTGCGCCCTCCGCCTTTCAATTTTTTTTTTCGCCTTTCCCTTCTCATCGATCACTACTCCGCGATTCGATCAACCGCGCAGCTACTAAATTCAAACCGCCCGCCGTCTTCCCTAACCAGATCGCTAGAACCCCATATTTGAGAATATCGAAATCATGGCAGCTAATCAGAAAGAGCGACCAACATTTCGCCGGGACTCTCCCTCTCCCGAGAGGGCCCCTGGTCCCGCCATAGGTCCTAGTAGGGCAGACTCAACTCGGTGTCTCTCGACTACTTCGTCCGCCTCTCGCGCCTCGAGTGCTGACGGTTCCTATCGAGATTCACTGGTCAGCGATACGTCTAGACTATCTTCTTCGAGCTATGCCTCGTCACGCTTGTCCACGATAAGCTTGGACAAGCCTTTGAAAAAGCGCGGGTTCACAAAACCGCAAGGGACAGACTTTGCCAACAGCGCAAGGCATCGAGAAAGCGTTCTGAGTTTGGGAAGTATATCGCATCTTCAGTACTACTTTGCAAGGACAGGGCTACTAGATGGGAAAGGAGGGCGGCTAGCTAGAAAAAGGCACCCGAGAGCCACCTTAGACTTGTCCTTGTTAGATCCCTCCGCCGCGCAGAACCGGAAAGCCTCAGGCTCGGATGTGGACTCTTCTTACGCCTCGATGGGCAGTAGCCCAGATCTTGGTGCTCAGAATATTACCGGTGGTTCAACAGTCGAGTCGCCTACTGACGATCCAGAAGAATTCTATTGGGATGAGTACGAGGAACCAGACTTGGATATCTTGCCCCCGACTACGAGCACTTACATTCACCGGGAGAAACATATCCCTAAACCTCCTACAATCGAAGAGATGAAAGCAGACCTGACCAAAGCGTTAGACGCTGCCTCGAAGGCTCTCACAGAAGCTACTCCGAAAGCGGGCAATTCGTCAAATCGTCCTGTCAAGCTAACGCAAACCGAATACGAAGTCCAGGGAGTGCAATTACTCGACCTGATGACGCTAGCTATTCGCGCTGCAAAGATCTACTACACGGCGCACGAGCACCCAGACCGTTTGGACTCTATCAAGTCCGAAAAGGAGATACGCTCGGAGCTGCTCTCCGTCATGGAGGTACTCAAGCATATGGCAAATAGGTTATTTGCTGGTGGTCCTCGTAGCGAAGAGTGCGAGACGATGACCTCATGGATTGAAAGCATACGCACCATGCTCAGAAAAGAGGAAGAAATAGAGAAAGCTGAGCGTGCCGAGAGAGCCAGTTGGACATGGATAAAGGGCGACTGGTCGGGAAGGGAAATCGAGCGTGAGATTGCATTTTTAAGCTCGATTGACACCGAAAACGAACCGTTGCCTCCGTGGACGCCAGTTGACAAGGCAACACAATTGCCAACACCCTTCCTAGAAAGCCTGCAGAACGGTCTGAGGCTTGTCCAACTTCATAACACAGCAGTCAAGAAGTCACGCCGACGCTTCGGCGCTATCGGGGCCTTCCACACAGACACTCAGAAGCCATACCGCTGTGCAGAAAACTTGCGCTACTGGATCAAAGCGGCTGAGCTACGATATGAGGTGATGCTGAAGGTGGACGTCATGGGGGTGGTTTACAATACTGATCCCCAAGTATGGGTGGACTTCGAAGCGGCCATTTGGAAATGGTGTCGGACAGTGCGAGAGGAGATTACAACCGAATGGCAGAAAGCAGAAGCGGAAGCGGAAGCGGAAGCACAAGCAAAAGCACAAGCTGAGGCGGCATCTCAATGATAGATGCGTTTGTGTGTGCGTGTTTTTCTTTTCTTCTTCGTTTTACGAGGTTACGCTTATGACGTTCTACATAGAACGCCCGGATACGGGATTTTGCAGACACTCTATCAGCTCAGTTGCTGATGACCATGCTACATATGTAGGTAACGAGGACGCTGCTGCATCACGATTTACACCATATACCCCAAAGAGCATAGTATTGGCTGCACTGTACACTTTTGATCCTTATTGAGAGGTTCGAATTGCAGGATAAGTTAATGAACGGATCGAGCTTTTTTTATTTCTAATTCACTTCTTCCATAGCAGATAGCTTGTTTAGCTAACTTTTTTTTAAACTTTTTTTTTTTGAGATATACAATACTTCAGACTTTGCAGCAATGCAAGAAAACATTCCCAGGCCATTCGGCATTAGTATATATATATGTATAATAGACACCATTTGCGTCTTGTTGATATTGGAAGGATAGGTATCATACAACAAAGGACTGGGCGGTTATTCATTATTATTATTATTATTATTTTGTATTTTACATAGCTACTAGGTAGTATTACATCGCCAGTGCTATTGAATAAGGTTCCCATTCGATTCCAATCCCATAGACATGTGAGATTACGTAATGCATCCGCAGCTGGCGCGGTAGAAGTTCGGCCTATAGTGGGTCTAAGGCCCGACCAGGCAAACGGAAGCTTCATCAGCAGCAGCTTGTACCAGCAACGGCTAACGACCTCATCATTAAGCTCCATCTAATTAACTTTCCATCCGCACACTCACCCATCCCGATTTCCTCTCTCAACGCCGAACTACGATTTCTCTATATCGAATACCCGATATTCATAGTTCCTAACTATCACTTAATACCTACCTTTTTGAACCCGTATCGTCATCAATACAGACCATGGCCTCGGACCAGGAACGGGAGCATGCGCTCCAAGCACTCCGAACCAAGCTGATCGAGTCGCGAGAATGGGAATCGAAGCTCAAGGCCTTGCGCCTGGAGATCAAGGGATTAGAGAAGGAGTTTAACCAGACCGAAGAAAATATCAAGGCTCTGCAAAGTGTCGGACAGATTATTGGTGAAGTCTTAAAGCAACTTGATGAGGAGAGATGTACGTCGCCGCCGCCGCCACCACCACCACCATTACTACTACTACTACTACCGCAAGGCATTTTGAACTTAGGACAGAAAACGTATATTAACATTAGTTTGGTATCGTAGTTATCGTGAAAGCCTCTTCGGGACCCCGATATGTCGTCGGATGCAGATCAAAAGTCGATAAGGCAAAACTAAAGCAGGGAACCCGTGTAGCACTCGACATGACGACCCTGACGATTATGCGAATGCTACCCCGAGAAGTCGACCCCCTCGTCTACAACATGTCGCTGGAGGATCCCGGCCAAGTATCTTTCGCGGGTATCGGTGGTCTCAACGACCAGATCCGAGAACTGCGTGAGGTCATCGAGTTACCGCTAAAGAATCCCGAGCTATTCTTAAGAGTGGGTATTAAGCCGCCCAAGGGTGTGTTATTATACGGACCTCCAGGCACAGGAAAGACGCTGTTGGCAAGAGCTGTGGCCAGTAGCTTAGAGACGAATTTCTTAAAAGGTATGCCTATAACCTCTGCTCTACAGCACATGACGATCAGTTAGTTGTCCGACTTGGCTAACATTCCAATTCTTCCACGGATAGTCGTCTCTTCAGCCATCGTCGACAAGTACATCGGCGAGTCAGCGCGACTTATACGGGAAATGTTCGGGTACGCAAAGGAACACGAACCGTGCATCATCTTCATGGATGAGATCGATGCCATCGGTGGTCGGCGATTTTCGGAAGGTACCAGCGCGGACCGAGAAATTCAGCGCACGCTTATGGAGCTACTTAACCAGCTAGACGGCTTCGACTACCTAGGCAAGACCAAGATTATCATGGCTACGAATCGACCTGATACCTTGGACCCCGCGCTGCTGCGTGCCGGTCGTCTCGACCGTAAGATCGAAATTCCCCTGCCGAACGAAGTCGGCCGTCTGGAGATTCTCAAGATCCACGCCCAGAGCGTCGTTACCGAGGGTGATATCGACTTCGAGAGCGTAGTCAAGATGAGCGATGGCCTGAATGGAGCCGATCTACGAAATGTGGTCACGGAAGCGTAAGTTTTAGCCCCACGTGTTCTGGCGGGTGGTTACGAAGAGGAAAATGTGCTAATCCTTTACATTCTTAGTGGTCTTTTTGCTATCAAGGCCTACCGGGATGCCGTCAACCAAGACGACTTCAACAAGGCGGTCCGAAAGCTAGCGGAGGCGAAGAAGCTTGAAGGCAAACTCGAGTACCAGAAACTATAAGGCAACAGGCATGGCTAGTGTTTTCGAAAGAGCATTAAGCTACTTGAAATATGTTCGACTCTAGCCCGTATTTACCATCAATAGATTAGAGGGGTCAGACCGAACATGGAAATCATTACGAGGCGTCGGTAGTGATCGATTGATAGGTAGTTGCTTGGTCCTACCTTTTCCGCATAAGATGGACTTCTAGGTAAAGCCCAACCAGCTGCACATGCAACCTAACTACAACTTAGCCCTCGATGTACGATTATCAAATATACAGACGGCAGGCATGGTCTCACACTGGTAGCCTTGCTAATAATATGATCAAGGACACGATCTTATGAATACTTTGTTGCGCATTTCCCTTGCTTGACTTGTGTGTATCGTAGAGGCACCGACGTATTATGTCTAGGTTATGTACCTATTCGCCCGTCTACTTGAATTGTTTTACGCCTCTCAAAGTGTCCGCACGTGTCTAGGAAACACAACATGGGTCCTAGCGGCTTCACAACCGTTTCGTATACATATTTGATTTGATTTGATATCCGGGGTGCATGATAGAATTTCTTGGTGCAGTTTGTTGTTGGCAATGGATAGTTTGTGTGGTGTAATCCTACAAACGCAAACATTTCCCAGTACCTACCTACCTAGGTAGGTATCTAAGATATGTAGCTACTGTAGACACGGTGCTCGTGGCACGGGAGAATAGGGCCCGACTGTTTATATGTGAGTGAGGTAGTTTCTGGCGTTTAGTCCCTTTTCAACGTCGCCTACTAAACTCCTTTGGAACACGACGTATGTTTTTGCTCCTAATAGAGAGGATATTACACTTGGTAGGCTTACCACTTCTCTAGGAAGACTAGGTGAGCTTTTCCTGGTGTTATTTGGGGTTAATGTTATGGACCATATCTTTGAGGGGCGTCTTGTGAAGTAAGCTTCCTAAACATTTACTCTTTTAACCTCCTACCTTGAGCGGTTTCTCTTTAACTATAAAATTAAGTTAGAGTTATGGTACCCTCCACCACTAGTAATGACCTTCAGAGGCTAGTTCCTAAGGTATAATGCATTTTCTAGTAGAGATCATCCGAAGCAAGTACTAAGAAACTAACAACTAGTACTGCAAACCGAGCATAGTAGCATGCGGTGAAGGTGAGCAGCCTGTTAGGGTAGAGCAGCGTTATCTTCCTAGCTACTCTACTATCGATGGACACATTAAGATGACCATAGAAGGGCCAAGCACTTGTATCATTAATGAAGATGGCATACATACAATACGATTCGCTCTACTAAAGCTTACCTGAGGCAACGGCTTCAAGGCTTTCTAGCCAGATATCATATACGGAGTACACGTTCAAAGTATTTCACAGCATTCCGTAGGTACACAGTGTTCCCCCAAAGACGACTGAACAAAAGCGGTGAAGAGAGTTACATGGTAGTCCGTAAGAAGCAATCAGTAAGTGGAGTCCGGGGCTTCTTCCATATTCCTCATTCGCGTACGAGGGCAAAGGTCTCGTTGGGAAAAAAAAGATTCTAGTAATAGGGTCATCAGTTATCCACGTCCCAAGAACTACTAAAGCTACCTATCTGCCTATTTATCTGTTCTCGGCTGGGGGGGCCTAACCTGAAGTAACATAGTAGTACCGCCCACGTCGTCCCCAAGTTCGTGTTAACACGGAAGGCTACTTTAAAAAAGCTTGGCAAACCTTCTCATAGGTATCTTCTACCAACTCCTCCTCGCCAATACTTATCACATTGGAAGGGATGGTGGATAGGAGTGATAAAGTCCTAGGATTTGTCTAGGTAGGTAGGTATATTAAGTACAGGACCCCTACAAGCGAACGCAACCGCCAACACATAAACTCACTTCTGATTCCAACGAGACGATACGTTGACAGGAACGCTAATACTTAGCCCAAGAGGATTATCGGCCCAGGCTGCCCATTGGCTCGAATATACGTCGCTCGGGCGGATAGGATTGTAGGGCTGAGAAAAATACATGGATGGGAATATGTACACTACGGGTATGGCCAACCATTTTCCATGGAGTGACCCAGTCCAGCCTCGGACCCCCCATTGTGATACTAAGGATAGTATGCATGCATAGGTATGTTCAAGGTTTGATGAATATGAGCCTCTTACTAACTACCTAACTAAGAGCTGTTTGAGACCAGGGGAGCTCCTTACTCTAAAAGGGGAGGCTCTTCTAGTTCTAACCAAGGTGCCCTAGTTGCATGGAACTTAATTCCCTAGCATTGAGAGTCAATCAACACTTTAGATTAGAAGCCAATAACACATTAGGTTAGGTACTACGTATGCCAATTGGAAACCATCTGCACATTTCTGACCTCATGCGGGGTGACGAAATGTTCCTGAGACATAAGGACGGGTTCTCCCTAGCGTAAAGAGCTATCGAGATAGCTACCTAGCTATGATCATAGAAGGACCATGCTAACCATGCCTGTGAGCTATGCAAGTAGGCTCATGCCGGCCAATCTCCAAACTGGTAAAGGAGTGTGATAGTTTTAGGCAGATCTAGCTTATCCATGGATAATTTTGCTGTATCGTTTAATCTAATCCGTACCGCTGGAGCAATTGACCTGAAAGCTTTAAAGCTTTAAGGGATAAAATAGAGAGCCTCGATATGTCATGTCATGTATTCATCTACTTGGAGCAGAGGTACATGAATCGTGCAGAGCACGTATGTAAAATATTGCAAAGTTGCATTTATAAAAAAAACAATGCTGACCCCAAACATGCTTTACAACCTCGTAATAAATAATTAAAGTTTATTAGATGGCGTTACGCGTGGCGAGGTGAACTAGATTGAGCAGATGCGATACTACCACGTGCTGTGCTCAAAGAGATATCGTTCGGATTTTCACGAACTCTAGGCCTCCGGGATAAAAACACCAAGCACTGTTTCCCTGTCAATCTGACATCAGAATGGATGGGTTACCTACCGGCCATGCTGCATGGCCGGCATGGCTGGTAACCGGCGGCCAGGTGCCCAGGATGCGAACCTTGCAGGGATGCCTATTGGATAGATCGCATTTATACCTCCGCCAGGATGGTAAGTTACTAGGGGGTTTCGTATGGGAAATTCCCTGGCCTTTACTTGCTCATCGAGAATCTCTAGTCTTATGGCTTGTGCGAAGAAAGATGCCTTGAACTTTTAACGTATTTTTATCATAGAAATTGCTTTGTAAGTTACTTGCGGAATATGTATGGATGGGGCAATGGAGCCGCTAACACTTACCTTACCATACTGGCGGAGGTGTATGCGTTGATGCTATTCTTAGGTAGCTGACCTTGTTAGACGCGAGTTACTAACTAAGCGACGGCGCGGGTGACGGCGTATGTTGGTAACAGGCGGAGCTGACTCGAGTAGCCATATTGGCGTTTTTAGCTCCATCACGAAGAAAAAGCTGAAAAAGTGAGTCGGTCATATGACGGGGAAAAAAATAAAAGGCAAACTCGGCGCAATGGTAATACTATTACCGTAAATATATTACTAGAAATTCGTCCTGGCAACTGGAGTAAGGAACTAAATTGAGAAGGGACGAGAAGATACGGTGTCTGATAATTGGGGCATATCCATATCCTCGTATGTAGTGTACTGTACGGGGTTTGGTGACAGAGGAATGCTGGCGCTGGCGCTGGCCCGTCTAGGCAATGCCTTATCTTTTGGAAGGATCAATAACCAAAGATCTGGGTGACTGACTCGTGTTGGGCGGTTCCGTTCCACTAAATAAAAATAAAAGCTCAGGCACTCAGATAGGGTTAGACAGATCAGGTATGTATTACCAAGGATGATGGCGACATTCCTATGCGGAATTGACCGGGCTTCAATCGAGTCGATTCTTTCATCTGAGCGGTCCTATGTACAGAACTTAGTCCGAATGCCAGAAAATACTGATAATGATATTATTTATTGCCGTAGCAACGGCATTGCAGGTCAAAGTACTGATATGTGCGACGCGTCATTCTCACTGCGTGCCGTTGACCCCTTTTCGAGATGTCGTCAGAGGTCGTGTTCGGTCGCTGGATTTGTTTCTGATATTCGGGACTTCCAACAAGCTAGCAGGGAGCTTCAACTTCCAAGTGGAGGGTAGCATTCTGGCCGGCTTGGGCCAAGCCTCACCTGTACATAGTATGGCTCCAAGTCTAAACCTAGCTCAGGTACAGCCCCAAAATAAGGGGCCGCGGCCAGGATGACGATCCGGCAAACGGCGAGCCCTGCACATCGAAAATCGATCTTCGCTGAACACGAAGACACCAATGAATAGCGTCGACGCTCAGTCGGGTGGTGGCGCAGGGATCGATAGCATCTGCTTCGGTACTATGGATTTGGTAAGATTTTCATAATACAGCTAGCTGGTTGGAGATATTATTTTACGAGAAAATGGGAGAAGAAAAATCAAGAAACAAAGTGGCTTCATGGGACAATCATTGGCGACGTTGAGAATATGTGCAACATGATTCTTTTTCGTTCTCGGAGCGCCGAACCGGATGTGGAGGCGAAGTTGAGATGGGCTGGATGTAATTCTTGTAGGACAACAACAAAATAATTTTATTATCGTCGTATTAACAATGCTAGCCATTGCCTAGATGACCAAAGGCTCGGCACACTGCATAGATCTATAGCATCGATTGGCTGCGTTAAAAAGGATAGGAGGTTAGGGGCAATGAAGACAAAGAACAACATGGGAGAAAAACAATGGGCTGACAGCTGGATTCCGCCCTTTGCAACGAATAGAATAATACAACTCGAGACTGGGAATGAGGGACATAGGAATGTAACTTATAAGTAACTTAAATAACTCAAGTGGTTTGGATTGAGTATTAAATGACGAGATTGGCTCTAAAAGATATGGAAGGATTGAAAAAGAAGTTTCCTTTTTTACAGTTGCAGCATCTGGAAAGCCAGGTAACACTTTTAGCAGGTTATGAGGTACATATGTACCTACACTATGTGCGTGGCATACACGTACGCACATACATGTACATACCTAGGTACTTCCTAAAAACTTGAACCACATACTGCCACTGCCCAGGTTCTTAGCAGGCCGGGCGGGCAGTAGACACCCGTCAAACGCACCTACAATGCGGTATGATTGATACATAGTGTTAGGTTTAGATAGGTACTTACCTCATGTACATACGTTGCAGCTGCATGATGCTGTGGATGCTGAAGTTGTGGTGGGGTTAAAAGAGGTATCTTATAGGTATCTTACAGGTTGCGCTAGTAAGTTCGAGCAAGCAAGAAGATACTTAGCTTATACTTTACACGAATAAAGCAGGGATTTGATCGTAACAAGGTAGGACCTAGATACATCACCTCTCTCCCCCCCTTCCCCTCCACTTACCCCCTGGCAGCCCCTCTTACCATCTGAGGTCCATCGCTGCCCACTAGCAGCAGTACTATGGTAGCTACGTCTTCGTACACGCCCACTGCCTCATCTAAAAGCCTATGCCAGCACCAGCACCAGCACCAAGTGTTCTTTCTTAGAAAAAGCCATAACAACCCTTTTACCTTTAAAACTCCCAGCTTAGCCCCCTACCTAACCTTCCCCCCTCCAAATACGTTTTTGCTACTCTGTCCTTTCTTCTTCTTATTCTCTCCTAATCTTGCAACTCCCCAAAGGCTTTCCACAAGCTCACCGCTATTGACTCTCGTTCATCGTTGATACCCTGGGAAGACTCTCTAGAGCTTGGGAGAAGAGTGAATCCCGCAGTTCAGGCCAGATAATACACCCATATTCTAGCTTTGCAATCCTAAGCTAAAGACAACATGTGGTATGTGAATTCGATCGAAATCCTTTATTCCGCCGTGTTCTTCGCTCCTAGGAATCGAAATGGGGAGCGATCTTTGTCCTATCCGCAAATCTGGCGGTCAACCCACTTCATGATTCAAAGCTCCAACTACGTCTTGACGGGGGTTTGGGCTTTGAGATGAAGTTGCTGGGACAAGATTAGTTCTTGGGAGGATTCAGCTGTTGGAATCAATTTCGAGTGCTAATTCAAGTTTTCATAATAGTGGAATTTTTGGTTATATTAATTACCTGGTCGAGAAGGACCGGAAGTATATCCTTGACACATTGGTAAACGGTAAGATCCAACCACATACCTCATCCCGCTCTCCTCCATCCTCTCTACACTTCTTCTCCATCTTATAGTCCAGATTTACGGACAATAAACAAGATAATAAATGGGAACCTGAAAACTGACGCTTAATTTTTCTTTTAAACAGGTCTCTCACGTCTAGAGTACCGTGGATATGACTCGGCCGGTATAGCCGTCGACGGCGACAAGAAGAACGAGGTGCTCGCTTTCAAGGAGGTCGGCAAGGTCGCTAAGCTCAAGCAACTCATCGATGAGTCCAAACCAGACCTCACCAAGGTCTTCGATTCGCATGCCGGTATCGCCCATACTCGATGGGCTACTCACGGCCCTCCCTCTCGGCTGAACTGCCATCCCCACCGGTAAATATATTTACACAGTAGAGCTTACGAGTCCCCTTGCTAATTCCACCCGTCATTTTTCTAGATCTGACCCCACATGGGAATTTTCAGTCGTCCACAATGGCATCATCACCAATTACAAGGAATTGAAGACCCTCCTTTCCGCAAAGGGCTTTAAGTTCGAGACCGAGACCGACACAGAGTGCATTGCAAAGCTCGCAAAGTACCTTTACGACCAACATCCCCACATTGACTTTGTCGACCTTGCTAAAGCCGTCATCACCGAGCTCGAGGGTGCCTACGGCTTGCTGATCAAGTCTGTTCACTACCCCCATGAGGTTATTGCTGCTCGCAAGGGTTCACCCCTAGTGATCGGTGTAAAGACCCAGAAGCGCATGAAGGTCGACTTTGTCGATGTAGAGTATTCCGAGGAGAACGGCGCCTTGCCCGCCGAGGCTGCTTCGCAGAACGTTGCTTTGAAGAAGCAAAGTAACAACTTGTTGGCTCCGAGCTCCCTGCTTGGCGCCCCCGACAAGTCCCTACTCCACCGCTCGCAGTCTCGAGCTTTCATGACCGACGATGGCTTGCCAATGCCCGCCGAGTTCTTCCTCTCATCTGATCCCTCGGCTATTGTTGAGCACACGAAGAAGGTCATGTACCTAGAGGATGACGACATTGCCCATATTCACGAGGGCTCGCTGAATATCCACCGCCTCAAGAAGGCTGATGGTAGCTCGAATGTTCGTAACATCCAGACCCTGGAGCTCGAGCTCCAGGAAATCATGAAGGGCAAGTTCGACCATTTCATGCAGAAGGAAATTTTCGAACAGCCCGAGTCCGTCGTCAACACCATGAGAGGTCGTCTCGACGTAGAAAACAAGAGCGTCACCCTTGGTGGTCTAAGATCATACATAGCTACTATCCGCCGATGCCGACGTATAATATTCATCGCTTGCGGAACAAGTTATCATTCTTGCATGGCTGTCCGAGGTATCTTTGAGGAGCTTGCCGAGATTCCAATTGCTGTAGAATTGGCTTCCGACTTCCTCGACAGAGAGGCGCCGGTTTTCCGTGACGACACATGCGTTTTCGTTTCTCAATCCGGCGAGACGGCTGACTCCTTGATGGCCCTCCGATATTGTCTAGAGCGTGGCGCTCTCACCGTTGGCATTGTCAACGTGGTCGGTTCTTCCATCTCTCTTTTGACCCACTGCGGTGTTCACGTCAACGCCGGTCCCGAGATCGGTGTAGCCTCCACCAAGGCCTACACATCGCAATTCGTTGCCATGGTTATGTTTGCTCTGTCTCTTAGCGAGGACCGAGCATCCAAGCAAAAGAGACGTGAGGAGATCATTGAGGGTCTCTCTAACATCTCTACACAGATCAAGGAAATTTTGAAGTTAGACCAGTCGATCAAGGAGCTCTGCTCCAAGACCTTCAAGAACCAGAAATCTCTACTTCTGCTGGGACGTGGCAGCCAGTACTCGACCGCTCTCGAGGGTGCTCTGAAGATTAAGGAAATTTCTTATCTTCACTGCGAAGCTGTCATGTCTGGTGAGCTCAAGCACGGTGTGCTGGCTCTGGTAGATGAGAACCTCCCTATTATTATGATCCTGACTCGTGACGACTTATTTAAGAAGTCACTTAATGCTTACCAACAAGGTACGTGAAATTTTCAATCCTTACAGTCTAGCTTTAGCCAATTCTAACGAATGTATAGTTATCGCCCGTGGCGGACAGCCTATCGTTATCTGCAACCCCGGGGATGTGGAATTCCAAGCGAGCCAAGCACAGAAGATCGAGGTTCCCAAGACTGTCGACTGCCTCCAGGGTATCCTCAACGTTATCCCGCTCCAGCTTATTGCTTACTGGTTGGCTGTTATGGAAGGCCTAAACGTCGACTTCCCACGAAACCTGGCCAAGTCGGTCACTGTTGAATAATCTTGTGCGTCTGTAGGATTAGACTGATCATTGGCGGTTTTTGAGGCAAAGCGGGAGTTTTGCTATAAAACGATATCACGGTGGGCAGTCGGACTTGGGGGCTATTGAGAGCGTCCTTATATACATGGGAGCGGGATTGTGATTTGGGAGGGAGCCCTCGGAAGAGAAGATAGCCATTATCTTCCGTATTCCCCGATGCTGCATGTTGGCCCCCACGCGCAGTCTTTGACGTGGGACAATGTACTGCAGAGGTGGTAGATAGACGATTATCCATGTAATGCTGGCTAGGATAACCTAGACGAAGATACCGAGCAATAAACAAAAATGATTAACTATACAGCACTATCTATCTTACCTTTTGAAATGTGTTTCTGCTATTAGATGTTTGTACACTTTTATATAATGATGCGAGGACTTGAGAGCGGCAAATGTCATCAGGAGCTATTGAAACGATACGTGAAGTATTTACATTGATGCTTTTCCAGGCTTTTGGAATGAGGGATACGTTGACCATAAATTCTGGGCGCATCGTTATCTTGGATTTTGTAGCGAAAATAGCACATAAATACCTAGGTACTCATATATCTCTAACTCAAATATTACCGAGTCTTTTTTTATTTGTTTTTTTTCTTTGCTACCCTATTTCCCCTTTTCCTTTTCCTCTTCTTCTCTACGGTCGGAAGGGCGTTGCAACTCTGGAGCAAAGCAAGTAGTATATCTCCTTCATCATTGTTTCTTATTTGTATGGATTACGTAAGGTAGGTACCTAACCTAAGGTAACATAAGTGATCTCGCCTGCCCTTTGCTCTCTCTCCCCTAATGCTGAACGAAAAGGATGGCTCTTTTTTGGGTGACCTTATATTCCCAGCCCTCCAGTCTCCGTAATGGTAATGCTAGCTGGCCGCGGTACGAGTAGATGCAGACGTGGACCTTGGGGTTGTGCGCGCGGGGCGAGTAGTTAAGAGTAGTAGTATTTCGTTAGTTAGTGAGTAGTGGTAGCGAGTAAAAAGGGTTTAGGAGAGCTGTGGAAGGGGTGGGCGCGGGGGAAGAAGCGGCTTTTATACGGTCTGAGTGCCGTAGCCCTTGATGCGGTCGGCGAAGGCCCAGCTCTGCTCCTCGAGCTTCTCGTTCTCGGAGAGGTCGATGCCGTCCTTGGTGACGACGGCGAGGGAGTAGGCGTCGAGGGAGCGGGCGTCGCGGTAGAACAGGACCTTCATGCACTCGCGGACGACCTCGACGGCCTTCTCGCGGGTCAGGTTCGCGACGGACTCCTCGTCGGGGACGTAGCGCCGCATGATGGGCTGGGCGAGCATGCTGCCGAAGCCCGTGGCGAGCGAGGGCGAGGAGTAGGTGGTTCCCAGGAGGTCGGCGGCGGCGAGGAAGGGCTTGCCTTCCTCGTCGAGCCCGGCCACGAGCAGGTGGTTCCACAGGGGGTCGAACTTGGAGCGCCGGTGGTACAGCAGCTTCGACAGGTACTTGTGCAGGCTCCGGGCGTTGAGGGTGTGCGCCGCCGTCTGGTGGTAGGCCTCGTCGATGGCGAGCTCCGTCAGGTGCCGGTCCAGGTACTGCATGTCGGAGACGTCGCCGCCGAAGCCGACGAGGGAAGTGCCGGCGAAGGTGCGGATGCGCTTCACGTCGGTAAAGCGGGCTAGGGAGCCGTAGGAGGCTTTTGGGGGGAAGGGTATACAGTTAGTGCTGGGTATATATAGGTACGTATAGAGGAGTAGGTAAAAATAGATAAGGTGGGTGAGTGAGGGGGTTTGGATATGGATATGAATATATGCGTACCCAAGTTATCTGCTGCCATGACCACACCGTCCTTGAACTTGATCGCCACCACCGACGTTCCCGTTACGACGGGAGACTGGGTGTGCTGGTTGGGACCGTTGGTCTGCATGTATGAGGCATCGTAGGCGCCGTAGACGTCGTCTCTGGGCTGTGTGAAGCCGGGTTGTTAGCCAGGTACGATTCTGGACTCTTGGGAAGAGATGATGCTATCATAGGTACTTACACGGCCCCAAGCTTGTGGTCGATGATCCATAATGAATTGAGTTGGGTAGCGGGATAAGGGTTGGAAGAATTGAGATCGAAATGGGTTCAAAACTACGTCGGTAGTGTAGCGATAATATGGAAGTCGTTGCTTATGGAATCTGGGAGATGTAAGGCAAAGCGAAGCTCCAGTATACTATGTTACCTACTGGTTTGGACGTTGAACCGCTGGAGCTTGGAGCTGCGCGTCAGTTCTGCCTTCTGGGCCAGGCTGTTGGGGGGTACGTACTTCTTGCTCCATTTTACATCCGGGTGCTTTATCAGCTGTTTGGCAGCTGTGCAGTTTTTGATACAGGCACATACCTAGGTACTTAAGTACCTACTGCATCGAGACCCACTTCAAATTTAGGATACGTACCGACGTCAACTTGTGATGAGAAGCTCATAGGTACATTGTGACACTGTTCAATCATTACATGATTATCTCGTGATTTAACTTCATACCAATATACTCATATTTTTTACTTAAAATTTCCAACCTGTAAACTACATACCTACATAGTGCTATCCGGTATCAAAGTTTCATAATGGCACTTGTGGGCTACGAGAGCAGCGACGAGGAAGAAGAGATCGCGCAGCAGCCAGATTCAAAGGTATGAATGAGAACATGAGATGATATACACAATTACACCGGTAGGCATTGGACAGCACTGATTCCGCCGAGGCCAGCCACTGAAACAAACTCAAGATACTACTATAAGCCCGGATCAAAAGCAAGGTACGCGACTCTCCCCTTTTGTCTATCTCATTTCTCCATATGCGTTCCTGGCTAGCCTCTCTGACTAGTGAATAGACGTCCCAGCGGAATCTAGTGCAGCCTCGCAGAAGCAAGATGAGCAACCAGCAGCTATCATCGGGCCGCAGATAGGCCCAGCAGCAGCAGCCGGCCCCAGCTTTCCTCCGCTGGAAGAAGCGCCACTAGAAGACGACGAGGACAGCGGGCCAGGCCTACCCCCAGGATCGCCGTACACAGCAACACGCGCGCTCATGCGGGACCTCACGCTGCCCACGGTCCCGAACACGGATATCCCGCCGTCGCCCCCGGGCTCACCGCCTCCCGGCACCAGCGCCAAGTTCGAGCGGTTTCTCGAGCTCAAGCGGCAGGGCGTGCACTTCAACTCGCGGGTGGCCCAGAACCCGTCCCTGCGCAACCCGGCGCTGACCGACAAGCTGCTGTCGTTCGTCGACCTCGGCGCCCCGGCGGACCAGTACTGCACCACCTTGCCCACCGACCTCTGGGATCCGGCTGCCTTCCCGCGGTGGGCGTACCGCGAACAGCTTAAGCAGAGCCAGGCCGAGGTCGAGAAGGCGAGGGCTAGGGCTAAAGGCGCGCCTGTGGATTTCGTAGCTGCTGGGGAGACGCAGGGTGCTGCTCAGCAGGGTGGCACGCAAGGAGGTGCAGGTAAAGCGAGCACGGGGAAGCGGAAGACAAGGTTTGACGCATAGAATGAACGTATGCCGTAATTACTACGATGGCAGCCTTAATAGCTATCTTGAACGGGGGATAGCAGATATGTGAGTTTCTACGATAGTTCATATTCTCTATCTACAGGCTTCAGTCTCTAACGTTCCTCAGATAGTTGGTCAATTTCAGATACCCATTTCCTCATTTATTTGTATAAGTTGTTTTTATGTTCATTTTTATCCATGTTTTATTTGGTATAGTAGAGACAAATGAAATTCCCACATGGGATTAATAACCCCAAAGACTGGACTACCTAGGATATCGTGTCGTGATAGATATACAATGAGTGTGGTTCCTAGGTACGTCGAAAAAGCATCCTAACTCAATTCAATTTAACCTTACCAAGCAAAGCATGCGCCCTTCGTTATTCGTCATGTAGGTATATATGTATAAGCAACGCGCTTAAAATCTTTCATGAGCACGATCACACTCCTCTAAGAAGCGGTAGATCCCTTCGAGACCCTCGAAGTCTTCTGAGCAATGTTCACCCGAACTGACCGGCGGTGACATACTTTCGTAGCCTTCTAGGTCGTCGGGCAAAGACAACCATGGGTTATCTTCCATCTCGCTGAAGTCTTCTTCCGCGGGGAAGAAGCTTCCCTGAGACCTTAACGAGCCGCCGGGAGAAGTGAGGGTTCTTGTACCATCGCTTTCGATACCTGGTGCGAAAGGAAACTTTAGCGCCATCGAGACACCCGTTTCGGCCGCGAAATCTAGGTCCTCTCTGACGACACCCCTGGTTAACCCGAGGTCATCACATAAGGACTCCACTGTCTCGGCATCGACGCCGGGAAAGCGGACCCGCAATGTATGTCTCTTCTCGAGCTGTATTGGAAGGTCACCTAGCGATGAGAGTTTCTTGATATCCGCCAAGGTCGAGGTGAGGTCTTTCAAGGCGCGGGCGAAGTCGACCGACAAGACATCGAGGAAGCCGTCGGTGTTGAGGGTTGTGGCGTCGAGGGCGGGGACCTTGAAGCCGGCGGAGGGGTAGGGGAACGCAGCAGCGAGGGGGCTGAGGGCGGTGACGGTAGGGCTTAGGTGGAAGTCGATGAAAGAGCCTGGAGCGTCGCGCTTCGTGGTAGCCATCTTACGGGCGGCCTCATCTTGTAGAGTGGAGACCGCGCGGTATTTCCTCTCGCGGCGGGCGGTAAGCCCGTCGAACTGTGCCTTCTGGCCCGAGATCCAAAACGCCCTGACCGCAGCTGAAACATTCTGGATCACCTGGGCTTGGGCGGCGGGTGCGTGGGAGAAGTAGCGAGCACCACCCACACGTCCAGACCCGAGGCCGTAGCCGCCGGCGGTACGAGGGAGGGCTCCTCCGGTAAGGTTCGGTCGTAGGGTACTCGCGAAGGGTGCGCGACCGGTCATCTGAGCAACGGCACGGCCGGTCTGCGTGTTGAAGAACTTGGACCGGTCGACCCGGGGCGCGGCGTCAAGCCGGCCAGTGCTCATGAAGCGGCGGATCGCAGCGTTGATGGTCTTGTACGTAACCGAGGTCTTCGTCGTCGTCGTCGTCGTCGTCGAGTGCCATCGTCGAGACTTCTGCTGTCGCAGGAACGCGGAGGGATGAATAGGCTGGCGAGGGTTGGGGTTGGAGCGTACGAGGACGGGTTCGAGGGCGGTGTTAGCCGGGCGAGCCGCTGCCGCGATCTTGGCCCGGATCATCGTGGCTGCCTTGAGAGCGGCAGTACGGACGACCCGCAGCGCGGCGGGCGCCAATATGCCGCCTCCACCTAGCGGGGCGAGCATCGTGTTTTCCACTTGGGAGTTCGTCGCTATGCGGCGAGCTGACGAGTAGATAAAAGAGGGTTGATCTGAAAGGGGAAAAACAGAAGGGTAGGAGGGTTCAGCGGGTGGTGACGAAGCTATTTAGGCCTGATAAGGACCCTTAGATAAGCAGGTGTGGCGCAGCTCGGCGTTTGCCACAAACTAGCTCAGGTACCTAGGTCCCAATGTGGAAATCTCCGAGGCGGGTCTAGGGTTCCCCACCCAAGCAACAATTTTTATTTTTATTTTCTTCCTCAAGCCCTCAACGAATATTTCTTCTTCCTTCCCAAACAATCTTTTCAACTTTGTACATTTACTCAAGCTTTTGAGCTCTTCTCTTTACCGTTGATAGGATTCTAATCATGATGGCTCTTATTCTACTATTCATAGCAGTCGGTCAGTGATGCTATGTTATTATCAGGTTAGTTGCGATTCCCTACGTCTTCCCGCTCCTCTTTGCCGTGACGAAGGAAAATTTGAACAATCCAAATCTTACAACACAATGGGGATCATAGTCTCTAGAATTACCCTGAGCAAATATCATGAGGATGCATTTGTAGTCCAATCATGGCGATCAACTCAATGCTAACTTGAATTAGACAGGTGCTCGTCGGCCATCTTGGTGACTCTCATCACAATGTTTTAACATGCAGAAAAAAAAGAAATAAAATAAAGGTACGTTCTTTTAATTATGAAGTCGAAACACCTGCACACATTTCCACCGAGGGGTGATGAAGAAATCGACAAACCTAGGGAATTCCTCATTCCGAATACATCATGTAGATTTGTTTAGTTTCAGCCTTGTCTGACCTCATTACCTATTCCGCTCGTTGCTAGATGATATGTTCGCGTACAATGCTAACTCGTCTACTCGAATAGGTATGCATTATCGTTCTACCATAAACCTATCCCTTTCACATGAGGATATTTTGAACGAACGGGCGGACATAAATGAACCCTCGTCCCTTCTCTCGTTCAAAACGAGGACGTACAAACCTTGTGGGAGGAGGATGGCGAGGGATTCTTGTTGAGAATTCGTCAGCTGATTGTGTCTTGTCGACGCAAATGATTTCATCGTCGCATGCTTTTGGGACGCAGCTAATGTTTCTCTCGGCAGGTATTGCTATCTCTATCTCCTAGTTATTGTCCTCTTTAAAATGATGATCATTATTCACACTGTTTGATCCTGTCCTCTGGGCTTGGAAATGAACATTGCAAAAAATTCTGATTTAATGAGGTATGCGCGCCCTCCTGGATATGAGCATGTTGAATTAAAGCTAATATGAGTAGCCTGATAGCTTCTATATTTATACTTTGCTCTTTGCGCGCTGTGGTCGACGTAGCTAACTCGATGGTCGCGTTAGGTAAAGTAAACTAGGTATATACATACGTCTTTGAAGCGTCTCATCTCTTGAAGGTCAGTGGTTTTTCTCGTATATCTAGATGCTAGCCTCGCGGATGATAATCTTCTGCAAAATGTCGGAGTTCTTCATGACGAAACTTTTCCGTTCTATCACCTTGGAGAACTGAAGGGAGGCTACAAGCAAACTTTTGGTTGCATATGCCATATGTTAACTTGGCTAACCATTTTGAATAGGTTCTGTGATTATTCCAGTACGAGGTTATGCGTGCTTCTATGATGGCCAGATGGCCAAGGGCGGGAGAAGTAATTTATTAATAGCTTTTTCAAACATATAATACCTAATATAATGACACTAAAAAGGTGTTATAGTTGATCAACCATATGATGCTATGTCCTCCCATTGATTCTGTGCTTGCTGTGTGAAAGTTGACCATGACTCGCTATCATCGCTAGGTCAATAATATCTCCCCTAGGTACTAGGCACAAATGCCTTAAGTTTTAACTTAAGGATATGTGTCGGAAAAAAAAAAAAAAGATAAAAAAAGAGGGGGGAGAGGTGCTTTGCTCTGATTGGTCCAAATGTGTTGTGGCTAGGTTGTGGCTGGGGGGAGTTCAAGTGGCTGGGGGAGAAGGGGGGAAAAGAATATGGGAGGGGAAGCGTGCTTTGCTCTGGTTGGCCGAAAGGTGATGTGGCTAGTGTGCAACTAATGCAGCGCTAATGTAGGATTGAGCCACAGCATCATTAGGTACGTACCTTCCCAGCTATCAGGGGATCTTACATAATGTACATAAGATACATCCAATCAAAACGTGTAGCCCGTGGCACGAGCCACAGGGACTCTGGCTAGAGGCCGGGTAATGTGGCAGGGTGTGGCTAGGGGTTTGAGCTTCCGCCGTCCCCCCAGTAGGCGGGCGGCGGCTTACATAATGAGGTAACTTGGGTAACTTAAAAACTTAAGGATGTAAGTCGTCGTTGGCTTGTGTTTTCTGGGGAAAGCGGGTCATCTAACCAATTGCCGGGTTGGTCTGGACCGTGTTGCATGATGGATCACCCACTACCTACCCTTCGGACCTCCTCAGCTGTTGTGCATACAGAAACTGTATAATCTTTCTCTTCTCACGTACATGTGTTAACATACGTCTTGCTATTACTATTCTGAATGGATTGGAATGTTTCAAAGTCTAGACCACGGCCTTGTTTATGTTTTCGTGTCATTTTTCGTACGATATCTTTATCGACTCAAGATTCGGTCACATGTCGGATACGACGAGTCAGACCCGCATCGCTAACGGGACTCACATGCATAAAGCTAGGTATCTAGGTAGGTATGTATGCCTCGCAGACAATAAGGTAGGTGGGTGGTGGTGTCATCCTCAAGCCACCGATTAAGGCAGCGGGGAGCGACAATCGAAACTCTCTGATTCGATTCTGCTGGTTGTGTTGTTGATATGTGTGAATCTCCGAGATCTCCTTGTCTGGGTTAATTTTGCGGGGTAAAGAACGTCGTTTCGGCTTGTACATCGTTCCCTCATCAGGCAAGGATGGAGCTAGCTACACCTCTTCTATGACGTTGGATTTTGTCTGAAAACGCAGAATGGTACGAGTTACATCCTCCCCTCATCCTCCCAATACCTACCTAACCTAAGGTACTGCGGCTGCTATCGCTTTGTTCAAGTATTCATTAGTCGTATGTACTGATACCTCTTTCAGATGCTAGCCTATTTACAAAGAAAGACCGAGGTCGTACGATCGAAACAGCAAAGTATTGGAACTATTGCCTTGCATAGTATAACGGCAGGATGGTAGACCACAACGTCTTTAGTTAATTGGCGAAGTCGTCACCGGGATTCTATCCCCGAGCTTGGGGTGGGCTCTCCTCGCCGATCAATCAAGCTGCCACCAGAGAATGGAAGGGAATGCACTAGCGCTCTTGGCCATTTAGTATCCATTACATAGGTAGGTATCTTGCATAGTAGTACCGACAGACAGGCTAGCTATTGCTCATCCTCGTCAGTCTTCTGTCGTTGTCCGGTTGATTATATGCTGGAGATCGCGTGGCCTGCTCGGTACTCCGAGCCTACATAAAAGGGGTCAAACCCTCCATCTCCTTACTTCTACTTTGTTTTCCTATGATACCCATCCCACTCAAATCCACTCGGACATCCCGCATCTTTATTATGTGAAGCAATACTTTGTGAAACCCTATCGTATCGAATTATCAACTTGATCGACATCAACTACTTATAGTTGTCTGTTCTTCTAACCCCTAAAACCACCATGGCCAATGACAAAGAAAACAACCCTACCCCAGTCGGCCCTTCTCGACGACGAGTATGTCCTCCCCTCCATCTTCTCTATACACAATATCAAACCTAAACCTGTATTTCGTGTCTATCTATATCATTGCCCCGTTGCTAACACCCGCAATCCCCAGAGCTCCGGACCAACCTTCGACAGCCTCATGAGCCAGAAACGCACCAGCGACCCCGACTCCCTCGCCAGACGTGCGAGTCTACACGAGCAGAAGCCCCAGGCGGGTTTCTTCGGGAAGATGTGGCACAAGTGAGTAACCCCCCAGCTTTATTTTCCAGACATTTTCCTCCATCCATCATATAAGGAAGATGCCTAGGGGCAGAATAGGAACAGGGCTGACCTATGATTGAACGGCAGCTTCACGCGCGGCCCGCACAGCCCTACGAAATAATCTCGCCCCCTAGATCCTGTGGAGGTCTGTTGTGAATGAATTCATATTGTGAATTGATAGACTACCTACAAACGAGGGTGTATGATGAGGAGAGCAAGCGTGAACAGACTACTACTACTATTTACTACTAGACGTACCGACTTGGCGAGATACGGGAAGAGCCAGGGAGGGGGTTTCAGATACCACCGATTATTGGTAGAGGCTCATCAGCCAAAATTGTAAAATATGTAGAACCAACCATGATGCAGAGATGCATGGGAAATCAGACAGCCAGCACCTGCTTCGCGATGTATTGTTGCTAGGGATACGCACTTGGCTATTATCCTCAAATGACGGTTTACAAGTAACTTGCATTGCTCATGGGATTCTTCGTCCTTGAGGGACCTACGTAGGCTTGGTGCTAAAAGATGCGGTCAATAATCTGTACTTGCATATATCGACTTAGTATACCAACCGTATGTGTGAGGAAGTAGGTTTTATATTTATATATACCCTCGATGCTGAGCTATTATGTACTTGTACCTGAAAGTAGTCGTTTGGCCACTCGTTTCAACATTTCGAAAACGAGAATACATGATGTTTTCTGTATTCAACGTCGAATGGGAAAGGCTTGGAAAGAAACACAAACTTGGCTGAACTATTACGTCTACCATGGGGCTTGAAGGAGGTGCGATGTCGGATTTAACTAATTAGGTAGGTAGCTAACCTATCGTAAGTGCTAGGACACAATACGCACCTGGAACGACGACCAAGTTCGTCGGCCTACTAGATCATCAATTCAAACATAAGCACACCATAGCAAACTCGCAAATAGACCAACTAGTGGAAGCAATGTCTGGCTTGAATTCAAGCTATCCAGCAGTAACTACGGCAAGAGAATCTATGGGCATCCCACTTGGATGGAATCCCGCACCAGCTGCTCCCAGTTGTCGCTTTTTCTTTTCCTTGTTTTTTTCTTCTTCTCCCTGTTTCCTTTTCCCTCCGTTGTTTTGCACTAGATAGGTAAGTAAGAGAAATGTGTATTCTTAAAATGAGAAAGAAATAAAACAAAATTTGAGAAAATAGATTTTTGTTTTTGGAAGGAACCTGCCAAGTTCCCAACCGCGAGGCTAACAAGACGGTTGCTCAAATATCGCCCGGATCTGACGCGTTTCCAATCGAGTCGGGGGCCTTCGGGACAGTGCGGGCGAACCCGCAAAAATCTGTCCGCAGAGAGACGCGACCAGCCCAGCCCCGAGTTTTACACCTGCCTACAGCAATTTGCTGCGGCGGCATAAACCTTTTCCTTCCTACCAAAACTTTCTCCCACGCCTCCGGGTATGGCTTCGCACTAATCCCTAGGGGTGACCAAGGGTCAATGCGAAAGAGGCAGCGTTATCGACGTGGGAAGGGTTCTCCTCGGCCTAGTCCGAGATGCTGGCTCCGGAGCAAAGTAGCTTCTGCCGAGGTTCGCTAGAGAGAGACGTGTGTGATTGAGGCACTCTTTGACGAAGAATATCTCTCCCGCGTTCCGGCATATTGCCCTTACTATCGCGCTTATCTCCTTCAGAAAGAACCCAAGCTTTTGGAGGTACAGACAGCCGTTTACTCCGGCCCAGGGCGACGCAGAATTATATCTCTCGTCCTAACACCATCTGAGCCGCAAGGGGCCATCATACGATGCCGGCGTTGAATGCCGAGGCACCGCGTCTGTATATATCAACTCGATTGCTAAAAACTTTCGAACAAAAAATAGGTGCTCATGCTCCCCTTTTCCCAATGGAATATTCTCGACAAAAAGAGAATAACCAAATCCCAAGTCACCTCTTAGGTGACCAATTGAAGGGTGAAATCGACCGGTACAAGCATACAAGGCCGTATTTAAAACCGCCACTCGGCGCAAGCGAACCCTTCGGAGCGCCCGAGTGTAAAGCAGCATTATCTCATGATAATGATGCCGGGTTTGAATGTAGCAGGTGGAGTCTTATTATAGTAGCGATACCCGCTATGTCGATAACTTTACGAACATTTTTTTTATTCGTGTCGTAAATTTCGGTTTATCGGTAGCCCTGGAAAATGTATATGAAACAGCAAGCAATAGCCTCGGTGTTTTGCATTACAGGCTCAGGATCAGCTACGATTTCACCTGATAGTAACGGAGTAATTAAACTCCTCAGAATCTCTCTGGAGAATTGTAGAGAGAAAGAAGTCCGGGTATGATTGATACCCGGAGTTCAGAAGGCCGTTTATCGTCGTGCCCAGGACGATGATTGCGGGTGACTGTCCTGCTGTCCTGCGAAGATGTTAGTAAACCAGAAGACCTAATTAGGCATTTTTGAAAAGCTTACATAAAATTGATGCTCGAATCGTACCCGGATCCTCGAAAAACGCCTGAAATGCTAGGTCGTATGAGGAATGAATTTGCTGTACCGTGTCTATTACCGTAAAGAGACGCTGGTTTTACCAAATGCTCATCATCATTATCATCGTACACGCCGAATTGGAGTCTAGGCGAATACAGAATTTTAGATCGTACATATACCTAAGGTAATCAAACATGTTAACGACCGCTTGTTCGTATAGTGGGAGTCATAGGAGGAGTGCTTACCTTACGTGACGAATAACGCCGCATAGCCTCTAAAATACCGATATACCAATTCTCGTATGGAAACTCATTATGCTCGTGCATCCCGTGGTAACCATATATGCACGATGTCGTCACCCAAACAAAGGTGGCCTTTTGAATTTCTGGCCCAGGCCCTGACATTATACCCGGAAAAAATAGATTCCATGGCTACTCGTAGGCCTTTTCCGTCATTCCGCGATGCCTAAATCGGGAGCCCACGTGTGAGCTCCGCGACTACATGGGCCTTTTATCGTCCTGCCCAGGACGATGCGGCGTGGCAAGAAAGCGGCTTATCGGGGAGGTAGAACGTGGATTGCATCACTCAAGGAGTTTCCTTAAAGGAAGCCGTGGGAAGAGGTGGGGTGGGTCATATTATACCCGAGATTCTTAAAAGCCATACCTGGGTGAAGTTCATATTAGTCTAATGTTCTATGACGATACTTGGGGCAGTGAAATAGACTTACTACCTAATGCTTTAACAACAGCATGTCGGCGAAGGGGTAACGGTATAGTTGAAAGCCATGGACTGGTAGCGTCGCCCTACAACGCGCTATACTCGCACTACGAGAGGAGCGGCTAGGCGGGAGGACGCGCCATGGGTTCAAAGCCTCCCCCGCTGGAATTATGTAGTCAACGGCTGGTGTACCTGAGTTTGGACATTTTGGTGGTAACGATATATGTTGTAAACCGGTCGAAGTACGGCATTATAAGTTGACCTGGCGTGAGTTCGATGGATGTTGTGAAATGTGGAATGTGGAATGTGTAAGTGGAAGATAAGGCTTCCACGGTTTGGCGACCCGAACATCTGCCTTATTGGGTGCCACGTGTTACGTAATAGAGATTTGTCATACTTTGGCGGGGGGTGCGTGAGGAGTACGTGAGGAGTACCTTGGAGTACCTTGGACGTGCCGAGTATGTATTTTCCCCGAGGACCAGGTGGATCCGGGACAATGAGGCTCAACTTAGTGTAATCCAAGTCTTAACGACATTTCGAGGTCTTTATGGAGTAACATAGATTATTTGTGATTTTTTTGTCAGGGAATAATCGTCTTTATATATTTCTAGTAAATTCTGGTAAAAATGACTTGTTCATATTCGAATTCTTCTTGCACTGGGTACCAGGTACCTGTAGTTTTACTGAGACTCGAAAACGTTTAGCCATAGTGTATTAGGCACTTTTATTCTAAAGTGCGGACTTGGCAGAACCACCGGATTACAATCAAATTGACTGGAAATTTTAGAAAGTAAAGCGTCATGAAGAATGGGGTTTAATTAATACTGCAGCTATTTTTTTTCCTGTTTGGTTTGCTTACCTGTTTTGTTTGGTTGTGTTGAGTTCGCACTTTGGAAGGTAGGTATCTTCAAGACAGTACGGATAGTAATCTAAGAGACCTCCACTGTAACCTCCCGTTTGATGTGAGGTATGTTCCCAGTAGAATTAATTACGAATACTGTTAAAACTATCTAATTGCCTTTATGGTACTTAGTGGGCTCTCTAACAGGGCGGTTAGGATAAGTGAGGACGAGGCGTCACACGGTATCTACCTCTATCCTATGAGTTGGTGGAACAAACTCGTTCGGAGATCGACTCAAATGATTCCCTATCAAACTAAGAATAAAAGTCAAGATATATCTAGGATATGGGCATCTTATGTACCTAGAATTAACTAGGTATTTTACATATCTAAACAATTCTTCAAACGTCAACTCAAGCCTGATATTGCAACCATGTTAAGGAAGAGGACTCCAAGCTTCTCTAATGGCCACATCAGCACTTTTGACACATTTCACTCGTTCCACTGTTTATCTGGAACCAAGACCTGAGAAAAAGTATAATCTAAAGTATCTACCTTAGGTAGGTAAGTACCTGTTCGCCACAAATGGCTATTAGCCCCGAATATTGTATGGAAAACATTTCCTTTTATTTAGTTTCTTGCTTGCCATCTATGAACAATCCTTTTCCGTATTGACGTAAGTCATTTCCTCAGACCACCGACCCGACCCCTAAATACCGACGTCGTAGTAAGGATATGGCACACCCACCAAAAAAACAACATTTCCGAAGCCTCATGGTGTGGTGGGTGGGTGATCGTGCACAAGCTCCGTGTAATAAGGTGGTGTACATGGGTGTGCACCGGTGGATTATGGTGTAGTGGTTCCGGACCTTAGCATAGCGCGATACGTAACTAGGAAGTCCGCGACATGCCGGAAGTCATTCAAGTCCAGGTCTCTGCAAGCCAACTGGTCGATGCCGAGTCCCTCTGTGCCGTAAGCCAGGATGGGACCTCGCCAATTATGGCACTGCCATGGCTTGGTAGTTGTGATGGTATCGATACTCTTATTAAGAAGAGACCCGTCATTGAAGAAATTGTCTCGAATGCAAAGGCGGATTGTGTTGGGAATGTCTCTTCCTAGAAGCTGATTTGTCTGAATGGTCATAGTCCTAGGGTATGGCTTCTCGCCCAGTAGTTGCAAATCTGTGTCGGGATATTGATAGCTCAAATCATCATCATAGTCATCTTGATGCCACGGGCAATGGATCCAGATCAATTCCGGCTTCTCCTAATCCACGGGGAAGAAAATGGCTCGGAGGTGTTCCTTACTTGATCGCTTGGTAGCATCGAATTCGGCATACGCTGAACAGAGAAGTTTATGGGTAGTCCAATCAGCACGCTGGCATTTTTTTTTGAACAGTAACGGGTGCTCTTGCATCGGTCGCAAAAACGAGCATTTGATGCGTTGCAAACGATGCACGAGGATCCGTAGTATGTAGGATTCTCGTCCGCCATGATTCACTCTGCCAATATTAAATGATGATTCTGCAAAATGTGTTTAGCAGTGATGATGACGATGATACCATTTATGTCTATTTTGGACATGTAGGAAGAAGGTTAGAGAAGTTAAGGGAACTTGTGTAGGAGGTAAGTTAGGTTAAAGGTACCTAGGCAGGAAGGCATAAAAAAAAAAAAAAAAAAAAAAAGAAGAAAAAGCCCCAGGCTCATTCAAGAAAATAACGTACATGCAAGGTATTAGATGCTTAAAGGTACCTAAGGTATATGTACTTTTCTAAATCGAATTTCTTAACCATAACAGAGGGTGAATTTTCCATCAAATTTGAATTACAGTTTAAATAAACGATAGGTATTCCTATACATATTTTAATAAGTTCTTATTAAGGCGAATGAAGTTATGTAGGTTGGAATAAAATTTGATGTTTACAAGGTACGAGGGAGGGGGAGGGGCATCTTTTTTGACGCCTTTCTGGTAGGTCGTTTGACATGATATCCGTTTGATCGTTGTTTACCTGCCGGTCTACTTAAGGTAGGAAGCCTGCATGTGCATCTAAACCAATACATGAAGCTAATTGGTAAGTTACAAATATAGGGCGTTGTGGTTATCCGGGTGTAACCTCGTGTTCTAATGTACCGTAGTTATTGACGTATCAATCTATTTGCTTTATTTGCTTCTATGCCTGACATTTCAAAGCATTAAGTACGGAAAAACATCATTTATCGAGCGTAAGTACCATACCACCTTCTGCTGGTTCTTGTAAACCGTTAATTAACCGTCTATTCACGATTAAAAATTTTTTTCATTAAAAAATTCCAACTTCTTGAACGTTGAATAACTTTGGCAAGCGTTCAACAAGATCTCAGATATTCGAAGTGCTTTCAAACGTTTATATTTTTAAATTATTAAAATTTAACGAAGAATTTAATCTTTTAATCGTTTGAATTGACTTCGAACGTTTACGCGTTTACCAAAAGGGGTACAAAAGCCTTAACGGGAGCCACGGGAGCTAACGGGAAGGGATATTAGGTACGTATATACGTACAAACGAGCGTACAAACGCAATTAGAAGCAGTAGGATTCTGAGGCTATTGAAGATTCTACAATTCTACGATGCTACGATGCTACGATGCTACGTGATGAGGCTACGGGGCTACGAGGCTACGGGGCTACGATGACTCCTGGGTCCTAGGTCCTGGCTACAGTGGCTTGGCTGGCTGGCTGGCTGGCTGAGGGTTGAAACTTAGAAGAAAAGAAAGAAGAATCGCTTTCAAAGGAGGGAGGGAGAGGCCTTTATATAGACGATTCCGAAGACTTAATCAGCCAGGCCTCTTGCCAGGCCTCTTGCTACCTACCTACGGTACGTACGTACGTCAAGACGTATTGGATCAAGGTAACAGGGACAACGGGAAGGAGATAAACGCTTGAACGTTCGAAAGACTTTCGAACGTTTGAATCATTTGAATGATTTAAAATATCCAATGTATTAATATATTTAAATATTTCAACCCCTTTCAAACGTTTATTATTAAAAGCGTGTCAAACGTTAGTATTTATTAATATTTATTATTTTAAATATTTATATAAAAGTAACTGTAAAAAGACGGTTTATAATTACGAAACGGTTAACAGGTTCCAGCAGAAGTTGGTACGGTATTTTTGTCTTACGGCCTGCTATTATATCGAATTTCTTAGAAATGTTCGCCACAATAACCCTTCGTAAACTTAAGACAACCCGATACATGAGGTTATCCGGACAAGCTGGGTCAAACTAATATCCCGAACAAACACGAGCACAAGTAAAACAATCCGATACGTAAAGCTACCCTTCGGGTAGTATAAGAGCCCGAACTTGAAGTTTTTCAGGCTTATAATAGCTCCTAACTATACCACCGAACGGCTAACAAACTGAACGTGTGGGTATGTTCCATTCATACTCTCCTATCAATCTGGCCATTGAATTCAACCCTTCCCGTTTCGCTACCTGTAGGCACTCGCTCTTAGTGCGCCTGGATAGTGGTGCCCCAAACTCCACCAATAACCGGAAAACCGATTCGTTCTCGTCTTTCACCGCGTACAGTAAGGCATCTCCCCAATCAATCGTATGGTGAACACTATGCTCCAGCAGTAGCCGCACATGGGAATATGTCCATGCCGAGCAGCCATCTGAATCGAGTTGCTATCGGCTTTAAATCCCTTCTTAAGCAAGTATACGGCTGTACCGAGATGACCATTTTTTGCTGCTCTACCGAGAGGACTCCGAAGTTTATACTTCCTGGTGTTATTCAGATCCTCAACCGACAAGCCGCGTTTATTGCAGATCTGGATCATATGCTCTATCAGCGGCACATCGCCGGCTGCAGCATACCGACATAGTAACTTGAGGAGGACGGTGACCAGAGTAAAGGAGTTGGTGCGATTAGACTGCACATCCGTATCAAAATAGAATTCGTCGCTGAGTAATTTCGCGTCGCTGTAGAAGCTTTCGTCGTTTATGTAATCCCGGTAAAGTTCATACAAGCGCTCGAAAGCCTCGACGCTTCTTGCTAATGCAAAGGCGTTGAAGAAGCACACCTCCTTGCCTCTGCCCTCGTAGTACTCTCGTTCGAGGTGTATACTAAGCTTCAACATATCCAAATTGTCCCTCTCTCTTGTCCATGGAGGCGGATTACTTCGACTACCCAATCATGCTGCGTGTTATAGCCGCTTTCACTGGAGATGAAGCCCAATAAGTCACAAACTACATCGCAATGCCCATTAAATGCCGCCCCTTCTAACGGGTAACCTAGCACAGGCTGCACAGGCCTGGAAGGCTAAAGTGTTAACGCTATTTACTACCTCAAGTTTGATGGGATTATCGGTTGATAGGTGGACGACTCACATCCGTACACAGTATGGATGTCGTGGTGCAATCAAGTGTGTTGAATTTTTGAAGCGCGGAAGTAGCTCGTTCACCAATTGAACCTCGTTGGTAAGAGCCGCTGCGGCTAGAAGCGCCTGCATGAAGTCCTCGTCGTCCTCGGCGATATCGGTCGGTGTATCGATTCCTCCCCGGGGAAGTCTTATCCAAGTTTTGTATATCTCGTAACCCGTGTCTCCATTCATGCATACTTTGGAAATCTTGCCAATAAAGTCCTTAAGATTCTCTTCGCTCGTGTCTTCGCCGCGAAAAGCTAGGACGTGTTTAGCAACTTTGCGAACAACGAGAAATGGCCGGGTTAATGGCTTGTTCATGCGCGTTGAGCTGTCTACAAGGTACCGAGGCAAGAATGGACGGCAAATGTAAGGCAATAGCGGTGTTTCGTGAATTTTAAGGATTCCTGACTGATATATCGCGTAAATTGTCGTGACATTCCATAATCGACTGACAAGTCGTAGTCGAACAGCGCGGTCAATACTGGATCGGGTAGTACGTGCTAGAACAGCCAGGTTGAGTATTTCCTGTAGTACCTCGTTGGGGAGGATAGAAATAGACATTTTGCCAACTGCATCAATGCGCCCACGCGAGCTCGTAGGAGCTGAGGACGGGTCGGGACTTGGTAGATATTTGAGTTGGAGATGAGAGGTATTCTGACGGTTGTGGTGTTGTAGCTTGCAAGGCATATTTTAAAAAAAGTTTATGCTGATGCCTATCGTAGAACGTAGAACGGAGGTACCTGCAACTTCCCACAAATTTAGAACGTTCATCTGTTGCCTAGCTACCTATCTTGATGTTCATGGCAAAGTGAATACTACCTGGTATCTAATTGTGTTGCAACCATTGGCTTACTTGTTCTTTTAGGGTCAAACCTTTGGTATTACTAGGCTATAAACCTTTATCTGCAATGCTGCCTAGGCTCTATCTGGAGGTAGAGTTGTCGTCACTCCCACAATCCATAGTCTCAAATTTCCTCTCCTCGTGCTCTGGGCGTGTAATGGGGAAACAGTTTGGGTTCTCCATGATTTCCGTGATAAACTCATTCGATACCTCAACGGAATCAGCCGAGACCTTACGAGAAGCCGGGGCTTCGATATGGTTCATAGATCTGCCTCCAATCCACCCCTTATCTATGTGGAAATGCGCCTTGATCTCATCTAATAGTTTCCTAATCCATAGGTTTTGCCTTTTTTTTCGTCTGTCCGGCTCGGCTGCTGCCGGGTAGTGCGGCATACCTGGCTTAAATAAGGCCAACTGATACCACCAATGGCCGCTTTGTCGGCCGACTTGTCCGCCACCTTGTCGTCCTAGTTTGCTGAGGCAAAGCACCATTCCAGCCCTGAAGCAACCCTTCTGCCATCTGGTGGGGATATCTTCATTCATCTTTTCTGCGTCCGATGTGACTTCTGCTACTTCGAAGAACCAAGGGGTAAGGAGACCAATGATATACTGCTTCGCCCCCCTTCCTGTCCTCGCGAACTCGACTTTAGCGTAGTTGAGAAACTCGTCCACCGTGGCGTAAAAACGAGATTTATGGCCCGTAGGCGCGTACCACTCTTGACGTTTCTGGTGCGAGATGAATGCAATAGGGGCGAGAAAGAGCGCGCCCTTCGAGTAGGGGTTCATCTCAGTCAGAGACAACCAACAGAGATACCTGCGGACTTCCAAAGGGTGACTTTGGTCGTGCGGATACAGTGGTGCATCTTCTCCGCTTCCTTTGCATTGGTAGTCAATGCCGAAGAGATTCTTTCGAATTTTAGTTTGCGCCATTATTGCGATATCATATTGGCTGAAAAACTCAGGGGGCCATGAGCGAGTAATCACAAAATCCTCGGGCGCTTTCAAGCTGGGAATACGTCTGGTCTCGATGGTTGAATCCACCTCGTCGATTGCTTCGGTAAAGAGATCAATGACTCTTGTCAGGGCTGAGAATTCTTCTGTAGAATCTTCGCGTGCGAGATAACGGCGACGTGCACCGACGAATAGAGAGATAAGCTTTCCAAGGAGTACAGGTTCTAAAGGAGAAGCCAAGGTCACCGAATCCCAATCGGAGAAAACGAGGTAGTAGAATGCTTCACTGCCTCGGAAGCGAACGTATACGTCTTTGTTCCGAATACAGATAAGGAAGAGCTTTCTCAACTGAGTCGTGATTGCGTCGTGGATGGCTTCCGGTGTGGCTTTATCGAAGGCTGCTTTCACAAAAGGCACGAGGATGCCATCAGGACTCTTAAACAACAGGTACGTTGATTCGAAAGTAAGGCCTTTCATCAGGCTGAGTGCCTTTCGAAGCCGAAGAGCTTTGTCTAGCCTTGTGTTGCCGGGAGGCCGGGGCGTTGATTGATTGGCTTTGGTGTAAACCATTGAGATATTTTAAGTAGAGAGGTTTCTAAAATATTTATTAGATTAGCAAAAGTTCTCGTAGGATTACAGCTTATTGATAGCGAATGTCGCGTAATACCTGCCTGGTTCGACTCTGGAAAGCTTTGATAACTGAGGCGATATAAAACGCGAGTACTCCGCCTGATGATGCTAAACTAGAATTGATATTGCCCAAGACAAGTTCAACCAAAATTTGAAGAACGATGTTAGAACAATGATGCCAACTAGCTTGGAGATGATGGGAGGAAAGGGAAAGAAGTAAAAAGATGAATAGTGCCTGGAAATATTTTTTTAGTGTAAAGCAACAGCTGAATTTTGCGGAAGGAAGCAACAACCTGTGCCGTCCCTTCCCCAAGTGCTTGTTCATAAAACCTCAGGCCGTAATGCGCGTAATGCGGTTACTACAAGAACGAGGACTAGAACGAAGGGGTGTTGCCCAGGTAACTTATCTAAGGTAGTGGGATATTCAAGACAGACTGCACAAGGACGATTAGGCCACAGATGAAAGTCCACCTGTGCTTGAAACTGCGCCATGTGCTGCATGTCCAAGATCGACTTTTAGAGTGATGGGTAAGCCATTTACTTTTGAATAACAGTTGTAGTCCACATCACTGTATCCTAATTGCCTTAGGTGGGATAATATTTCGGGATCCGCCAACGCAACATAGTGATTCACGCCCCCGAAAGAGGTGCCTATTAGGTAGGGCGTATACATTTTAATACTTTATTTACTTGGTAGCTAGTTAAAATATTGTAAGCAGGCGTTATGGAAAAGCTTCACCACGCTACGTGGATAGAAGTAGAATATTAAAGGTAGTCTGCGAGAAGCGTACTAGGTAGCCAGTGATCCAGGTAGTAGATCTAGAAGTGATTTCAAAGGTTTGGAGGAGATTAAGAAATAGGACGATTCAATGATAATCATCACAAATACATCAAGTTAGCAGATACGCAGACACAGAAATACATAGAATTATCTACCAATTCACCGTAGCGGCACGATGACCCACATATTCCCGGATTCTGCCGAAGCCCCTATTCCGTTAAAGTGGACCCAACGGCCGGCTCATTGAGCTGACACGATCCAGACCATACGCTCATCCCGCTTTCCATAACACGGTATGAAACTCTTACACGCTAACTAATTTTGAATTGAAGGAACAAGATGAAATACACAGACTTAGAATTGCGAAATAATATGCCTCCCTTCAACAAGTGCAAGTGCACAAATCGAAAAACCGCGAAGCTAGCTAGAAGCTGCATACTGTAAATTCACCACCTTTACCGTCGTGTCCGGGTTCGTGATCGTAAGAATATTATTCGGGTCCAACCCCTCGTTAGGGCTCCTCTTGTACCTAGCCCACGTCTGGATCTTGATCTCGCTGCTGTACGTCGCGGGCGCGTTGATCTTGGCCAGGCCGAGCAGGAAGGTCAGCTCGGTGACCTGGGTGGCGTACACCCAGCCCTTCGCCGAGCGCGGCAGCACCCGCAGGCGCAGCTGGTTGATGTCGTGCTCGTCGTCGCGGATCGCCGTCGGCAGCACGTTGAAGCGCAGGTTCGTCAGCATGTGCGCGCCGGGCCCCGCGTACGTGTTCATCAGGAAGGGCGACGAGTCCCCGATGTCGATCTGGATGTCGACCTCCACGAGCTGGTATTGGCTCACCGGGTCCTGCTCCACGAGAACAGAGAATATGAGATCCTGCGGGAGGTTGTCCTTGTCTAGCTGGATCTCTTCCCAGTGCTGGATGATGTTGCTCGACACGGTTATCTGGAATCGCGGTGGCCCGGCGACACCACTCGCGACAACCTGACTACTGGGGTCGCTGGAAGATACGGCTTCCGGATTATTCCTCCTCTGGGTGACTAGTTCAGGCTCGGGAAGAGAAGCTAGGGAAGCAACCGGGAGCGCACGGACGTTAGGGGCTAGGAAGTGGGAAAGAGCCGTGGGCGTGGCAACATAGCTCTGAAGACGTTTAAAAGTAGCTCCATAGTCGTCATCATCTTCTTGCACTTTGGTAGGAGTTGTTGATGATCCGTTCTCTGGAACGAGTTTGTTGACTCGCGCCGTGCCCATTAGCCTCAGCGTTCGAATCTCAGGGGTACTTGAATCTCCTGGTGGTCCTATCTGGGCCACCGCGCCCGAACTCGCGTGGCTCTGGAGATCTATAGTGAGGTTATAGATGGGATCATTTAGCTGCATAGCGAAGAGGGCCGACGTAGCGGTATCATCATTGAAGTAAGGCTTCTGCGTCCCGCCATCACTGTAAGTGCCCATCTCGTCCTGAAGCTTCTTGAGCTGCAGGGCGGCAAAGCTCGGCGGCCAAATGATACGTAAATCATTCAGCCCGGAGCCGGGCTTTGCGTCCCAGAGGAAGATTTTATCAACGTCGTCTCGTTTGTAAATAAGCGACGGCCCAAGGGCGTCGTGCCGGCTTTCGTCTTTTTCGCGGATGCTCTGGTCGACTGTGTACTGTCGTCGGATGTCAACCTTGACTTGCTCCGTGTCGACGCCGCGGGCAACGGCAAAGCGCTGCTGATGCGCAGGCTGCGTGAAGACGAGGCTGGCGAATTGGTCCGAGCCGGGTACGCGATCCATAAATGCCATCATAACGCCGTCAGTAACAATCTCGTGGCGTAGAAGGGGCGCCCCAGTGGAGGCTGTGGCCCCGTTGGCATCCAGAACCTCAACACGTAGGTCTGGGAACATGGTGACGAGATCCGAGCGTAGGTAAAAACCGTAGGATGGGATCTGCACCGGCTGTTCCTGCCCCTCCGGAGTGTGCTGAATATAGTCGTTGAGGGCTTGTTTGATGGCCGTACGGTCTTCGTCATCCCCGTAGTGGTTACCCAGAGAAAGAGCACCATCGATCAAGGCATCAACCCAATTGTTATCGATTCGGAAGAAACGTAGACGCTCGGCCTCGAGGTACGTCGGGTCAGGGATGAGACAGTGGGCAGGTACGCCAGCAAGAAACATGCGGTCAAGGAGCCACGAAAGGACAGTCATCCAGTCTGTCGACATCGGATCATTGGTTTCATCGTATGTGCCTCCAGTCGTGCTTTGGGCGAGGAATCGTGCCGCCTTAGCAGCTTCACTCGGGAAATATTTTTTAATCAAGGGCGAGCTGTATGAGATCTCTGGTATGTTGGAACGGGAGAGACGGGGACGTTTCCATCGCCGCTTAGCGCCGCCGGGCGAGTACCGCGGCTCACGGATAGGCGTTCCCGGATTTATGTCATCTCTACCGCCGAGATGGATCGAGGCTAAACTACGAATGGCCGAATCAATATCGGTGAGCAGGTCGCTGCGGGTCCTAAAAGCCTTGTCATCAATGTCCTTCAAGGTCTGCAGTTTGGAAGCGGCCTCTGCGGCACTGTGAATCGAAGTGCGTAAACGATTAAGCGCAGCTGTGTAGGCTTCATCACCTAAAGCCATGGTGCGGCCGACTTGCCAAGCAACGGAGTAGGTGATATCCATGATTCCGAGCTGCTTGTCAAGGACTTGTAGGTCAACGCCCGAATTAGAGCTTGTCGTCAAATTCTCTAGCGGAGGAACGTATGAAGGAGTAAATGGTCCGCGATAGAGGGCGACGGTGGACTCTCCCGTTTGGGTACGGTACCTTACGAGTGTATACCCGTCGTCAAGCCGCTTGGAAACGAGTTGTTGCATCTTGTCGCTCGATGATCGTAGCGGTGCAATGATTTCCTCTGGAGCACGCAAGACGTCCAAGGTCCTGCCGATATCTTCAAACGCGTCTGGCACATTGAGCGTATTTGCAGGCAGTACTGTATAATTCCAGCTATACAGCGAACAGAGCGCGACATAGCGGTGGCTCGACCCGGGCCAAGACATCTGCTCGACGCCTTCGATAGAAACAAGGTGCGCAGTCATGGTTGCTGGCGTCTCATTGTCAAGCGGCCCTGACCGGTTGCCGACAACAATGCTGAAGATTGCCGTGTCTTCAACACCGGCGAGAGCCATGCCCTGGCCGTTAATTTTGCGCACATGGGCCTGGTACTGGTATTGCGACGTGTTGGGGTTAGAACCTGAGCTACCGCTACCGCTAGAGTCTCTTGCCTGAAAAAGGCTTGTAAAAAGATCCGGTTTGACGAAGATAAAGTCGCCTCGACTGCTCTTCATGCTATCCGGCCCAAGGTCTGCGGTCACAGGCGTTGTCACGTTTGTTACCTTCCATAGGTCGTCAATGCTCATGTTGACAGTCATAGTCCCTGACTGTTTGACAGGCTTTGTAACGCCGTCGCTTGTGTTGCCGAAGATGCTGTCCGATCCATCTAAATCCTGAGGCGGTAGCCGCAACTCATCCTGAGAAAAGGAAAACATTACGAGCCAGGGCACACGGTTTCGAACAGGCTCACCGCTGGCTCCGGCTGCCAACGCCTTCATCTTCATCTGGAGCTCTTTGTTCGTGCCCTGGCTTCGACTTCCGAGTCTCTCCCATGGTAGATGCGGATCGGTTAGGACTACATGGGGAAGTATCCTGTTCGTGTCAGGATATCCTGGGGGAGGATACGTCGAGTGCACACTACCCTCCGGCAGCGAGAACTGCGGTGCATCCACGAAGAAGGACTTCTCCGCTTCAAGCTTTAGTTCATCGTTGCTACCTGGTGCCTTTACACTTTGCGTTACGGTAATATTATGCTTTGGGCCAGCTTCGAGTCCCGGCGCCCAGTATGAGTTAAGCTTCTGCTCACCAGGCGCTAGGGGGTCAATTTCATTGTCACCCTCGTCAACAGCTATACCAGCGAGCTGTTGGGCTTTACGCTGATAAGAAGCAACGGCTCGTCGGGAATATCGGAGGGTTAGATGACGAGGAGAGTTGATGCGGGTGCTTTTACCCCCAGGAAAGATGCCCATCGTGATTATCTTTGGTGAGAAGGGTATATTGGGAATGGTGGCTTAGGTTCTGAGGTGAATATCAAAAAGCTTTGAGCCGAGTCCTCCAGGAATCCTCTAAGACATAGTCAAGTTTGCTCAAATAGCTTGATTCAGACGGGGGGACGTAGTCACATTTGCCTGGTACTAATAAGTCACTTGATACTACTCGTAGATTAATACCTGTTGAAGTACCTACAGTACCTTTGTTAGGTATACTGAACGTCGCGGCCTGCTTGTGAGTTTCCACATGAAAATCCCATAACAAGAGCATCCCCATTAAGAGATAATGCTCATTCGTTACTGAGGGCGGCATGTGCTTAAGCGGTAATTCTCTCTAGCCATCGATCGTCGTAACATGGGATCTTTGCTCCGGACATTGATAAAGATACGCCGGGGGGTGAGAACATATAGTTGCATTGCGACGCAAAGTTCCGCAGTTACATCCATGTTTCCCATAATCCAGAAAAAGATGTGTGGTGTGATCTGCGTGCATCCGAATTCTGTCTTGCAGATTCCGGAAGCTAGGTATGTAATTAACGCCTTTAATTTTCAACTATCAGGTAGGTTATTGGAATGCTGGATCATATTGCATTATCCGAACATCATGTTAGTCGTCATGATTGGTAACAGTAAAACTCATAGTTCGGTAGGGATTGAGGAGGTGGATAATGTGATAGAGCAGTGCGAGTTGCGGACTCCTCGAGGTGCTAGATAGGCATATCTCACCATCTACTCTCACGTCATTAATAAAGGCCAGACGTTTGAGATATCTCATACGTTTTCCATGTTCATTGCAATACATACCTACCACTGAACATCTCACCTTTTTATTTATTTTACCTTTGAGCCAGGTTTGACAGTATAGTTTCAAATACTAAAACTCTGCTTATAATACCATTATACTATCAAGATAACCATGGCAGCCTTGGCGGCTGTTATCGACACAGGCGCGGTAGGTGACAAGAGTATCAGTCTTTTCTACAACACGAGCGGGGCGCTATTCGCTCTCTCCCTCAAGTCTAGCACAGACAACGACAATGAGACTGAAGACACCTGGGAAACGGCCGACGACCATTACAATAGGTATATACTGAATCCCTCTTCCATCGCGGCCGCCTATTACCGTGGGCTTAAATTCGTGGTCGCTATGACGATGCCTAAGCAGGGAGACCCGGAGAGTGATGTCCAAATCTCTCTTATTTCGCCCATATGTCAAAAACTCTTGCCTGGAACGTTTGAGAATAACCACGTTGGCTTGGGAACGACCCCGGATGGAAATGAAGGCTGGCTCTATTATCTTGTGTAAGCCGCGCGGTTTCTCACTATTTCTTTCTTATTTATTAGCCTGCTTCTCTGTACATGTTCTAAGCCGGAGCTGACTGTTTTCATAGTGATGTATCTAATAACGTCAAGAATGTGATGGAGTTTGATCTCGGTACAAGGAAATCCGTGGCTCTGAATGCCATTACTCAAGTGATGAACAACAGCTCGCTAGCAGCTTGGTACGACCCGGAACAGAGCCAGCGACATATTATCTATGAGGCCGGAGCTATTCTTGACTACGCAGTAGGAGCACTAACCCGTAAGTACTTCGGCTTATTAACACACGCCACTGAAAATTACACGTACATGGTTAACATTGTTCAACAGCTGTGACATTGCCTATAAGTGACTTCGCCCGCAATTCATCCCTCGCAGTCACTTACTCCAGTTCGACTAAGAAGACCTATCTTTACTACTACGATGTATACCAGGCTTTAAAGCGGTGCACATATAGTGGAAGCAGCTGGGCCCTTCCGGAAGCGGTCCCCGGTGCGCCGCCTTCAGTGGCTGAGAATAGTCAGATCACCGTTGTGGAGGCAAACGGATCCAACCACGTATTCTATATTGCCAAGGATATGGGACAGCAGGTGCCTGAGGGCCAAAGCCCTTTCACACATATTCTTGACACAGTTAGCTGAAGGAGTAGCCCATGGTGTGAGCAGACCGGATTTTGGGGTTGTCGATCTTTAAACCACTGCTTTATTCAGGATTACGAGTTCATAGGTTAGGTTCTAATATGAATGCTGTAACTTGAGTTAGTACAATAGTAGTTATTCTAGCTAGCTTGCACAGAGTCATCTTCCCATTTTGTGCCCAGATTCTGATAGTTTCATTGCTCCCCCAAGAGGGTTAAAACTGGTGTTGTAAAGACGTAATTGCTACACTCATCAATCATTGTAGATCGACTATGTTCGCGTGATGTTCGGTATTTTCTCATAATAGCAGAATACTATACGGCAAGAAAACTCCTTGATCGGCTCTATATCGTCAAGGATAAGAGGTGCTTTAGGAATTGGGTTAAGGGAGTTGTGAAGCTACCAAGTTCCAACGGGGAAAAGGGGTACCCCTTTATATGCATATATTTGATACGTTTATTATGTATCAATCCATTAAAACTCCATGCTGACATTCTCACGTACAGTATCGACGTCTACTACACTAGGGTTTCACCAAGTATATTAATTCTCTTACAATGCATGCATGAACTAAGATGCGCATTAAAGCTGGAATCTTGTTCTCACCTGCATATGTCTACGAAGATTTCTCCATCATCTCGGGATTAGGACCAACGTCGAGACGTCACATCACACAGCAGACCGGCCAGACAATGTGAATGCACGTTTCAGCTGGCTTGGGACGAACGGCTTTACCTTTCTGATAGCAACGGCGCAGTCTGAGCGTATTACATGTAAGCGACGTGTCAAGACATAAAGAAGCTAATATAGAAGATACTACTTCGTGTTGCGGGGTTCAGCTTCATCGGACCACCGCATGCGACCTACGTCAGGCCGTTAAGGCGATGAACAAAGAATCGCATCAGAGGTAGATATCATCTCCCTCCACAACGCCAATGTGATACCGCGGAGATGCGAGGCTTGTGGGGTAAAGAGGAGGTCATGCGGTGTAGCAAAGGATATTCCACATCAGTCTTCATGCGTTAGACCGACGCGGATGAATTTGGGCCCCATAACGAAATATCTCGAAGGAGTGAATAAACCGCCATCACCGAGTAACTCAGATTATCGGGGGTAAATAACTTGGCCTTTGGCCTTTGGCCATAGGAGGTACCTACCTAACCTACCTAACGCTTCTTAATGAACAATTTGACGAAAAGTATTGAAGCACTACAACCATGGCGGGAAAGCTCCTCGCGGCTTTTGGCGAGCCAAATTTCTTTCGCGACGCATTCAATTACGACTTAGGCAAAGTAAGTATTCCCTGTTTTCCTAATGGCAAACGAAACTTAGCTCCTCAAGCAATTCATAGAGCCAGAAATAGTCAAAGCTAACCCATCGATAGATTAAGGCATGGATGGACGATTGTGTCGCGGGGAAGAAAGGAAAACCTCAGACTGACAGTCAAGAAGTTCGGGATCAGCTGAAGCGTGTTCAGAATTTCTTCAATGTTCTCATGTGGGTATGGCCCAGCGATCTTTATTAACATAATGCGACTAAAGACATGTCGGAAAATATAGCGTCCCTAACGGCTTTGAGTATGTCAACGCCGCAGCACCGCCAAAGAGTCACTTTCCGCGCAAGCTCAATCCAGCTTGGCCTAAAGTCGCAAACAAGGACAATGATCCGGTCAAGTTTATCCTGCTGCATTGGCCGATCAAGTATAAAGGAGCCTTGGAAAAACCTATAGATGTCAAGTGGTGGAATCCCTATGATCTGCTTGGCCTCTTCATTAGCATTCTGGGCCCGGCTCCCAAGACGGCTGGTAAGAACAACTACTTCTTGCCGCTAACAACGGTTTATGCACGGTGGTGCTCGTGCGTCGCAGGGCATGCGCCCGATAGTCGGGACTGGGATCCCCGTGGAGATGGAGTGGGTGATTGGCCTTATATGTTCCAGGCTACATGGAAACCGATGGGAGACAAAATTTATTTCTTCCTTGGGAGCTCCGTAGCTGGCGACGACTGGCAAGAGGTTACAAGGAAGGGCCAAGATCCTAACCTAACAGTGGGAAAATGGAGGAGAGCAGTGCAGCGTAGTCGATTCGACATGTTCTATAACAGCCTACAGATGAAGCTTTTCCAGAATACCGAGTTTGATAGCTCGCCAGTGCAGAGCAATAAAAATACTAGATCGAACCAGCCGTATGGTAACTGTGGAGAGACGTACCCCTTTACATTCAGCATTCGCAGGTATATATATACCACCCTTAAACCACCATCCATCCCCTCCCTCTCCCCTCTTCCCGCTTCCCTCTTGGCTTCCCCTCATTTTCCATTGCTGACTACTAGCCAGCTCCAACAACGCCGATCTAAATGGTCTCGCTCTTCAACGAGACTTTATGATGAAACAGAGCTTGGCATCTTACGACGAGTATTTGAAAGGAAGAAATTATCTTTGCGGACCTTGCGACAACTGCCGTACCCTCATCAAGGCCGCCGGAGCCGACCCAGTGAAATTCGGAGGGAAGAAAGACCAAAGCAAGGCCCAAAAGAAGACACAACAAGCTACCACAGCCGAAACAGCAGCAGACACAACCCCGATGGCGGGTGTAACCGATCCACCTGAGGGCTGGAGCATCACGGCCGAAGACATGAACACCGCCTACTACTGGGGTGCGAATGGCCAAGGCACACTGGCCGCCCAGAGGGTCGGCCTGACCAGCCCCTCGGGACTCATGGTCGTCGACCCCGAATGCGGCGGCGACGCGTACTTGTTCACCGCGTCGACCGGCAAGGTCTACCTGTGGAACATGGTCACCGGTGAAGTTTTTGAGTACACGAATCCCGCGGACCTGGACGGCGTCCTGGCTCAGATGAAGATGCCGCCGGGGAAGGGCAAGGTGGAACGCGTGCTACTTTCCGAAGTTGAAGGGTCGTAGGAATCGGGTTTCTTTTTGAAAGGTTAATATGTTTCATATCTAGGTACCTAAGGTGCCTATATAACATGACGTCTTCATGATGATGTAGCTAGACGACTCGGAGGCTGGACGCGTTCATTTAATCTTGGGGTTTTCCGGAGGACTTGGTTTTCAAATCATGTAATTTCGCTAAGTGTTGGGATAATTATGTAGTCGCGCGATATAATGTTTTGAGAAATACCAGTGGTTGTCATTCCTTTAGTCATGCAAGAGATGAACCGTATTTTGTGCTCACTCACCGGAAAGTGAAAGAAAGCTTTGTTGTTTTCCTCGTAATATGCCTTCGAAATGCAAAAGATTCACGTTGATTATCCATTTCATTTATCATACACACGAAGCTCAGGTATCGAGCGATTTCTTACCGAAGTGAGATGGAAAACGACGGGGTATCTCTAGTAGTGCTACTGGCGTGGCAAATCGTATTCAGAAAAGTTGACATCAGCGATGTGGATTATCAGTCAAGGGGTACCAGGCCTTTTAACTCTCTTTACACCTATCGCAAGACATAATCACCTAGCAGCAGAACCAAGTAAATTGCTATATTTCAGTCATATTCCAATTCAGTTACGGTAATGATCGTGTTGCACTATTAAATATCCATTTACGGGACAGCCTCAATAACTCCCAACTTCAATCAGGCCAACTACTTGGACTACCTCACTGCGTATCCTGTTCCTTAGGCATCATGATCGGGTTCCGCAACTGCAAGAACCCCTCGACAGCCGTATACGGCCCATCCTGGAACGCGGGCTTCCTCAGATCCCCCCTCTTCTCGATGCCGAAGGGATTGAACGCGGTATCTCCATCCGATGCAGGCACGTACGGCTGAAACCAGCTCCAGTCGCCAGCGCCGAGGGACGGCAGCGGCAGATCGCGCTTGGGAATATCCCGGGCGTTCTGCGGCGTCAGCAGCTGCGACGAGTCGTAGACGGGCACGTCGTTGAGCGGCACTGTGAGGGGCCCCGCGTGGAAGAATGCGGTCATGGTGTTCATGGCCTTTTGCCACGTCCACGACGGCAGGAGCAGTTCTGACGTCGGCAGGAAGGATGAATACGCGTGTACGGGTGTGAACGGGTCGATGATGGCGCCGAAGACGGACATCTTCGCGTTGCGACGGTTGTCGAAGTCCGCTGGCTCGACTGGGCTACCAGAGGAAGAAGATTCAGTTGGGTAGGGAGGCTCCCAGAAAGGTGTGAAGAGCGGATACTCGTTGGTATTGAGGGGTTTTAGTGGTACGAGCTCCTTATCGTCAGGAGCAAAGAACGTCCTGATGTAGTCGAGATTGAGTTCGTCAGTACCTGGGGCCGTCGTGTCAAAATATCCTACCAACCCGTCGTAGGCGGCGTCGCGGTCTCCCAACCGCACCTGGAATTGGTAATAATCCTTGTCGCTATCCGGGTCAGTCGGTTTCGTTAGGTCACGCTCCGGATCTTTAGCGCTAACGTTTGTCCTGGTGCTTTGATTTTTGAATGGAGGGCAATCGAGCTCTAGAGACAAGCCCGTATTGACGAGGGCGAGTGGCTTGCCCACGATAGAGTTGAGGAACGCAGCATAGTCATTAGGCGCGGGTGGAAGCGTATCCTGAGCCTTCGTTATCATTGCCCAGAAGCCATAGAGATAGTCGCGATCGGTGAGCTTTTCGACGAGGGCATCAAGCTGGCGCGTTTCAGGAGTAGGGTCCGACGAGTTTTGACCGGGACTAAAGGGAAGCCACTTAGGGGCATCTAACGTACCGAGAGGTCCACCGAAGCGAACCTCACGGTAAAAGGTCCCGTCTGGTAAGAATAGCTGAATACCGTAGTCGGCATAGTTCGTAATGACCCAACCCCAGATGGGGTTCTCCCACTCTGATGCCGGGCGCCAGGTAGCTTCTCCCGGTGTTTCGCTAGATTGTGCCTTTTTGGCCCCGAAAACCTCTTGTTCATCACTTGGATCGTCAGCGATTCGTTTGACAAAGTTGGTATTTAGCCGTGCGTTTTGATTAATTTGCGGCGGAAGCTGAAGGAATTCACACTGAGCGGCATTGTCCTGGATTACTGTATTGGCATAATCCTTGTCGTCTAGCTTGATTGTTTGTGGTTCATAGAAGTCGCTGATACAAGGATATAGGGGAGGAGGACCATCCACTCGGGGATTTTGATCGACGGGAACTAAGGCCTGACCAAATTTATCTATAATATTGAGTTTGCGAAATCTGCTGAGAGTCAGTAAGATGCCGTAGATAGAGGAGCCAATGACGTACCTGAACTGCCCGTGAGTTACGGGCTTAAAAGGACACCATTCGGCGTCGAGGAAGTTGGCCAAAGCAACATATGGCGTCAAGGCCGACTCGCCACTTATCAGCTCAATGTGAGAGCTACTGAGACCCGCGGCCTCATTAACTGCTGCGGTGATAGCCATGCTTGTCTCAACACCATTCTCAACGATCTTGTTTTCGGGCTTGATGTGACTGCCCTCTGCCAGCGTCACTAGGCCATTGGTGAAGCCGGATAGCGGCAGCGATAGATATGACAGTTTTGCCACATTTGCTCGCAAGTTATCACGCTCTTCTTTTGACAGATACTGATCAAGGATATCTGGGGGAGTATTGTCAAAGAGCTGCGCTATCTTGGCACCAAGAGAGAAGCTCGGTTGTGGTAGGATAAGTACACGACCGGACAGCACACGCGTATCTAAGCTGCTGTCCTTAACTAGCGCATCCCATAGAGGGGGCGGCTCTTGGCCGTCCGCAGAAGGAACAGTGATACCATAGCGTACCATCTCGTTGGTGGATAGGCGAGCAGTGTGCTCATCAAGCTTCCAATAGTTGAAGGGCACATGTGTGTACTCGGTCTCCCACTCCACGTATAGGGGAAACCACGGTTGTCGGTCTCCCCACTGGTCCCGTAGAGTCCCGTCCCCAGTGACGGTATCAGGATCATGGAACTGGGGATAGAAGGTACCCGCAGGTGGCTCGCTTAAGCTACTCCCGTCCTGTTGAATGACGTAGAATTCGGTTGCTAAAGAACCAGCAGGTTCCTTGAGAATATCAGGAAGCTTCTCTTTCAAAAGGTCGGTGAGACCCGTTAAGGCGGCTGGTAGACTGGAAGCATCGCTGGCAGGAATGGTCTGAGTTGGTGCACGAACAGCTACTTTATCCAGGTAGTCAGTAGGCCAGCCAGATGGGATGCCACCGATGAGGACCGTCGGGTCATTTGCACGGTAGAAGACGGGCATGCTCGCCGCTTTGGCTGTTGCCAGCAGGTTCCCCGAGCCATCCGTGGGATTTAGTAGGCCATCAATATTGTCTTGTAGCTCCTTCATGCGCCCTTGAAGGCCCGTGATAAGCTCTGCTAGAGCGTTGACTTTTCCCTTATATACCTCGATATCGGACTCATTGCTGCTGCCCTCGCCGTTTCCAATGTCGCTCATGAAACCCCACCACAGCGAGAACATATCCCAGCGATACTGCTTCAAGGTTGTGGTACAGCTATCTAATAGGCTCTGGGTCTGATTCAATTCGGCCAGTTTCAGAACTGCAGGCCGGTCAGGTTCGACAGGCTGCTTATCAGTTCCGCCCTCGCCCTCGCCCGAGAAGTGATAGTGCGATCCTCCGGGGGATCTATTAAAGGACCAGTTATAAACTGTGTTTTTGGCTTCGCGCTGTGCTTCGACACCATCATCGCGCGAAAGCAGCAACGACTCGAGCGCAAGAATGTCTTCTTCTAATTGGTCGATGTCACCCTGGCCCTTGCGGGCATGGCAGTAGGATATAACCGCATCCATGGGAGTAGTTCCAATGGAGACTGCGGCCTGCGTCTGGTCGCTTATGCGTGCGTTGTGGTCATCCGCTGGAACCGTTGTAGGCTTCTTGTCTTCATCCCAAGTTACATCGTACATGGCACCGTGGCATAACGTTCGCAACTGGCTGGTAGCGTCCAGCCAGTCGCTCCAGTCGCCAGGATTTTCTTCGGCACCCTTCAATTTCATCATGAGGGACTCTAAACTCGCTCCGTGCGCGGTGGATGCAGTAGAATTCCAGAGAGGGTCGGCATCATCTTTCCAATGCCAACCCAGAACGTAATAGCTAGCTTCAGCGTGACTCAAGTACTGAGATTCACCATTTTCGTCGGCATACTCAAAATTGTCAATGATGCTGAAGACGTTCGAGTTGTGCATCTGGAAGTCAGCAAATAGCTGATTGCCGCTGCGCAGAAGGCTAATATTTGGAGGCTGCACATCCGAGTTGGGGTCATCGGGCGTCCACTGAGCTAGTGGCGTCCTACGTCCGATGAAGACTTCGGCCTGCTCCTCGATATTGACGTCTGATCCCGATTTCCCGGTGACGAAAGGTGCCAGGTCCGTCTGCAAGTCGACATCGAGCGGGATATCGTCAAGCGACCATAGGTGATCACTTTCCACTACCCACGCCTCGTATTCACGATCAGTAAACGACGACTTGGCCGTTTCCGGCTGAATACTGTCAATGTCAATCTTGCGGACTACAACCCAACGCGTGGGTGGCTGGACAAAGTCAGGTGTATTGCTAGGTGGTTGCTCTTCCTCCGAGGGCACCGCTTTTAATCCGCGCCGAAGGCGTTCACGCCTGCGCACGGCCTCAGGCACCGTCTTGCCAGACGATACGCCAGACCGGTAGAAGCGCGGTAACGTCCAGTGGACATAAACTCCATAGCGATGGCGCAGCGGCAGAGGTTCAGGACGCGCACCCAGATCCATCATACGCGAGTTAACATCAGCCGGGGCCGTATTGTGTAAGTCGGCATGAGTCTGAATATCGCTTTGAATCAAGAAGTTTTCTAGACGTAGGAAAGTGTAATTTGGCTGTGTGATGGGGGAGATATGAGCACTCGTGTCGCCCTCCTCCCCAGTGCCGCAGACAGTTTTATTGAGGATGAAGGCATCCAGCTTCATGGGCACAAGGAGTGCATCGAAGTCTTGAGCGTTGGACATGATCGCTAAGCTTGTAATGGATTTGAGCTTCACAGACCGAACTGGCTCTAGCAATCTGGAATAACGAGAAAGGGCAGAAGAGGAAGGATATGTCCACCTCAGAAGCTGTTTAGCTTCACTAAGGGCTGACTTTGATAACCTGAACGATATAGCCGTTAGGCTGCCCAAAGTATTCCAAGCCTCCCCCCGAGATTGAAACCAAGTGCATATTGCGAAACCGATGCGTGTGGTTCACATGAACGCCATGACGTGAGCTAGGAGACATGGGACGGGTAACATCACCGGGAGGTTGTCTAGTTGCCAGCTGAATATCTCCAACAAGGATGCCGGCAGATCGTTGAGGCCCACCTCGGAGGAGAATGATGCATATCTCGATGCGCTGTATCGTATAATTCATCGGCGCCGACATGCATACACGGTCTAGCCCATGAAGATCCAACGTGTCGATTCCCTCGTCCTCATCACGGTGACATGCTTGTCAGGTAGTAAGCCATATTTGCCTCTCCCCAAATTACGGTAAACGCACAAGAAAGTTATCCGGTCAGATATGCCATGCAGTCTCTTGCCAAGTCAGCAAGAATTTGAAGCAGCTAGGTGCAAGTCGTCATCGAGTCGTCTTATGGTCATAGTTAATAAGAGAATTAAGAAGCGATGGTGGGATGACTCGAGAAACAAGAGGCTGTAAGAATGTAGATTGCATATTGCATTGTACGAACTCCTCGATATGTACGATATGTACCTAACGCATCCGTTGACGTTGGAGAACTCTTGACACTTCAGCCCCCTTTTCACTCTTACTGGGGCAGGGAGGCGGATATGTTCGGGACGATCGTGCGAATTAATTTCTTGGCGTGAATACCTACCATTCAATCTCAGCTCTGTCGGGACATCATGCACATTACCTTTTACGGACAAAAAAGGGAAGAAACCCATCTCTGATTGGCCGCCGGTTAGATGTAAGACGTCGATAGTCTAGAACCCCCACATCAACGTACATACATCAAATATGCAGCACGTATGTGTTCCAGTATGAGGTAGGTATGTAAGGCGCAGAATATGCATATACAAGCATCACGAACATGAACTGCATGAAGTTCTATATCCACACCCATCCAACACCCCTCAGATGCATCTTGACATGCAACTTGACAGCGACCTACGCGATGGAAACCGGCGTAGAAGCTCAAGCTCATCATGATGGACTTCGATCTTGAGGAAGCAATGAGGTAGAAATGAGACAAAACTTGAATATCCTGTTTTTTTTTTTGTTTTTTAGGCCGATTGGTCTCCAACTAGAGGTTGGTCTTGGCATGTATGTCGATACATCACTTGTGATATTGCTCTCACGAACCTTGTACGGGGAGGCGAAACTTCCGCCCACTTGATCTGAGGCCTGAATCTCGACTCGCCAACTTTCGAGAAGGGAGCACAGGCTACTACGTAGCAGCACTGAAAAAGAAACTGGTGTGCGTGGACTACGCGCAACTAGCTAACGTAGGAGGCAGCTAACTAAACAACCTCAAACTCATCATGGCTTCATCTCAAGCCGTCCAGAGCGATGGGCTCTATTACATCTATGCCAGCTCATCAGAGCAGGTTCCAAGCGACGACGTTAGCGTGCTCGACGAGGGGAGCCCTGTAGATACGTTTGTGGCTACCCTCAACGACGGCAAATTCATTATCCTGTCTAGCAAGCCGGGCCCAACGGCCAGCTTTGACGACAGTGACGAGACGAAGAAGTGGTTTCAGCAACTTGACTCCACAGCTACAGGCTCGGTAACGCTTGATTCGACTTTGAAAGACATCGAAAGCTTCGAATTGCAGTTCACGCAGCCATGGCCGCTGGTATTCAGCTCGGCGAGCGACGTGCTTCTATTCACATTTGGTCCGCCGGCAGATGGATCAAATTCATCCAGGATTCCTCCACCTGGAGTCAACGCAGCAGGGGACATGTTGACGCTCGGTCTCGACTTTAGCAAAATAGACGATATCCCCAGCGTCAAAGTCAGTGACCTATTTACGCATGCCGGAATCGAAGGCATGGTGGATTACGTGCCGAGCGAGCTTTTAGACGTGACTGCAACGCTCACAGCTCCTGGGCAAGGGGATCCGAAGCGCAACGCCCTCTGGTATACCCCCTCTTCGTACAAGCAAGCCGTGATGCGCCTACAGTTCCAGGTACCCGATATCGACCCACTGCAAATTATTCTCGGTGGAATTCTCAATGGATTCACCCTTACCAGCGCCGATCTCATCTTCAACAAGGATATGCTTTTGGCAGAAACCGAGTCAGGACCGGAACCTATCTTCAGGGGGTCTCTTGCCTTTGACATCGGGTGCTCCCTCAAAGGCAGCGGCGCAGATGACCCTGTAGTTTCTACCGGCGCAGGAATTACTGCCGCAGCTATCGAGCTTAGCGAAGATTACATGATTCTCACGTTCCTATTTCAGTCTCAGGATCCCCTGAAGGGTATCGTTAAGTGGCTCGGATCATTGATCGACGATTCGCTAGACTCACTCCTCGACATCCTGACTAAAGACAATATATTTTCCGGCATCAACTTGCGCAGGATGATCGTCAGTCTGGATACTAAAGATCCGAATAAACGGAAGCTATCGTCCTTCTCTTTTGATATCGAAGTCTCGGCCAACTTTGGTACGAGCGACTCCGGATTGAAGCCAGTATTTCTCATTTCGTATAATTGGAACAATCTCGCAGGCGGAGTCGGTCAGCTGGCGGGTAGGCTGTGGAATGGTAAGTACCTAACCTACCTATATCAGCGTATTACGAAATAGATGGAACAGATAGCTGATATATCACTGCAAGACTTTGACTTCTCGCCGGACAAAGATTTGTTGCCGCAGATGGAGAAATGGTCTGATCTACAACCATTGACGAAATCCCCGGCAGACTCCATCGATATTGCGACTTTAATTCCTGGACAGACGGTGGACAGTATCCCCGACACGCTGCCTTCAGACATAACATTTGCATACATCGCGCTAACGCAAGATTCTTTCAATATCCGCTGCTCCATCACGGCTAATCCTCCGCCCCCTGATTCCACACCTCAGCCATATCTGGGCGAGGTGACGCTTGAAGGCTCTTTCACTTGGGGTAAAAGCAGCGCCTTCACGCTAAGCGTCTACATAAATGCTGCCATCGAACCAAGCGAGGGAGCATCAGATACCGCTCTACCGGCCATCCTTCAGGGGTCGTTGGATTACGACTCAGCTACCAAGGCCTGGGATCTGAAAGCTTCGTTGACCGGGCTTGACGCCTCAACGTTGGCCGAGTTTTTCGACGATGAATCCAAAGCTCACGTCGGGCCCCTCATAAGCTCCATTTCAATAGACACCCTGGCCGTCGAGTACAAGTATGCAAAGACAAGCGACGGAAAGTCGGCGAGCAGCGAGTTTACCATCGCAGGCAACTTGCTGATCGCTGGCCTGAGCCTAACGCTCAATTTTGTATACAAAGACGGCAGTTTCACCTTCTCGGCCGCGGTGAACCCGGAAGATAAAACGGCGAAGGTCGGGGACGTGCTTGCGGGCATCGTAGGCTCCGATTTCGAGCTTCCTGATTTTGTCTACAACACTCAACTCGTCGCCGACAATGAGGACGTCTTCAGGATCGACGTGGTGAAGATCAAAACCCCAGCCGCCAACAACGCGGCGGCGGCCGATCAGGTCTCACTTTTCTTCTTCGCCGAGCTCAACTTCGCCAACGTTCACATCGACTTTGCTCAGATGCACAACACGACCTGGGGCCCTAATACGCCGTCTAAGCGGCTGTTCAAGGTCGCCATCGGCGGTTTCGCCAAGGTGCAGGTCGAATTGCCGCTTATCGGCACGCTGGAGCAGCCTCTCGACGAGCTGTACTTCCTCTGGGTACAGGATCCGCCACAGCAGGGCGCCGCGCCGGGCAAGGGGACGGGACTGACGCGCTTGGACCGCGACGAGCTTAACAACGCCCTGCAGACCGCGGGTCAGGATACGATTCTCGTCAATGATAAGATCAAGCCGGAGGCACAAACACCAAAGGATCTGCTGCTCGCATCCGGGTGCCACTTCGGTATCATCATACGCAATTCCACAGGCGTGCGCACGTGTCTGCTCGACTACGAATTTATGAAGCAGTCGACATCCGGTAAGAATGCACTCGCGGAGGGTGAGGCTGACGACGGCTCTCCAAGTGCCCAGGCGCCATATAAGAAGAATACCGGCCCGTTGGCAATCAGTAACGTCGGTCTCAAGTATAAAGACAAGATGCTGGCCGTCATGTTTGACGCCACCTTCCAGCTCGGTCCGTTGGGCTTCTCGCTAATCGGGTTCTCTCTCGGCTTTGCCTTCACATCGCTAGACGGATTCCCTAAGATTACACCCGTCATCATGGGCCTAGCAGCGTCGTTCGACCAACCGCCACTATCCATCAGCGGCGTCATCCGACATGGCAACGAGGGAGGTCTCGACTACTACGCCGGCGGCCTGACCGTCGGCTGGAAGATATACCAGTTCGAGGCGGCTGGCTTCTACGGCATAGTAACGCCGGCGGGCAGCTCCAGCAGCTTCCAGAGCGTGTTCATCTTCGCTAAGCTCAACGGCCCGCTCGTGACACTCGAGTTCGCCGAGATCAACTCCATCTGCGGCGGCTTCGGCTACAACAGCAGCGTTCGCCTGCCGACGATCGACCAGGTCTACGACTTCCCCTTTATCGCCAGTTCCCAGCTGAGCGGCAGCGGAAATGCGATGGACGCGCTGCAGAAGCTCGTGGACCCGGGCGCGGGCGGCTGGTTCAAACCGCTCGACAAGACGTATTGGCTTGCTGTTGGCATGGGCGTAGGGGCATTCCAAATGATAAACATCGATGCTGTCGTGGTGGTCCAGTTTGGGAACGCCGTGAAACTCGGTATCTTCGCCGTAGCCACGGCCGACGTCCCTACGCCTGCTTCAAGCTGGAAGATAGCCCACGTCGAGCTAGGCATATCGGCCGTTGCCGACTTTGACTATGGAACCCTCAAGATAGACGCCCAGCTGTCTCCGCGTTCCTATATCCTCGACCCTAACTGCCACCTCACTGGAGGATTTGGCTTATACTACTGGTTCGACGCGCCGCACGCGGATCAATCGTCCGTCGGTCAGTACGTCTTCACCCTCGGCGGCTACCACCAAGCATTCAACTTGCCTGTCGGCTTTCCGAACCCACCTCGCTTGGGTATCAGCTGGAATCTCGGCGGCGGGCTCACCGTGTCGGGTCAAGCTTACTTCGCCATTACGCCTAAGGCCTGTATGGCCGGAGGGCGTTTACACGCCGCCTTTTCGGCCGGACCGTTGTCGGCCTGGTTCGACGCCTTTGCCGACTTCCTCATCAACTACAAGCCGTTCTACTTCAACATGCAGGCAGGCGTCTCCGTCGGCGTCGGATTCAGCATCGACATCTGGTTCATCCACATCCGCATCTCGGTCGAGATCGGTGCGCAGCTGTACCTCTGGGGCCCGCCGATTGCCGGCCGCGTGCACGTCGACTTCTGGATCGTCGGGTTCGACATCAACTTCGGCAACGACCAAGGCAGCAACGAAACCGTCACCCTCGAACAGTTCTACCAGCTCGTACTACAGGCGGGCACGAACCCAGCACGATCGGTAGCCCAGGGAGCCAAGCTCGCCGTCGAAGCCGCCGGAGAAGAGCCGGAGCCCCTCGCCTACACGCCGCCCAAGAACGAAGCCCACAATTTCCTAGCCCAATCGGGACTCTTGAATCCCGAAGACAATCCCGAGCGCGACCAGACGGTGCCGTGGATCGTGCGCGCCGGCTCCTTTTCCTTCGTCGTGGACTGCAAAATGCCAATCAATGCCGTCAAGGACGACCCCAACGGGGATAACATTCTTACGCACGACGAGATCTTCGCCAAGCCGATGAAACTAACACAAACACTAACTTCTACCATCACCATAGTGGTCCAGCAAGACGGCGAGGGCGAGCCGGATGAGGGATGGAAGTACGATAAGTACCTTAACCGCCTGCCTCGTGGCCTGTGGGCGAAGTGTAAGTCGCCACCACCTACCTATCCACCAACTAATAACCGTTACCTTGAGTGGTGATATAATGCTAAAACTCCGCACAGACGACCCATCTACCGATCCCCGCACCAGCGGCAACAACATCCGCGACCTCCTGAACAACGACGAAGGAGCTATGACCCTGATGTCCGGGGTCTTGATCAGCGCGCCCAAGCCGACGATGGCGCCCGACCCTCTCCCCGCGTACCAGGTGGCCGACGCGGATCTGCAGCGCCTCTTCTCCTCGAAGCCGTTCCCGACCATCGCCACGGCCAACGACGCCTGGGCGCCCGACAAGCCGGCCACGGGCGATCAGGCGGCGGATCAGTACACCGCGGTGCACGATGCGTGGACCAATCCGTCGCTCGGCACGGGCGACGACGGGCAGAGCGGGTTCGTGGGGAATCTGGCGAGCAGTTTGAAGTGGAAGATCGCGGACGATATGAAGAAGATGGCGGGAATTCCGGAGAAGCTGAAGAGTGGGTTCATGAATTTGTACGTGGCGGCACCGTTGTTGACAAAGTGATGCGAGGTCGTGATGAAGGAATTAGTAGGTACCTACCTAACCTACCTAGGGTTGTTTTATTTCGTCGTAGGGTTACGCAGATATCGCTATGATCTCCTGATATTATTGTATTGTTTATCCAGCTAAGAGCATGGCTCCGTATTTTCGTATATTCAAGGTTTTGACCGAGTGCATAACACCCAGTAATTAGCCTCGCACAGGATCTGTTGTCCAACTTACCTTAGTGAAGAAGCCACTTTATCATAGCCGCGGTATAGGAAATGGAACATTCCATCGGACTCTTCGACTCAGACCCCCCCTTTAGCCAAGGAGCTTCCTTACTTTCCGCATCATGCCCACGCCGTAGTAAGACTACCCTTTTGCAGTCCAATTGTCTTAGGCGTTAACAACTTTCACGTACACCGGCCAATCTCTGTGGCAATGGTAAGAGATGGGTCTCGTGCGAGTGACACAAGCTCAGTAGTCAGTATCAGTAAGCCTTAATGCATTTACGATGTACACAACTGCCACGGCCTTACTAGAGTTGATCTTGGCCGAGGAGAAATTTGTCCTATGGCAGCGTTGAGGGACGTGTTTATCTTCGTTATCGTGGAATGACGTAAGGGATGAAGAGAATGGAGTCCATCGGAGCTAACTAATGCCATTAGCGGTTAAGCGAATCTAAATTTAGAATTCGCCTAGATCCTCAGCTGAACCGCCTTGCCCGGCTTTTGCTCAAGCTCGTTCGAAAAAAAAGGCCAATTAGGGCCAAGCCGATCCTCCGCGATCGCTAGCGAGAACGGCTTCAGCGCTTCGCCACCACATCTCAGCAGCCATGAGGCGCTTTTGTGTAACGGTCACCACATCACGTACATCACATACATCACATACATCACATACATCATGTACTTGATAATAATGCGAGAGATTTATGTCAGCACCATCACGAGATTTCTCGTATTTGAATAAGTTTTCTTGCATTCGGACGTTTTCCCTCAAGGCGCAGCGCCGTCAGCGAACAGAACACGGGCTCACGTATTAATGCTAGTAACAGAGGGGATTTGGAAACACCCACAATGAGATAATGAGCTCACCGCCTGGTTGGGTTATCGTGATTATTATCGTAGGACTTCGGCTTTTTTGCTGTCGAGACTCGAGTATAAGTAGAAGGGCATAGCCGTAGCAATAGAGAGTATTTTGCATCACACTTGTTCCAATCCAAATCAGCTCGAAACCTATAAGCACGACCTTGTAGATATTACTTACTTCACTAACTAATAATCAATCAATCATCTTATACTTCACAGATCCTTTTCCGTACTTCTCTTCCAAAATGTACAAGCAAACAATATTAACCTCCGTCCTCTCCCTTCTCTCTCCCGCCTTAGCTCTCCCCCTTGAGCCCCGGGATACACCCGAATTCAAAATCACCAGCCTTGGCGCTACCTTCCCGTACCCCGGTGTCTACGGCGTCGACTCTGTTAACTCTTTCGTGAACATCGCTGTAACCTACCCGGACCCCTCATCCACCAGCGGAGCCACCCTCGACACAACCTGCCGAGTCGATTGGCCCGCCGGCACTAACCCGGGGCCAACCGAATGGACTCCGTGCGCCAACCCGGCGTTGCAATTCCGTCTGCCAGCCGACGGGTGGACCAGTTACACGAACTTCCGGGTCGAGCTATTCGAGGAGCTAGCTTCCGATGGGCGAGTGACATTTTCCTTCTGTAGTAAGCATAAGCAGTATGTATGTACCTAGTACTAACGGAGAAAAAACTTCTGTAGTTCGGGCCTAGACGCATCGCACATTCTCACATCCAACCCCGGAAACTCAAGCGATCCCAACGCGTACATGTTCTGTCTCCAGATGGGCAAGTTCAACCCCTTGACTTGCACCCTAACCGGCCCGATGGGCCAGTCGCAAAGGACCGTGGTCATGCCTACGACCGAGGAGAGCGCGAGGCCAAACTAGGAGGTACCTAGATATACTTAATATCAAAAAGTAATTTGCCTAGATAGACTTCAGGGAAAAGGCAAAAAACGAATAGGCTGGAGAATATTTGTAGACTATATAGAGTCACACGACTTGGTTGGGACGTATACGAATGGGAATGACTTGATGATAATAGCAAGCTAGGACATATATATACCTGAGGCACTCATAACCCCTTAATTAAAAATACACAGATACGTAATGAAAACGTTTTGTTAGCGGGGCTTGTGCATAATATTTCGTGTTGCTTAGGAAGTATACCTCTTCCTAGTATTTTCCTACCAATTCTTTTTTTTTCTCAATATTATTATCTCATCATAGCTAGCAAGTAGTACAAAGTTCCTATTACAGCAGCATTATTCAATGAAAGCATGCCTAGGTAGGGTAAGCCTTAAAGTGTCCTATTCCTCGTCAAGAGCCTACTAGTTATTCTTCCTTTCCCTTGATACTAACTTTAGGTACCTTAACCTACCTACACCCAACCAAATCCAGACTACCTAGGTACCCGCCTAATAGGTAGGTAGGTAGGTAGGTAGGTAGGTGCCTACTTAGGAGGCGGCCTCGAGCCCCGCGTCGGATCCTGCAGAAACAGGTAATGCCCATCGAAGCCGTCGCGCCAAGCCTCGTCGACACCGGGGTTGCCCTCGGCCGTCGCGCCCACGTCCCTCGCGCCGTAGTCGAGCATGGGGTAGCACCAGACGAGCCTGGTGACGCCGTCGCCCGTGAACAGCGCGGCCACCCCGGCGAACACCCCGTGCTCGTCGAACACGACGCGGTGGTCCCCCGGCGGCCCGGACACCGGCGACCCCTCGATCCCCGGCCACTCGCCCAGCGGCGTCGGGCTGAGGGGGAACACGAACAGTTCGCCGTCCGCGCGGCCGAGGTCGACGCGCACGGCGTGGTAGTCGGGCAGCCACTGCGATAAGCAACCAAAATTAGTACATAGGTACCTAACATAAGGTATCTAAATTACTTCGCTGAAGCACTTATCAAAGATCTGCATGTTATCGAATAGTTTTTGTGATGACAATAATTACTCTACCTAAGGACGAGCGATAAAAAATTGGGGGGGGGGGAGGGGACTAATAACAAAAGAAAAGGGGGAAATGAGTGTGTTTTAGGTAGTCGGCACTCACGGCAGCGATCCGGTTATCGGGGTTGTCGCGGT